TTGATTTTGCGATGGCGGCCTCCCGTTGAGACCTGTCACTTGAATTCTTTGTCGTTGGCCACGACGTGGAACACAAGTCTCAGCTAGCATGTGAATCTGCATACCGATGAAGCCTGTCTCACAGAATACGCGTTGCCCAAGCCCCCAGCCACGACGAGATCAACGCCAACACACGTTTGGTGTGGGAGAGACAATGTCAGCCACGTATAGGCGGAGGTGGCTGGCTGTCCGACACGGGCATCAATAGCCTCGCCAGCTTGCCATCCAACGTCGCTGTCATGACGTCTACATATTTCTACTCGGGGTCCAACGGGCATGCTCTGTGCATTATGGCTGCGATTCCCGCAGGCTGCATACGGTGTGGCATCTTTCCAAGACACCATAGACGGTAGCCTGGGCAATCGCTGGGTGAGCCTCAATTCCCGTGCTGTGACCGTGGTTTACAAGTGGTCTGCCTAATGGCTTTGGTGTGTCTGGCAATCTCTGTTGGTGGTGTGGTGTGCTGCTGCAGTGCTCCCACACATCTCACGAAGGAATAGGTTCCCGGAGCTTACACGAGTCTTGGCGGAACGGTTGGCGTCCGAGGCGGGTTGGAGGGCGGAGCGGGATTGGGGGCAGGTACCTACCTCGAGGGGGAGGCCACCCGCAGGAGAGGGAAAAGGGCATCCAACGGCCTGTTGTCATCGAGATCGACACGCCGGACAATAGTCTCGAAGCAGGCTGGGTTAGCTCTGATGTCCCGCTCCGAAGGTACCCATGAGTCTGTGTGTATCTTCACTATCCACACCCGTTCGATAGAAAATCAATGGCGTGGAAAAAGTCGTCGAAAAACAAGGTGCTTATCTGGCGAGACGGCTTCGTATTGGCGCCTTGGCGCGCGTGCCGCCATACCGAGAAGGCCAAGCACACGTCTACAGAAGAGGAGACGTGCCCAGGACAGACTCGTCGGATGGAGGCGGAAACCAAAAGGCTTTTGCCGCTGCCGTGCCGTTGCGCCTGTCAGGAATAGAGCCGAGATGAAGAGGTCATTTAAATCTCTTGCGTGCTTTTGTCGGGCATTCGTCAGGGTAATCTTCCTTCCGCTGCGGTTCTTCCTTTTATCACGGTAGAACCACTTTTTCTCTCAGATTCCAGAGCCAAAAAGTCCCCAATGATCTGCGACCACGATCCTTTGATAAGTGGTTCTGCTGATGAGAGATAGACTGTGCCGTGGTCGAGCATATGGCGCTCCGTTGGATGCATGTCGTTGTCTTGGCGTGTAAGTGAGCGGCAGGCGGGAGTTCGAACACGAGGCAGGGAGTGGCCCGGTCGCCATTTCGCAGCGATTGTCTCGGCATAGAAAAACCGGATCAGCAAGTTGAGTGGGCATCGTCGTTGATTTTTGGCGCGTGGACGGTGGAGAGGAGGCTTTTTCGTTGGGTTCGGCCAGGGTTGCGGAGGAGCAGGGATATTGTCGGGAATGAAAAGTCGATGCAGAGGGAATTCTCGCCATGGTGACATGTTTGGTTCGACCATGGGCTGCGGTCATCGGCCCAGAGACGGCGGTGCTCTTGGGATCGACGGTAGAAACAGTCCGGCAGGCCCGCCGGGGTGCGTGATCGCTGCATTCTGAGTCGAAATGGAGCCTTTGGGTGTCCTTGTCGAGCTGAAGGCCTCTATGCCAGACTCTGGCGGCGTCATCATGGCCTTGCCGAGAAAGCTAGAGAGACATGTTCGTCAGCGATGTCCGGCGGAGGCGGGACGGCGGCAAGGCAGTCGAGCAAAGCAGCGCGGCGTGGAAAAAAAGGAAGCAAAAACAGGGAATCGAGCAAGAAGGCACGCGCCAACGAATGGGGATGTCGAAATAGCCTATCTGGTGGAGGCTGTCAAGGTTACGCTTATTACCTTAGGTTCCTCTGGGAGCGGGCTAAAAGGCGACCATTGTTCGTTAGTGAGGTGGGAGTCGGAAAGGCCAGCTGAGAAAAACCGTTCTCAACCTGGGTCGCAACTTGCTGCTTGGATTGTTTGGAGTCTAGACCTGATGTCTTCTGTTTGGGTCCACTTCCGCTGTTCTATTGTTCGGCGCGTTTGCCCGCTGGTGAAACATTCTGCATCATTGACGTTATTTCGCATGTGCCGTGGAGGAGGCGCTGCTGCTTTGGCGAGATTCCAGACTGGAATTCTGTGTCTTGTCCTTTGGTCTAGCCATGTTTGCTGGCCGCGCGTAAATGAAGTCTGGTATCAAGGCGAGACAAGCCACCAGCCAGAACGACGGAAAACGGTACATTCGAGAAGCCAGCGTCTTTGTCTCGTCGGGTCGTTGAAATGTGGTCGAACCCGTTGGTGGTGGGATCTGCTGGTGGCTGGGAGGGTCCGATTTAGCGCGGTGTTGAAGGCAGGATTCCCACCGAACCCATCGGATAAGAACCGCCGCTATTGCTGACTCGAGCCTCACGGCCAGTCCAGATCGGGTTTAAGGAGCGCGAGGCAGGCTGACATTGGAGATTTTGAGCATCATGACAGAGATGAGGCCGAGGCAGCGAGCAGGATCTAGGAGAGTCAGGAGGAAGTTCAAGATTGCCCGTGCTGCTGCTATCATGACCCCTGCTCTGATTGGCGAATGGGAGGCGACATGATTTGATTGGGACCTCGCACCTGCCCGACTGACACCACCCGCCCCTGCCTGCCTGCCTGCCTGCCTGCTCCCGCCGTTGGTGTAAGAGGTACGTACCGGGGTGCTTCGTTCTTTCCGTTCTGCTGTGATCAAGGTGAAGGTGAAGGAAAGAAGGAAGAGCCTGCCTGACGGCAAGAGCATCACATCGCACCCGTCCGCCGTAGGAAAGAAAGAGTGGGGGCGCAGCTGCAATCCGGGAAGGACCAGATGAGGCGCCGTCGTGGCTGCAGGAGCTGCTGCAATTGCAATTGCAAGTGCAATGCAGGCAGGATGGAATGGATGCACCTTCCTGCTGTCGCCTGTCGTCTTTCTGGTCTGGGCAGGCGCTGGTGGCCGAGACTAACAAACGGCTCGCCGCCCCTGCCCTGCCTGCCCTGTCAAAAAGTGACATCCACATTGACTTCCACTTCCCGTCGCCCTCCACCCCCAAGAATCCCGCTACTTGGCGGCTCTTTCTTGCACCTTTTTTTCAATGTGCCGCGCATGCGCTAATTTGAAGTTCCCATCTTCTTTCACCTGCGCAAATCAAAACTTCGAAAAAAGCTAACAAACGAGCCCTGTTGTTGCCCCGGCAGTTACGATGATGCTTGTGGCGTTCTTCGTTTCCCTGCCCCTTTTCATGGCGATTGTCCACCTCACCTTGCGGCCAAGTCCGCCTCCGAAGTACCTTATTCCTCCAGCTGGCTTGCTTCTCTCAGTCCATCCATCTCGCATGTTTCCGTACCGTATGTACCGTGTCGGTACCTGCCTTCTCGCCCTGGTTATTATTAGGAATATTTACCGTATCTGTCTGCCACTGCCACTGAGGCAAAGCGATGCGGATGCGGCGTTGGCGCCTCCACCTCAAGGCATCGAGCGGTTGTTCTGATACTGAATCTTACCTATCGTTGCCGTTCCCCTGTCCTGGTCCTTTTGTTCTTCTCCGTCTCACTCCTCCCCTGGTCGAACTGTCACCGTCGTCTTTCTCCGTCTCACAGTACCATGGGCAAGGTATCCCGCGAGCACTACTCCTACCTGGTGCCCCCAACGGTGTGAGCCCATCCCTGCCTGCCTTAGACCATCTGCAGCTTCATGGGAACCTCGCATCCTCCATCTGTGGAGTTCGTCCGCGCAGGCAATCTGACTTAATCTTGGCACTGATGTCACGAACGCTCTGATTCTCTTTCTACCTAGGTACTCGTTCATGGTCAAGGAGTACGAGACTAAGAAAAATGCAGGCCACCATCCATCTGCACTTCTTGCCCCCCCATGCTGCTACCCAATCGCCGCATCCCGGTGACCCAGTTCACATCTGTTGCCCATGATCTGAGTGGGCTTTCCTGAATTCCATGGCAGGGGCAGGAAAAGTCCATCCCATGTAGCATTGCCCGGGCAATATTCAACGAATAGAGGCGGGCGACGCCTCTCTGGAGAGAACCACACGACTTACCCAAGTAGAGTATCCGTAGAGGATGAGCCCGTGTTCGGCTCCGTACCGACCGTATCTATCCTTGTAGACGACGGCCGCACCTTCCCGACAGACGCCAGACGGACGACTCACTTGCGCCTGCCTTGTCTCTGCATCGCCTGTTGCTGTGTGATGTTTGTGACTGCGGGCGTGCCTTCCTCTCCCATCTCCCACCACCTGCCACATGGGAAGGTACCTACCTGCCCTGGTCTGTCTGCCTCAGATTCACCACACTCACCCCGTTCCTTCTCACCTTGACTTTGGGTCCTGCTTTTTGTCTGCCCATGACTCCTTCACCATCGACACTCGTTTTGTTTCTCCTCCACGCCCCTCCGCCTCCTCCCACCACCACCACCACCTCCTTCTCCTCTCCTCCCCCCCTCCGCCAGCTAAGATACGGATCCCGGGTAGCTTGCCTCTAACAAAACCTTACCTGCCTCTGTCCATCGTTGCTCGCAGAGGCTGGCCGTTAGCTCAAGATTGCACCTGCGTATCTTAGGTACGCGCGCACACGCTGCCATCGTTGCTTGCTCTCGCCGCCTTACACTCGCTACACTAGCTCCACGCTCCACGAGGCTGGACACCATTTTTTCAAAACACCATACACGTCTCTAGTCACTCGCTTTGACGACGTTCGCTGATTTTTGGGATTTTCTTTTGCTTCTTGTCTCGGTTTACCTTCCCCGCTCTCGCTATCCAGACGCCCTTCACCACGTCCGCCGTCCAAGGTCAACGTCACGGAAGACACCGTCGACAACTTGAAAGCCATTTTTGTTTGACTTGTTTCCTCCTCTGGCGCCTTCGTGCTCCCGTCGACGGAAACTTTCTCTCGCTATCCTCCACACGACCGTTTGACGAATCTTCTCTTTTGGATTCCAGGTCACCACCACTAATACCATAATGTCGCGTCCTCTCACTCCCCGGGGAGGTTCCCCCGACTCGGGCCTGACGCCCCCGAATAATCCCTTTGCTTCGAACCCTTTCGATACCGACAACGATTCCAGCGCTGTCGCTTCTCTGGCCAGCGATTCCACCTTCACTGTGGTATGTTTACAACGTCCTCATGCGACGATCCCAAACCCGACAAAGCAGAGACTGATTCCTGTCAGAATGCCATCAATGGTCCATCTCCCACAGACACCCCGCAAAGATCAGGCCAAAGAACCAGCTGGGCAGACTCCTCCCATCACCGCCTTAGCCGACCTGACATCGTAAGTCTTCACATATCCTCGCTGCCACCCGAGCTACGGAAGGGACTCTGGCTGACCGCGAAACAGGAGCCTTCGCCTTTGGCGCGAGAGGTCTACAACGAAAAAGGCCACCAGCACTCGTCGTCAGACACAGACATTGAAGCCAACCATGTGCCGCCCGTCGTGTCCGACCCGGAGAAGGCCAACGAGAAGCACACGACGGCCCTCCCGCCTTCTACGGGCGAGTCATTCCCCAAGCGTCTGTACAACCGCTTCCGCGCAACCTACTGCCCCAAGGAGGAGCCGCCTTTGGTGCTGCCTGTCTGTCCTAACGACACAGAGAAGCTCACCTACGTTCACACCAACCGCATTCTACTCTACGTCTTTGGCGTGTTTTCGTTCCTTTCGCTCGGCGCTGGTATGTGGTTATTTGCGCTATCTGCCCCGGCTTTCTACTGGTACGGTGTTTTCGCAGGTGCCATGTGCATCTACCTGTTGATCTCGTATGCCGTCGGTATCATTGGAAAGGACTGGGACTACAAGGGTCACCTGGAACTGGTGGAACGCTTCCCCATCACCGAGGAGAACGCGCCAACGGTGGACATCTTCCTGCCTTGCTGCTCTGAGCCTCTCGAGATCCTGGAGAACACCTACAAGCACATTGTCAATATTGACTGGCCCGCCTCCAAGCTTCAAGTGCACGTCATGGACGACAGCGCTTCCCTCACTGTTCGCGCTCTCGCCGAACAATACGGCTTCAACTACTCCGTTCGCGACGACCGACCCCGCCTCCGCAAGGCCGGCAACTTGAGATGGACTTTCGCACGCACTAATGGTGACTTCTTTGCCATCTTCGACGCAGACTTCTGCCCCCGCCCCGATTTCGTGAAGGAACTGATTGTGGAACACCTGGGCGACGATAAGACGGCCTTGGTCCAGAGCCCTCAGTACTTCCGAGTCACCGATGACCAGACCTGGGTTGAGCAAGGTGCCGGTGCTACACAGGAGCTGTTCTATCGTGTCGTTCAGGTCAACCGCAACAAGTGGGGAGCATCAATCTGTGTTGGAAGCAACGCTCTCTACCGTCGCGAGGCTCTGGTTGAGGTTGGCGGAACGGCCGAGATTGGATTCTCCGAGGATGTCCATACTGGGTAAGTTCGGCGATGCGAGCAATCGTGAACAGGGCTAACGTTGTGTAGTTTCGGCGCTGTTGATCGTGGCTGGAAGGTCAAGTACATCCCTCTCTGCCTTGCCACTGGTGTCTGCCCCAATTCCCCTCGAGCCTTCTTCTCCCAGCAAATGCGTTGGGCCCGTGGATCTACCACGCTGTTGACCAACGGTCACTTCTGGGTCTCAAACCTCACCCTCATGCAGAAGATCTGCTACCTCTCAGGTAAGTCTCATTCTCGCAATCACCAATCATTCACAGCTAACATGTCAGGTTTCCTCTACTACTCTGCTGTCTCGCTTAACATCTTCCTGGCCCCGATCGCAGGTACTCTTCTGCTTGCCATCCGTCCCGAATGGTTCAAGTTCTGGAACCTTGCCTTTGCCATTCCCTCGATTCTCTACGGTGTTATTCTCATGCGCGTATGGGCGAAGGCTAAGTACGGCTTCAACGTACAGCATGTGGTGACAATCCAGAGCTACGCCTACCTCACCGCCATCAAGGATCGCCTCTTCAACATTGAACTCCTCTGGGCAGCTTCTGGTGACGCCAAGGCCCACAAGAGCAACAAGTATCGCAACATGCGAATTCTGTGCATTCTCTGGACTCTTGTCGTTACTGGTGCTATGGTCGGTGTTGTCACCTGGCGCCTTCTCAACGGCTTCACGTGGTACCACCCACTGCCGCTCATCATCATCAACGTTTACAACTTCTTCATCAACCATTACTTTATGTTCTGCAACTGGTAGCGAAATTCGTCGATACCCAATAATTGTGTACGTAAGGAGGGAGAGGAGGATGGGGAGGTGTTTGTGGATCAAGCCTTGCATCATACATGGATAATGGAGTCAAGACATTTGAATTAGATGAGAGGTTGGCATACCAAGTGTCGACCTCATGGAAACGGCCGATATCATCGTAGAATCGCGCGTGAAAAGCTTGGCACCGCGCGCACACACTCACACAGCTTCTGCAGCATACATACATTCGAGAGTCTTGTATATCTGATGGATAGAGCGAGCGCGAAGTACAGGTCATGCGCCGCCGCAGTAGTAATAATAGTAAAAGTTCCTCTGTCAACTTGCTGAAAGAACTTGTTGAGATCCACGGAGGGCAGTGTTACCTGATGCACTTATCTGTCTGGATGACAACGGAAAGGAGGCACGTGGGAGGTATCGGACCACCTGGCAGATGGCCCGGGAAGACAATCAAACTGAAGAGGCTTCACATCGATGTGCGACACATCTGTCGCCCAGATCAACAGCACGGCTCATGCAATTAAATGTTTATAAGAGTATTTTTTCTGTTTTCCCTAAGCTAAAAAGTCTATCTAGATCCCGTCCATGGTGTCGGAAATGTCTGAAGTGTCGAAGTTATCGGAGGTGTCGAAGGTGGTGGACGTTGGCGAAGGTGTTGGTGGTTGGAGGTGTCGAAAGTGTCGAAGGTGGCGGGCGACAACCAGTTGCCTGAGTCTACCTGTAGAGGAAGGATAGAGTCGAAGGCGGAGCCCGAGTCATAGCTGTAGAGGAAGCCAGAGTTCAAAGGCTGTGAAGGGGGGCTGATTGTCGAAGTCGAAGTCGAAGTCGTAGTTGGAAGTGTCGAAGTCGAAGTCGGTGTCGTAGTCGGTGTCGAAGTCGGAAGTGTCGAAGTCCTGGGAAGCCCGAGTCTACCTGTAGAGGAAGATAGACTCGAGGGCTTGTTGCCCGAGTCGTGGCTGTAGAGGAAGGCAGAGTTCGAGAGCCCATCGGCGATATTGGCTCCGGAGAGCTAGCGCTGGCATGGCCTGAGTCGTGGCTGTAGAGGAAGCCAGAGTTCGAAGGCCGAAGAGGAGGAGGAGCCGAGGCGGAGAAGAGAGGCCAAGGCTGGGGGCGACCGCTGCTGGAACTCGCGGGTCTTTGTGGACGCCCGCCCCAGGTCAGGGTTGTTTTCTTTGTGGAGGCTCGCGTATGCGGAAGCACTTAGCGGATGAGGAGGAGGAAGGCAAGGAGAGACGGAGAGGGAGGGAGATTGAGGTTATATAGAGGTTGGGGATGGGAGCTGGCTGGATTCTATTGATGGGGCCCCGTCTGATTGACCTGGAGATCAATTTCGGTGAGGGTCTGGGGGTGTAACTGGCATAAGGTTGGTGATTCCCTTGGTTGTCGTGGTTGGGGCAACCTTTTCGTCCGACTTGGACCGTTCCCAGTGTCTATGATGCGGATTGCTGTGGGGAATGCGAGGACTGGATGGTTGGGAATGCCTTCATTGGGAACGATGACAAGCCACCAAGGTTGCGATTTTATCGTGTTGCCTAGATGAAGCAACCTTCTCATCCAACATGAGCCTCGTGACGCCTACGATGCAGAATGCTCTGGAGAGTGAGACGACCGGGTTTCCGGGATGCTCACCGACGATTGGAAGCTGCCTGCAAAGAGAAGATGGTTCTAGAAGATGCTGGAAGAGAGTGGAAGATGCCACGGGAGCCCTGTAACGAGAAAGATTTGCTCATGCCTCTGATAATGCGATTGACGATGCCTTCGCCTAGCATGAAATCTCACTGATCTCCAAGACGTATGCCATCGGGTAGTAAACTGGTGCAATAGGTGCATCACTCAAATCTGAAGCTCTCAAAAGGCGAACGGAGATGGACTCAATTCCCAAGTGCCAAACGCACCTGCGAAAGGAGGAAGAGGAAACAACAGTGTCAGTAGGTATGCGACACAGGGCGAACGCTCACAGGGGCCAATTGCAGCAAGGCATCAAAAGATGAATTACTGAAATCCACCTCCCTTCTAAGTGATGAATCCCCTGTGATCTATATACAACCGTGCCGCTCCTTTCTTGTCCCCTCTCGTCCCCTCTCATCCCCCTCGTCCCCCTGCCTCCCCTTTCTAGCCCCTTCCGAAAGGATCCCGACAAAACGATTGACGGAGTCTAGCTGTAGAGGAAGACAGAGTCGAGGGCGGGTGCCGTTGGCCCAACCTGTAGAGGAGGGAAGGTCGAGCCAAGGCTAGCTGAGTCCACCTGTAGAGGAAGATGGAGTCGAAGCTCTTCAAGCTTATGGCCCGGAGGCAAGCTTGGAATGTCCCACCCGAGTCATGGCTGTAGAGGAAGATGGAGTTGAACGCCAAAAGAGAAAGCCTGAGATAAAGCTGTAGAGGAAGCTGGGATTGAAACTCGAAGGCTGTAATGGAAGATGAGGAAGAAAGAGAAGAAAGAAGAGGAAATTGAGAAGTGAGATTAGCAGTTTTCTCATACACTCCCCGGGGGACCTGTTTGGCTTGAAGATCGGAAGGGCTGGTAGATGTGTCGTGGATCTACGTTTCATCACTACCTTTATGTCCGGTATTTGCGACGGGACCACACGAATGCCAGGGCTAGACTGGCATTAATTCTTGATTGAAGTTTGTATGCTCTACCTTTCCGGCCGGGGAAACGTTCGGTGAACACTGATTGGATTTCATCAACGGTATTAGTCGCATGCGAGCGGAAACTCAAGAGACGAAGCTGGCCAAATCCGGGTTTTAATCTTCAATCTATCTCCAAAATCGTAGGCTCAAGGTCTTTCGTATATGTGTACAGTGCAGAAAAGGTGAAATCACGGGAAAGACAAGCCCAATTCTTTTGCTGTCTTTACCGAAAGTGTGTCGCTTTACAACGACAAAGTCGGAGTTGCCAGAGCCCCCATAGTAACAGTAGAACACGGGGCGCCATACACATCCGGCTTCACAAACCTTGGTTGAGGGTTGTTGTCTAGAGCCAAGAGAACCAGAGAGTCTGTCTCTGGGTTAAACTTGGGCCAACCAATCACCTGGCTTAACCCGTTCCCGGGACCATTCGCGAACGCAGCCCAGGCTCGCTGCATTACCTTGGTCGTTTCTCTTTGCGCGTCTGAAGGAGGGATACCGCTGACGTCCTCGGATGCGCCAAAGATCATGTGTAGATCGACGCCGTGGTAGGCACCGCTTGTCGGGAAGAGGCGGGTGTTGTCCCAGTCGCCAAAGTAGCGGTAGATCCAGGCCGGCACGCCCTGAGCGAGGCGTGCGTTGGCCTGATAGAGGTTGGGGCAGGTGAAGGACTCTAGGAGGAAGGACGTCACTTGCTCGGATGTTGGAACCACGCCGTTGCCGTAGGCTGGGATCCTGTAGTACCCGTCTTCGTTGTTGTTGTTTCCGAAAAGGATGGGCTGTACTCTTGTTTGAGCGACAATTCCATGGGGGATGCTAGGGTTCAATACTGACCAACTTGGCAAAACTCCCGTTCTTTGTCAAGGAAACGTAGTCTGGAAAGACAATCTCATTGTCAACAATGGGATAGAATGGGGGAATAGAGCGGAGAACGCTGCTACTCGAGGTCGGCTTCACAGCCGCAGCGGCCGCCTTGATATCCTCCCAGTCTTTCTCGCGCATGCATGCCAGGACGTCCTCAGAGTCAGTACAATTGACAGCTCCAACAACAGTGTTCCAGTTTCGCTCAGGTACGCCGGGGCTGTTCAACGGGAAACTGAATGCATTCCCCGACGGCGCGATGAGTCCGTTCACAATGGGTTCTCTGGTGTACGCATATGACCAGTAATCTACGCTAACGCCGCCGGATGATTGTCCGGCAATGGTGATCTTGCTCGGGTCGCCACCGAAGCTGGCGATGTTGGCATGCACCCATTTCACGGCAGCACGTTGGTCTCTCAGACCAAGGTTCTGTGGCTGCCCAGGGATTCCGGGGAACCCGAAAATGTTGATGCGGTAGTTGACAGTCACCACGACCACGTCTTGGGCGTCTGCGAAGTATTTGCCGTTGTAGAAGGGGCTGTTGGTGTTGCCGATGGCAAATCCTGCGGAGCTCTGTCAGCATCTGGGTGGAAGCTCGCCCCGGGCCACTCACGTCCACCGTAGAAGAAGACAATCACAGGCTTGTTGGAAGAGTGCAACTTGTTTGCTGGTTTGGCCCAGATGTTGAGCGTGAGGCAGTCTTCGCTCTGCGGAGTTCCGGCACCGGAAGCGAAGTAGCTGATGATGCGCTGAGCTTGGGGAGTCATGTCGGGATAGTCCACTTTCTTGGATGGTGACAGCGGGCAGTCGAACCCGAAATTTGATGCGTCGTATGATGCATTGCTCGCGAATTGCACCGGGGGAGCGAATCGAAGGTCGCCGACGGGAGGTTTCGCGTATGGGATTCCAAGGTATTCAATCACGACTGAGGCGTTGGACGCGAGATGTCCGGTGATGGGGCCATTTGTCGTGTTCACCGTTAGCCGGTCTGCCCTATGGTGGTTTTGCGATGCGGCGACGAGGCTCGCAAAGACTGCAAGACCAACATCAAGCCAGAAGAAACGCATCTTCGGCTTCGAGAGCGATGTTGAGGTGAAGTTGAAGCTGCTCAAAATCGCGGAACTTTGGTGTTCTCTTGTGCGACCGCCACACCGTTGTATCGGGCTTACTGAACCCGCTTTTGCCCCCGAATCCTTCTGAATGATCGCTGTTCGTCGAGCTAAAGCAACTCCCATGTTCGCTTCTGCACCGCTAGTCACCGGACGGGAAACAGCGCCGCAGCTAGCTCGATCGAGCGGTTCGTACGGAGACAGCGTCCCCCGTCACAGATAATGATTTGCTCGACCCTGGTGGAAATAGATGGTGATCATTTGCGTGGATCGGATTCTCACGTTACGGCGAAATAGGATAACATAGAATCGTATTGCCGATCTCTGAATCGACCTCCTTGTACGTCCGCTACAACCCCCATTATTCATCAAAGTCTTGTCGGTCCAATGCCACCCCACGTCCGAATGAATGAACATCGATGGTCGAGATCTCTGACCTCGAGAGCTCATCCTGCAAAACGACCGACCTACCCGTGGTAAACAGAAGGACCTTCCATTTGTCTCCACGCAAGATCTTCAGGAGATCGGAAAGGTAGTTGTCGGTCCCTCGATCGGTGAGCCAATGAAAACCATCAATGATGCAAAGCACCGGACCGGGCATAAGCCCGCCGAGATCAGTCAGAAGTGCGGTAGCCTGGCTCCAAGTTCCCAGAGACCCGTTAAGAGCCTTGAATCGTCCCTCTGAAATGTCAATGCTAGTCTCTAGCGACGGAAGAAGGAGCTCGATCAGCTGCCTAATGAGTGCATAAACAAGAGATAGCATCGCTTGTGCTTCCATTGTGTCATTTCCATCCCTAAGCTTCTCGCCTCGCCGGAGCTCGCAGAAGTATGAGATGACCGGCAGCTTCGTTTTCTCGGCAAGGGCTATGACCGTAGCTGCCATCATTGTGACTGGGTTTTCGAAGTCGTCGCCTTCGACAGGAGGACCTTCAAGCCACAGTAGGTTTGGAGCGGGTGTCCTAGCCCAATCACTGATTTCTCTGAACGACTCTGGCGGGACCATGATTGAATCAAATGCGTCGCATGGAAGTCGAACTCTATCTCGATGGAAGAAGTCTTCGAGGTGACCAGAGCTGATGGCAATAGCTTCCGAGGTATATTCCGATACTACGTCAGTGGAATTAGCAGAAATATCTATAACATAGACCGAGAGAAGTCTGTGTACCCTGCGCAGGCCCATTTGGCAACATAAAGGCAGTGGTGGGCAAGTGCGGATGGCTCGTTCGGGTTCCGGCTCGGCTACTTTCCAACCAACGAAAGGCTCTCTCTTCTAGCATGTTGACAATGCTGTCAGCCAGCTGCTGCTGCTTCTCAGCAGTCCACAATCCGGAAATCCGACTTTGCTCCCTCAAAATGCTGTCGGCATAATGTTCCATCTCTGCCTGATGCCGCTTTTCGCCCTCAAGGCCCGCCCGCACATCTCGTGCTGTGCTTTCCACTGTTAACCTCGTAGATCTTAACTCTGCCCGGCTCTTTTGTGATGCTAGGTTTCGGATCCGATCCGATATGTCTTTGATCTTTCGCATCTCGTGATCAAAAATGTTAGGTAGGTTCTCGTTGAACGAATCGAGAAGTCGCTTGATTCTTTTCTTCATCATCCAGTCCATGATGCTAGTCAAAAGAAGGAAAATGTGTGCATATAAGTTTGCAACAAGAGTTTGCATGTCTTCCATATTGAACAACTCGAGATCTGTCTTGCAGTCGTCAACATACTGGCTCACCATACACAGCGCTTCAGAAAGCCCTTCTGCAATCTTCTCGTGATTCGAACTTGCCTAGTACAAAGAGGCATGTCTGTAAGCCAACAAGAACATATCGACCTTTCGATTGTGGGGGTGCTACTTACTTGTATCACCGCGTTGAGGGTTCCCGTGAAGATGGACACATATTCATTTCCGGATGGGAGTATTTGTATTAATACCTTGTGGCCATTAAGTGTTGAGCAGAATTTGTGGAAAAGTCTGCTAGTCTTGGCCAGGCGACTATTGTTCCTCCTCGTATCCCAATTCCGCTGCAGCTTTCGAACTGTGTCAACAACACCGTTCATCGTTGGCTCAGATGCTCTCAGATATACACGATCTGATGTGGAGCTGGACTCTACGAAAGCCTTCCATTTCTCACGCAATTGCTTCGTTTCCACATCGAGAATCTGACAAATCGGATTGTCACTGCTCGAAAACAAAGTATTAGCTGTGGCTCATAGCTTGCAAACTTTAGAGAGATACGTCAGGCTGTGTCTACCTTGAATTTGCGTTGGAATCGAAAGTTTGGAAAAAACGTCGCCATGGGTCTTGAGCGTCTCCCTGGCTGCCTTGTCGCTCGGCCAGTAGGTGAGCTAGTGAAAGAGTATGGCTTCCCGCCGGCAGACGTTCCTCGGCCTCGAAGCTATACGCGCGCACAAGAAGTTTTGCTTCGCTAGCATCAGCCATCTTTGCTACCAAAGCCGTGTTAGAGTTCGCAAATGCAATGTAGTAATGTCAAGTAAGATTCGGCTAGGTGAGCGATGAAGGAGGAGCAGCTTGCAAAGATAAGACGAGATGAAGAAGTAACCGGGCTTGGCATTTTTCTGACATGACCTGTCTGCTTGGTACATGCACGATGGTTATTAAACGGGAGGGGAAAAATCCAGTTGATTGGCCCCGTTCTCATTCTGTGAGACGTTTGTGGCTGCAACGCTGCTTACGATTGCGTGATTTACGGCGCAAATAGTCAGCTATTGGTGAAGTTGTGGAAGCTGACCTGCATGACCCATTGAATGAAACGGGTGTTGTCAATCACCCCGCTTCTGCCTATGGTTCATTGGTCGCCTTGTCTGTCCTCAGTATCGGATATAAAGAGGTGGGATGTCTGCGCCACGTAGGCTATAGTTCTCACAACGCGAGGACGATGCTCTCTTTTCTTTCATGAGAGCTGAAGAGATGTCGAAATCGCACATAGAAATAGCCCAGGCAGCAAACACGTCAGCAGAATGCTTACCACAAAATCTTGGCACTGATAGTTGCCAAGAAGAAGTGGTCAGAGAACTAAATCTCAAGAACAGCACGGACCTTGGAGATAAGCCAGTGGTGACTGAAGCAAGTGGGAATCACGCCACTGATCATGGAGAAAGTCCGCAGGAGCCTTGGATAGGATATCGGACGGAATATCGGAATCGCATGACCAACAACCTAGTTGCCGAGAAAGCTCAGAAGAAGGAGGATGGAAAGCCTGTCTTCAGTCACAATGAAGGACCTATTTTCGAAATCATAACGACATATAAGGTTCTTGCACAGGACATGGATACAAACAAAGACCAAGCACTTCTGGCATTAACATCTCAGTCACTTCCAACCTATGCTCTACGGATTCATTCCATAGCGCTCATCAACGCCATCCAGTCGGTTGTTCGCTACTACCCCGGTCAAGACTTGTCCGGAGAATACATCACTATCCCGAAACCATATCCTGTGCTGGTTCATTACTATGCAGAACTACAAAACTTTCGCAAAGCCTGTTTATCGACACCTCGAGATGAGCTGTGCGTTCGAAAACGAGACGCAGCTGAGCATTTGCGTATTCTACTCGAACATATGGATGCTGAGGTCATGGAGGGTGTGAGAGAAGAGCAAGAACGAAACGCACGAGGTTTCTCTACGTTTGATTGGAGATGGGTGGCTCACAAACCAGGGATCACCATTATCGAAAGAGATGACCGTGATCCTGGATGGAGCGCGTCCATTGTTCACTCCGTTGAAGGAGGCGTCCTCGATAATCCTCCATCTCCGTGGAGAGTCAGGAACTGGAAAATGGACTATGACGGGCGATTCGTGGAACGCGTTTGGGATGTCATGGGGGCATGGCCTAAATACGATGGCGAAAGAGCTGAGGCGGCCGGGGGTTATGCGACAAAATTCTTCGATCCTACTGTCGACAAGAGTTATCTTGAGGACGAGGCTGCTCGGGGGTTGATCGAGAATGGAAGACGGTTTTTAGAGATGCTCAGCCCAAAGTGCTACCAGCACCATGGTAAAAGTGTGGGTCTGCCATCAACCCAGGTCAGTCGTCACTGCGCGTTCAAATCGACAAGTAATATTTCATCTGACATGAACTTCATAGATTGACGGTCTTACAATGGTAGACATCGATGCTTACCATTTGGCTCGCCCCGAACATCAACCAACGGCGATGGGTGATGAAGACATACGACACTGGACCAGCAAATGTGTATGCGACATTTGTCAGAGGCGGCAAGATGATGGCTTTGAGAGTCGCAGGGTGCCGCTGTTCATCGACTTCGGGAGTGTTGAAAAGACCGGCAAGCTTCATGATCACGAACTTCTTCTGTTACCTTCCCAAGTCATGGCATACGCTTTCAGAACGCGAAGCTGGGGTGAGTCAGACGCTGTTGAATATGAATTACGGGGGACTAACACGAGCAGAGCATGTCCACATCCGAAACTTGACGGAGCCTCACTATAGTGAGAACATGATAAGTCACTTAGTAATGAGTGAGAGTCGCCTGAAGACCCTCAAAGCTCTGGCGAAGAGTTTTGCGAGAGTTACCCAGCACAATGAATCAATGAAGGATGCCAGATGGAGCGCGGATTTCGTTCGAGGAAAAGGGAACGGGCTGATTTTTCTCCTCCATGGAAAGCCAGGCGTTGGTAAAACTTGCACAGCTGGTGCGCGACCATTTCTCACGAAAGCCGATTGAATGCTGATTACGCGTTTTACGTACAGAATGCATCGCCGAGTTTACTCATCGTCCCTTAATGATCCTGACGAGCAGCGACATCGGAACGGAGCCCCGTGAAGTCGAGGAAAACTTAACCGAGAACTTCAAAAGAGCAATGAATTGGGGCGCTGTACTCCTCATCGACGAGGCCGATGTATTTATGGAGCGTCGTTCCACGTCTGACTTAACCCGTAACAGCTTGGTTGCTGGTAAGGATGTCGTTTTTACTCGCTTCACGAAGCCCACTAACTTCAGATAGGTTTCCTCAGAGCCCTTGAGTTTTATGACGGCATACTCTTTCTGACAACAAACCGAGTAGGGTCATTTGATGATGCATTCATTTCTCGTATTCACATTCAACTGTACTACCCAGACTTCAGTGACGACGAGCGACAAAAAGTGTGGAAAACGTTCATTGATAAGCTTGCCCGAGAGAAGGGCGAAACAATGCGCCTGACTATGGACGCTAAGGAGTACATTGAATCAACGAGGAAGCAGGGTCTCAAGTGGAACGGCAGAGAAATTCGAAATGGTCAGTAGTCCCAGATGATGGGAGGCAATTACATGATGACTATGCTAACATGAATACTTATCCATGGTATAGCATTCCAGACAGCTGTAGCCTTGGCAGAGTATGAGGCAGACAAGGACAGTGAAGGGAGGATCATGGTGAAAGATGACCATCTGCGTGCAGTTGTCGAACTTTCGAAGGATTTCAAAGGTTATCTGAATGATCTCCATCGCAGGGACGAAGGGAAGAGAGCTGAGCACAGACACGAGAGATTAGACAGCTATGAAGGCGCCAAGTAGACGCCTCCATGAAGCCTGGATTGGCTGGAAATATAGAAGAACCTGCAAGTGCCCAAGATTGGTCCGATGGCACATTATTTTAGTACGGAATACTTAATTTGAACCTTTGCTTGTCGTTGTTAGGTGGCCTCTCCTTTTTATCCTGCGCTGACTGTACCGAGGCAAAGCTAGGCTTTGTTCTGTGTGTTATTTGTGCCACTCAAAGCCGCGTCGCCTTACGTCACCTAAGATTGCTTTCAATGAACCGAACAACCGACAAGAAACTCTGCCTCTATTTGGCTTGAAGGATTCAATCAGAACCTAGGCGAGATGCTCTACTCCAGTGCGAGGTGGGCGCCAAGAGTAATCCTGTGATCCTTCCAAAACACCTTCCTTGATAAGACAAGCTTGCCAACCCCAAGTTTACCTAAGTCTGTACCTACCTTACTTACTGATATTGATCAGCTGTTCGAGAGAGGGTATATATAGATCGGTCGTCCCAGGAAATTTCGATTGGCAATGCAATTGAGCACAAGACATAAGTTCCTGACAAAGCTTCCGTCGCACATCACAGATACCTGCCCAATTCACGTTCAAAGCCTCCCAATGTAAGTACATAACTTGGAGTTGATTATGTGGTGTGGCAATAGCAGACGCTGATAATATGAGAAAAGCTCCGAAGTCAAGAACATGGTCAGCCTCAGGTTCGCCGTTCTCGTCACCGCGGTTACCATGGCGTTCGCTGCTCCTGGGGCTATCAAGGCACGACAAGCTGCCGGATGTCAGCCTGCAGAGACTGTCTGCCGCGATGGTTGGGCTTGGTGCTGTTCTGGATCTACCTGCTACGAGTTTGCTCCTCCGATGGCTTGTTAACGACACCAATGTTTGTGAGAGGCATTGAGGATCTGCGGCGAGAATGATGGCTATCGTGGACAGAATTGCTGGAGTCAAAACCTAGCCAATGGTCTCCTTTGCCAAAGGAACTAGCTTTGCTTGGGATGAGAGTGCATTATGGAGCTTGAATAGTCGTAGCCGCCATCTCACAGGGGCTGGTTTTGCTGACGTGTTCGTCGCTGCAGTTCTCCGTCACAAACCATGAAGCTAAAATATATTTCTCATTACACCCCATCAACCAGTTTGACCACCTGGGTCGTCTCTCTCTGTTTGACATTGTTCTTACATGCAGCGTGAGTGGGCATGCTGCCAGACTACGCAGCCGCCTTCTGGCCATATACAATAACGCCGGGGAAATTTCCGCCCCTCTCTGTCATGTCTTTGATGTATCTCTCTTCGAGGTTCTCAAACACCGAAGCCGGCATCTCGGGGCACATCACTAGCGATGCAACGTCAGCTCCATTACAGTTGGCGCCAAGGACGCGACTGACCTTTCGCCTGTCTTGAAACAAGGGCGATTGTGCGTTTAAATGGCTCAATGGACATTTTCATGTCCTCGTCGTTGGCATGTACTCTGCCGACGCCGCAGTTGATCCGCTCCAATTTGACGTTCTGCAACCCCGCCTTTTTGAATGCCTCGGGCAATTTCTTCTGGTACCCCCGATCCATGCCCACCTTCTCCATCATCGTTCCGATAATGTGGATGACATCCTTCAGAGCCTGGGGCTGGTCTGGCTGGTCGGAAGACACGTCCAATTCCATAGCCTGCAGCCATCCGCCAGGCGCCAGCGTTTCTATCAAAAGTCAGGCCACAATGCAACTCAGAAGTGGCGGAAAGCACGAATGCTCACCCGCAAGATTTGCCACGGCCTTCTCAACGCCGGATTTGCTCGTGCTGTGAAGTACGTTGCGGACATGGGTCATGTCGAACTTGCCCTTGAGGTCGTCGGCGGGTGGATCGCAGACGTCCTGGGTTACGTAGCGAATGTTGCCCTGAGCTGACGTGGGCATGAAAACGGTCGACACGTCTGCGCCAACCAATTCGGCGGAGGGTGGGACTTGTTTCTGCAGGTCCCTGAGGAGCGTCCCTAATCTTGCGCGTCAACTTCAGGTTCTGGTGAATGCAACTGGCTACGGGAGCAGCGTACCATCGGCGCAACCCATGTCGAGGACCTTTAGCCCGTCTTTCTTGAGGTCGACGGGGGCGAATGCGATTTTGTTGTTGAGGCACATTTGGATCCAGCGGTGCTGGATTTGGAGACGCTCCACTTCGGCGTCGGCGTTACCAACCATGGCCAGGTATGACTTGTCGTCCTGGGCCTGGGCCTGGGCCCCGTTTGCACCGTTTGCGCCGTTCATGTTGACGTTATTATGAGAATTGTATCTAATAGATTGAATAGATTGAGACAGCTGAGGATTACAAGTATGAGAGAGTTGCTGGCTCACAATAAGACGATGAGAGATGGCGGAAGAGCAATCACTTATTATATGCAGGTCATCGTCCCAAGCTTCAACACCAACTCGCGAAAGTCTCAATGTCAGCTGCTAGAGGCATCGGCAAAAACATACCGAAAAGCGCTGGCTACCGAAGAGACGGTAGCCGGAGCGTAGTTCTAGAATGCGACAGCTAGTCAAAATATTGCCTGTTTCGACCAATGGCTACCGCTCAGGAGCTACTCTGGCCACGCAAACTCAACCAGAAAGCCGGGGAGCATGAACTTCACCTTGTGTTTGCGGTATGGCAGAAGTTTCGATTGCTCAGGAAACAGCATGGAATGGCAACATGCCGGTTAGCGAGCCTCGAGATACGGATCCGATAGCGATACCGAACGGGCTTTGAGAGCGCCAGAGCGCAATAACATTTATTCCATCGAGAATCTCACTTTCAGACGATCCGATTCTCCGTCCGTTGAACGAGCAAACTACTTCGACTTGTCAACTCTCCCTCCGGCTTCAGATGGATGGGGAGTTAGGGATGGTGAGGTCAGTGACGTGTTGGTGGGAGGGAGGGTTCATCGGGTGCGGGCGAGAGGGGCCGGCCGAGCTCCACGTTTTCCCTTCCCGTTTGCCCCTTGCCATCAAACATGTGCCTGGTGGCTCGAGCCACGCAACAGGCACTATCAATCAGTTACAGACGTGCGGACTAACCGAGGTTTACGCTGTCATGTTGCTTCTGTATTTAATTCTGTTTCGTTTGCAATTGAGTTCTCCTTTGTCAGCCGACTGCAGCAAGTCTATGCATGCCCCCGGCGCACTTTCATCTGCTATGCTGCTTCCGCCGTCCGCAGCCGTGGCGGCGTGGCTCCGTCTAGTCAGCCGGACGGGGGCCGGGACGAGAAAAGCATCAATTCGGGGCTGGGCACTATTCGGGTGATCCGAGTAGATTGTCGCTTAGAGGCACGGTAATTCGGAGAATCCTGCATAGCAATTCAGCCGGCGCCGTGCGGTTCCTGGCGTGCCTGGCAGAAGAACGGATGGGTTACAATACTGTGTCACATCGCCCGAGCCAAGCGGGTTGATCCATGCCCTGCAACGTATATCACTGCGCGTATCTCAACATACATGAAACCGCTGCCCCAATCTTGAGCTAAATAAGCAAAGTCACGCCATCCCTGGGAAACACTCACTGTAGGGCTGTTTCTCAGCGCCCTTTGGCTGCTCTCCCAGTGCCGCTGTGCCGCTGCCCGCATGGCACAGCAGTCAACCCTTGAGTCCCTCACATTGCCGAGTCATTCTGGCTGATCCCCTTACCACCTTCCCTCATGGCGCGTGCGAAGATCCGAATCTCTCACGGCCATTGGCTCCACCCCAGAGACGATCAAGGTTTGAACATTGATTAAGAGCCATTATCATCCCATCTAAGCCGTCCGCCGCTGTCTCGTACTTAATGACCCCGTCTACCCTCCATCTTCTCCGACAGTGTTTCGTGTTCGCGAGTGTCAAGCCTCAGTGTGTGGAAAAAACTCCGTCCGTCGCTCTGTGTCCATTTTGCCTCTCTCGAGTTGACCTCGACACCACCGTTCACTCCTTACCACCACGCCTTACACTGCGAACGCGAAATCGATATCGAACCGCAGCGCAGATCGCTTGCTTCGACAACCGTCATCATGAAGGCCACATTCGCTTATGTCATGGTCGCCGCGCTCTTCGGAGTGTCGCAAGCCTCCGTTACCCCGCTCAACAACATCATCCGCCATGAGTACAACCTGAACGCCAGAGCTGGTGTTCACGGCAACCTGGCTGCGATCGCTCGCCGTGATGAGGCAGCGGCGCACACGCCCGAGTCCGACGTCTTGCAACCCGTCGTCTAAGAGCACCACAAACACCGAGGCACACGATGGCAACCCCATAGTTACCACATGGGCGCACCGGCAACACCAGGCAATGGGCCACTTGGTCCGCCGAGTCTTCTTCACACCAAACGGAGCACAGCCAGATCCATGGCGCTCCAAGCAACTTTCAACCTTCGATTCTTGCATGCGTTAGACATGCCACCTAGGGTACATGAGCGGGAGTTTACGGGCGAGTTGGGAATATGAGGGAGGCGTTTGCAGGATCCGAAATGAATTGGGGGGTTGACCGGGCACGGGAAAACGGGACACGGGAGGGAGGATGGCGGAGGGCGACCTGGCCGGACTGGTCTCAACAGACATGACAGACACCACGCTTGACAAGATTTCATTTTTCTTCCAACAAACAAAAAAGAATTCGTCCATCTCATCACACACCTGCCCCTCTCGAACAAGATTGACGTGATTTAACCTGCATCAACCCCTGCCGATAAGATCCCGCCCTAGCTGAGCTATTTTCTCAGCCCAGCGCTATCGCTGATAAGTCCAGGTGTAATTCCACGTCTTCTGCCCTTGAACCACCAAGTCGTAGTCCACGACCAAGCGATCATCTTCCGAAGTGTCGAAGGAAACAACGCCAAACTTGGAGCTGCCCCAAGAATGCGAATGCACAGAGACGTCCGTGTCCTCGATCTGCCTGTGATACCGAGTGAACGGTTCGTAGAACTGGTTTAGAGGGGACGTGGAAAATTCTATGATCGCCTTCCCACCCTTGTCGCCAGGCGGGAAAATTGTCGTCGCGTGTTCATGGCGATCCTAAGAAGCAATGTTAATCTCGACAATCACAATAGAGGAGATTGCCATCTCCACTGCAGTTTTCGGCCGGAGAGAAGCTTAACTCACCCCACTCAAGATAACCACTCCCTCGGTCAACCTCATCATGTCCAAGACCTGCTCCCGCTCGTGGAGGTATCCGGACCAGCTGTCGGCCGAATCGGGTCCCCTCCAATTTCGCGTGAAGGGCACGCTGCTCACGACGACCTTCCATGCTTCTTCGGACGCCAGCCACGCCTGGAGATCTGCGAGCTGGGCGGGGCCCAGCATCGTCTTGCCGGGCCCATCGTCCATGGATTCCGCAGATCGGTATCGTCGGGTGTCCAGGACGAAGAAGGAGATGTCCCCCCTGCGGAAGATGTAATGCGTCTTGCCGAGGCCGAACTGCGACGAGGGGTTCGCGTGCCCCTGGTAGGCCCAGAATGGCTGCATGGCAGATTGATACAACCCTGTCTCGTTGGCGGCCCAGTCGTTGATGATTTCATGATCGTCGTAGAGATGGAGCCATGGCAGGGAGCGGAGTGCCGTCGTCCAGCTTGGCGAAGCGTAAACCTGGCGGTAGGCGGTGGTGTAGTCCTCAGGGGTCCAGCCCAGGGCGATGGGTAAGTCGATGTAGATGAAGTCGCCGAGGAAGAGCATCATGTCTACTGGCTTCTGCATGAGATATTGGTCTAGGTATTCGAGCCCCTTGATTCTGACACCATGATCCACCGGGCTGTAAGGGTAAAAAGGCTTTATGCAACTAGTTGACACTAGACTCCATCGCTTGGGGTCTCTGGCTGCTGTCTTGAACGAGCCTGCATGGCTTGCATTAGTAGTGTAATAGTACTCAGTATTGGCTTCGAGTTCTTCAAAAAGGAATGTGCCGGTATAGTCGTTTGCGTCGGTCACAGTGATGACCTGAGACTTTGGCTGCTCTGCATCTTCCTCCGCCGAAGTAAGTCTAATTTGGACATGTGTGATAGGCGCAATTGGGGCACGGGCAACGATGCGCGCTGAGGTCTCGTCGACGTAACCCACACGAGAGAATGAGATGTCGTTGCTCTGATGAAGGTAATGACTTCGATACAGGAAGTCCCAAACAGCGCCCAGAGACAGTAGATTCAGCACAACGGTAATGAAGCTCGCAAGAAGCTGTCTTGAGTCAACCCAGCCACATAGGAGCAGCAAACTTGGATGACGGCGCTTAGGCTGAGAGTTGCCCGAGAAGAGTTTTGCGATGAGGTAAAGCACGTAAACCGCAGAGTTGCCGTAGATGCGGTTGAGATACTTTCGTCCTAGAGGATGCTGTCTCAGTGTTAGCTGTTTGCCTCTTCCATAGACAACTCGAAGTTCAGATTGTCAAATACAAATCTTGTGAAAATCACCGCAGTGATCCTGAGAGTGAGCGTCGTGATGGCGGCCACGGAATCCAGAACGCTTGACAATGCCATATTCAGACTGGTTGTACCCTGGTTGGTTGTTCCCCCGATGTTGATCTTAAGTTGCTTCCGACGCAAGACGGTTTGTCATCCGTTTTTCAGTCGACATGTTCGGTCAAAGTTGGTAGGAGGAGAGACCTAGACTTCCCAGTTTCTCACCCTCTTGTCAAATCTTCAGCCCAAGTTCGTGGTCTTGGAAATATGGTCCTTGTCCGGTGGAGGTTCAAACCTTCCATGGAGTGGCCAGCAATCCAGTCTTGCCAATGAGGAAGACACGTGCTGCATCTCGTCGGCTCAATCAGCATTTTGCAGTTTCTAAGATTCACCAAGAGGGGCCTGTGGGCTAGCATGCGTGTCCCAGGCCGCGTTCCCGAGCCGATCGGATTTAAACCGACTGTTAAACACACATCCAAACACTATCAAATCGCAATGGCCCCCATCGAAGGATTGTGTTCACGAACTGGTAGGGTTCATATCGGAACCAACATGTGGACCGCGGGCAGCGGGACTCCACTCCGATCGACGTCTGACAAGTCCGCAATCCACCACGTGGGTGCCGTTGAGCGCCGGGATCCGACGGATTTCCTCCGACAGCGGGGACTTCTCAACAGCACCCAATAAAGAGGTTTTAGAGCTTGTGAAAGCTTGTTTTCGCTCTCAACCCACTGGCGAGGAAGCTCGTCCTTGTCATGCGAAGGAACGCTATGCTCCTGCAAGAATCAACTTCCGGTATTCCTGGTTTCGGTCATGTTCCGTACATGTAATTGCCATCCTTTATCAGTCCTTAAGTGCAAGTTTTCAAGCACGTGTCCAATGGTTCGCGACGAGTGGTAGCTTCCAACCATGAAGAATATTACTGAGCTCTCATGGCCGGCACACCTTATCCAACTTGGCGGGGGGCCAGGAGCCACCAAATGGCGGGTTCGAGGCGTCGTATGCCGGTTCACGCCTGGTCTTCTTCGAATTTTGCGTACGAACCCACGTCGGACATCTTCAGAGTCCTTGCGTACCGAGGGCTTGGTATGATCAGGGGTTCCACGTGCAGTAGCTGCGAAACTCCCAAGTCCCGGAACTGTACCATACTTAAGTCTTTTGGTCGTCCGTGTCAAGTCTCGTTTTGTGACCGAGAAGCCTTGGTGGAGTGAGTCTCAAAATCGCATCGAACATCGCCAACATGGAGACCGTGACACGCTCAGAAGCAGGCTCCGAGTCCGCCAAGGACATCCCACAGAAGGATGGGGGAGTTGTCGTCACATCGCGAGACGACGCCTCATCGCTGGAGCAGGCCCCTCCGGCCAGGACAGCTGGCAAGCTCGATGTGCTGGTTCAAGGTGTCGCGTTGTTCTCGGATGGATACAACATTCAGATCATTGGCTACATGAACACAGTCTTGGCGAAGCTGTAAGTTTCAACAGTCCAGCAGGCTCCATTCAGTATTGAACCTTTTCGCTGATATTCTCTTTAGCTACCCGAAGCAGATGACCAGCGAGGTCAAGACCAGACTATCCAATTCTATTCTCATTGGCGACATTTTTGGCATGCTCATCTTCGGACTCTGCATCGACAGGTTCGGCAGAAAAGTTGGCATCGTACTCACCACTTTCTTCTTGGTTTTGGTAAGTTGCTAGCTTTTCCCTCTCTCGGCATGGATCTTGCAGCTAAGACACCCAGGGTATCGTAATTGCGACTGCCGCACATGGAACTTCCGTGGAAGGAATGTTCTGGATGATGGTAATCGGGCGTGGAGTTGCGGGAGTTGGTGCTGGTAAGCCCACGCGGACGCCTTCATTCTAATGCCTCGACTGACCCTGTCTAGGTGGAGAGTACACTGTCTGCACATCCCAAGCTCTCGAGTGTGCCGACAGCACTGAAGCCATGCGGAGACGGCGTGGAATGCTCGTCGCCGTTTCCACGAATGCTGCCATTATCTCCGGTTTCGTGGGCTCTAGTATTGTCTCCCTCATCGTCATCGCAGCTTACAACGGCCAAGCCAGCGACGGTATCTGGCGTATTTGCTTCGGGATTGGCATCTTCGTAAGTAGACCGGCCCTGTTCCCAGTGTTTCGGATTGCGGACTAACGTCTTGGAAAGCTCCCGTTGGTAATTTTCTTCTTCCGCATGCGACTGGTCGACTCCCAGCAGTACAAGAAACATGCAATCCAGTCGAACATTCCCTACAAGCTTGCTCTGAAGTTCTACTGGAAGCCTCTCCTCGGCTGCTGCAGCGCCTGGTTCCTCTACGATGCTGTCGTCTATCCCTTCAACCTCCTCGCCCCTACCCTAGTCTCAGGTTTCTCCTCCCAGCAAAACATGATCCAGTCCATCGGTTGGTCGGCATTGATCAATGCGTTTGCTCTTCCCGGCGCTTTTATCGGAGCGTTGTTGATGGACCGCATCGGCCGCCGCCAGACATACGCCCTAGGCTGGGCCATCGTCTGCGTTTTCGGTTTCGCAATCGGCGGGTCCATGATCCAGCTCAACAACGTCTTCCCTCTGTTCGTCACTTTGTACGGCCTCTTCCAGACTTTCTTATCCGTAGGACCGGGTGATTGCAATTTTCTCGTTTCCAGCGAGTCTTTCCCGACTCCGCTCAGAGGCCACTTCCTCGGATTTGCGGCTGCGGTAGGCAAGGCCGGTGCAGCTGTTGGGACGACGGCACTCAGCGCCGCTCTCGCCAGCTTTGATGATCGTCTCAAGGGCCAGCAAGCCATTTTCTTGATTGGAAGTGGCATTTCTGTCATTGGCACTCTGTGTGTCTGGTTTCTGATTCCTAACGTGAGCTCCAAACCCTTTCCCCTTCTCCCTTGCCCTTTCGACTTAGCTAATGATGTGCAAAGGCTCCTAAACATCTTGAGGATGAGGATGTGAGATTCAAGAAGTATCTCGAGGCGAATGGATATGATACCAGCAATATGGGGTTGAAGGCTTAGTAGTTATTCGATCGATAAAGCCGCCTAGACATCACAGGCTCCCAGCTTTGAGAAAGGGGAAGGGACAAAAGGTGTTTTCATCAAAAGCAAATGTATTTCGCTACCTAACAATTCAAAGAAAAAGCACGCGTATTCTATAATGATGTGGCCTTCTCCGAGTTACCGCCGATTTGCCTTGTCCACAAATCCATGTATCTGCCGCCAAGAGTCAGCAACTCATTATGAGTTCCACTCTCTACCACCCTTCCCTCGTGAACCACGATGATCTTGTCTGCACTGACAACCGTAGATAATCGATGCGCAATGACAAAGGTTGTCCTGCCCTCCTTCAACACGTCCAACGCGCCCTGGATGCTTGATTCCGTCTTGGTGTCTACCGCGCTGGTAGCCTCGTCGAGAATAAGGATTGGCGGATCCTTCAAGAAGACTCGTGCAATAGCCAGTCGCTGGATTTCACCACCTGATAACTTGACACCCTGCTCTCCCACACGACTTTGATAGCCATCCGCAAAAGACAAGATCCTGTCGTGGATTGCGGCTGCTCGGCAGGCATCGAAGATCTCCTCATCGGTGGCCATCGGCCGGGCGTAGCGGAGATTCTCCATCACTGTTGCGTTGAACAGCAACGGATCTTGCGGGACGACGCCGAGGGCATCCCGAAGTGAGCTGAGGGTGATGTCGCGGATGTCGTGGCCGTCGATGGTGATGCGACCGGAAGTCACGTCGTAGAATCGAAGCAAGAGCTTCATGATGGATGACTTTCCAGCACCGGTTTCTCCAACTAGGGCAATGGTGTGCCCTGGCGCAGCGGAGATATTCAAGTCCTGAATTGTTGGTCGTCTTGGGTCGTAAGAAAAGCTGACATTCTCGAACTCGACGTGCCCCTTGACGTCCCTCAGCTCCCTCGCGTTCTCACTTTCGACGATTGTTGACTTGGTTTGGAGGAGATTGAGAAGACGCTCGGCGTCGACCAGATCATTCATCAAGTACCGGTAATCGTGCGAAAGCCACTTCAATGGCCAGACCAGATAATCCCAGTACTGAAGCAGAAAGACAAAGTCGCCCGCAGTAGCTCTGCCTTGCGAGATCTCGCGCAAAACCAGGCTGGCAAGAACGAAGAAGGTGAGCGGAACGGCCATGTCGAGAAGGCCTTGGACCAGCGCGTCGCCAATGCCGTACTTACGGCTGGCTTCAAGTCGAGACTCAACAGTCTGGCCAAAGCGACGCTTCTCGTAGCCAAACATGTTGAAGTAAGTGACAGTCTGCCAACCCTGAACAGCCTGGTGCATGACCCTGGCCTCTTCTCTCTCTGCCTTGCTTGAAGCGCGCTTGTTCTTGATGTTCATACTGGATGTATAGACTTCCAGTGTCATGAATGCTGCCGCGGCCAAGGCCATCGCAAGAGCGAGGTAGATGTTGAACTTCCAGTACAGGAGCCAAAACGCGACGAACAAGTCGATGACGGTAGGCAGTATCTCGTTGACGGCGGTGTCCAGGACGTTGGTGAGCGACTCGCCCTGCTCAATAGCCTTCATCACTTCAGCTGAGTCTCTCTCAGAGTGAAACTCCATAGACAGGCCCATGACATGACCAAAAGCGGCGTTGGTGACTTGGCGGTAAGAGAACTGCTTGATCGGGATCTTGGCGAGCGCGTCAAGGAGACCGAGGCCTGCATCATCCTTCAGAACGACCAAACCCAGCCAGATGGCAAGAGTCCCGTAAGGAGCCTGGTTGTTGAGGATCTCATCCGTAACGCGGCCTAACTGACTTGGGATCAAGACGTTCAAGACTCTCCTTCCAGCGATGGAAAGCAAGCAAAGGAAGATGGAAAGCTGGACTTTCCGGTCTTTCTTTGGGATCAGGTAAGGCAGGAAGATGGCGAAGTCTTTGATGTAACCAAGCCAGCCTCCGGTCTCTTTAAGACGCTTAGCACGGTGACGTTTGATGCTGGCGCTGTCATCTTCGTCATCTTCGGAATCAGAGTCGGAGTCCTTGCTGGCCACCTCCGTCTCAGTATCGTTGCTATATGGCACGCTGCCGTAACAAGTTGAATCGCTTCTGTCGGTAGAAGAGCTTGTCCGGAGGAATGGCTGGCTTTCTTCCGAGGCATCTTGCTGTTTCTTGCTCAGTGATTGACTTAGCCGGACCGAGAGAAGGAGCAACACAGCCAGCAGGCGGACTGCCTGGCAGCAGAGAATGGCGATTTGTTGGATAGACTTAAGATCGCCAACGGCGGTCAAAACTAGTAGTGGAGTTTCAAAGAGAACTGTGGTGGCGGGAACGCCCAGAGAAAAGCCGCGTACATGGCGACGAAAAAAAACGACTGTCCAAGCGAAAATAGACACAAAGAGATGAACCAAATGAGATTGTTCAGTTTCCAACGCGTTTGGTTGATTAGCGGTGATAACGAATTCTGAAAAAAGTGTAGAAAAAGTGACAAGTAAAAGAAATAATCGTGGTTTTGATTGATTTTGTGGCAATGGTCGTACTCTATTGTCTGTTACTCGGCGGAGTTGTGCAAGTGTTGAAACAGCTGGGACTAGAGCGACGCCCAGTGCACAGCCGTAGTGAAGGGCTTGACAAGCCCCAAGGCGAGTGACCATGCTAGATGGGAGCGGTGACGCTTGGCTGAAGATGATCATGCTTTGGTGAACAAAAGCCTCAAGATCAAGGCGGAAGAAACTTAACAGATATATCCGAGTTGGTTCGAACTGGCGCGTGTGACGTAAGACCAAATGCCGGCGTGCATCGCAAACCAACAACAGTCTCTTTAGCTGTGTACCGTACCCTTTAGTGCTGATTCTGTCATCCCCACTACATTTACGATGTCCCGCAGTGGGCAAGTTTGTCTTGACTTTTTCGTGTGGGCAGTGCTCATACACTGAAATCTGACTCATACCGGGCCCGGGCCGTCTCTAGCTAGACTATCTTGACTACGCTGAAGCGCGAACTTGAGTCGGAACGCGCGGGCTGCGGCATAGCTGTAGCATTTCGTCTCTATTAGGCTATCTTCAATAGGTCCTAATTGGACCATTTTCAGTGGTTTGCCGCGGTGTTCTCGGGGTCCACGATGCACAGCCATACCTTCAGCTGCAACCCAATTCATGTTCCCTGTAAATGTTTCTTTCATTTGAGCCAATCCCCACTGAGGCCAAACCCAACTCAATTTCGATGCGATGCTGTCCATTCGCAAAAAAGCAGCAGATCAATCGACATTGGGTGAAAGCAAGTCACAATTGTCTGAGAGCATCATGATGAGCCATCATATGACTCACATATGCACATCAGCAGTGACATGCAAGACCCGAATTGAGCTTTTTTGAAGAAACTGTTCTGTTGTCAGACGACAGAACCAATCAACCGAGTTCGGCAAAAGTCCTCTACTTGCGTACGGCCAACATGCTGTTTGGGTGGCGAATGTGATGCTCAACCAACAGTCCGCAAAATTCTGTCCAATTTATCGACCGCAATGCAGCAAACAAGAATCTCAAAAGTCTAGCTTCTACCGGTTCCCCCATTCCCTCAATTTACTGGCACCTCATTCGCTTCCAAGACTGAGAGCCGTCATGTTTGTCGCAAGGGCGGCTGCGCCCTGGTGCCTGTGGTCAGGAATCGCAGCCAACTCCTTCAGCTTGGCCTGCTTCTCCATCCACGCTCGGGCCCCGCCGTAATTGCAATTGTAATCCATGAACTCTCCGGGATTCCTGTCCATGTCAGAACCTTCACTATGACCTCTCATCGAAGAATACTTTCACTCACATTGTGATTTTGTTGGTGGACTTGTCAGTTGCTGGCTTGCCTGACTGCCTGCTGTAACCCTGGATGAGCGTTGCGCGATCGTATCTGCATTCGAAAACGGTCTGTTCTGGTTGTTAGGATAAGAAGCATAACGCGCAGATGTTGTGCTTGCCTTCAGCAAACTAGCAACCTCCTCCTGTGTTGGCTTAGTCTTGACATCGGAGAAGATGGCTCCGAGCGCTTCTGCGTCTTCGACACTCTGGCTAGCTCCTTGACCCTGGGTCGGAAGCATCGGGTGGCTTGCATCGCCAATGATGATGGTGCGTCCTTTATGCCATGTCTTCAGAGGATCCTAAAAGACAGCTGTCAGTGAAAACCCTCCTGAAGTTGGCTTCGACTCACAAGATCACGCAACTGCCACAGGCCAACTTCGGTGCAGTTCTTGAAGACAGCCCTTGCCCAAGGGGGGAATACTTTGAAAGTTTCCCTGAGCTTTTCGGGATCTCCCTTGGTCGTCCAGGACTTGCCTTCTGCATTCTCTTGCATTTGATCTGCTAACTATTAGCAACGGCTTCGCACCAAACGAGACAGCTCACGTACCATCTGGGACCATTGCAACAATGCTGTAAATCGAACCATTTCTAGCAGGGCCCATGATGATTCTTCGGTCATGGCCCATTATCATCGTGGTGATTGACTCTTTGGGGTCGATCACGGATGTGAAGTCTTTGTCTTGCTCGAGTTCCGAGCTGTCAATAATGAGTCGGTACGCTACTTAAGATTAGCTGCTGCAAGATGCGGTAAATACTGTATGTGGGCTCACCCGACAATCCGGTGGGTATCGCGGGGGCCTCCTTTCCAATGACAGCCTGTCTCAGGACACTCTTACTGCCATATAAAGTAAGTCAAAACCGGATATGAGGAAGGGCGGTAACTTGGAGGTGATACGTACATGCCGTCGGCACCTACGACCAGGTCTCCAACGATCTCCTCGCCGGACTCAAGCTTCACAACACCAGCGTCTGGGTCACAACTCGCGACCACGCAACCAGTACGGACAATCACTGGGCCGTCATCTGGTGTTTCTCTTGTTGCAGCTTCTTTGAGTGCATCATGCAGATCAACCCTTGGCAGTCAGTTTCTGCATCTTGACTTGATACCGCTCTTCGCCTACCTGTGGTAAACCATGCGTTCCTACGCGGCCGGTCAGTTATCATTGAAAGAATGGCTCTTGTGCAGTGATGGATTTACTTACGGCTCCATAATTCTTCTTGAGATGAAATGGGATCTCGGCGTGAAGTTTGCCGTCGGTGTCATAAATGCAGAACTGGTGAGAACATCAGCGCCGTGTAGTTGGATATCTCGTGGTCTATCAATGCGCACCGCCTTGTCGGCCATGGAGCCCTTCTTGGCAAGTGAGTCTTCGAGGCCCCATTCCTTCTCAACGATTCTGCAAACCGATAGTTAGCTAAATGAAAGGAGGTAGCCATGTTCAGCAAGGCGAAGGCAAACGCACTTCGAAGCATTCGGCTGTAAGCTGTGGTATCAAGTCAGCCACGTCGCCTTAATCGTTACAGGGATAGGCTCATAGCAGCCTCGTTCGTGGAGTCCTACGATATTGTTGCACCAATTTCCTTGTTCAGATGACTTTGTTCTAACACAGTGATGTGCCGATTCGGCCCACGCAACGCGATGGCCTGCAGATATTAGCAATGATGTGTCGATGACTTGGCAAGGGCTCAACATACCGAGGAGAGGCCTGCAATCCCGCCACCGACGATGACAATGTTAAATGTACTAGTATTGGCGGCCATGGCGATATGCTGTAGCAAGTCACTGAAGGTATGCCGAGTAACAACGCCCAGAGCACCCTAGCAAGATCAAATACGAATCCTGACCAAGACTCGACGAAACAGAATGGATTAGAGACAATCGGAAGATGCAGACTGCTCCGAGGGAAGTCATATGCCTACCGCATCCTCGCTCATGGTAATCATCCTTCAATCAATGGCCGTCCACTTGCCGACGACCCACCGGAGTCGGCACGCGTGCCATGGCAATGTGGAGAAAGTTCAGGGGTACTTATTTCGCAGTGAAATCCGAACCGAACAAACCGAACCGAGGATTTGGAGGGGCCCCAGTGTAAGTCACCACGGGCGACCGTCGTCGACCTCGGAGACTTGGAGGAACCCCCGGGTGCAAGGAAAGCTATTGTTCAGGAGGAAATTTTGTGGCAAAAATCATGCCTTGATCCAAGATATCAATAAGAGCCGCGATCGTCTAACCCGAGTCAGACTTTTCGCAACAGCTCTGCAGCAGTCCAAGACGCACTTGCATTGGCATACGCACATCAACTACATCCAACATGGCCACCACTACCACCATCACTGAGCAGCCCAGCGCTCCCATCACGGCCGTCGACGATGGTCGCATGAAGATGGATGGCTCAGACCCGACGTTTGGTGACTGGAGAGATGACCTTCTTCGCGATGGCTATGCCTTGATCAAGGGTGCCATCCCGAGAGAGCGTGCCGATGGCTATGCCGACAAGATGTACTCAGTCCTTGAGTCGTTGTAAGTAAATATCGCCCTCTAGGAAAAGCTCGAAAGCTGACCAACTTGGCAGTGGTCTTGGATACGACCGCAACGACCCGTCTACCGTTCACCCCGACAAGCTTCCCGTCATCAACGAGAAGGGCATGCTGATGGCCTACGGCGCCTGCCACGAAGACTTCGTCTGGAGCATCCGTAGCGAGCCTGGAGTTGTTGGACCCTTCGAGCAGGTCTACAACACCGAAGACTTGATTGTCTCCTTCGACGTCATCAACTATGGCTTCGCCAACCGCGCCAACTTGCCGGAGAACAAGCCTTGGCCTCACCAGGATCAAGTAGGTGCTGGACAAATTCAAGACAAGAGCGACTACTGACCCCATAGCAGGATCCCGAGAAGCCCGGATTCCGCTGCCTCCAAGGCCTCGTCAATCTCCACCCTTGCGGTCCCAATGACGGCGGTCTGATTGTCTGCAAGGGCTCTCACAACCTCAGCGCCCAGTTCCACGAAGAGCTCAAGGACGAGCCTCGCATCCCCGCTTGGACGAAGGAGTGGTACGGCTTCACCGACCGCGGCATGCAGTGGCTCAAGGACCATGGCGGCGAGTGGATCAAGGTCTGCGCCGACCCCGGTGACTTGATTGTCTGGGACTCCCGAACCGCACACTACAACGTCCCTGTCAAGGGCGAGATTGACCGCATGGCTGTTTACACCTGCTTCATGCCCGTGACCGACGCTACTCAAGAGGATCTCTTGAGGAAGAAGGCCGCATACGAAGGTAAGATAGTATTATTCCGCATGTAATTGGACATATCACTGATCTCTTGCCTGCGTAGCCCGCCTAGGAACTACCCACTGGCCCAACGCCAGACACACCGGCTCGAATGCTGCAGTTCGCAACGGAAAGCCCGATCACATTTTGAGGGACAGGCCACTGAACGACGCGGTTTTGAGTGAGAGAGCTTTCAAATTGACCGGAATTCCCTATATCCAAACAAGCGCATGAGCCAAAAACGGGCTCTTCTGGCTTCATCTTCATGTATTCAAAACACATTGTCATTCGCTAGCATAGTGTACAAGAACAAGACTGTTATCCTTCAAACCATTGTCTCACCAGTGAAAACTGTGATAAAAATCGAACTTCGAGCAGGGCAAGGCCTGCAAAGTGCCTCATTGCAACATCCATCGCCAACAAGGGCACTTGCCTTCAACAGACACACATGCAGTACTCTTCAACGATGCATTGGCGCACGCATTGTCAATCACCGTATTCCGAGTCTTGCTCCGAGGATTTCGCGTCAAGATCCGAAGATCCTGGCTCTTTCTTTATGGCATCGCCTTCCGTGAAGAATTCCCGAGTCCGCGGGTGTGGTAGCTGAGAACAACATTAGCCCAAACCGTACCGAGCTGCTTTTGCCATCCGAAATGAGCCCAATCACGAAATATGCCATCGCGACTCTATTCAATAGTTGCCACATAGCAGGGGAAAGCATATCCGCGATGATCCGTTCTTGGCCAAGGGCGAAGGCACTGATAAGACAATAACAAAGACGTCGCTTTCCGAACCGAAGCGTCGTGTCCAGTGTGGCACAGCAATCAGACCGAGGACTCCAACTCCGGGGTGCCGTGAGGGGCATTCTGCTGGGCCTCCCCTTGTTTGGCTAGTCTTCCCCGCAAACCAGCTGAATGGGTACGGAGCGCCGAACGACACTAGCGACTGACCCAAGCCCGGGGCCCCTCTCTCACAATCATCTGCACCCCAGCTTCCCCAGTCCGTACCCCACGCCGAATCTTGGTGAAGGCTGGGGTAAGGGGGGAGAGACACAGCCAAGGAATCAGACACGTAGAGACGAGCGTCGTTGAAGCATGTCGAGTTCGGCAAATGGCAACGTCGACATTTGTCAGGTAACATCAATCACAGAAATAGACCCATCTTCCCCGGATTGTCTCTGGATGGGGAGTTCTGATCAACATCCTCATTTCACAGTCCTAATTTGAAGGACAGAGGACAGAACACAGTCATCCATAGGGATACCCAAGTTCCTCGTTTCATTTGAAATTCCACTATCAATAGCTCAAAGTTCTTCAAGATGGGCGAAACAGACAGCAAGATCACCGAGGAGAGAGTCGAATCCGCCGACTTCGCCCAAAAGCCCCCGATTGAGGATGGAACTTACAAGCCTAACGTCCAGTTGGCTGATGGAGACGTCACATATCTCATCCCGACTCCGAGTTCTGACCCTCGAGGTAAGTTATCTCGATGTATTCAGCTTGAAAACCGAGTTGAACGCTGGATTGGGAAGCAAGGAACTGACTTGACACCTTCTCAGACCCTCTCAACTTGAGCAAGCTGAGAAAATGGGTAAGTTATCCAAATCACAGCGAAACGATAACATGACGATGTACTGACCACATCTTACAACAGATCATTACGATGACCTGCGCTACCTTTGCCGCCGTTGGCCTAGTACAAGTTTCCGGACTCGGTGCACTCCTCGGCGAGTTTATCCCACAATACGCAGCGGAAGGACATGGCAGCTATGAGGACATCTCACACCTGATGACATACCCATCTCTCTTCATGGGACTGGGTAATCTCATCGGTATGCCTCTGGCCCTTGCCGTTGGCCGTCGACCTGTCTTCCTTGGATCCTGCGCCCTGGCTGTTTTGGGATCCATCCTCTGTGGCACAGCCAAGACTTACAACTCCCATCTCGCTGCTCGCATGATCCTCGGTCTAGCGGCTGGACAGAGTGAGGCTCTTTGCCCTTTGATGGTTCAAGAAGTTCACTTCCTTCATGAGCGAGCCCGCTGCTTGATGTGGTTCACCCTATGGCAGTCTACCCTCAGCGGGGTCTACACCCTCCTCACATCTTATATCGCCGCCGGTATTGGTTCTTCCGGGTGGTACTTTCTCGGGGCCGGCATCGCTGCTTTAACCTTCCTCTTCGCCATCTTCATGGTGCCCGAGACCAAGTATGATAGACCCCTTGCTGCCTACCAGGGTCAGGAAGCCTCGGTATCTCGCTTCGTCACTGCTCATGCCCCGGGTGTCGATGATACCACTGGTGTCTACACCGAGATGCTCACCCGCAAGACAACCACTGAGCCTCGCGAACTCGACTTTGTCAACTTCAAGCCCCGCACATTGGCCTCCGACATCCGCATTCTTAACCAGAAACCCGACTGGAAGGAGGGTTGGCAATGCTGCACCGGCATGGCTATTGTCACCTTCTTCCCTGACATGATGTGGGCCCTACTTCTGAACGGCCTTACAATGTAAGATGCAGCCCGGGCGTTTGCCAACCTACCCACAAAGTTTCAGTATACTGTCACTAACGTTTTCTTCTCGACAGCGGCGTCAACATCGCACTTGGCACCACGTATGGAGCTATCTTGCAGGCAGCCCCCTACAGCTGGAGCTCTTCCGTCGTCAGCTTCGCCTTGACCGGCCAGATCGTCGTCGCCTTCCTGGCTCTGCCTCTTCTTGGCCGCGGCTCAGATTGGATCATTCAATACTTCGCTCGTCGCAACGGCGGCATTCACAAGCCCGAGTACCGCCTCATTCCTCTCATCATCCCCGTCATCGTGGGCACGCTCGCCTCCATCCTTTATGGCCAGGCGGCGGCGCACCCGGAGAGGTTCCATTGGTTCGCCATCGTCTTCTCCATCAACGCTTACTACTTTGGCTTCGTGGGAGCAAACCAGGTCGGAATCACCTACGCCCTTGACGCCTACCCAACCCGCTCTGGCCCTGTGCTTGTCATCATCTGTGCCATGCGCGGTGTCATTTCCTTCGGCACTAGTTACGGAGTAACGCCGTTTGTGAACTCTATTGGATACGATGGAGCTTTTGGAGTTTACGGTGGGCTGACTGCTGCCCTTGGGGCTGTCGGAATCTTTGTCTTTATTTGGGGCACTCAGATCAGAGCCATGGTTGCGAAGTGGGCTGTTGCGGAGACGAGCGCTACTCCGTCCTACAACCACTAGCATGACCTCATGGCTTTGAAGGCTAAGATACCGACTGCGACTTGAATTTGCTGAAGCTTGAGAAGTGGTACTACGATATGGTCAGACAAGGTCAAAGACAAAGTTGGCCATGGAAAGCCGAATCTCGAATGGAGAGTCAAGACAGATATTGAAATATTGAGCATTATTGAATTGACCGTTTGCTGATTGAATGACGATCCATGGACGTATCACGATATTTAGCAATGATACCCTCGATCCCTAATTGCGAGCAAATAGCCTGAACATTGTTGTTGCTATTGAGCGAAGCACAACGCATTGGAGCCAGTCTGTCTTAGAATTGTTCCGCTGCGCTAGTGTTGAGTGATAATTTTGTGGACTTCGACGCCGTATTGACTGTCTAGACATTCCAAGAAATGGGTCACGTCGTCTCCCGGCGAAGCAGTCGAATCATTCATATTCACAACTTCCGCAAACGAAGTATGACTGCACAAAGCTATGACGACCAATTTCTTCAGGATATCCAATTATAAGTGATTTCTACATATGAGTGCTATCATTGAATAAACGGCAAGATAATCCGACTCTGATGTTCCGCACCGCAGTGGATAAAATGCTCGCCCTTATTCCTTTCATGCTCGGGCCGCTCGGTCGAGAAGGCCTTGTACTCCGCAATAGAGGGAAATTGCCCGCCAATCTGAACTTGTACAGACTCGCCGGCCTCGTAGTCCACACCCATAGCCCAGATGCCAATCTCCAGCTCTACAATCTCGCCAGGTGGAATCTTCTGCTCCTCGTCATGCGGATGGAAGGGGAACTGGGGATGAATCGAACGCGACGGGTCGATCTTGCGGTGCGATGCCCTCAGCTGGCCAACCGAGCCAAGGTGCAGGTTCGTACTGCTTCGCTCCTTCGGGGCGATGTCATGAATCGACTTGACGGGGGCTGCCCAGAATGGGAAGCACAGATGCATCATTGGGTTGCCGTCCTTATCGAGCTTGCGGATGTTGACAAAGACGTTCATGTCGTCGTGAGAAGGGCAAGACACGTAGAGAACTGCTTTGGGAATGCCAATCAGGCGCGAGGGCTTGTCGAAGGTGTATGTGAACTTGGCTAGGGAGTTCCCGTCCTCGGAGTTGTACGACGCCTTTAATGCACTTGCTGGGACTGACTCAGACAAGGCGCCGTTCTCGAGGTAGAAGTTCTTGTATTCGGTATTCGGAGGAGGGAAGTCTTCGAAGAGGATATCGCTTTCGGGCTCTCGGTCGCCGAACTTGAGGGATGTCCAGCGAACCTTGGGTGTCTTCTCCCAGTCGTTTTCGATGCCTTTCAGGTACCTATCAAAGAATTTCTTTGCAAAACATCAGTCATCTGCGAAAAAGGGGTCCAGGCTCTTGAAGACTTACTGCAAGATCTTCGTTCGTCTCGGGAACGCTATAGAGATCAAACCACTCCTGCCAAGCGCTCCAGCGAATCCACTTCTTTTCACAGCCCAGCTCCATGAAACCTCTGATGCTGCCCATAGTGTGGATGGAGCTGAAGTCGGATCCCGAGATGTATGCAGGAATGTTGATGGCCTTCATGTTTGCGCGCTTGTCCTCCCACCAGATGTTGGACAAAGGGCTGCGGCGGTACATCTCGGCAAAGTCCTCAACACCTGAAGTTCCCTTGATGATCAAGCTTGTGATGAGGTCGAAGTTGCTCATGGAGAAAATGCCGCCCCTGACAAACTGCTCGCGGAACAGATCGCCGCTCGCCTCCCAAGGTGCGATGGCCTTCAGCGACGGAGGATTGAGGGAGGCTACGTGCCACTGAGCGATGGCAAGGGCAGAGTTGCCAGCCATGCCGACGCTGCCATTGCACCAATCCATCTTGGCGATGGCCTCAATGACATCGTATGCGTCCTCAGCATCCTGCAGACCCATGATGGGGACCTGGCCGTCGCTGTTGCCAGCACCTCTGCTGTCGACGCTAATGATGGCGTAACCCTTGGGGCACCACCTCTGAGGATCCAGGCCCTCGAATTTCTCAAGTCCACTGAGATCGCTCTTCTTGACGCAGCAAGACCACGGCGTCATAGGCAACATCGTCAAAGCGCTGTACTTCTTGCCGTAGGGAGACCAGCCGACGATGGCCGGGATCTTCTCCGTCGCGTCCGCTGGGCGGTACACGTCGATGTAGAGTCTGCACCCATCTCGGACCTTGATTTCAACGTCGTGGTCGATTCGAATGTCGCTCTCGAGAGGCTTCGCGTTGTACCCGTTCCAGCCCTTGGGAAGGACTTCGGTGCGGCCCGGGGTGAAGCCTTGATAATTGTTGACTCCGATTTCCGGCTTGCCAATCGGCTTGTGCGCGATCTGAATTGGGAGCGGCATGATTGGAGAATGTTTGATTAGCTGGGGTCTTGAATGGGAATGTACAATCTCCTGAAGCTGAATCTCTAGTACAGGGTGTTGCCAAAGTGGCGCTTTTTATTGAACGCGCCAGAATATCTTCTTCATCCTATCAACGACACGAATTGCTCAGCGCGACGCGTAGCTCACTGCTTCGCGGGTCAGGGACCTCGGTCTATTGCTGCCCGTTGCGGGGATGGTGTCGGAAACATGTCGAGCCAAGCCAGATTTCGTGGGGTTAGACCGCGGGGTTAGATCCGGTCCAGATCCGTTCGGTTTAGAAGCGGCCGCCGGCCCCACTCCCGTGTCGAAAAGGGGTCCTTGCAGCACCCCGAACCGAACCGAACCGAACCGAGTCCACTTCTTACGCCCACGGCCAGAACACGAGACCGAGGCGAGGTTGGTAGACCGAGCCGGATGGGGCTGGGGGAGGAGTTCGAGACGAGGTCTGACCAGGGTAAGCTGGAGAACGCGGGGATCACGGACAGGGGCGCATCTGAGAGCTTCAGATCGCAGACAGTGCAGCATGTTATGGCTTTGACTGGAGTTGCATATAATGAAAGACGGGATTCTTAGATTTCAGCATCAATCTCGCAACATTGATCTCTATCATACCATTAAACATCAGTCAGAGCTCAGAAGTACATTTTCTTGATCTCCCATATCAACCAAAATGTCAAAGTCCCTCCTCGAGTCAAAGGCTAACTACGGCGACTGGCGCGACCACTTCTTCGAACATGGCTACGCCATCCTTAAGAACGCTATTACTCCTGAGCGAGCTGAGTACTACAAACAGAAGCAGATCGACTGGCTCAAGTCCTTCAACCGCGGATTCGACCCCGACAATGAGGACACCTGGACATCGGAGCATCTCCCCGTCTCCTTCAAGGGAGGTATGTACGGGTCTTACTGCGCCCCACATGAGCGATTCGCTTGGGAAGCCAGACTGTGAGTGATCTATTCTGGAGAACGGCATGGACTTGGCCAAGACAGGGTTGCTTGCCGGATCTGGCTGACATTTTTGTAGGGAGCCTGGCGTCATCAACCCGTTCATTCACATTTGGGAAACTGAGGAGCTCCTCGTGAGCTTCGACATGTTCAACGTTACTCTCCCACGGCAGAAGGACCTCAAGTGGTCTCCGTGGCCTCATTGCGGTACGTTTATAATTTGCCACATGAGGGTCTCCAGTTTCTAACTCATTGAATAGATCAAGATCCTAAGCGAAAGGGGCTTCAATGTGTCCAGGGACTGCTGAACTTCGCCCCGAACGGCGATAAGGACGGTGGTCTAATTCTCATGAGCGGATCAGCTAAGCTATACGACCAGTTCTTCCAGGAGACTCGTGTGATGGCTGCTCATGAAGATGCTCCTCCTCCCGAAGAGAACTACAGGGATCTGTTCATCTTCAAGGAGGAAGACGTCAAGTGGTTTGAGGACCGCGGCTGCAAGCTGATTAAGCCGAACCTCGAGCCCGGTGACCTGGTGTTGTGGGACTCTCGGTATGTATTTCCATTGATTCCTGTGAGAAGTTGGCTAATAGATGATTGCCAGCTCCATGCACTACGCCAAGCACCCCGAGGGCACACAGATTCGCCATGCCCAATATGTCTGCTTCACCCCTGCCAAGTTCGCCGACCCTCAGAGTATCAAGGAGAAGGCCGATATCTTCAGAGCGTGGGGAGGAACCACTCACTGGCCTCACACGAACATTCATCCCCAGGGCAAGGCCAAGAGGGATGGTGTGATTGATCCGCAGGAGCGTGAAGAGCCATTAGAGAAACCGGTGATCACGGATAGGTTGCTGCAATTGGCGGCAGTCAAGGCGTATTAGTATTAGATTCAAGATGTGTGAGTAGCAATTGAGCATTCATCAGAAGTCATAAGTCCAAGAATTGCTATATCAGTTCCGAACATTTTGATTTTTTGATACGTTGTCTTTGAAACCAGACGCAAAGGGTAGGACTTGAATGCTCGTCGGCCATATCAGACACGTCATCGTTGGTAGAGTGGACATAGTCAAAGATATCATGACCATAATTCAATAAATGTTGCGCAATGCGTTCTCTGCATCTTCATCGGGGGAAACGCGTTGAACGGAGGGTGTTCTTACATGAAGAACTGGAACTAGCTTGGGGAACCCTGTAAATGTTTGCGATGTCACACTGCTGCAAATGACCAGCTCACGTGTAGCCAACTACTGAGATGAATGCTGCACATCCCTGAATGCATCGAAACATGGACTCTTCAACACGTCGCCAGTTTCCACCGAGCATGCAACGAAACAGATCCACAACTGCAGCAAGGAATGAAACCGGCTTTGATCAGTGATCAGCCATTAATAATTACGACGCCTCCAGTGGCCACTACCCGAGGCACATTGCCGCGGACCCCCGCCCCCGGATTGCGCAGGGCGGGGTCGCAGCGAACATGGGTCATTTGGGGGGTTTCTCCCCCTTCCCCACAGACTGGTCACATAACCTGGGGAAAATGCAAGGTAAACTATTCGGTTCAGCTTGTTGAGTTTTCCTGGCAGATGCATACCCCCAGGGACCCTTTCTCCGTGTCTCCAAATCTTTCCGTTATATACCCAGCCTGCCATTGAGACACATCCGAGCCCGACCGAGGAGTCTCCAAAGTCTCTCCCGTTCCGCCTCGGAGTCGAGCACCGGCCATGAACAGCCCTTCCTCTGCTGCAATGGCGGACTCGATGTCAAGCTCCAGCGAACAGCCGCCGATCACATCGAACGATAACCAGTCACACCCGAAGCGCATACGCCTCTCCCTGGCATGCAATCAATGTCGAAAGCGCAAAGTGCGCTGCGACGCCCAGACGCCCAAGTGCCATAACTGCATCCTCCGAGGGGATGACTGCCAGACTACCAATCCTCGCAATCCAAAAGAGAATGCAGTTCGGAGATGGGCATCTAAGAGCAATGCCACTCGGAGTGAAAGCAGCATACCAGAAGGCTCCGAGCCGCCCCGTGATCGTCACCTCCGGACGGTATCTCCAAGGCCACGCCAATATCTATCGCCGTCCTACGAGGATGGCTCTGAGGGCGAAGATGCCGCCTCGCGCCGGCTTTCATGGGTCGCGCAAGCGTACCGAGCCAACGTCCGAGATAATGACAGCGGCCATGCACCCCACGACCACTCGGATCTCAACCCTGACATGGCCCTGAACACGGACGAAAGTCCCCATCGGCTCAAGTTCATGGGTGGCAGCAGTGTGCAGTCGCTTACCATGTTCGCCGACTTGTTCTTTCGCAAACGCGGTCTTCGGACCCTGTCGCCTTACTTCCGGTTCGGCATGCACCACGTGGAGGAATTCCAAGTTCCCCTGACACTGCAGCTGCCATCGCTTCCACCTCTGTCGGCACTGGATGCGTACCTGGACGTGTACATGAAGCGGATATTTCCTCTCTTTCCCGTCTTTGATGAGCCTACCTTCCGCTCGGACATGGGCCAGTTGGTCTCGCTTCAGGATGCCGATCCCTCTGGCGGGATCCAAAACGCTATCGACCTGTCACAAGTACCGACACTTGTCTGCATCTACTCTATCATCTGCATCAGTGCAGATGAGGAGACAGGTACAGTAACAGAGATCGGGACGCACTTTCTCACCGCTGCATATAGCCTTCTGGCCCATGTCATCTCAACGCCATATCTGGCTTCAGTCCAGGCTCTGGTCCTTCTCACTCTTGCCCTCCGTGGCCGAAGCAAAGAAGGACAGGGATGGCAGACTCTTGGTCAAGCCATCAGAATAGCCCATTCCATCGGTCTTCACAGGCACGCCTCAACAAGACACATGAAGAGCCCTCCCCCAGCAACGGCCAACTCGGCCCCATCTCCAGGTTATCAAGGCTGCAGAAAGCTTCACAGTCAGCTCTGGTGGACTTGCTACACCCTTGAGAAGCTGATGCAGCTGGAGACAGGTCGCCCAAGCGCGATTCACGACTCAGACTGCGACCAGACATTGCCCGAACCGGTGCCTGTTCCTGCGGCTGGCATAGCCGTCTCCATCGGATCCTCTCCAGAAGGGCAAGCCGACCGCCAGGTGATCGACTACTTTCAGCCGTGGGCCTCATTGACACGCATAATCAGCAGTATCAGTGGTCATATCTACCGCCGGTCTGGCCAAGCACAAACTCCCCGCATCCTTCTCGGCGACACAGTCCGTCTCGACTCGGCCCTCACAGAGTGGGCTCAGTCATTGCCCCCTGAGATCCGTCCTCCCGGACCAAACAGTGGAAACGTAATACTATGCGAGACGGGCCACAAACATCTTGCCATCTTTCTTGCAATCCACTACCACCACGCTCTGATATCTCTCCACCGAGCCGCACTCGTGTTCCCGGAAGCCATGTACCGAACCCACATCAACTCCCAAGCAGACTCGACCAGCATCTCAGCCGTTGAACTCAGCCGCCTTAGACGTGGTGCAGAGATCTGTATCGGCTCTGCAAGGGCTATTGTGAGACTAGTCGGCGAAATCGCCGACGACTCAACGCCGACACCGCGAACCAGAGGAGGCATGCTCGGAGAACCACACATCAACCGTTCCGAATCGGTGATCTTCACGATCACACAACCTCTCATCTCTGCTGTTGCTCTGGCGCTTCATATACTAAAGCAGCCCGGTTCGCGCCTCGCACGGTCAGATCTCGAGCTTTTGGGCATAGCAGCGCAGTACGCAGAAGAGCAGTACACCAAGGTCACACAGAACCCCCGCTTCATCCAAGCCTGCTCCGTCTTGCAGTCAAACATGTCCGAGATTGTGTTCTCGCAGCACGGCCAAGGACAAGGCAGCTATTCTCATCACAGCCACCGGGGTTCCATCGCATCTGACAACATGGCATGGAGAGGGGAGGACCAGACTCCAACGGAGACCTCCAGCGCCGGGAATATTGCCGCGGAGATGGACATAATGGATCTGGAACTACCAGACCTGACGGGCATGTTCACTGAAATCGGTAACACTGACATCTTCGGAGGCGTCAGGCTTGAGGATCTTTGGGGAATGTTAGGCGCGCCCGCAGACGGGCAGTTAACCGATGGTTCGGAAGGATCTTGGTCGCGGTCTTGAGGCAGGCGTCGGGTAATCGGCGTGGGCGTATTTATGAAACGTATGTATGATTGACGCATCGGGCATAGGTCCTGGTAATAAACATTCTTAGTGCAAGTTTTGTATGCAGTCATTGGCAAAGGCTCCTTGTGCTCAATGGCCTCATCACCGGTGAAAGTAAACCTTGAACCAGAAGAAACAGCTGAAAAGTGACCGTCTACCCGACAGCATGGTCCGATGCCGACAGCCGCAGAGACATTCCCGACAACCTGGAAGAGACACTCGTTAGCGCTTCTTTTATGCTTCTTGGCGCTAATATCATTCGTGGCGGCGGGGAGCTGCCAGTCGACTTCCGGCGATCCAACAAAGGCGGCAGCATAAAGCAACATCTTTGGCTGGCCGGCGAATTACCCAAAATAGCAGTCTGGGGTGTTCTGGCCGCCACCTCGATGGTAAGACATCAGCCAGCTCTACCCGATTGCCCATTGCGTACTGCATGGCATTTGTCTCACCGAGTGTTCAACGCCCTTGGCGCGCAGCGATGGAGTGGCTTTTTGCTCCCTTTGTCTTGCTGGACCTTTTCAAGTCGGACAGAGCCGCGAGAAACTCTCGACTGGTCATTTCTGCATCTTTCGTGGACATCGAAACGAAGATGCATTCCCTTGTAGCAGCGGCACTTATTTTCATCCTGGTCCCAGTGTTGATCTGGCACTTCATCGTCTATCCGCTTTTCTGGTCTCCTCTGGCATCCATTCCAGCAGCTCATCCGTTATGTCATATCACATCGCTCTGGATTCACTGGAAACGACTCCGCGGACAAGAGTACGAATGCGTATCGGAGGCCTTCCTCTCAAAGGGCCCTTATGTGCGCCTTGGTCCTCGTGAGGTTGCCGTCAACGACATCGAAGCCGTCCGGAATGGCTGGGGCGTGGGATCGTCCAGCTTTGATAAGCACCACTCTTATACGTATTTCGGAACTCATGGGTTAGTGAGACTTTCTCATGTGCTGCTAGGTCCGACTGACACTTATTACTTCAGCATTACCAACACCTTCACAACGCTCGGGAGCAACGAGCATCGAGGACGTCGCCATCGTCTCCGGATTGCTCACTCTCGTCAGTTTTTGATGAAATCGCCTGATGTGCAATGCATCCTCGCTTCTCTCGTGCAACAGAAGCTGTACCCTCTGCTGGCTGACGTCGCCTCATCCAAAGATGGAACTGCTTCCATAATGCCCTTGGCTCAATCCTTCGCCCTCGACTACGTGTCGGCGTTTGCATTCGGGCTGTCTCTTGGCCACGACTTCCTCAAAGATCGTATCGCCTACAATCAGTGGTTTGCTTTGAACAACGACTGCTACCCGGGTGGTTTCCTCGGCTACCTCCTCAAGGAGCACCCGCGACTCGTGGAATTTGCTCGTCGGCTAGGTGTGCCGATCCTGTCTAAGACCTATGTCAATGCTCGTCGGGAGCTGGAGACATGGGCGCTCCGGAGAGTTGATGCTGCCGAAGACCTGCTACAGTCCCGTATGCAAGGTTCAGAGCCTGCACCGGGTGACCTGCCCGTGTTGTACGATGCCGTCAGGACAGCTATGGCACAGCAGAGCGGTGTCAAGAATGCTGATTTTGTACCATCGGCGACTCAGAGGCTTGAACTGGCCAGCGAGTGTCTGGATCACATCAGTAAGTTGTCTCAGATCTTCCCATCAACACAGCGCTAACAGACGATAGCCTCATCGGGAGAAACGTTTGGTACTACCTTCACCTATATGCTATGGGAGCTTTCCCGACACCCGGATATTCAAGCTGCGCTTCATGTCGAGCTCTCGTCTCTCAAGCAGCCTCTCAGCGAAAGCAATTTGCCCGAATCGCGGGATCTTGAGCAGCTAGAGTTGCTCAACGGCATCATCAAGGAAAGTCTGCGTCTGCGGAACACGGCGCCCGGTCTGGACCCGCGCGTAAGTCCTGCGCACGTCACAAGCAAGTTCGGCAAGATCGATGAACTCCCCAGCCACACGCGAGTCGGGACCTACGGCAGACATCTCAACCGCAACCCAGATGTTTACCTGGATCCTGAAGTTTGGAGCCCGTACCGCTGGGTGTCCAAGGAGCCTAAGGACTTGGCCGCGATGAACAGGTGGTTCTATGCTTTTGGTTCAGGGCAGCGAGGATGCATTGGGCAACCCATTGCCATGGAATGTAAGTACCAGTTCTCACTCTGTCTATGCTTCTGTCACTAACAAACGCGTAGTACTGCGCATGGGGATCGCATCCATCTATACCAGCTTCAAGACAAGCGTGGCGGACGAGACGGAGTATCCAGGTACCGAATGTATGAGCGCCGCATGCACAGAGACGTTGTTGCTGCGCTTTGAGAAAGTGCCTTCGGAGCCATGATTGCTCAGGGTCTCAGCTCTCGTGGGCGGGCATCCATGAAGAGGGTTCTTTTCTGTCATGACCATACTTAATTAAAATAATTCAAAGAAGTAAAATCAAATAAAATTCAAGAACACCTGCACACTATATGACCTAACATAATTCAATGCCGTCGGTGTTGTCCTATGTCCCGACATTTCTTGACTTAAGCATATGTTCGACTTGACAAATTCTATGACAAGCACGCTCACAGAATCGGGTTATAAACATACGAGGTCACAACTGGGGTGGTTTATGTTAAACTTCGCTAACCAACCTTCGAGCACAGCCATCAACTCCTGGCCCACGTTCGAGCCCTGTTCTATTGTGTGACAACAAACGCCCAGGCCGCTATGAGGTTCGTCTGTTTACCGAGTCAGTCGCATTGGGACGGATTGTAGGGGGGATTTGCGAGTACCATCAACTGAATCGACTGGCGCTCAATTTGTTTGGGTGAGCCTTTCTTGACACGAGTAGGTATCCCGGCACAGTGGATCCCAAAAGGTCCAATGAATGCAACTTTAGGTGGACTTTCTCCTCTTGAGATACGGCGAAGCCGAGTTGTGAAAGACTCTGGTTTATGGACAGTGCACGAATAGTGGGCTGTTGAGAATAATCATGTCACCCACTAAACTATCTTAAAAACAAAGCCGGTGCGCCGTGTCTGGTTCAAAGCTGTCTTCGCCTCTCTTTCCTGGAACGTCGTACCTGTGCACCTTCACTCGCTACATCTCTCCATTCGTTTCCTGCATTGTGGATTTTGTCGCTCGGGTCAATCTTACGCTCTTTCAGACCAGGTTCAGACAGTTCTTACCCACAGTGATCTTCCAATTTACTCGAAAAGCGAATCTCAAAAGTCAACGAACCTGAGTCGCTCATCATCATGCGCTTCTCCGTCGCCACGTTGGCGGCCTTGGCCCTTGTGGACCACGCCACAGCCGATCTGCACTCTCTTGCGGTAGCAGCAGGAAAGAAATATTTTGGAACGGCCACGGACAACAACGAGCTTGCAGACTCGTCATACACTGCCATCACCAAGGTTGTGGGGAACTTCGGCCAGATCACGCCTGGGAACGGGCAGAAATGGGACTCCACCGAGCCTACGCAGGGCAAGTTCCAGTACGCGTATGCCGACGTGGTGCCCAACTTCGCCAAAGCAAATGGACAGATCCTCCGGTGTCACACGCTGCTGTACCGGTCTCAGATTCCTTCCTGGTTGACCGGCGGATCGTGGACCAAGGATTTGTTGACGGCTGTTATCAAGACGCATATCGAAAACCTGATTGGCCACTACAAGGGTCAGTGTTACTCATGGGACGTAGTCAACGAAGCCATCGACGACTCAGGCAACTACCGCGACACGGTGTTTTACACCGTTCTCGGCCTCGATTATCTGACGCTCGCTTTCAACACGGCACACGCTAGCGACCCTGCAGCCAAGCTGTACTACAACGACTACAACATCGAGAACCCCAACGCGAAGCAGAAGAAGACGGTCGAGCTGGTCAAATACGTCCAGGACGCCGGTGCGCCGATCCACGGAGTTGGTCTGCAGGGGCACTTCCTCGTTGGCAGCATGCCCAGCCAGGAGGACCTCGAGTCCGCCGCCAACTCTTTCACCGCGCTAGGGGTTGATGTTGCCTACACTGAGTTGGATGTCAAGTTCACCAGCTTGCCCTACACCGGTGCCGGTCTTCAGTCTCAGGCCGAAGCCTATGTTTCTGTGATCAAAGCTTGTCTCAATGTCGAGCGCTGCGTGGGCTGGACCGTCTGGGACTGGACGGATAAGTATAGCTGGGTGCCAAACACGTTCCCTGGCCAGGGCGGCGCATGCCTCTACGACAACAACCTCAAGCCCAAGCCGGCTTATACTGCTGTTCGTTCTGCTCTTGCTGCTGCTGCCAAGAAGGCGTAGTGTCCAAGGCTTCAACTGCCGTAGCTATCAACGGCACTTCTGCTATCCAGGCCACACCCCTTGCCCGCTTGAGCGCTATCGCGTCCGCTACGCTCAAGACTCTCTTTTCTTCCCAAAGCGTGAGGATTACCCATGCATTTCGACCATGAATGCCAGGGCTTTTGAGCGGTTCAAGTAGCCATAATATTGTATAATCACAGTAATAAGACACAAACCAGATGGAAGATGGAGCCTTACGCATTTTGCTTCAAATGCTGTATATTATATTGCACTCTCAAGAAGCTGTAAAGCTTTCGACCAACTTCAGCCTCCAAGCTCCGCGCCCTTGATACAGTGACATATTCGCAGCTTCAACAATGCTATAAGAGCTCGTGTATTTGAAGAACGACTTGCTAAATCAAACAGAATCCATTGAACCGAATTGCGCGACAGTACATGTAGTAATCTAGCTAAGCTATGCGGGCCCTAGATCTTGTGTTGAGAAATCAAGCTAGCTTGTCTGTGCATGTCTATTGCACTTGACTGAGGATGCCAAGCACATCGGCCATGAACTTCAAGTGGGTGATCTTGCCATCCTGCCATCGTGCAATCGTGTAGAACCAAGAGTCAAAGCCCTTATTGGTTGCATCGATTGGAGTCGGGGAGATGTACTCCGGAACTGCCAAAGCATTCGTGAGGTTGCCGCTGAGCCGAGCCACTGACGCAGTCCAATCGCCGGATCCGAAAATCACTTGAGGGGACAAGTGGAGGTTCGAGAATGACTTCTGCAACTGGCTGACGAGTGCAAACAACTGGTCGCTGTTGAGTCCATTGGGAGTGTCCTCGCGCGAGGTGAAGATCGTGACATTGGGGGAAAGCATCAGGCTGTCAGAATTGAATTGACCGCCGTTCAAGGCCATCTCGAACTTCTGATGAGACGCCTTGTTCGTTTCTGATGTGTTGGCGGATGGGTTGACCGCAAGGGGTATGGTATAAGGGCTCAAAGTGAGCGACTGAGTTCCATCTGTGGTGACTGGGGACGGGAAGAAGCCCATCTGACGTTCCATGGTGACAAGGTCCATCCAGAGGTGCTCTATGACGATTCTGCCTTCTTGCCAGTACGCCGCGGTCATGAACTCATAGTTGACGTGGCGGCCGGTCGGACTCCGCCATCCATCTGGGGCCTGAATTGGGCCGGTATTGGTTCCGGTGACATCGGTCATGGTAATGGTCCAGTTGCCCTCTCCAAAGGCCACCTTGTAAGGATGGTTGGTGACTGCAACATTGGGGAAGCTTGCGTATGTGTTCTGCAGGTCCTGAACGTGCTGGACCATATTAAACTCTCTTCCTCCCGGCATGTAGACGATAGTGTCCTCCCGGTGGTTGAATCTGGAGAAGTCCAGCGAATTGTAGGCATCGTCAGTCACTTGCATCTGTCGCACATTGGCTGAAGCATCCCAAGGACCCGCGGAAGCATTTGGGTAGGCACAAGTGCCGATCAGCTCACAAGTCACAGGTCCTGGAGAGGCGTTAATTAAATAAAACTTCCATGACATTTCTTTCCTGAGATTAAGGGAGTGAACTCATACCTGGAGTAACGCATCCGATATAATCCATCTCTGCGCGCTTTCCCAAAGAGCTGCTGCTTCCAACAGCTCTCATATGCAGGTGACTGCCCCCCACGCAGGCGTAAGCGATGTCGGTAAGATACACAGTCGCAGCCGAAAGGCTTAGAACAGAAATATGGTTTTTCATATTGAAGATTTTAGGTAGGCGTGATTTCAATTGAGTGCTTTTGGCTTTGAGGTCGAAGAAGCGAAGTGATTCTGAATTTGATGATGACAATTTCTTTTATCGAATGTAGGAAGATGGGTACTGATCATTTTATAACGTCTGGATCGTCTACGACACTTTGGAATGCCTTCAGTAACATATTCTCATCTCAAGCATATTCTCTAACAAGTCTTGCCGCGCGGGTCAGATACGCTAGAAGGACCTAAAATCCAACAAGCCACACACGGTTTTCTGCGCCTACAAGTGTGACGTTTACTATGAGTATGAACTCGAGGCGCTAGTCGGAACTGGTACCACCATTCGCTAGCAGTTGCATTTTGTTCGAGACTAGCTGCCAATCTTGGGCAGTAAGACATCCTGTTGCTATGGTCTAAGCCCACATCAGGAGCATATGTGACAAAGCACGCTAACGACAAGCCATGTCTAGGTCTGAGAACACCCTTCGGCCGGAACCAAATCTCATCCGGCATTACTAAAAAGCATCATCAGATATTCACAGAGATGTGAAGTCGCTCATGATCTCGGCGCTTTCTTTAAGAGCCGAGTAGCGAGGCAGTTAATCTCAGAAGCAAACCCCATCTACGCGATAGGTGTGGTGCAGTCAGCTTGCGAACTGGTCATTCCGGTGGGATATCAATCTGGGTCCCATCCAGAAGCAAGGTGGACTCTCACTCAGCAATAAGTGCTAGCTTGTTAGTTAAAGATAATTGTATGCCATGAGGCGCTGTAGTATATTCACTGCATGTTGACGCTCGGAGAAAGGCCAAAAGGGGAAATTTCGCACATTACGAGCAGTCCGTATGTTGAGACTAGCTATCGAACTCAATTGATGTGGGCCAAGCTTCACTTCAACTTTTAGTTTTCCATTTGATGTTCTTCAGCTGATATCCTCGGCTACAAGCTCCAGCTTGGGCAGTATTGTGAAAGCTATCCCGCCATCCGTGAACCTTGGCGCCTTGGTATGGCACACAGTTCATCCCATCATTTGCTGGGCATCAATATTTTCCACGCCCTTTATATTGTTGAGATGGGGATGGTCTGAAAAGATGCCTAATTCTTGGGACTCACCATGACACCCATCCTTTGTGGCCCATCTTTGTCGCATGAGTTGCCGCATCCCCGATAGCAGTTGACCGGGTTTGCAAGTGAAGACCTGCAATGACAGTCTGCGCCAGGATCTCATCATCTCGCCAGATGCATGTGAATCGCAGCGCTTTCCGCGGCTTCCACGTGGGCGACCGAAAACTCAGTCAACATGGTATTACGTGGATTAACGGCAGAGATGGATGAATGCATGTAGCAACGCAATGTCGTATGTTGGTGGTGCTCGCTGCTGAAAACTCTAGGCGCGCACAGATGCGAAGGGTAGCATGAGAGGCATTTCTCTACACCGACTGAATCATGTTAGGCTCAGCCTCAACAGCCAGACCCCAGATAGTTTGGATGCATGAAACGTCGCCTAAGTAACGTTTCCGGATGGAAATCCACGTATGCTCAATGCCCATGCTGCCCAGGTGAAAATTCTGCTTTTATGTCTTTCTGCCCTTGCCGTAAGACTTGCTTCAGATCAACGAAGAATAACAGCAGTACAAACAAATCACCTAGTATCAAATCAAGATGGGAAGTTACGAGCAAACGACACCTATGAACAAGCAGCAGGTGTTGGGCTCTTTCAGCTACTACGACAGCTCTGGGATTCCCGCTCTCGACGACCTCACGATCATCGAGGGCACTTCCCCTGATAACAAAACATATAAAGTCCCGGTGACAGACCTGCGATCTCTTCCTTTGCCGCTTTCAAGCTACACGCACGAGAAGCATGGCTTCCAAATCGTACGCCAGCCTCTTCCGATATCTCCTTCGTCGGCCTCGGTGCACAACCACAAGTATATGACAAACAAATACTATCCCGCTATGACCGAACTATTGAGAAAGACTCTGGGAGCAAGGTGTGTGGTGGTGCGAAAACACTCCATCCGAGACATGCCGAGCTGGTCCGAAATTGGTATGAATCCAGAGATTGGGTTCAGCATCGAGTCTTTGGCCCCATTCAATATCGCGCACGCAGATCATACACCGGCCGGTGCTCGTGCGCACTTCCGCGCCATCAAGGAGTCAAACTGGTTCTCGGAGAACGATACAGCGGACGAAGAGTGTACATCGCCGAAAGAGCGTACCGAGTTCTTCCGCCTGCGACGCGAGATCATCGAGGCCGAGGATCGCGCTATTGCGGAGGCTGGACTAGACCCAGAAGTGCAAGGAGAGACAACCTTGCCGAAGGGTGGCCATTGGGACTGGGACGGCGCCAACTACGAAGGCCCGCGCTATGCTTTCTTCAGCGTATGGCGTCCGTTCGAAACTGTCCACCGTGATCCGTTGGCGGTTATGGATATGAGTTTGCCGGTGTCGAAAGATGTCGAGTTCGCTCCACTAACACGAACGTATCGCAAGCGCCCCGGGTGCGTCCCGTTTTACTATAGTCAAAATGCCATGGTGAGGCCGTTGGATGGAGGAAGGAGAGATTCCGGTTTCCAAGACGGAGAAAACGGGGAGGCCCGAGAGCATGCCTGGTGTTATCTCAGCGGGCAATCTCCAGAGGAGGTCTATCTGATCAAATTCTACGACAGCGAGGCTTTGGTCCGCAAAGAGAAGGGAGAAGACGAGATTGCGTTGCTATGTCCGCATAGCGCTTTCTACATATCAGGGACTGAGAAGGAGCCGGTTCGACGAAGCTGCGAGCTAAGGGTTTGGTGCATCTGGTGAAGCAAGACACGGATCGGTGATCAACGGGGCAAAAGGGACCAGGATTATGAACTATTAATAGACGAACGAGAATGGATTACAACTTAGACGTATACCCGACGTCCTTCAGATCCAAGACTTCCCCTGCCCTCCAGCTGACATTACTGCCGGCATCACTTCCTTCCTTCCACTTCCAACGAGGAATGCTCTGCTCTCCCTGTTCAATCAGCGTCTTGATCCAGTCTCCAACCACAGGTAACATCTTGAATCCATGTCCAGAGTCTCCAGTGGCAAGGAACAGGTCCTTCTTTCCAGGTACTGCATCAATGACATAGTCAGAGTCCGCAGTATCGGCACACCAGCAGATGTGCTTGTTAATGAAAGGCCTCTCTGCCAAAGTTGGGAGAGTTTCTCGAAGAAGCTGACGAATCTTTTGTTCGTCTGACTCGCTCACGAAGTTGTTATCGATGGGAGGCACGGAAAGCCCAGTCGTGGGAGAGTAGTTGGTATATCCTCCGCCACTGGGCGAGAACTTCAGAATACCCGTGCCCGGTTCTGGCTCGAAGTAAAAGCCAAGGTCGCGTGCATATGTGACCGGGATGCCTTTCAACTTCTCGGCCTCCTCCGGCTGAAGCTGAATATGAAGCACACTCCAAGCCTTAGCGGTAACTTGTCGGCCGATAGAGGGAAGGACATATCCCAGCGACGCACCAACCGTAATGATGGTCTTGTCTGCGGTGAACTGCTTTCCTGATGCCGTCCGAGCACCAACGCACCTATCGCCGTCGTACTCAAAGGCAACAACCTCATCGCCAGTGTGGATCTCCACTCCTTGATTCTTCACATAGTCGTAGGTCGACTTCAGCGCATTTGCAGCATGTGCATACCCAGCGAAGCGGTTGAAATAGCCCTTCCATCCTTCCATCGGGCCATCCAAGGCGGGGGCAGCTTTGGAGATGTCTTCGCGGCTCTCGATGGCATCAATCTTGTCGGCCCATGCTGGATGCGTCTTGATGCTCTCAAGAGACTTTGCCAAGGTCTTTTTGGTCTTTTCGGGTGCCGCTGCCGAGTTCGCTAGCAGATATCCGGTCTGGTAGTAGTGCGGGGAAAATGTCGGGTTGTTTGTCCACTCTTCCATGGCCTGGAGGGCTAGGTCGGTGTAAAACGGGTCTTCATACTCTGCGCGAATGATCTTGTTCACATCGTTTCCTGCTGAGAGCTCGGATGGTATTGTTGTGCCCTTTTCAAGTATCGTGATGGACTTGTAGCCGGCGCGGGTGAGATGATAGGCTGCCGACAGCCCAAACGTGCCGGCACCAATGATCAATACTGACGGCTTTTGACTTGACATCTTCAAAAATATTCGGAAATCGTGACCGATCGTAGAATAGGAGGACTGACTGGACTTGGCAGTGGTCATTGAGGGAATGCCTATTTTGAGTCGCGAAGACGTCCCAACTCCGAGGGCAACACCTCCGACGTCGGATACCTCCCGATTGCGGCTTGCGCCGGAGTCATGCGATACCCAACCGGGACTCTTCCAATGGAAGCGCGGAGAAGTGGAAACCACGACTCAATAGCACTGATGTAATTCTCTGTAATTTGGACCATGTATTGAAATCGGCCCAGTCGCACCGACGCCGACGCCGATGTCCTCCAATCGGTCTCTATCTCCACTATGGGCAGCATCCGTATCTGCGGGGTAGCGATTAGCCAACTGGGATGATGCCGTCGATTCGACTTGCCATCTCTTATTCCCGTTATCATCTCATCCTATCTGTTGCTTTGACACAACAAGCGATTCTGGGAGATGTCGTCTAGAAACGTATGTACATTTGGTGATCTTTGCATGCGGTGGAGTTGCGTCTCATTACCAAAAACATTGACACTTGGTCACAAGCAAAGTTACTATGCCAGCTTCAGCACAGCACAAAGCTCGAAAGCGCCGAAATGGGGAGCTTCGCGTGAGAAGTGGATGCTGGAAGTGCCGAGGTGGGTTCATGTCACACTGCCATGTTCGAGAGACTATCCAGCATGAACTAACTGTTATACAAATCCAGAGCGACGCGTCAAATGTCCTGGTATGCAAATTGACAAGGCGTTATGCTGCTGATGAGGCTAACTGGAATCCACAGAACAGCGGCCCATCTGCAGCCACTGCCAGAGACTAGGTTTCAGTTGCCATTACGAAATGCGGCTTTCCTGGCAACGGCAACCGAATCATGGGGACCGCCTGAAGAGTCGTATGCGACCTTGTTCCTACAACAGCTCGATTGAAGAGTGGATGTTTCTCAACACAACCTGGCAAGACTTTGAAGAGGTTTCAACGATTCTTACCGAGCCATGGGTCCATAAATCAGATAACCGCTCCAGATCAACTGCCACAACCTGTAGCTTGCTTTCGTTGAATGCAAGCTCATCGGACCTAACGATTCCGAGAAGTCTTTCCCCACTGAATCTTTCAACGGGAGAAGCTCCCCTATGGAACTACTTCAATGATTTCATCGCTCCACGCTGTGTCCTGAAAGATGGCATCAACCCCTATCGGCAGATCATTCTTCGGATAGCTGCGGCATCGCTAGGAGGGCCTGTATACCGAAGTATCCTCGCTGTTTCAGCACACCAAATGCAAGTCCTGAGGCATTCGGAGCAGCTAAGGAGTATCTGGACCTACCGAGACCATGCGTTATTTTCTCTGAGAAAGACAATCTCTGAATACTCTTCATCGACAATCGGCGGGTCTTTGAGAAAAGCATTGGCCCAGCAAATCATGGCGTCAACATTGATGATGTGTTTCTTCGAAGTACGATCTCCAATGTCACGTTCTCTATGACGGCACACCATCTCCATGGACAAGTAACTAACTATTCGTCCCAGATCCTGCACGACTGCTCTCGGTCATGGGAAGTCCATGCAACATTTGCCAGATCCTTCTTGATGTCGGAAATCTGCCATGAACTCAAAGACGACGATTTCTCCTCCAGCCTGTACGCGTTCGCCTCCACATATTTTGTCTACCACGATGCCCTTGCGTTCACAGCTAGCCCAGACGCAGCAACTGTGCCACAGACGGCAAGTCAGCTGTCAAATCTCATTGATGGGTACGACTCGTCTATTTTCATGACTTTGACTGGCTGCTCAAAACGCCTCATTGAACTCCTCTCTCAAATCACGAGCCTGGCCAAGAGTTCACCCATGCAAACCTCTAGCCGTATTGACCAAGGTTCCCCTGAAGGAGATGTCTCCATTCAAAACGGCAAGCGAGATTCAATCGAGAGGGAGCTGCACCAAATGCAGAATCTTTCAGCCGAAGGCGCACAAACGAGGTCTTTCTCGGATGAACCCCACGAGTCGGAGTGGATTTCTGAGCTGAAGCGTCTCACGAGCCTGATGTACCTGTATGCCCGCATCGACGGATGTAACCCTTCGCACCCGCACATGTTCAGACTCACCACCCAAATTCTAGAGATCATTCCAAAGATCTCTCTTCGCACCAACACTCTTCTTTGGCCCCTATTCACTGTCGCGACGCTTGGTATTCGCTCTGATTCAGACGAAGACCGGCGGATGATTCTGGAGAAACTCCACCTATTGCAGCAAACAAGACAATTGGGTAATGTTAGAAAGGCCAGGCGTATTATAGAAGATGTTTGGAAAGCACGAGACTTAGAGACGAGTAATGCGGAGCAAGGTTGGTCAATACTTGCAGGCCGGTACGACACCATTAGTCTAGCATGAAACGTCGTATCGCGAGTCCCGATGTATCGCATTAGCCAGTGAAATCGACTTTCAATCAACGTCCACTCTTCTTCAGACTCTTATTTGACCAATTTCTTACGCTCCTAGTTCGTCATCCAAACGTCGCTTCCGATGGAGAGCACCAAGCTAAGTGGTATATCTAAAGTCCTTTTGCTTCTTGTCCGTGATATCTACGAACCCGTCGACTGTTCCCTCGTGAACCGCTTCCGGCTTGCCATATTTCTTGTCACGCCTCTTGTTCTCCAAGAGCGCCACCAGCCAGTAAGCTAGCATCAATACCATGCTGACAACGTAGCTCGTAAGCATAGCAATGACTGCCCCGTTGTATTTCGGTGCCTGGATTGAGATGAATGTCTGCGGTCCAATCAAGTTGCCAGCCGCATAACCAACTTGGACCAAACTGAAGCAGACAGCCTTTTTGGTTTGTCCTGCGGTGTTGGCTTGCGGGAGAGAGATGCCGACCACGTACGGGGCTGCAATTATCGTTAGACATTGAGAACAAATTCTTGGGTCGGCTGCACTTACGCCAGTAGAAATACATGAAATAGAGTCCGACCATTTGTGCTGCAATGTTCGTTCTTGGAAGTCCATGAACGAGTGCCGTCCCAAGGATGGGCAGCAAAAGAGCGATGCAGGCAACGAGCGTTCTTCGGTTATGCCATCTAGCTGCCAGATAGCTGAACGCCCAGGCGCTGGATGTCGCCAGAACTCCAAACGGCATGGTCAGTAGACTAGCTTCCAGGGAAGTGAACCCCAGGTTGTTGATAATGATGCTGCCAAAGTTGACAAGGCCCCCATTCGGAATGTTGATGAAGATATTGAATACGAAAATGATCCAAATCTTGATGTCCAGCAAAGCTTCCCAGACTTGATCCCACTTCCAGACCTTGTTGGCAATACCAGTGCGATTCGCAGCGAGACGCTTGGTTGCGTAGTATTTTTGCTCGTCGGTCAAGAAATGGGCGTTCATGGGGCTGTCCGGGAGGGTGAACCAGATGAATATCGAGTAAAGAACGTTGATGGTACCGGTCAGAAGGTATAGATATTGCCATTTGAGAAGAGGGGCTGAGTCCGGGATCTTGCCGACTAGCCATGCGAAGAAGCCATTGAAAACCGAGGAAAAGTACGCGAAGATAACTGCGAGTGATAAGTCAGCAAGCTCATCTGGCCACGGAATCAACACTTTGCTTACTAGCGTTCCTTGGCGGCTGTTCCTTCTTCGTGTAAAAGCTCGAGACGAGAATCGTTAATGACGGGGAAATGGCAGCCTCGATGAAGCCCATGAAGAATCGAAGAGCCATGAAACCAGACCAGCTCCGACATGGTGCATGCAAAAGCGTCAAAACCGACCAAAGTAAGGATGCGGCGCATAGAAACTTCGCGGGGGGAAATCGAAGGACGAGGTAAGATGCGATAACATATCCGATCAGTTGCTAAATGGCTGGTGTTAGCAGTTGCATATCCAACAGCGGCCACTATATAACTTACTCCCAAGGGAAGAACGCTTCCAAGCCAACTATATTGTTGTCCAACAAACCCATTATCCGTTTGGAAGCCATAGAGAGATGCCGTTCCCATTTGGACTTTGTCGACCGCTCCGAGAGTGGCGGTAAACAGTAACTGCGGACGTTCAACTTCAACTTCATACTGAAAGACTGATAGCAAATCATTACTCACAAGTGGAATCATCCAAGCATCGATTTTCTTGACAATCTTCTTCTCGATCTCTGGAGTCATTGGCGGATAATCGTTCGCGTTCGCCAAGAACTCAGCGGCCTCGTCAAGGATGCCATCTTGTGGCGCTTTGGTTATTTCAGACTGTCCTTGAACGTTCGAGGAGCTCGGATGAATGGCGCTGATATCCGGTTGCTCTGCCGGGCCATCTTTCTTCTCGGCCATGGTGCCGTTTTGACACCTTCGTATCCGGTAATGTTGCTACAACAGTTGGTCTTTTCTAAAAACAATTCAAAACCACTTATGCTGGGGCCGAGATACTAATGAGGGGAAGATCATGTCTATTTAGCTAAACATAAGTCCTTGTCGACCTGGCGAGGCAGCTGTTGGAACTGGCCATCCTCATATCACTAGCCATATCTCCGACCGGGTAAGGGTCAGCGTCGCCGACTAGCATGGGGTTGGTTCGGGGGTTTATCGTCGACCGCATCAGCCCCGGGTTCTTATCACCCGCGTTGCAACTTCCCCATGCATGGATCCACCCAGCGACGTGCTGCTCTGAGACAAGAGCTGTGATAGGACTCTTATCATTGGAAGGTCTAAACGACGAGGTTGGAGAACAGGGTTTCGGCCATATCTTTCCCCTTGGCTTCCCCTTACCCCGCTATCGACGAAGCTGCATGGGCTGCAGATCACCTATCATAGTGCATGGCTGACTGATAGGTGCATGACTTCGTGGCAGGTCGAATCGACGGGCGTTTGTTGTGTCCAATATCATCGTGCATCTTGGGATAATGGTTGCCGGAGCACTCGCCGATCGAATCTGCGACATCGGCATCTAGCCATTTCTCCCGGATTGGTTATGATGCATCCGAAGGTTGTGTATCATATAACTTGATGAGGTTCTTGTGAAGTCTTTCGTATCGCAAGTCGTAACCTCGATTTCTTGTCGGTTCCATAGTTACTATCTCTCATTAGACGTAAAGATGGCTGTTGGAGCAGCTATTCCCCCAATTGAGCCGAAGAGCATCAACTTCGCGATTGGTAAGTCAGCAATTGTTCTTCGCCGCTAAAAATACAAGCTAAACATTACATGGGCAGATCGTGGTGGCACTTTCACAGACGTCTGGGCGTCCATTCCAGGTCAGCCCGATGTGGTGCTGAAGCTGTTGTCTGTTGACCCTGGCAACTACGATGATGCGCCCGCCGAAGGCATCAGGCGGGTGTTGGAGATGGTGTCTGGCACTACCATCCCACGTCGATCGCCCATTCCTAAAGATTTAATTCACTCAATACGCATGGGAACTACCGTCGCGACGAATGGTAAGCAGCTGAAGCTTTTCAAGAAACTATTTCGACTAACTCAGTAATCAGCACTCCTCGAGCGAAAAGGAACCCGGCACGCCTTCGTAGTTACCCAAGGATTCCGCGACCTTCTCGACATCGGCTACCAATCCAGACCCAAACTTTTTGATCTCGGCATCCGCAAGCCAGAGCTTCTCTATGACGAAGTTATCGAAATCTCAGAACGCCTCACGGTAGAAGCGTACGATGAGGATGTCTACAAGACCGCTCGTACCCAGCCCAAGGAGTCGCCTAGTTTGTTCGTCAAGGGCATCACGGGAGACATTCTGAGAGTCATCCGGCCCTTGAATGAAGAGGAAGTCCGTCAGAAGCTCACGGACATCAGGTCCAAGGGTATCGAGACTCTGGCCATCTGTCTTGCGCACTCTTACATGTACCCTGATCACGAAAACAAGGTTGCTGACATCGCGCGCGATCTTGGCTTTGAGCATGTTTCAACGTCATCAAGCGTGGGCGCCAACATGATCAAGATGATTTCAAGAGGAAGCTCAGCGTCGGCTGATGCTTACCTCACTCCCGAGATCATCCGCTACGTAAATGGGTTTGCGAAACAATTCCAGGACGGTAACCTTGATGACATCTCATGTGAGTTCATGCAGAGCGATGGTGGGCTGGTCAGCCACAAGGCGTTCAGTGGGTTGCGCGGCATTCTCAGTGGTCCAGCTGGTAAGTATCACGCTCTCACAGTTGCTCAGCTCTCTGGAGGATAGCCGCTGATTTGTTTGCAGGAGGAGTGGTTGGTCATGCACGCACGTCGTACGACGGCAAGTCCCCTATTGTTGGCTTTGACATGGGTGGAACTTCCACCGACGTGAGCCGTTATGGAGGATCCTTGGAACATGTCTTCGAATCCACCACCGCCGGCGTTTCTATCCAAAGTCCTCAACTGGATATCAACACTGTTGCTGCAGGCGGTGGCAGCATGCTGTTCTGGCGTGACGGGCTCTTCAAGGTCGGACCTGAGGTATGAGCTTCTACTCTAACCACCGCTTTGCTTCGGCAGCTAACTTGCTACAGAGTGCTGGCGCGCACCCAGGCCCAGCTTCATACAGGAAAGGTGGCCCGCTCACTGTGACTGATGCCAACCTTTTGTAAGTTGCCCGCGTAAAACGATGCTTCCTGACGCGCTAACCTTGTGAAGCCTTGGACGCCTGATCCCAAGCTACTTCCCCGCCATCTTCGGTCCCGATGAGAACCTGCCGTTGGATTCTGAGATCGTCGCCGCCAAATTCGAAGAACTGACCAAGACGATCAATGCTGATACGGGACGCTCGATGACCCCTTATGAAGTTGCAGTCGGATTCATCGACGTTGCGAACGAGTCGATGAGTCGACCCATCCGAGCCCTTACAGAGGCCCGCGGTTTTGTTACCGCTGACCACAACCTTGCAACGTTTGGTGGTGCCGGTGGACAACATGCGTGTGAAATCGCGGAGAAGCTCGGAATCGGCCGCATCGTCGTTCACAAGTATTCAAGCATTCTCTCGGCATACGGAATGGCGCTGGCGGAGGTGGTTCAAGAGGCGCAGGAGCCAAGCTCAGAGATGCTGTCTGATGAGTCCCTTCCCAGACTCAATGAGAGGATTGACTACCTCAAGACAAAGGCAACAGACGGATTACTCTCTCAGGGTATAAAGGATGCCTCTATTCAACACGAGCCATACCTCAACCTCAGATACAACGGGACCGATACCAACTTCATGATTCTTCAACCTGAGGATCGCGATTGGCTCTCAGCTCTGGAGAGAGAGCATCTCCGAGAATTGTCTTTCACTTTTCCCAGATCGAGGAAGGTCCATGTGGACGACATCCGTGTACGCGGAGTTGGTAAGGCCGAAGAGTCTAGCACAGATAATGATCGGCTCGTGGAGGAACTTAAATCGTTGTCATTCAGCGCCGTCACCAAGGGCGAGGACACCACTGTAGGCAGCCTCCCACGGTCTTCATTCGAAGCTTTCACTAACTCATTTACAGACCAACGCATATTTTACTGAAGGCGGCCTCCAAGCAACCAAAGTCTTCCGCCTCAACACACTGCAGCCGGGCGCAATCATCGCCGGCCCAGCTATCATCATCGACAGCACGCAGACCATTGTCGTCGTCCCTGGCTCTCAAGCCAAGATCCTCACCTCTCACGTCGTCATCGATGTCGTCGACAAAGTGAACAAGAACAAGCCGTCAGATGACGGAGAACTTGTGGTTGATCCCGTGAAGCTCAGCATCTTCGGTCACCGTTTCATGAGTATTGCAGAGCAGATGGGCCGCACTCTCCAGAAGACGAGTCTTTCGCTCAACATCAAGGAGCGTCTGGACTTTTCTTGTGCCATCTTTAGTCCCGATGGAGATCTGGTCGCCAATGCGCCGCATGTTCCGGTTCACTTGGGAAGCATGAGCTATGCCGTTAAGTACCAGCACGAGCTGCACCATGGAAAGTTGCGCCCAGGTGATGTCCTGGTTTCGAATCACCCTGAGGCCGGTGGTACTCATCTCCCTGGTTAGTCACCGGAAATCCACACTCTATAAACCAGTTTTCTAACTTTGACAGATATCACGGTCATTACGCCCGTCTTCGACGAAGATGGAAAAACGATCTGCTTCTACACCGCTTCGAGAGGCCACCACTTGGACATTGGTGGATCCAAGGGCAACTCCATGCCACCGTAAGGACTTTTTCAGTCGTGCCATCGTATGTCCATACTAACAAGAAACAGTGATTCAACCGAGCTTTGGCAAGAAGGTGCTGCGATCAAGTCATTCTTCCTCATCAGAGACGGCACTTTTGATGAGGAGGGCATCATCTCAATCCTACTCGCCCCAGGAAACCATCCCGGCTGCAGCGGCTCTCGTCGTCTCCCTGACAACCTCTCCGACCTCAAGGCTCAGGTCGCCGCCAACACCAAGGGCAGCAGTCTCATCAGGGCTCTCATGGAAGAGTTCGGAAAGCCCGTTGTGCACTTCTACATGACGAAGATCCAAGAGAATGCCGAAGTATCCGTCAGGAAATACCTCCTATCTGCGTACAAGAGATTCGGGTCCAAGCCCCTGAAGGCCGTGGATTATCTCGACAACGGCTCGCGCATGCAGGTTTCCATCACTATCGACGAGTCAGGATTCGGCACATTCGATTTCACGGGAACTTCGTGTGAGATGCTATCCAACATGAACGCGCCACCGGCTATTACCTACTCGGCTCTGATTTACACCCTCCGCCTCCTGATTGGATCCGACATCCCTCTTAACCAGGGTTGTCTCACTCCGACAAAGGTTATCATCCCCAAAAACACTTTTTTGAACCCTGGTCCGACATCAGCAGTCTGCTGCGGCAACACCCTCACTTCCCAGCGCCTGGTCGACCTCCTTCTCAAGGCGTTCCGAGCAGCCTCTGGATCGCAAGGTTGCATGAACTGCTTCGGCTTCTTTGGCAACTCACTCGATCCCGCAGCTTCACCGGATTCGAAAACCAACAACAGCGAGGGCTTTGGCTTCGGCTATGGAGAGACAATCTGCGGTGGCGAGGGAGCCGGTCCGACATGGAATGGTGCCTCAGCCGTCCAAATCCACATGACGAACACCCGTACCACAGATATCGAGATCATTGAGAAGAGATACCCGGTATTGATCCGCGAGTTCTCGATCCGACAGGGCAGTGGCGGACGAGGCAAGTTCATGGGTGGTTGCGGAATTGTGCGTGACTTTGAGTGCCGCGCGCCATTGACATACGGCATCATCTCGGAGCGCCGGGTCCACCAACCCTACGGCATGATAGGGGGTGAGAATGGCGAGTCGGGAGCGAACTATTGGGTTCAGAAGATGGAAGATGGTGGAGAAAGATGGATCAACATTGGACCCAGGGGCCAAGTCGATATGAAGACCGGAGACCGATGCGTCATCCGTACCCCGGGAGGTGGTGGCTGGGGAATTCCGGACGAAGACGAGGGCAGTCAGATAAACGGAACCAATGGCGTTGACGGTCCTTGGGAGGCGAAGGTTGAGTACCCAAGAGCGACCGGCAGTCTTCACACGTTCGCCGCTGCCCAAGAAGCTTCATCGTAGAATATTTGTATAGGCACACGCAGTCATAACAATAGAGCGAGACTTTCACAAGAGGGCAACGGTATTGATTCCTTCAATCGTTCTGATCTGAGTCTCTAACTCCCTTCGTGCTTTCAACGAGCACTTTCAAGACGAGCTTCTCTTGCTTACTTTGATGTATTCTTCGCCTTTGCCTTGTTCGTCCCCCTCGCCATCAACCTCAACCTTGTCCAGAGTGGCAACGCTATCCCCAGCCTCCTTGATGGCTCTCCAGTTGAGACCAAAGTCGAGAATGTCAGGATACCTCTTCACATACCAGTACATTCCCATCATCGCCGCAATGCTACCCACACTAAATGCTGCAGCCAGCGGGAATCCAATCGGATATCGCGGAGAGTCCGCGGTCCGCCATGCTCGGAGCGGAATCGTCGCATGGCCGACGTACACCAACGTCACAGCGACACCAACAATCACAGACCGCGCCTCCGGCTCTTTGCGCAGGATCATAGCCAGCCACGCGAGTAAGGCATATCCCCACGCCGCCGTCGCAAACGTCAGGAAATAGAATGTCATGATCGTGCCGCGGCCGCCCGGCCATGCTGCCAATACTGAGGTGGCAACAAGCTGTAGGAGTGCGGCTCCGACGCCAACCTGCCAACGCCAGTTCTTCCAGTCGCTCAGCGCGTTGAGTGAGATGTTCGACACAATGGAGATGGCGTAGCCACCTAGTGGTATCAGGTTGACGGTATACACAGAATACAGCGCGTTGCCCTCCCCGTCTTTGAGACCCTTCAGATACAGCAGGAAGTAGGAGTTCGCGCGTTGCGACCACGCAAATTGGAGATAGGCGGCGAGGAATAGGTACGCCACTGGCGAGGTGAGGAGCTTTTTGACCTTGTTCCAGAGAGCCCTGCCTTTGATGATCTCTTGCGTCGTTGTGCCTGATTCGGCCATCCGAGAGGCCGCCAGAACGCGCTCTTCTTTGGTAAGCCACAGGGCTCTGGTAGTCGTTGGCGCATCAGGGATGACGAGGAACCCGTAGAGGCCCCACACGATCGTCATGATACCCGACACGACGAAAAGCCACTGCCATCCTTCAAGACCATGTACTCCGTTGAGGTTCTTGTACAGTGCGGCCTGTAGGATACCCAGGAACATGCTCCCAGCGACGCTGCTCACACCGAAGATGGCGAGACGCTTGCCAAGTTCCGAGGGGGTGTACCAACTGAAGATTAGGTTGACGATGCCCGGCCAAGACGTAGCTTCGAAAACGCCCAAAGCAAATCTTAGGCCATAGACCGTTTTTGCGTTGCGGGCGGCAAAAGTCGCAAGCGTAATGGCACCCCAGACTACCTCGCAAAAAGGCAGCCAGAGCGATGGGCGCACGCGGGTTTGGATGAGCTGGGATGGGACGATGAAGAGGGCGTAGCCGATGGAGAAGTAGGTCGTGAACTCGACCAGCTCATTGCCGTAGAGTGAGAGGGACTCTTGCATGCCGGACACGTAGGCAGCTGTTGTGGCGGACTGGTCCATGTCTTTCATAAGACCGGCGACGAAGGCCCAAGATAGCAGGAGAATGTCCAGTTTGAGGACTAGGACGTGCTCAGGATCCTTGAAGTAGGGGTGGACTCTCGACAACCACGATGTTGACGAAAGGGCTGGTTTTGACGTGGAGGGCGTCACTACCGTGTCAGAAGGCAGAGTTTCCGTTGTTGTTGCCATGATGATGGCTGTCGTTCTGTTCGCCAACTGATGCTGGGCAGAACCAGTTTCTATGGCGGATCAAAGTCTGCCTTTATGAACATCTCATGAAGACGGCATATGCTTCGAGGCAATAATTTCAGGCTGCCTCGTTATTTCAGCGAAGCCACACCGAGCGGGTCAAGTCCGATGTGAAGTCGGACCGTCCCGATCTTTGACGCGTTCAAAACTTGCTGAGCGCGGATTGCAACATCGCCAATGTCAATGGTGAAATTGAGGCCATCTGTGTTTGTTGCTCTGCCCAGGCTGAATTTCTTTCTCGGTCATAGAAAGGGGGGTCTGGCCGCTGGATTTTCGCCAGCCGGGGAGGGCGACTAGCGCTTCATGGATGTTCCTAGCTGCGGCGGACGATGTCGCCATCACGACGGGTGATGCCGTCAACGTCGGGGACCCGCCGAGTGTGCCACTAAATGGAATTTCCAGGTGAGAATCGGTTGCTCTGGCATCCAAGGAGGAAGTATTGATCGGGTTGGCCCCGATAAAGGATGCTGAGGACATCGACTCTCTCACAGTCTAGTGACAACCGAAGATGTCAATACATATACTGCAAGAAAGCGCCGGATAATGACGTGCTAGCATCGCCAGCGTACAGCAACACCCCAAGAAATTGTTCCTTTCAGGCCGAGTCAGTTCATCATGGCCTCCCAGCCGCTCTACCCAGCTTACCTGCCCACCCGGCCCGATGGCTTCCAGCCGACCATTGACGTCCCATACTTTGAGGCAGAAGAGCCTGGGGTGAGAGCGAAGAAATCCAACAAGCTCTCCGTCTTCAAAGCCCAGGATGCAAAGGTGGAGAATATGACCCCACGGGTTGGGTCTGAGATCCGCGGGGTCCAGTTGAGCCAGCTGTCTGGCGCCGGCCTTGATGAGGTCGCGTTGCTTGCGGCCGAGAGGGGCGTGCTCGTGTTTGTGAGTCAAGGCGACTTTCGTCCTCAACTGTCTCATTGAGGGTCTTTCATCTAATGAGAAAATATGATAGAGAGATCAAGACTTTGCCGACGTGGGGTTTGACAGACAGAAGGAGATTGTCCGACACTATGGACCACTTCATCAAGTGAGTGCTCAAGTGATGCGAGATAGCTCACACAAATTGACCGTGACTGTAGCACCCGACGATGGGCTATCCAGAGGGCACCGGCCCCGAATTCCACGTCGTCTACGCAGATGAAAAGGCGTGAGTTCATCCTGTCATCAAATCTCAGCTCAGGGCATCGTCAACTTACATCCAACAGAGGCAACCTGCGAAACCTTCTCGGTCCACGCACGAGCTACGATCTCTGGCACGTGGACCAAACCTTCACCCCAAATGTCCCATCAACCACGTTCTTCTGGGTCCTAGAGTCTCCGGCTTCGGGCGGCGGCGACACGGCCTTCACCTCCTTGACCGCCGCCTACTCCGCTCTCTCCCCCGCATTCCGGCGGACCCTCCACCCCCTCCGGCTCTTCCACACCTCCGCGTCCGTGGGCGAGGTCGCCCGCGTCGGCACGGAGCGGGCCCTCAAAGAGGCAGTCTCTACTACTCATCCCCTCGTCATCAAGCACCCGGTCACCGGCAAGCCCAGCCTGTTCGTCAATCCGACCATCGCGCGCAAGGTAGAGGGTTTCTTGCCGGAGGAGTCGGATGCACTGCTGGGATTCCTACACAACCACATCCGCAGCTTGGACTTCAGCTGCAGGGTGCGGTGGGAGAAGGGAACGGTTGTGGTGTGGGATCAACGGAGTGTGGCGCATACCGCCGTGCCGGATTTCCAGGACGGAGAGAGGCGACACATGGTCCGCATCATTCCGTACGGGACGAGACCGGAACCGGCTTTTCCTGAAGAGCATGGACCGGCCCGGGAAGACGAGGGCAAGGCGGGAGGCTCTGATTAGGTTGACTTTGATAACGAGCTACTTATTGCAACGCTCAACGGCCCGGTCTAGCAATGGACACTTTTGGCGATAACAAACTCAATAGTCTGTATGAATACCCTGTGCACCAAAGTATATGCATGTCCGTCGAAGCTCAATTACACCGCCAAAACTGTGAAGCAAGCCTCGCAGACCCATCATTGGAGAATCTGTGTTGCCGTGGTCTGATTTCAACCTCTTCAGCTGGCAAACCCGCCCCCTTATCGGAAAAAGCAAACCTAATTAACGCGACAATGACGCGAAGCATTGAGCTCCAAGTCACGTCATCCCTGAATCGCGACACCCCAAAGGGGTAAATGGAGACAAGCAGTGGATACGAAATGGGTCCCGATTGCGAATGGTCGCACGGGCAACCCAAGATAAGGGAAAGCTTCCTGTAACAGATATTTCAGTAGAATTTTCCTCCCCTGACGCGGTTGAAGCTCTCTTCCTTCACGATCATCAATCTCCTCCACATTCCACAGTTCCCCAACTTTCTCCCCACGATCTTCCCGTACACTAAAACCACCAACAACCGTCACAATGTCTACCGCTTTCGTCCAGCGCCCTGCTCCTGAGTTCAAGGCCACCACCCTCTTCCCCGGTGGTGAGTTCAAGGACGTCTCTCTGTCCGACTACCTCGGCCAGTGGTAAGTAGCTCTCCTGCTTCCTTGCGAGACATCACGTCTCCCAGGGAGCGAAAGAACCCATGCCACAAAGACAGGATAACTAACACGCACCGTCACAGGGTCGTCCTCCTCTTCTACCCCCTCGACTTCACCTTCGTCTGCCCGACCGAGATCATCCAGTACAACGACGCGCTCCCCCGCTTCAAGGCCATCAACACCACCGTCCTCGGCGTCTCGACCGACTCGCACTTCTCCCACCTCGCGTGGACCGAGCGCCCCCGCAAGCAGGGCGGCCTCGGCGACGACCTCCAGCTGCCCCTGGTCGCCGACAAGTCCCACAAGATCTCGCGCAGCTACGGCGTGCTGATCGAGGACGAGGGCGTTGCCCTGCGCGGCCTCTTCATCATCGACCCCAAGGGCGTCCTGCGCCAGATCACCGTCAACGACCTGCCCGTCGGCCGCAACGTCGAGGAGACCATCCGCCTCGTCGAGGCCTTCCAGTTCACCGACGAGCACGGCGAGGTCTGCCCCGCCGGCTGGCAGAACGGCAGCAAGGGCATGAAGGCCGACCCCAAGGGCAGCCTGGAGTACTTTGCTGCGCAGAACGGCGAGAACGGCCATGCCAACGGTAACGGCACCAAGAGGCTTCGCGTTGATTAAGCTGGGAGGAATAAGAGCGTGTTAGACTTGTATTATGAGTGTAGAGAATTAGAAGTATAAAAGTAGAACTAGAAGGGCGGCTTTAGATTCCAGGTAGAAGACCTGGCAAATGCTCAGACGTCTAGACCTAGATCAATGCGAAAATAGGTGCGTTTGCACACTTTCCCACACAGGCATTGGCTACATCCAGGGTGATTCTTCACTCCCACCACTTTACATCCGTCTCTCTGAGGGTGTTGCTTCCGCAGTGAATCTCTCCAAGCCCAACATGGTGCGACAAAAAGTCGTCGACGAATCCAATATCTATACCAGTTGCACCATACACCGCCCTCACTCTCTCTTCAAACAGATCCTTCCCGTCAACCATGGGCCCCCAGGGCTTCGGGCTCAAGTAATGTCCTCCCAAGACAATACCGTTGATCGCAGCAGGGCTGAAGCTCGCCACCAGAAACTCGTCCGCCATCACCGTGTCCGTGTGTGAAGGCAGTCCGTCGTCGGAGCGGCTGAACCCCTGGCCCATGTTGAGATCCTTGAAGAGCACCGGGACCCGAACGACATGCTCTCTCGCAATCGGGATCTCGGAAAGGAGTGTTTCGAGGTTGGCGTCGATGTGCTTCTGGGCGTAGGCATTCACCTGATGGAACGTCTCGTTGGCGAGGATCTGGTCGATTGTCGTCGCCAACTCCTCGGCAGAAGTTGAGAACGCGTTGTCGAGGCTGCCGTTGAATGACACAGCCCGCACCCCGCCGTGGCCTGCGGTAGATGCGTTCCGCAGGATCTCGAGAGCGGAGACGGTATCCGCGCTGCCGATAGTGAACCCGAGACCCGTGTTATTAGACGGCAGGAACTGCACGAACTCATCGACGTGGCCGATTAGCAGCCAACCGGTCTCAAGCATCAGCGGCTTCTGCAACCCCTGCCCGTCGAGGAACTTCGTCATCGACTCCGCGGGCATCTTCTCAAAGTGCTTGCCCTGAATAATACGTCCGACAGGGTACCTGATGCCGCTTTTGGAGGTATACGGTGGGATGGTCTCGAGGTTGCCAAAGGAGTTGATCTCAAGATGTCCAAACCCGCGACGGCCCCCTTCAGGCTGAAATCCGCCCACGCCCTTACCCCTCAACTGCTCAAACACCTGACGGCCGCCAGTCCGCGTCGACTGCGCAGACCTCAGCACAATGCGGATCGAGACAGGGCCGTTCGGGCCCGGCATGCTGGCGTACGCCGGCTCGATGAAGTCCTGCGCCCAGATGTCGCTGCTCTGGTTGAAGAGATAGAGCGGCGTCTGCAGACCGGCGGCTGCGCGGCCTGCGTCCAGCTGGCGGATGAACTCGAGCTGGACGGGGTCGGAGTCGTTGGCGGCGGTGCTGATGAGGGTGTCGACGCGCTGGAGGTGGTGGTGCGTGAGGACTGGTGCGACTTTGAGCTCGACGGCGTCGGAGAGGATCGTGGTGTTGACGTGGAGGTCGAAGTGGACCGTGACTTTCCCATCCCACTCCGAGGCGTCTGTGACGAACTCGCGGCCGTCGATGCCCAGGGAGATGCCGTTCTTCAGTTGTGTGGCGTTGAAGATGAATTCAGGGTCGACGAACCTCCATGCGGCGGTTTCGCTGGCGCGGGAGGGAAAGTCGTTCACGAACAGGCGCACGCTCTTTGCCGCAGCTTTGGGGGTAGCATAAATATGGGCAAAGACGTCATCCGAGACATCTACCGGGGCGGTCTTCAACGGCGCGACCAAGCCTGGCTCGAGGAGCAGATGGCCGGAGGCATCATTGCAGGAGGCGAGCTCATGGTTACTCAGGGGGTTCCCCTGGAGGTCGGTGTTCGCACAACGGCGGAGAGAATCGCCGACGTTCGGGAGGAAGATCGCTCCCCGTGCCGGAGTCCAGAACGCCTTGTCAGCGTCATCGGCCTCGTTGACGGCGCCGTCGCGGTTGGTGTCTGCCCGGATGACGGGCCGTTGGGCGGTGGCGGCTCCGAGATGGAGGGCGGCCAAGGCGATGGTCGTCAAGTTTGTCGGAAGATGCATCTCGGGTGTTGGTGACATTGAAGACCAGTATGGAAAGAGGAGCTTGAGGGAGAGTGCCTGGCTTGTTCTCAGTCTTGTCGCGGCAGTTGATATCTTATATAGTGATTTCTTTGCTCACCAGGAACGCCATGAGCACCGCCATCACCGACCATGCAGACCTTCCTGGCTTGGAAAAAAGCTCATCGGTGTCCGCGGGCGACAGATCCAGGTGGACTTTACGGACTTCGCGATCCTCTTCGTCGCCTTTGATTCGACATTGTTTTCTCGATGCGGTCGCCATGATTGGCGATCCTACCTCGTATGGTACCCTCCCCACCGGAATGTTGATAACATTGCCGTTATCAAAGAAATTTAGAACAGAAAAGGAAACCGCGCATTCATGCTGGAGAAAACCCGCAGCCATTGAGGCTATCTCGACTCATAGATCGTGGTGCACTAAGCCAGATCGGGAAGATTTCGTGGCCAAGAGATTTGGGTGGGGTTCCCCGCTTGAATTGCTGCCCAGATCCTGGACTGAGTCGACACCCATCGAATTAACCGGCCCTTGACATGATTAGGCAGTTAGTCCCTCGAAGATGATGGACTGTGGAAAACGGCATTGAAGCAAGTAACATTTTTGAACGCTTTTGGCTACCATTCATGTTCCATTCGACTCGGCAATTGACGGCATGAGATAACACAAGCCTTACCCGTTACCCATGGTTATTGGTCATTCGCAGAGGCTTGAGAAAACTGAAGAGTCTATGCAAGTGTCTCTAATGCGTTTGAACTATAAGTCTATGCTACGAATTCTACTCTTATCCCAGCCATTCTTCCCAATCCCAGTGGGGCTTTGCTGTACCAGCTGGGTTGTAACTATACATGTAGTAAATCAGTGCTGTGGCGAAATTGAGACAGAAGAAATACCACGCGGTGAACATTTCGACCGTTTCTCGTGCGTGGGAATTGGCCGCCACTCTTCTCAAAGCCTCCAATGTCTCCGCGGCGAACCACATGGCAATCGCGCACCAAGTCGCAGCTATAATGGCCGTGATAGACTGGGCTATAATTGAAGATGTATTGGACGGAACCAGTTGACTCATGAGGTAAGAGCCCAAGGTCAGGAGCACTAGTACAACCAGTATCAAACTTGACTCCAGTCTGTTCTTTATGTCGGCAATGTTCCCGTAGTATAAGTAGAGGAGCGCGGATACAGCCAACGGGCAGCCCAGCATGCCGGTGGTCTTGGCCAACCACTGAGGTTGGATGTGATGAGGTTGCCCCCAGCAATCTTGGGCAGCCGCAGATGCGAACCACAGCATGAACATGACCGCAAGAGCGATTGAGGAGTAGGTTACCAAGTATGGCGAATGTTCATCGTTGTCGGGCTGGGGATTCTCGTTGGGCTGGGGATCCTCGTTTGACTGGGGGTTCTTGTTCGGCTCGGCAATTGAGATAATCATCTCAGGCCAGATCATCGCAGGCCAGACGACTAATAGTTCGGAAACGATAAACGAAAAGACGAACGCCACAGCGATGACTTTTGTCCATACAAGCCCCTCGGAACCGCAAATCTTGATGAATGTGCAGATTGGCGGGGAGGAGGTGATGATTCGCGGCAGAATCTTGGAGACCACTGTCTTGAGAATTCGTTTGGGAGAGCCAGTAGGCGAAGCATCTCGTAGCTCGGCGTGATGCTGACCCTTGAATCGCCAGCCGAGCAGGGCTTTCATGACCTCGTAGAGGGATCCTTTAGTACAACAATACCACGCGAAGTGACCCATGATGTTGATCGCGTCGATAATGCAGATGACAGGAGATATACGAAGAGGGAAGCCCACGTCGGCGTCAGCTTCGCATATAAGCCCTGATGGTTGGGTCATGGAGTTGTAGGCAAGGCCACTAAGGGTCGCAGTTATCAATTGGGCGGAGACGATCTCGGCTGTGCTTGTTGAATGGTCCATGGCTGCGCTGGAAAAGGGTTTGGCATAACAGTGAATATGACATAAACAATAGTGATGAGAGCTGGTTGCTGGTTGTGGTATGTGTGAATGGATGTCTGGCTCATCTGCTCCTCACTGAATGGATTCAACCTTCTTATAGGACTGACAACTTGCTGAGGCATGGTGTCTGCTTGTATCAATATCGCGAAGGGGCAACGGACGGTCCCATGGGCAGATTGATCTCAGCCTCCTATGCGTCGTTCTCGGACTTCGGCCCATGCCATAACGGCTTTTTCCTATTTGGGTACTTCCACCAGGGGAGAACGATGGCAATCTCATAGCCGATTAGCATTGGCATCAGCGTGTGAAAGCAACGCAATTCAGCCTCATCAGCCACGAGCAGACGCCAAGCTAGATCAATAGCTTGGCGCTTTGTTTCCACGAGGCTCTTCTCTGGTGAGGCTGAGAGTGCAGGGGAGAGACTATGGCTTCGGACCATCGTACCTGTAATTTTCAACGTCTAACTATGAGTCGGCTGCATCCGAACATGCCCAAGTCAATACTCTCTTCACCTCGCTGCAGTGCCAGTAGCCACTGCACGTATGCCCGTAAGCCATGCAGACCTGCCATGCAGTGTTCCTGGTTCTTAAGCAGTATGAATGCATCGGTAGCTGAGTACGCCATGTCCTCCTCCATTTGGAAGTAAGACTTAAACTCAGTACGACAAAAGTCACGATGCATCTTGCGCACTGCAGCAGCCTCGGTGAAGCAGCGTCACCGGAGGTTGCCGGAAGCATGCAATCTGCGTATCACCACCCGTACGATTTCGTATGGATTCAACCATTCATAGCGGCACACGCCTCTTCACAACTCGGTGTTCCATCTCGCGCCGCGGGCCTGCAGTACGACATGAAGCATTATGTCAAGTTAGGTCAAGCGAAAAACCTCAATGTCTCATTTCTGCGATGGTACAGCCTCGTAGTTGCTAATCATGTGAGAAGAGGCGGAATTTCTTGCTTCAAGTCTTAATTACACCACAATCCCTAAATGATTATTAGCATAGAACCTCCAGCGGCATCAGTGCGAGATAAGTCTAGTCGAGACTAAGACCGACGATGTAACCAGGAGATCGGTTTATCGTGGCGCTTGTTAGGCAGAATGCGGCGGCGGCAAATTCCTTGCGATCTTTCAGGGGCAATCGAAACCTTCCGAGCGACGCTAAATCGTTTTCGTTTAAGGCGAGCGTACTAAGAAATAGCTAGATACGCATAAATACCCTTTCTCCCTTCTAACTTTTGCATACTTTCGCGATCAGGTTCATTTGAAGGGGAAAATGGGCATAATGTTATACCATAGAGGATAGTTTACTTTTACTGTGCTTGCAAGGCTCTACTTCTTGTTAGTTAACGAGACTCGGAGTCATGTTCAGGTTGAGCGTAATGGCTGGGATGACGACAACGACGTCTACAGTAAACCTGCAAGCATGCAAACCTGTTGAAAAAGTGTTCGCTCTCTTACAAAATTTCAAACTCATCTTGCTTGTAACTACTGCTCCCTTCGCTAGGGCATGTGCCAAAAGAGGTGTGCAGGTTTTATTTATCCAGCCTATTGGCTCTGGTAGCTATGATTCAATTGGAATATATTCACTAATATCAGTACTGTGTACGATCCTCCTTAATTCTTATAAGGATTTTAAGCTGCTAGCTGACAGCTTTCAAAGAATGGCGGGGAAATGCTTTGAGCTGGGCTGGGGATACAATTTACAAAGGATTTCTCGAAGCACTGATATTTCGGTCCTAGCAAACACGCCAATCAAGGCAACAGCCAATCAAAAGATGGAATAATGAATGATCAGCGCTGCGTTGTACTTTTTGAGCTTGCGTCTCTCGTGCCACCGCCCGCAAAGCCAAAAGTCCCATTTCATGGCTTGGGATGATGTGTCAGCAAAGTCAACCGCGCCCTTATTACAACCTCAATGACATCAACCTCACCCGTCTGTGAAACCACATAAAGACCGGGATCCCAACTCAGAAATTCTTTTCTTCAATTGCGAGCCTTTCCTCCTACGATTTCAAAAGCATAGCAATCATGGTCAGCTACACTCAATTCACCCTCGAAACCAGGGCCTTCCGCCTCTCCACGCCGCCGGAAGCGCTGCAAGAACTGCGCGACCTCGTCCGACTGTCAAAACTCGGTCCGAGGACGTACGAGAACTCGTATGCGGGCGGGAAGTACGGGGTCGAGTATGAGTGGATGGCTGAGGCGAAGGAACGCTGGGCGGATGGTTTTGACTGGTGAGCATCCCCCCTTTGACACTACATATACATTTGTGTGCGAAATTTCGTCTAAGAGTGCGAGTAGGACGGCTGTTGAGGCACGTGTGAACGAATTCCCCAACATCAAGGCCAAAGTTGTCGATGACGACGGGGCTACGTACTCCATCCACTTCATCGGCGTCTTTTCACAAAGGAAGGATGCGATCCCGTTGATGTGCATCCACGGCTGGCCTGGTAAGCACTCACCATTTTCACAGTTTAACATCTCAACTAAGTATGTGCAGGCAGCTTCCTCGAATTCATCGGCTTCCTCTCCGCTTTGAAGGCCAAGTACACCTCCGAGAACCTGCCCTACCACGTCATCGTCCCCTCCCTTCCAGGCTACGGCTTCTCCGACTCCCCGCCGGTAGACAGAGACTGGACGCTTCAGGACTCCGCGCGGCTTCTGCACAAGCTCATGGAGGGGATGGGCTTTGAGGGCGGGTACGCCGTCCAGGGCGGCGATATTGGGAGCTACACGGCGCGGATCATGGCGCGCACGTATGACTCTTGCAAGGTGCTTCATCGTGAGAAACTTCCCCTACTAAACTGTGATTGATGATCATCAGCTGAGCAAAGGTTATGGTCTAGTGAACTTTTGCGCCATGACATGTCCCGAGGAGGCAGCAGACACGCCGCTCGAAGCGTATGAGCGAGAAGCCCTTGAGAGGAGCGACAAGTTTGTCAAGTTTGGCACCGCGTATGTGATGGAGCATGCTACGAGGACGGCTACAATCGGGTTCGTGCTGTCGTCGAGTCCTCTGGCGCTGCTTGCTTGGTATTTTAACCCCCTTCATGTTGACAGACTCATTACTGATAAGCTGGGCAGGATTGGTGAGAAATTCCTCACGTGGACGCACGAAACCCCCTCCATGGACGAGATACTCGCCTCAGTCACGCTGTACTGGCTCACACAGACGTTCCCTCGCGGTGTATACCCGTACAGACAGGTACGTCATCTCACGACATGGTTGTGTTTTCGCTGTAGCTGACCCATAGCAGGAGGTCATCGACGACACCCACGGTTCCATGACCGACGCGGAGTGTCGGAGGGTGATCAAGGACGGCGCGAAGCGGTACATGTTCCATCCGGACCCGAAGTATTACTGCGAGAAGCCGATGGGGTATTCATGGTTCCCGTACGAGATTGTGCCGGTGCCGAAGGCGTGGGCCGCGACGACGGGGAACCTGGTCTGGTATCGGTCGCACGAGAAGGTGTGTTTTCCTCCTCATCTTTCTGCATATATATCACGTACTGTACTAACATGAATAGGGGGGACATTTCGCGGCACTGGAGCAGCCTGAGGCCCTCCTTGACGATGTTGAGGAGTTCTTGAAGCAGGTCTGGGGCCCGAAGTAGTCATCACCTCATTGTTGTCTTGAGATTTTACCGTCATCAGAATGATTTGAACTCATGGCGAGTGAGACGATCATGAAAATCCCGCAAATTGCGAACAAGACATAGAAAGTCACTACTTGTGTTGTCATAGTTTTTGTGCGATGGGTAGAAAAGGCTATCAATTATTGGCATACTACTCGCGACGAGTGGCATAGACATTCTTAGGTCATATATTCTCCAAAATTTCCCAATTTTAACTCTTCCGTGGATCAGGAAGCTCTTCGTATCCATTGATTGATTGAATACTAAAATCTTCCGCCGAGAATGAAGATAAACAAGATACCGAGTTCCTTAACATCGCCGTGCATCACCGCGTCCTTGCCATTTCTTACCTCTCCACCTCGACCATTCAAGTTAGGACTACCCCTCTTGCTGTATGCCATCACTACGGGATTCTGTCGAATCAGGCCTTTTCAATCGTTCTCTAGCTGAAAATTTGAGAAACCGACCAGAGCTACTAATTCCTACACGCTAAACATTGTCTTGATAAGTTAGAACAAGTAGATATAGCTAAACGATTTCGCTTCGAGGACGATATGAAATATATGCCTCATGCAAAGCCTCTAGCAGCCACAGAGGAAATCAAAGTCGAACACTGCCTGCAATAGCTATCTGGCAAGAACAAGGTGAAGAAATACACTACAAAGTAACAATTGTGACCGACGGAGGCAATGGCGACAACGAAGCAGTGAAAGCCGTTGAGGCATGATTAGGCCTGCTGATATAGTCCTGTGATCGTCATGTTGGCATAATGTGGATTAGAACAGATAGCCGTGGATATGTTCTTCATACGAAGCAGGCAAGAGAATCGACACGCGTTAATTATTGCCAACGAGACTTCTACGGAACTGCAACGTCAAACCATCTTCAGCCATGCCGTGAACCAAACATGAAGTCTAGAATGACCCCACATTTGTATTCTACCCAATGTTGATAGAATGCACGATGACACTGGTATATGCACTAGTGAGCAGTGCCAAAACACGGATCATAACTGAGTCCATTCAAGGGCTTTTGGGGACTTGAGCAATTGTTGTAATAGGGAGAGAATACCTTTCGATGGTCACATACTACTAGCAGACTAAGGCTGCAACTTTGAGAGCCAATGTCCCCAATAAAAACTGTAATGACCATTCATTTGTATCCGGATGAGCTACTACGCGAAGTTATGGGCCAACAAGTGGTAGATTGCTGGGGCTAGCGCTGTAAGCGGAGAGGCTCCATTACACATCGTCGCCCGGGACGAAGACGGAGGCGTGGCGAGAACAGATTCGTTTCTAGAAAGTTCACTGAGACCAAGTTTGACGAGAAGTCATCTTGGACGTATCATATGCTGCTGGCTGAGCGACAGGTCAAGGACACAGCTGCGCTACCGAGGAAACTGATGTTGCTGCGCTATCATCGTTGTGGATATTGCAAGCCCCGATTTGGCACTCAAAGGGTCTCTGCTCACCATGTTTACGCACCACTTAATGTAACAACCAGATTCTTAGATCAACAGCGAATGCAAGAAAGCCATCTGATTTTTGTAATGCCGTCTTGAGACCGTTAAAAAGCTGCCTATCCTCCTTCTAGGTACGCAACCTATATCCCCTTGCCGACCACGATCGGCAGCCCTTTGGTTTGCTACGATCCCCAGAGTAAGGAGAATGCTCAAGCTGATAGATTGGTACCTAGATTCCAATGACGAAGTTCCGCCGAGCAAGGAAGAAGATGGTGCAGACCCAACTATGAAGAAGACGACCACCGCGACCCTCGTCAGCCATAGGTGTCACGTGCCTACTTAGTCGTTGAGCCACGAGACCGCAGATGAGCTTGGCCGAAGCTAAGGTACGATAAGGTAAGGCTAAAAAGCATTTGTGTCAATTGTGACCAATTGCTTTGCAAGTCAGGCGAGTGAGCGCTAGGATTTATGAGATCGCGGTAAATGATAGGAGGAAAGATGATGGTGGCTTCCGGGCTGCGATCCGCGTTCAAGGGGCAGACCCAACGACTGGAGACTTTGTACATCGCGGTGGAGCGACTGGACTGGACGACGTGCTGCGGCGAAGGCTTGCACTATGGTGATAGTTCCGGAGCACAAGTTAAACAAGAAACATGCTTGCCTTTCTGGAAGGTCGAGCAGCGCAAGTCTTGGCATGAAATGAACCCAGGTATTCGGGAGCATCCACATGGTTGCGGCCCGACGTGAGGTGACGCGCTAAGCTGTGGATTGAAATCACGATGTGGTCACGGACCTTTGGTTTGCGGTAACGAAATGAGGGCATGGGGCGCGTGTGCAAGATCTATCTTTGTGCAGTGGACCGATGATGATCAGCGTCGCCTGCTCGTGCCGTCCAGCGATCGCCTCAGCGTGAGACCGTGAGGACGATGATCGAATGGAGAAGTCTGACGTCTGTTCATGCGGGCAGAGACATTTCTCTTACTTGACGAGCGGCAGACCGACGGCGGAAAAGGGTGATCAGACTGATACTCGTAAGCGGCCTGCGTTCAAGCTTATTGAACAAGCAAACGAAGATGCTTGAAAATAGTACGAAAAATTCGATAGCTTGTGCAGAGGCCCTGCGGTGGTTGACCCGACGGCAAACATTTAATGTCGGTTAATACCAAGTTTTCCCCGGCGTGGTCGACTCGGGGCAGTGATGGATGGGGCGGGGAGGTCGGGCGGGTGGCTCCAGGAAGAAACCCCTGCGAGCCCACAGGACGCAGTTCACTTCCCAGTGAGCCCACCGATGGCCGTGGCAGCGATGTAACGCCGAGTGCGAAGGTTCAGGAGGTTATCCGTAACCCTGAAGTGGCGGCGGGGCTTACACGAGATTTTCCCACAGTTTTTGCTGCCGGGGAATTGAGAGAAGACGGTTGATGTTGACCGTGGGAGGCGACACAACACGGATTTCCAGCGGCTGGCATTTGCACTGTTTTGGAGGCAGGAATGGACGGGGGCCCAGATCGGTCGTGGTGTGCAGAATGCAGACTGATGCAGGACTGAAAAAGATCGTGGGGCATTGCAGGCTTGATCGACGCGGAGGATGTTTGTGTCACCCGTCGAGTCGTGGATTGTGGTAGGCTGATGGCGAGAATAAAGCACTGCAGCTGGAGACCCGTCCCAACGGACCGAGACGGGCTGAGCCACAAAAGAAACGACAATGGCGTTTTGAACGGGCGAAGAAGAATTAATTCTGGGGCGCGACGGTTGAAGAAAACAAAGGGGACGAAAAGTTGGTGAAGAAGCGGGAAAAAAGAAAGGAACAAACTCGACAAAGAGGAGCCCAACGGTGGAAGGTGCAGCTGAAGCCTCCAGAGCACGCAACAACTGTTGGATAACGCCTGCCTCCCCTCGCAGGCGGAACTCGTGGGACAATCAATGCAGCTAACGACTCGGTCGAGCCCACTCAAAGGGGAACAGCAGCCGGAGCAGAGGGCAGGAAGCAGCAGCCGTGTCCGGGGGGCGGACGGGGCCAGCAGGAAAGAGCACATGGCCGAGCAAGGAAGCCGTCCAATGCCGTTGGGGGGATTGCACGAGAGCACTCCACATGGTGTGGATACTTCGCAGGTAATGTGGATATGGGTGGAGATGCATTCGACGCCACGGCCCAAAGGGGAAACGATGGGCAGGGACTGACAGGGAAGGAACGAGGCATGAACCAGTCCGTCGGGGGACCGTCCCAAGCGTGCCTTCCATCCCAGACGAACCAATGGGCGGCTGTGGCTTCCCTCCAGAAGGTGGGAAAGAGCCATGCAGAGCCATGCGCGTGCAGCTGTCGACTGGTCCAGAAACCCACCCACCTGTGGATGTGGACACTCAGTGTGCTGCGCTGATTTGGCTGTTGGTGCAGCAGGTGCAGGTGAGAGTCTCCATGTCACTTTATTCCTTCCTTCCCTTCTTACCTCAAGGTACGACGGGAAGTACCTACCTCAGGTACGGTGTTGTTGCTCTGGCTGCTTCTGCTACTGCTGCGGGAGCGAGTCGCCAACCTTGGAAACTGCAACACACTTCCACTTCCACTGCTCCTACCTTCCGGAGTACCTTACGTTACCGCTGGCCGAATCCTTCTTTCTCGTCTTCTTCTTCCCTCCCCCTCCTTTTCTTTGCATCTGCATCTGCACCTAACTGCACCTGCATCAACATCCATCTTCCACCACTCACTCTCACCCAATCTTTTCCCGCTTCCCTTGTCATTCCTTGAAATCCCCCAACAGCCAAGCCGCCGTCAATCGTCCAGTCCACCCCGATTCAGTCGAGTCGACTACAGATACGGATACCTCATACACACACAGATAGAGTCCGAGTTCCAGCCACTCGCTGCAAATACCTCACTCACCCTACCCTCGCTCAATACCACCACCAACCACCAGTCCACCACCCACCTCACGGTACCGTACCTTACCTTACGGATACCGCACCAAGCCAGACCAGACCAGACCAGACCAACCAGGTGGTCCAGATCCAGTCCCGGTCAAGTCCAGTCCGGCCCATTCGCTCGCTCGTTCTCTCTGTCTTTTAATACATTACCACCTCGAGGCCTCGAAACCCGGTGTTTCGACCTCCTCTCGTCCCCTCCCTCTCTCTTCCACTATCGCACTGCCCGCAACACAGACATCACCGTCTGCCACCCGCATCGTCCGTTCTCTCTCTCTCGACGAGTCTGAGCACCCGCCCCAATCAATTCCCGACGCGGCATCCCAACGCAAACGAACCAGGAAAAAGGGGGAGACACCCTGACCGGCTACTTCGCATCCATCAGGGACATCTGTGTCACAACCTTGCGACAGTCATTCCACGCATTCCACCCGCCGCGATAAGCTTTTCGTCCGATCAATTCGCCCTTCCTACTTTACCTCCTGCATCTGCCACCGACCACAGACTCCGTCCCTCCACCTCTGTCTGTCATCTGTTGTACTACACTGTCCTCACCACCACGCAATTGAGTTTGGACACTCCCGCCGTCAATCGCACCTTACCACCGCACGAACCTCAGGAAGGCACATTAATCCACCACAAACACCACTATTGCAGTCGCAACAGCACAAATAATTCACAATGGCTCCCGGCATCATCGAACGCATCCAGCAAAAGATCGAGCTCTTCCGTCTCGAGCAGCGCTACACTCGTCGCCGTCATCGTCGATCCACCTTCATGTCCAACGCTGTCTACGTCGACGGCGAGTACGTCTACCAGACCCCCAACTCTACTGGCTCCTCCTCGTCTGGCAGCACCAGCAGCAAGGGCGTCAACGCCCTCCACCACGCAGAGCCCATCTCTCCCACCGTCGCCCCGTCACAGACCGAGCCCAGCAAGAAGCGATTGAGCCGCTTCTCCTCCATGCCCGGCTTCGGCTCAGTTTCAAGCAAGCAGAGCCCAACTCAGGACTGGCGGACAAGCAACATTACTGTCGACGAGGTCAGGCGGTAGAAGCCCATTGCCGAAAAGCGTTGGACGAATTGAAATAAAAAGGTGGACGATACTCGGGTCAGGACGGCGACCCATGACACGGCGACATGACAACACTCGGGGCTAGTCTTCGAGGTGCGACGACATTGCTGAAAAAGCAATTGGCACATTGCTCTTACGACTCTCCTCGGTCACGTCTCTACAGCGGCGCATTGCAACTGCATTGGGGGTGCCTGTTCTTGATCTTATTTTTTTATGTTTGGGAAGACCTCAGTAGACCTCAGCGGTCGATGCCGCGTCGCATAACTGCACACGGCGCCCCGAACCACCAGATGTCGCGACGACGATGACACTGGATCTTGCTTGTCTGGATACACTACACCGACTTGTAATTTTGACTGTTGCTCGGGATACCCACCGGCATACCGGCGTTTAGCACGCATTTTTCTCTTGTACATATCCAAAAGGATTATATGATTACTTCCACCATACTCTTGCTTGACATTATTTTCCGTGATTGCTGACGTTAATTGCAAGGGCGCACAGGGGATGTGCAGGAACGAGATTGAAATTGCAAACGCTGAAGCCGTTCCGTGTCTCAGACTTTTGGAGCCGTGTCGGCAATGATCGGCCTTGCGTTTGCTCAGCCACGCCGCCCACGCGACGTGTGCGGCAGGCACCTTGAATGATCTTCCCGGATGCACCAGCGACACTTGGCAGTTTGACCTAATGTTTCCCGCAGGCGTGTGACCCATATTGAACCCTTGCGGGGATGAGCAGTCCCAAGCTCCCGCAAGTGCTTGGGACGATGTCGGGCTAACCTTGGTATTCTTTGACAGAGTCTTGTTCACATCAAGAACAGGGGTGCCCCGTCGAAGAGGGCGTCCCACGATGTCAGCTCGGGGCCGTTTCTATGCGCTTGGCTCAGCTTCTCCACGAGACGGGCACCGTCTATCATGCTGACCGTGCCCAGCTCTTCGCCGATGGATTGCATCCCCGAGCACAGGTACCCGGCGGCTTCGTCGTCGCGACGGACGAGCGCGGCTTGGATGCCGCCGACCACCATCGGCCAGATGACGAATTTGTGCAGCAAACCGGCGCTGGTTGCGGGGGGGTCTGTCCTGTCTTGGGGTTCCCGTCGTTGGGCTCTTTGGTCGAAGAGGACGCGAATGGAGGACATTAGCGCATCGTATGCTGCCGCCTCCCTAGAGACAAGGGACGACATTGACTGTTGGGAGCGCGCGACAGGTCTCAGAGACGTCTCGCCTAGTCCTGCCAGGCTATTAATGGCATATAAAACCGTGGCGTTCAAGAAAGCAGTCATCAGAGCTTTCCATGCGGTCCTCGTCTCGACGTCTTCACTCAATCTGCCGGGCGTCAGCAAGACGGTGGCATTGGTCGCGACTTCAGCAGCCCAGGCATCGGGCGACGCAGCGTCGAGGAACTCCAGTACCGCCAACAGGCCTTGCGTGCGCGATTTCGCTGACGGAAGCAGAAGATTCTCTGCGCGCAGCGTGTTGATCTGGTTGATGGTCCTAGCCAGCCCGTTCGGCATAAGCGTCCACGGGTTGGCGATCTCAACCATGCTCTCGTCGAAGATCATCGCGTACGAAGCGTACCGCGAGAGAACAGTCTTTGCTGACGCCTCTGTCAGGCAGGTCGTCGATATGCCGAATATGTCCACGACGGCGACTTGTTGCAAGACGCGACAGAGGTCCGTACTCGCCTTGGCTAGCACTTCCATGCCGCCTTGCGCGGCTATTAAGCTCCATGCTCCGTGGATGTGAGCCTGCCATGGCGCGTATGCCGAGTACTGGATCTGTTAACAGGTCAGCAAGACAGCAGTGAAGAAGTTTTCGGGGAATGAAACCTGTGATGAGAGCATCAACATGATTCCAAGCAGAATCTCCGGCCCCGCCCCGGCGGCGTTCTGATCGGACTGGTGCTTCCCGAGCTCCTCGCTCAATGCCCTGATCGCAGCTGCTTGCGACGCGAAATGCACACTCTCAAAATCCCCCGCCGCCATGAGCTCCGAAATGTCCGACCCGTCGGGCGCCGGCCGGAGCGTCCCGGGGCTCACCCGCGCCACACCCGCCGGCTCCCCGCTGACGAACCTATGCAGCGCCGCTATCGAAATGTACGATTTGCGCACATACTCCGCCAACTCCCCGATCTCACTCGGCGAGATCTGGTACGGACTCCGCTCCGTCGCGTACGGCACCAAATCCGGTGCTACATGTAGATTATCTGTGCAAAACCCATCAGTACCTCCCTCCGTCCCGGGGCCGTCCCGGCGGGATGTGATCAAGGTAAGGGAGGGAGGGAAGAATACCCACAATACTCAATCGCATCCGCCGCAATGCGCAACTCCACCTCGGACCGCACGCTCCGCGGCGCGCGGCACACGATGCCCATCACGCTCGCGCGCCCGAGGCCCGCCTTCTCGTGGGCGCCGTTCTCGCGCACGCGTACGATGCCGTGGGACGTGAGGAGGAGCGGGTTGCGCCAGGCGATGGGGCGGGTTGGAGCGTAGCCGGGGCAGGAGACGGAGGCGAGGGCGCATTTAAGGCAGGAGGGGAGGGAGGAGTCGCAGCGTAGGCGGCGTTTGCGGCAGCGCCAGCATTGGGGGCCGAGACTCATGGTGGACGCCACGGAGGTGCGATGAGGTGTAATGGATGAGGTGTGGCGGTGCGGGTGGGATGGGGATGAAACTTGGCTGGGCAGATGGGAAGAGTGAGATGGGAGGAGAGGGAGGACTGCGGATTGCGGACGGATTGCGATGGCCGAGGGACGGAGGGGGTGGAGGGGAAGCTTATCGGCAGTTGGGACGCGGGACGGCGATGTCGGCCCCCGATGGCCCGGGCGTGGGGGGCGGGGGGTGCCGGTTTCCGGAAGTTTAGCGACGACGTTCGGATGACGGGCTGTAACAGCAGATTACTGCAAGCCGAATCGATACACGATTCATACGTCATGAAGTCGCATTGAATAGGGCTCTGCATTGCTTGCTGTATATCACAATCTGGCGTCTATTTAAAAAGAGGAAACGATAACCCATTTCCAGTGGTCAATATTTAAGTGATTATGGGATGCGGAGAAAGTCCGAAATGAATCCCTCTAATCTTATCGGCCATAGTCTCAGTAAGCCTGGATCTAGGTCTCGCTCTCGTGCTGCTCCTTCTCCCTCTTTCTCCTACAAGGCATGGGTCAATGATCCAGTTTAGGGAAAGGAATTGAACGTACTCGCTGATCTTCTTCGCCCCCGCAGCACCAGCCATAGCGCCTCCGATGGTGCTCAGGATACCTCCGCCGAGGAGATGTGCGGTCAGGCCGCCACCTGTGGCACCGATGATGCCGGCGCGGCTGGACTTTTCTTCTTGTATGGGTTGATGAGGTTTCTGGTGAACGGGATAGTATGGAGGTGGGTGGGAGGCTTGAGGAGATTGACCAGGAGGCTGAGGGGAGGGATTGGCAGACATGGGCAGCCGAACTGGTCAACGCCGGACCACGATGAAGTTGATGGGGCTGAAGGATCTCGGGCCCGAGGGTCCGGGCCTTGATATAGAGCTCTCGGAGCCTTGGCAAAATCAGATCATCGAATAATGTGAGCCAGCCGCATCCGATATCTGGTGCATGCAAATATTATAATTAGAGGAAGAAAAAATGCAACGCGCTGCAAGGAATGAGTACCTCGAGAGCAATGTTGAGGAAATTTCATAGCCCGGGCACCGAGGGTCAACAGTAGATAAACTCATTAAAAGCACTTCGGCCGGTGCTTCGTCCAGTAAGGAGATCGCAGTACACGTACCCAGAGTAGGAGAGCAATAAGCTAAATATTGAAGGCCTTCAAAATCGTTCGCTGGTGCCTGAAAGACTTGCCACTTTCTATCATCGAACAAGGATTATCAGAATAAGGCAATCTACGTGTATTTACAAAACTGTCTTAGGCGTGTCTTTCCATCTCGAAGTTTCAAAAGTTACTGTTCTGCTGATAACCTCCTGCACCCTGGGTGCCGCCTTCGTCTCTGATCCCCAGCTCCTTGCAATGTATCTTAAGCCAATCTAGAATTTGAGACCAGCTGCCATGAAGTTTCGCCAGGTCCTTTGCAAACTCTACAAGACTGTCAGGGTATTTCGGTAAAGCTGTAGAGAGCTTCATTACGTTGACATCTCGACGAATACCAAGGGCTTTGACAGCCTCCAAGTTCCCAGAGCGTACAGCATAACATAGCGGTGTCTCGCCATCTCCATCTTCCTTGTCTGGCATGATTGAGGGTAAGCTCAAGACTAGTTGCATTGCTTTTTGTCCAGCACGCTCAGCCAACCGATGTAACGGTGTGTTTTCAAGCTCAAGCAGCGTGTTGAAGTATTGATCTGGAAGCTTCGATAAGATCAGAAGAAATACTGACTCCTTTTCTCCTGCGTAGTCTAACGCAGTTTTTCCCTCTCTGTCAGAAGCTGTAAGGTCAACTTCAGGACAACCCAGCAAGAACTGAACCACATCGGATGCACCAGACATAGCAGCTACCATCAGAGGCGTCTTGGCTGATGAGTTTCGCGCATTGATATGATCTTTATCGTCGGAGTGAACAGAAAGGAGATATTCGACCATGTGCTTATGTCCGTGCAGAGCTGCAATATGCAGGGGCAGATCACCGAGCCCCCGCTTGCTCTCCATCGTTTTGGCGCCATTGCACTGCCACAACTCGCGATAGCAATCGACGAAACCAAGAAACGCAGCGTAATGAAAAGCGTTGTAGCCCTCGAAGTTAGTTCGCAAGTCTTGGTTCGGATCGTCTCTTATAAGTACCCTTGCAACCCGGGGCTTGTTGCAAATGACTGCAATGTACAACAGCGACATCGTCTCAAAGGGCCCTGCTTCACCTCCCGCCAAAGTGAAAAGATTAGTAGAATCACTGTCTGCATTCCAGATTTCGGCAAACCTAGTAATCGGGAAGGAATAATCTCGGTTCCTTCCATACGCAGATCCCAGAATGCAATCTCGAACCCAAATACGAATGAACGGTTCACTTAGGAACTCTCGGGACACGATCGGGCTAAAAGCAGCACGTGTAATACATAAAGTAAGATCGTAGCTGTATAAGCCAAAATGGTTAAAAAGTGTAAGACGGAAGCGTCCTTCCAATGTTGACCGCTCAGCTGCAAGCTGTCTCGCCAGCTCACTCAAAGGCTTGAAGTCGCACGACCCGCCACGTTGAATGGCGAGTCTGAGTTTTCGAATCATGTGGCGAATTTGTACGCCAATGGGTAATTTAGCTAGCGATTCCTCTGAGATGGGATCATGTCTGGGGACAACGAAGTCTCCATCCACCAAGAGCCTCATGAGCGTTTTCGTATAGTGTTTGGTCGGTCATTGACAGACCTTCTGAATGTTGGCGATCGCACAAAATCTTTTGGAAGTTTGTCGTCAGGTATTGCAGAGAACTGTCCAGCTCCCGGGCTTCAAATGGATTGGTATTGAAAGCCACATTGCCAACTTGCGAATTTAGGTTTTTGATATAGGATTCTGTCTCAGCCATGAACGACCTCTCATGATTCAACAGCTGCAAGAGAGTGATCACGTTGGTTCTAGACCTGTCAGCTACGCCGCATAAGATAGACGGCCCAACGAAAATTCCGTCTGCTTACAGCTACGGCGAACTTACAAGTCGGTGTAGTCCCAGGCCCATCGAAAATCCTCCTCAAGTGACTCTGCAGACCCTGGGCTTGTCCCGTCTCGAACGCTCGGGCCTTGTTCGTTCTCGTATGCTGGTCCCAAACCCGATGGGATTGGCGAGTTTGGCGATGCTTTCCTCCTCGCTCGTCGCTTGACCTCCCCTTCTGAGCAATCGACACCTTTGCTCTTGCATCGTTCGCACTTTTGTGGCCAGAAACGAGGCTGTGGATTGCACTAACAAGAATGTGAGCAAGGTCTTCCAACACTGGGTAAATATTTCAAGCCTGGAGGATCAAGAGCCTTTACCTTCACCTTATCATGACGACATTGTAAACACTTCTTGCTGTCCAACTTTCTCGGCTCCTTTTTCCGCTTCTGTGACTGTACTGAAGGTATTGGCAGGGCCGGGTGGGATTCTGTCGATGTCTCCTGAATGCCTCGAGCTCCCCCCTCCTGGAGTATCTGAGTTGACCAAGGGGCCGGCTCTGTGGCAATCAAAGGCTCTCGCAAAGCCTCAGTGTCTCGGGAAACTAGTGAAGGGCGCCTATGATACATTGCCATTGCAAAATGCAAGTTGGACGCTGGTGAAGAGATGGCTTTCTGGCTGCTGATTGACGTTGTGAGTTGAGAGCAGGAGAGTGCGATACACGAAGTGCGACGAGAAAGTGGGGGAGCCTGCCTAGGAAGTAAGCGGCTGATCCGGCTGCCAGGCTATGGTGGCATTCCGCCTGACTTCGCAGGAGACAAGTCTGAGGCATTGCGATGGAAATTGATTGGTCATCGCACTTCGACTTGAAGTGCGACGGCCTGATGTCCGACTTGGTGCATGGCCTGCAGCCGGGACTAGCCTAGCAGCACTAAACCCCGGTCAACCCACTTCAGGCACGAGACATGATGCCGTTCATTGGGCATTCCTAAGGCTAGGTACTGGGCTGAATGCTTCACGCAAAGTGGCCTGCATTGAACACAGCCACATGAATAATCGCACTTACGCTATCGCACTCTTCGATCTGCAGAATCATGCCCGGAAGGTGTACCCAGAGTCAACGTGCTCGGAACCCAATCATTCAATATTTTGGCCGCATAAGACATCAAATCGGCGCAAAAGTAAGGTTAAGGTAGATTATTATAAACGGAGCAAAACCCCAAGATCAATGGCGCGATCTAGCATCTCTTCTTTGCTTTCTGTAAAGACCAAAACATTAAACCCTTAGTACCTTTGAACCGTAATACAATGATACTGCCCTCCGCCACCGACCTTACCGTGATGTCGGTTCCAACGCCTACGTTCGTGCCGCAGACCACAGCAGCTACCTCGGCGCCATCGCGTCCCTCCCTCGGGATTAATGAGATGCTTACAATTGCTTTCGGAATTGTGGCATCGTTCACTGCAGTCATGGCCGTCATGATCGGCTGCATGCAACTCAAGAGGACTCGGTCACCTCGACCCGCTGGAGACCGTGGGGTCCATGCCGGAGACGGCATCGAGCTTGGGCCCGTACGGGGCAACGCCACGGCCAGGTCGATTTCGGCACCCCCCACAGCGGGCCGCAACTCAGCAAGTTCCACTTTTCTGGTGGACAATCGGATGAACAATGGGTATGACTCCGTGCGCCACTTCCGCGTTAGGTTTCTGCTGACATTGGATGAGTCCAGCAGAGCAACAATGTAATTCGACCCGATCGCATCTGCAAGTCGCCCAACGAATGACACACAGATAAAAAGGTTGATGGGTGACAGCATGAAGCCATCTGCCAAAATAACAGGAGGAATATTTGAATCGCGAGCTATCGCATGTTCCTAGCGACTGGAGCCAGGGTGTTGGGTGAATTAAAACCAGAGCGCTCATGGCACGGGGAATCGTGTTCCGATACGAACATGCATCTGTATTGTATTAGACAAGGCTTTCGGGTTGAAATTCTTGAATCTAAATCTTTATTTTGCTACCGCAGTGCGTCACAAAGGTCGGCAGGGCAATCGAACAGGAGTCGCCAGCGGGTTTGAAATCCGAGATGAACGCAACGGCCTCCAAGACCTCCTGCTGCACGCGCGCGTCAGACCAATTTTTTATCAGCCACTGACCTGCGCCTCTCATTCCTAATGTCAGCCACTCATCTCCTGCCGCTTGAAAGCACCTGGGCTGACTCCCCGATTCCTTCGGATTACGAAATCCGAAATCCGCCAGGCACATAGTCACCAAGGGCACCAAAGTCCCGTCCACAGGTGCGCGAAGCATTCCCTGGCCAAGCACCTTTCATCATCGCCAACAATGGAGAAGAGACGAAGGGCACCTGGTCACGCAGCACCATATGGACAGTCATGCACCAGCTGCTTCAAGTCCAAGTGCAAATGCATCTTGCGCTCTGATGGCGATGGATGTGAAAGGTTAGTGCGTGCATCGGCCCTACCCAGGGATGGGATGAACTCGGCATCTTGGTAACACGACGCACAGATGTCACCGACTCAAAAAGCCGTGTCACCCTGGCGATTCGATTCGACGGCAAGCTGCCGACAACACCCAAAGGGCAAACACGCGGATTGCTGACCTTGAGGGCAAACTGTCGAGTCTCGTGTCACTATTGCAGGAGCGCAATGTCATCGACAAGGACGCATCGACGACGTCTCACACCCGAGCAGGCTATGATGAGCCGCAGTTGAGAGACACAGAGGAAAGCGACGGGCTAGATAACGACGCGGATCGCGTCCTGAACTCCCAAGAACGGGACGATGAGCCCCAGCAGACCGCCTCTGTGCTCTCACCTCCACTTACTGGATCACCCGATTCACAGATAGCGCCCACCCCTCTGACCGCGGTAGCGAGACCATCGACCGATGCAAGCACTGAAGATTTCGAGCGATTCCGGTCCCTGATGCTTCCGAATTTCCCCTTCATCTGCTTTCCGTCCGACACATCTTTCGATAAGCTACAAAACGAACGTCCTTTCCTTTGTGAAGCAATCCGGTGCGTGGCCCCTCCGTCGGCAAGCGAGAAGCGGACGCGGGCACGTAAGCTGAAGCACATTCTCGTCGAGATGATGTTTCGTGAACAGAAAACCTCCAGCAAATACGCGTATATGGATCTTCTCCTGGGTCTTTTGGTATACATCGCATGGGGATGGGACCATGTTCTTTCAGGATGTAGCTTGACAAGGCTCATGACTTTTGCTACGACTTTGGTCGGGGAAATGCGTTTGGACAAACCTGAAAGACGACGGTTGAATCAAATGCAATACTTCGCCCCAGGAATTCAACACGATGATAACGAGGAAAGCGAGATGACAACGACCCAGGTCATGGAGTCTCAGCGTGCAGTCCTAGGTTGCTTCGCTCTTAGCTCTGCCATAGCAGCCTACTTCGGCGAGATGGAACCGCTGAAATGGACGTCCCAGATGAACGAGGGCCTGGCCGCCCTGGAAGCTCATCAGGAGTTATCTGACAAAGCTTTGGTTTTCCAAGTTCGTCTTCAACTGCTAGCCACGAGAAGCGCACAATTCGGACCCCAGACCTCAATGACTGGACTGCCATCTTCGGCTATCTTGGAGGGACAAATGCTTTTGTCACAGCTGCAAGACATCAGGGCATCTATGGAGTCAGAAAGCCTGCCTAAACAAGGTGATAGCAGATCAAAGCCCCGTTCCCGGAGCAAACACTAACCATGAGCTTCAGGTGTACTCCAGGCTCACACACACTACACCGAACTCCGCATCCTCGAAGCAGGATCACAAATTCGACCCCACGAGCCTCCGAAGATGTGCCCTGGACCTTTAAGTAACATGACAGCTCTCCCAAGCGACAGCGTCTTTTGTCTCTGGAAAGCAGAACTCGCCGTTAACGCCTGCGCGAGGGCCCTCCTGTGTCTACCATCCTCCGCCTTTCTCGGCGCATCGTTCATACAGTCAATCCAGTGGTCTCACCTAGCCAACTGTATTGCCATACTTTGCCATCTTGCCAAATCTTATCACGACCGTAGCGCGGATCCTGCTGTAGAGAGGGCCATCGGCGAGCTTCCCGGTGTTCTGGATCGCTTGGCTGATAAATTGAACGCTGCTACTGCCGAAGCTGGGGAAAACGGGCCTTATGATGTGCTTAATCAACTCGCGGATGGAATGCGCAATTTTCGTTCTTCGATCGATGTTGATGCGGACAGTTCTGGGGTAGAATCTGGGTCGGGTACTGCCACCTCAGCGGTGCCATTCCGGAATCCTGGGGCGTGGTTGGGGCACATCTGGGATGATCTGAGTTCGTAAACATATTATTCTTAGATAATTAATGAGATTTCACTTTCTATAAATCGAGAAAGTCAGAATCATTTAAAGTTGATCGCATAGGCAGTAGTGAATTTTTAACAAGGGCTCCAGACGTAGGTGGGCCTTGGCAGACCGGATTTCAGAATCCGGCCCGGATGACACTCGGTGAGACTTCACACCCGTTGTGCCCCTTTCGTCCCGCAACGCCTTACCGGGCAGACTCCAGGCCGAAATTCAGCTGATAAATGCAATCAGGAAGTAGAAATTGGAGGAATGTCGCAGATTAGCGGAAATTCGAATCACTCGCCCGCAAATCCTGTCCGAGATAGCACACTTATAAAGATGGCGTCCCGGTGCCCCGTATTTTGGCTTTACTATCCATCACAAGCTAAACATATCGCAAGAAGTATTAGGCTAAAAGACTAATTTTTTCATTAAGATGGCCGTCTCATCCTCCCACTCAACCACGCCACCGAAGGCTTCTGTTACTGATCAGCAACCGCCAGAAACTTTGACCGACACCTCTCAGCAACAATCGGATGCCGAGAAAAGCGGATTGGACGGTCACACGGAGCCTGGAGATGTACCGAACTATCCAAGCGGTATCAAAAGGGCCCTGATAATTCTCCCACTCACCATGGCCTACTTCCTCCTTTTTCTTGACCTGGCCATTGTTTCAACCGCGACACCGGCGATCACCTCGCGCTTCAACTCCCTCATAGACGTGGGCTGGTACGGTGGCGCATACCAACTGGGGAGCTCTGCGCTACAGCCTTTGAGCGGCAAGATTTACCAGCACTTCTCTGCGAAGGTGAGACGTCCGAGGCCACAGGGCATACCTTAATTCGCGGACCATTAACAATGCTGCACAGTGGTCTTTTCTGGCCTTCTTTGCCATATTTGAAATTGGTTCGCTGATATGTGCAATTGCGACATCTTCATCCATGTTCATTGTCGGAAGGACTATTGCTGGTGCGGGATCCTCGGGTCTCGCTAATGGCGCCTTGACGATCATCTCCTGCATCATGCCCACCCGAGAACAAGCGAAGTTCTTGGGCCTCAACATGGGCATTGGTCAGCTTGGCCTGGCTCTGGGACCTGTGGTTGGCGGATTGTTCACGGAATATGTCTCATGGCGCTGGTGTAAGTCTTGCTGCTGCGACCTCGAACCCCTTACTTTGGAACAGTCTACAGACACTGACGCATTTGATCCAGGCTTCTACATCAATCTGCCAGTCGGTGTCCCAGTCTTTGGGCTCATCCTCTTGTTCCGTATTCCCGATGCCGAGCCTAAGCTTCCAGTCCGAAAAGTTCTTGGGACGGCGGTCAAATCCTTGGATCTTCCCGGCTTCCTGCTCATCAGCCCGGCGGCCGTCATGTTTCTACTTGGACTACAATATGGAGGCAACCAACATCCTTGGGGGAGCTCGGTTGTCATTGGGCTTCTTGTCGGCGCCGGAGTCACCTTCATCTTGTTTCTCGTCTGGGAGCACCGCCAGGGCGACGCGGCCATGGTGCCATTCGCTATGCTAAGGCATCGTATCATCTGGTCCGCAGCAGGAAACCTGTTCTTCCTGCTCTCAGCTATTCTTGTTGGCGATTTCTATCTTTCGATATACTTCCAGGCTATCATGAACGACTCGCCTTTCATGAGTGGAGTTCATTTATTGCCGACTACTCTTGGAATGGTTCTGTTTACCATGATTTCGGGTGTTATGAGTACGGTTCCAAAGTCTCAACTGTCGATAGTGCCGGGCTGACTTCTTGTCCTTAGTTGAAATGCTCGGCTACTACCTTCCTTGGGTAGTGAGCGGAAGTTCAATCACGGCCATCGGCTATGGGCTCTTATCGACTTTGAGTCCGACAACTCCTGCCGCGAAGTGGATCGGGTACCAGGTATTCTATGGTGTGGGAAGTGGTGCAATGGCATCGTCTGTAAGTCAGCTGACTATACACGTCTTGATTGGATAATGCTTACCATCTTGTGTGCAGGCCTACATCGCTGTTCAGAATCTCGTCCCGGCCCCTCAGATCCCTGTCGCCATGGCCATCATCATCTTCACGCAGAACATCGGTGGAGCCATCACTCTTCTTGCCGCAAACTCCGTCTTCAGCAATTCTTTGAGAAAGGAACTGCAGGAGCGGGTCGCCTTGATTGGCATGGAGCCGGATGTGATCATCAATGCTGGAGCTAGCTCTGTGCGGAAACTTGTTTCGGGCGACCAACTCCGCCATACGCTGCAGGCCTACAGTAGTAGTGTTGACAAGGTCATGTATCTGGGGGTTGCAGTCAGTATTGCTACGTTTGCTTTTGCGTGGGGTCTTGGATGGAAGGACATTCGAGTCGAGAAGAAGCTAAAGGCCATCAAGTCCGAGGCAGACGGAGAACAGTCACTGAAGCAGTAATGAGTGGAGGATTCAACATCTGTTAATCGTGTAACAACCTACCCATCAAATTAATACGAAGCTACTGGCAGACTGATAGAATACACAAGCTCGTCAAATGGAGCGGAAACAATTGATATCTACTGATCCTGGGACGAAAGATGACCTCGACGGGGTAATACAATAGCTCCGGCGTCGACGTAGCATTCGCAGGAAGACATGATTGGCGGTTATTGGGGCCCAATTGGACGGAAATCGAAGTATCCTGGAGTAGCATTAAGGCGTAGTGGAGGCCCCATGGTAGGTGGAAAGCCTGGGACTGGAGGTCGCAGATATGGCGTAAAGTCGAAGCAATTCTTCGTACAGTGCCTAAACATGATGACTGGCTTGAACTTTGGCATAGCATCGAGTTCGGCCATAACCCACGGATGACTCTTGTTCCAATGTCGGCCTTTCAAGTTGATCCTGGCAGGGTCGAAGATTTCCACATCTGCTGGTGGCTCCCAGAGCAGCTGCTTCGGACCTCGTATGCGGGCCCAACTCTCGGTGTACCTGTAAAATAGCCAAAGATCGCAGACATCTTCGCGCCATGTATGCAATTGATGCTCGAACGCATCTCTGTTCAATATCTCGCGGAACAAGATCTCAGATTCACCGTCCCCGACGCCATGTCCGATAAAAGGCAGCCCATCCTCCCATAGGCGGTGCATCCTTTGCAAAGTTTTGTGATAGAAGGGACTCACCAGCCTTATTGGACTGTCGAATAGATGTTTTCCGTCGACCAGTTGGGCTGGAGTGTGTATGTTGAAACTCATTAAGCAGACAAAACATTCTTTGAGAGACCCCAACAGCTGTAAATTTTGGACCCATCTCTGGCGAAGAAAAGGCTTTCCATGGTAGTCGCGCTCTAGGCCGTTGAAGAAGGTCTCCGACAACAGGAGCTCGTTCGTGATCGAGACGCCTTTGGCGAATTGAGCGCAGGCTTTCAGAGAAGGTACTGGGCTTGGCTCGTCCTCGATGGCAGTTACAGAGCCATATTTCAGATCCCAGTTCAGGTGAATGACATCTTGATGTTGAAACCATTGTCCTCTGATCTTGTTGAAGGTGTCGTTGGCTTGACTGGGGTGAAGCTTTCTATCCAGATAGCATCCATTCTCCTGGACGACCTGCCGGGCTTCCCGGCACACTCTGCCGACCGCTGGTGGTCCGCCATTGCGGCGCGAAGCATTGCGCATGTCACATAAGCGATTATTTGATAGCCAATGTGGCAGGCTTTCTTGGCGCGTTGGGTACGGCGCGTCAAGTTCTGTGACATGGTCGGCGGGAATTGAGAACTGCCAAATCTTGAGGCGCAGCTCTGGAGGTAGCTGTTGGAAAACGGTGAACTGGGTTGCCATCCTGGAAAAAGAAGCGAGGGAATAGCACAAGTTATTGATGGTTGATTGATAATCCGGTATGAAAATAAAATCAGAAGATGCTTTCAATTGTAGTCCGAGGAGACGGGAAATCATATTGATATAATTTCCACCAGTTCTTAGGCTAGGAGAGGGTGTATTTGAAAGCGCTTGGAATTCGCGGCATGAGAAATGGCCTCGACCAGGGTACCTGTCAATTTGACAAGGGTTCCATGGTTGCCTGGGCCGGTGGATACAGCATACCGCTCCACTCATTTGGCCTGGCCACGTTCTTTTGATCACAGGCCCCTTGTCGTTTACATCGTCTCACGCTGCGAGGTTGACCTAGAGGGAAGAATAGGAACTGCAGTGCTGACGTTTTCAGAAAGCACACTGAGAGCTACATATAAAGCACAAGAGGAAGATCTGCGGGGGAAGTGGTTGTAGGTTGTGCACCTCCATTTCGATTTTACTTGGCCAAAAACACCAACTAGCTAGTACTTCAAAATACATGAGAGTTAAGGGACTGAAAGAGAGGTGTACATATTATGTAGTGGCGGATTTTGACAAAAGAAAGTAAAATAAGCCCTTATGCTGGACAATAGTTTGCCAACGTGGTCTTCGAATTGCTCTGCAGCCTGTCCAGTTGCTGAATTACACTATGATAGATAAACAAGTTCTGGTCAGTCTTCAGCAATTCAATGGAGAAATGTTGCGGTATATTCACCCAAAACAACTTACCTCGTATGACTTGCGGATTGGGCGCTCTTTGAAGTATCCACGAGATGGATGTACGAGGCGCCGTTCATCCCGCTGTTCGGGAGGATCTGCACCGGGTCCAGCTCCGTCCACGTGGTACTGCCATCAACTGACGAAGTGACGGTCTTAGTGAATGGCGTGTGGCCAGCCTGAGTGAAACCGTTCTTAACGTTACTCAGCTCCTTGTCCCACTCGTCGGCCTCACGCATCTCTTTGTGACCCTCGACAGAAGTCACAAAACCTTTCCACATGTCCGAGGTGCCATCCCACGCATCAATGTCGACACTCGTGTGTTGCAGAATTATTTGGCGAAGATAAACGATGTTTGCATCCAGAGACTTGATCATATCGTCAAATCTGTAGTTCGCTTTGGGGTCGGTGTACTTCGCTGGGAAGAGCTTGGTGGGGGCCTGCTGTACAGAATAGACCTTCTCTCCCAGGTTGGCCTGAATTGCCTGAACAGCCTTGAGAGGATCAGGCAGATCTCCTAGACCTCGACCGTCAACAGTCCTGTCATTAAGTATCAGTGGCAAGCAATTGTAAAGGTACACGGAAGAACGAATGTCTATCAACGTACCCAATCGTCCACTGAGTGACTGGATAGTTCTTTGACGTCCTTTGCACATATTGAGCAAATTCATCAAAGGAGCAGTAGGTGCCGCTGCTCGATATACACGGAGCGAAGGCTTGCACACCGAGGCCAACGACAGCAACATGTAGCCGATACGTGTAGTACAACATGACCATTTGCCATGGGCTGGCCCTTGTCGACGCGCAAACCTCCGCAGCCAAGTGAAGAAGAGCGAAGAAAACGACGGAGAGCTTCATGATGAGAAATGTCCGCGCCACTTCCGTTCACCTTGGAGAGGTCAGCATGAAGACAGTTTGAGTGTAAAGGTCTCGCTTACGAAGAAGAAGATGTTGAGACCGATTTGGTTGAGCAATTACACTCTGACAAGAAGATGAATAAAGTATCAGAGCACATCATGCAATATTCCAACGATGGGCCTAGGACGTAGATAACCTTTCCTCTTGAGTCCGTTTTCTCAGCTGGACTATTCTCCTCTGCTACTGAGAAGCTGCTAAGCCCATTGCAATTTTGCGGTCCGGACGCTTGTAGGATTCAACTCCTGTTCTCGCCCACGCTCCAGCCCAGGGACCGATGCAACTTTCGCTATCACACGATATCACGGTAAGGATCGCGGCGTTATTGTGGATAGAACTTTGGTAAAATTTGGATGCCTAGACAGAGCCCGATCCTTTCTCAATATCTGAAGTTCTCACCAGAAACTGTTTTTCAGCTTCATTCATCCTGATGGTAGGTGTCAAGTCGGCTAAATCGGCAAAGAGCTAGATAGCCCAACATCTTCTAATTTCCATCCGGACTTCAGAGCTCGGCTGCCTGGCTTCGCATGCCAATGCAAAGATTTTATTGCCGCATCCAACGTTGCTATCCGGTGGTGTTCGGAGCGTTCCGTCGCATTTTGGAACTTTGGTGAAGAAATTGGTCGGGGATATCAGCGCTTGGAAGAAAAGGGACGACGCACCGGATGAAAGTGGATCTTCGAACGCTAAGCTTTTGATATCGAAGGCCCTGCGATCAGGTGGGGGCATTCCGACTTAGCACACATGAACAAGCTCATGACAGGGCTAAGCGATATGATTTGGCACCTGAAGAATTGCGGCAAGGGCCGCAGGATGGCAAGGCAGCCGTTTAAACGTTCTGGACCTGCAGCAGGCTGCCAAGTCGGTTCGAATCGAGCTCCTTCGACCCACGTGGGAAGTCACATCCTTGACATCCATGTGGTGAGAGCAGATGGAATGGGTTGAGGCGTCAGTAGTATGGTGATACCTGAGAGACGGCTTCACTTCCCCTCTCACTGCGCGGTACGTAGTCAAAAGCTAGACGTGCCCTCGCCAAAAGATTTGTCCTAAGTCACCCTCATTCATTCTCTACTACAGTGTCAGTCTCTTGATATCTTGATTTGCTTCAACGTAGTCAACATTGAAGATGAAGATTTCGTTTTCTTCTGCAGCGGCATTGCTGCTATGCTTGTCTCGACATGTGCAAGCGAAAGCAGTCTTTGCCCATTTCATGGTAAGTCTTCGAATCACGCATCAGGCGAAGCTCCATCGTGGCATAAGATGCACAGTCGCAGTGCTGACAATTATTAAAAGGTTGACAACACCGAGAACTACAGCACTTCTTGGTGGAAGTCTGACATGGTCGAGGCAGCTACTGCCGGAATCGATGCTTTTGCTCTGAACATTGCAGCTGGATCAAATATTACCGATGCTCAGCTTCCCAACGCCTTTGATGCAGCCGCATCGGCTGGGTTCAAACTCTTCTTCTCCTTTGACTACGCTGGGAACGGCGCATGGGACAAAGCCGACGTCGTTGCTTTGCTGAACAAGTATGCGCACCACAGCGCCTACTTCCAACACTCAGACTCGACGCCTCTCGTGAGCACGTTTGAGGGCCCTGACAATGCTGCTGATTGGGTCGATATCAAGGGATCCGTTGGTTGCTTCCTCATCCCCGACTGGAGTTCTCTCGGCGCGAAGCCAGCGGTAGCACTGGAGGTAAGCCGAACACAGTTAGTGAGGCAAATGTTCTGGCGCTGACTCAAAGTAGAATGGTGTTGCAGATGGTTTGTTCAACTGGTCTCCTTGGTCTTGGGGAGGCGAGTCCATGGACACCTACACCGATGCTTCCTACATCCAATATCTCGATGGCAAGCCTTACATGATGGGCGCATCCCCGTGGTTCTACACGAACCTCCCTGGGTACAGCAAGAACTGGATGTGGCCTGATCACACCATGAAGCTTTGGGGTGATCGTTGGACGCAGATCATGTTCTTACAGCCCGAGTATGTTGAGATTGTTAGCTGGAACGATTTCGGAGAGGTCAGTAGCCCCATACCTTGAAATGCAGGGCACTCACTAACCTCATCCAAGTCTCATTACATCGGCGACATCATCGATACACCTCCCTACCTCAGCAATGGCTACGCTGCTTTTGACTACATCACTGGGATGAAGCATTACCCTCTGAGATGGCCTCTTCAGGTCTGGACCGAACAGTACAAGACCGGAAAGGCCACCGTGAAGGAGGAGAGTCTAGTCCTAGAATATCGTGAGTATTTACGCAGACCCATCGATAGTGCCGCGGACTAACGAACTGCCAGTCCTTCACTCTACTGACGGCTGCAGTGATGGTGGTACTCCCGTCAACACCGCGACTCAGCTCCAGTATGAGTACTCTGCAGGTGATGTCCTCGGTGGTGGCAAGTACATCGGGTACTATGCCGTCCTTGCATCTCCCGGAAACATCAGCATTTCCGTGGGCGGCAAGAACATGGCCGGATCCTGGGCATCTGAGCCCGCCGGTGGTGTCGGCGTCTTTTACGGATCGGTCTTTGTCGAGGATGGTGCATCTGGAACTGTCGCTGCATCGATCATTCGCAACGACCAGACCGTCTTTGCCTTCACCTCTGACAAGGACATCGGCGGCTGTGATGCCGACGGCAATGCCAACTTCAATCCTTATGTTTACGGTGACTTCTCCACCAAGGCTGTCTCGGCGACGGAGACTGCACACGACATCTCGGACCTCGTCTGCACGGCGGGTACCGGAGCCGAAGGCTTTGCTGGCATTTGCGCTATCGTGTGCAAATATGGATATTGCCCATCCAGCTCCTGCACCTGCACCAATATGGGACTTCAGAATGTAGAGCCAAAGATCACCGGAGACGAGGGCCACGCTTTGAGTGATCCCAACTACGAGGGCCTCTGCAGTTGGGTCTACAACCATGGATACACGACTGAGTTTACCAAGTATTGCACGACGGAGAAGAAGGACCTCAGTGCACCCGCCGTTTCGCCATTCTTACACAAAGCTTGCACGTCCGGTCAAGCTGGCTCGGATGATTCCACGCAGGACCTTTGCGCTTGGGCGTGCGCGTATGGATACTGTATGTTCTTTCTCGTCCATCTGTTTCTTACCGTTCATGAAACTGATACAAACTTCTTCAGGCCCCAACGCAGTCTGCCGATGCACCGGAACCGGCACGTTGCTCTCCTTAGACGATGCTTCTGTTCCAAGTGAGGGTGATGTCGACTATACTGTCACTTTGGCCGACGACTCCAGCATGTTCTTGGAAGCCATCTGCAGCTTTGCCTGCGACTACGGCCTGTGCATTTGCTACAGTGGCTCCGACGACGGTGATGGGGATGGGGCCGCCGAGCCTCCTTGCGACTACTCTCTGACCTTTGACTCTTTGGAGGCTCTGGCTGCCGCCGCCGACTCTTACGAGCCCTACTGTGCCGGGATGTACGCCTTGGGTGTCTTATCGAACAACCATACTGCAACACTCTCCGAATTCAACGATGCCAACAACAACTACGACAGCCTCTTCGGGTACTACGTCAAGTACGTCAAGGGACTGGTTGCGCCTAGTATCTGGAGTTTCATGAAGTCTGATGGCTACACCTACTTCACTTGCAACTTCAAGGGCGGTACCAGCACTTTCGACTGCCCCAACCCCAGCACCCTCACCGGCGACTCATACACGACAAACGTCGAGATCGAGTGGACTCTCACCAACGAAACGGGCTTCCACGCGGTGTTGGGCACAACTTACGGCGTTGAGCCGGGCTGGGTCAAGTTTGCTGAGCAAGATATCACGCCTTACTGCGCGCCGCAGACGGTTCAGGGTCAGCCGATTGACACGTGCCATGCCAAACTCGTCAAGATGGACAACTTCCCCCAACAAGCGGATGATATTACGGTGTCGAACCCCAAGGATCTCTTCACGGAGGCTGGAGCGAACCTCACGGCTTTGCCTACCAGTATCGATGCAACTCTCACAGACCTCATGCTTGGACAGTGGGGCGGTTCGATCGAGGACGTAGTCGATGTCTACACCATGCCTGTTGCCCTTGCGTTCCAGGCCGTCAAGGCGATGGAGCAAGTCAAGTCCATCGGCGAGACGGAGAAAGAAGAGGAACAGAAGAATCTGATCCTCCTCATCGTCACTGTTGTTCTAGCTGTCGTTCCCTTCGTCGGCGAGGAGCTCGCTGGAGCAGCTGGACTAGCGGCGCTGGCAAGAGCCATTGCGATCGCGGGCGAAGCAGGAAATGCCGCATTCGACATCTACAGCATGGTAGACGACCCTTCCAGTATCGGATACACGATCTTCGGTACACTGTTCGGGGCTGCGGGAATAGCCAGCTCATTCAGAAATTCCGACCATTTCAGCTCTGCGGGAGAGGTACGAAGGGCGATGGGCGAGGCGAAGGTTGCGCAGATGGGAGATACCTTCAAGGGGTATTCGGAGTTGACGCAGAAGATTGTCAAGTCGTGTAAACTGTAGATTCACACTCAGAGGAAACTTTTCTTTGTATTCGTATTCCGCCAGACATCTTCATTCTTTCAATATGTTCGATTCTTTTCGTACAAAAGGGGCTCGTTGCATTTCGGGAACCCAATCCGTGATGAATGCCGGGGCTTTGATGCCAAAATGAGCGACAAATATTGTCTCAATCGGTCCGGTCCACTTGTAGAGTTATACGACGTATTCGGTAAAAATCCGGCAGATGCAAAATCGTAAGTGGCGTCGTAGATCGTCGTTCGTGTGTGCCTCGTTGGAAACTCGCAACTCAACCATTGAATGTTTTGAAGATGCATTCGAAATACATCCTGGTGGTCGATCTTTTCTGGGAATCAACATAACAGTCTCTGACAAGCACATCAGCTCGATGAGAACCCGGCGGAATGTAGTTAATATTTGAAGACCTCCGTGAAAGACGGCTCCGAAATCTTGGCTCCACGCCGAGACCGAGACCGAGAGCGAAGCTCCGGCGCCATTGCGGGTCTCCCCCTTATTAGCGCCGTGTCGGGAAAGCTTAAACACAAAACACAGCCATGTTCCGCAGCATCCAGACCACGTAGATACGGGAAATAGGGAAACAATCAGGGTAAAGATGACTCGTTATTCGTCGAAGCGTTGGAATATCGCCGAGATGTTCAGTAACACGGACCATTCGGATTCGACCGCCCCCAACATGGCTTCCCCATATTGAGAGAGCCGTCTCTCGTCCCCTTCGTTTCTTTGAGCTCTCTTTCGGACTCGCAAGAAACATCCCCAATTCACCCACCAACGAGGCCTTTTTGACAAACGGATTTTGTGGCGTTCTCGACGACCACCATCGCCGCGCAATCATGGCGAAGCTCCCGAGCAGCCAGGTGCGCCGGGTCGATTCTGATAGCTCGGAAGTCAGCTGGTGAGTAAAGAGTAGCGCCTCGCGTAATTCCCATCATGCCACTTTTGTGGTTTTGCACATGCACCCATCTCGATGGAATCCTCCTGCATGCAGCTGCCTAACCGCCGTTCAGGGGCCTGGACTACCTCCAGGAAGAGAAGATTACGCCCCTCACCTGGATCGAGACCCCCGTGATCTCTTCCGACGAGGACACCGGCGAGGTAAAGCTCTTTGTCAGACACAATGCCAACACCATCGAGCTATTCTCCGATCTCTTCTTCGTCGCGAACCTCGAGACGTTTACGCAGACGCACAGCATCACCAACCTGACCAGTCTTGCGGCGTATCTCGGCTTCTTCAGTATCATCTGGTTTACGTGGTTCCAAATCACGCTGCACGATGTCAGGTTCTCAATCGACTCCGGCTACGAGCGGATGTGCAAGATTATTCAGTTCTTGCTGTTCGTCGGGTTCGCTTTGGTTGGGTCATCGTTTAGTCCCGGTACAAAGGAACACAACAATGCGGTAAGTCGTACTGACTTCAAGGACCGACCGTATTCCTGATGATTGAACAGAGCTTCCAACTTCTTTGCAACATTCTCTTCGCTACCAGGCTGCTGCTGGTTGCCCAGTACTCTGTAGCACTGCACTTCGTCCGCAAGAAGACGAAAAGCCTGACATGGCCCCTTTCTCTGACCATCACTCTCTTCATCTTCTCAGGTGGAGCCCTCTACTCCATGACCCCCGCGTTTTCCCCGGAGTCCGGTAACGGCTTGGGTATTTACTACGTCTGGTACATCATTCTAGCTATCGAGGCAGCTATTACCCTCGGTATCTCTTCGATATGGAGGAATATGGGCTTCAAGCACACGCATCTCACGGAGAGAATGGGGTTGTTCACCCTCGTCATCATCGGTGAGGGTGCCATTGGAGCAACCAAGACTGTCGGCAACCTCATGGGCGACACTGGTCTTAGGCTAGATGCTTGCCTAGTTGTTGGCTGCATCGTCTTCATCCTAGTAAGAAAGCCCCAACCCCTAGGAGGACTCATCCTAACATAGATAAAGATGTTCTGTTGGATGCTGTACTTCGATAATCCCCCCGAGTGCAAGTTTGGTACCGTCCGCCAGCAGATCTGGGCTGTGCTCCACTTCCCATTCCATCTCGGCATGATCGGTGTCGTCGAAGGCTCCCAGCAGATTGCGCTCGCATGGCAGGTTCTCAGCCAGTTTGGCAATTTCTTCAACGACCTCCGCAAACACTGCGTCAACCTCAACGAAGATGGAGTTGCGCTTACAAACGCAACAATCACTTCATTTCAGAGCCTGACCATGCCGAACAGCCTCGAAGTCCGCGATATGATTCCCTTCGTTTACCAGGAGATCTATAACATCGGCAACATGACTGGAGTGTGCTCAGCCGCAAATACGACCAATGGCGATGACCTGTTCCTACCTCCGCCTTACAAAGCTCTCACCCAAAAGGTGATCGGGACGCTGTTCGAGTCCTACAACGGGCTGAGCTCAAGTGGGGAGAGCGATCCCGGCGAAATTGCCCAGCCAGCCTTTACGACGGTGTACATCTACTACTGGGCATCATTTTTGTTCGTGGTCGTCTTCTTCGCCATCTTCATTCTCATCACTAGACACAAGGATCGTCCTCTCAACATTTTCGATAAGGCGGCTGTGGCGAGCCGAGGACTTGCCGCACTACTCGCCGTCGGACTGGCAGCTGGAGCGGCATCAGAAGAGTTCATCTTCAAGTACCTCAAGAGTGCGGCAACACTCCCTACTGTTGCCTTAATTTTCCTTGTTATTCTCGCCATCGATAGAACGACCAAGCATTTGAGTGCGAAGACCCTGAGGCGAAACTTGACAGGGTTGAGCGATTTTGAGAGTTTATCTTCAGAACCTGCGATTGAGTTGTCGCAAGGACGTGGCGTGTTGGTGGATCAGAAGGTCGACACCAAGACATGATCTGGCCGCCGTCATCATTTGTTTTCCTTGTCATGGGTTGGGATTTGGATACAGGAGTGAGCGTTTGATTGATTAAAAGAAAGGGACTTCGCTTGAAGTGATGGGAAACGGCCGCGATTCGTGCACTAGCGAATGCAAACAGCTAATGGGCACATTACGGGAGCCTTAAATTCCGTTTGTACAATACATACCACTATCAGGTGGGCAGGCTCCCATCGAAATACTTAATGCTTCTAGAAAATACAAAACGTATTGCCTGATCGCGCCGGATCTGAGTGTACACCAACCCCTCCGCTTCGTTCCGCCCCAACCGCCGGGGATCGACGACGAGACTCTCTTTGGCCGGCTATGGCGGCATCGTTTCTGCATCCAGGGGCAATTCCCGTTGCCGGCGCGGGGCTGTTATGGCGGATGAGTGCTGCCTGCGGGCTCTGTATGCAGGGTTTACTAGCTCGTGTCGGGGAAGCCTGGAAATGCAGCCGTGGACAGGGTTTAATGCGAAGTCGGTGCTTTCCAAAGCCTAACCAACAGCTCCAACCGCCGTATTCAATGACACGATTGATGGAGTTCCAACTGATGTTGGAACCGACAACATTTTACAGGGCATGCATTACGCACCTTCCTATCTTGCACCTTTCGGAAAAACGGCTGCTCCGTGAAATCGTCTGCCTGGAATGAGGAGAATTGGTGTTGCCTGAGAGTTAGAAGGTGGAGTATTATAAGATCGCCAAGACCGTCCTTCCCAAACCATGCTCACAACATCTACACCACCTCAGTTATTGACGTCTCAAATTTGAATTGGGGTCTCACCATGGCCTCTGCTAAACCCCACAACCCGCCTCAGCTGCCCCCGCTGTTCACCGCAACACCAATTTCCATCCTCGAATCTATCAAGGAACTTATTGAGACTTCGAAGCAAGCCCACAAGGACCTCGTCAACACCATCTCGCCCTCCTCCGCGACATTTGCCAACACCCTACTGCCCCTGGCTCACGCCGAGAATGCTCTGTCTTCAGAAGCGACACTGCTGATATTCCTCAGAGATGTGTCTCCCGACAAAGAAGTTCGCGATGCTGCGGCTCAAGCGCGGACAATCCTTCGGGACTATCAATTAGAGGCATCAATGAATGAGGACGTCTTCAAAATGGTTGACTCTGTCTTTGCCACTGCAGACAAACAATCTCTCGACCCGGAGTCGCGGAACCTTTTGAGCAAAAAGTACAAAGAATTCGTCAAGAACGGTCTGCGGATCCCATCTGGCGAACGACGTGACCGTTTCAAGGAGATCCGCAGTCGCATCGATGCTCTCACATCCAAGTACTCGAAGAATTTGGCCGAGGATAACACCGCAATTTATTTCGCCCCCGATGAGCTCGAAGGCTTCCCGGAAGACACCCTGTCTGAACTTGAAAAGGGACAGACGGGCACGGAGAACGAGGGAAAGCTCAAGATTGAGATACCCATGGACCTGAGCTCCGTTCTCAGGGCAGTGAAGAACCCAGCTACCGGTCAGAAAGCTAGGCTAGCATACGACAACCGATGTCCGGCGAATGTTGCTATCTTCAAGGAAGTCGTGCAACTCCGTCATGAAGCAGCACTTTTGCTGGGTTACCCGAACCATGCGGCGCTGAGCGTGGAGGACAAGATGACAGCAACACGGATAGGGTGAACTCCTTCTTGAGCTCTCTCCGCTCGAAGTTGACAGAGGCTGCGAGTAAGGACGTTGAGACCCTACTCCGACTTAAGAAGGCCGATGTTAAGGCGAGAGGTGAAGACTTTGATGGGCACTACTTCACTTGGGACAATCTATACTACGACAATATGCTCTTACAACAAGACTTTGCAGTGGACCAGGCCAAGATATCGGAGTACTTCCCACTGCAATCGACTGTGAATGGGATGCTCGGGGTCTTTGAGCAGCTGTTCGGTATGGTGTTTCATGAGATCTTGGATGAGGAGAGAGCTTCATTGTCTTCCACTGGTAAAGGAGATGATCTAGTTTGGCATCCTGACGTACAGACGTTCTCCGTCTGGAACAAAGATGAAGAAGGCGGCGGGTTCCTCGGATACCTCTATTTGGACCTCTACAGCCGGGAGGGGAAGTATTCAAATCCATCCAACTTCAGCGTCGTACCTGTAAGGTTTCTTCCTTCTGTATTCTGTAAACTTGCACTAACACTTTAAGGGGTATTGCGAAGAGGATGAAACCAAACATTACCCATCTACAGCCCTGGTCTGCAACTTCCAGCGCCCAAGCGCCTCAAAACCCACTCTCCTCCGTCACCCGGACGTCGTTGTTCTTTTCCACCAATTGGGTCACGGCATTCACGACCTTGTATCCCGCACCAAGTTCGCACGTTTTCATGGGCCTATGGGTACTGTTGTTGACTTTGGCGAGGCACCAAGCCAAGTCCTCGAGAATTGGTGCTGGACGCCCGAACAGATCATTTCCCTCAGTCACCACTACTCATATCTGTCCGACGACTACCTGAATACCTGGAAGTCTAAGATAGGGAAGAATGAAGATATCATGCAGCCACCAAAGGCATTGCCGCGGGCAATGGTTGAAAGTCTCCTAAAGGCGAAGCATGCGAACAAGGCTCTGGACACTTTGCATCAGCTCTTTATCGGAACTTTCGACATGGCTGTCCATCAACTTAATGATAGAAGTGAGGATCAGAGTTTCACAACATTGTGGAATCGCCTTCGGCGGGATATCGTCCCGACCGACGACCTTTCCGCCTTGGGTGCTGGCGACGAGTGGGGGCACGGATACACCAATATCGGGCACTTCATGAACGAGTATGACGCTGGGTTCTACAGCTACCTGTTGTAAGTGCTTTTGAGCTTCACTTTCGAACCTTTCTAATCTGTTGTTTAGTTCAAAGGTTTATGCGCAAGACATCTTCTCCACCGTGTTCAAAAGCGATCCGATGAGTGTTGAAGCGGGTCGAAGGTATCGCCACGGTGTGTTAGAGAAGGGTGGCAGCCAGCCGGAGATGACTACTTTGCAAGAGTTTCTTGGTAGGGAGGCGAAGATGGAGGCTTTCTATGAAGACTTGGGTCTTGAATTGCGATAGATCTTGGTTGATCTGTGAGGGGGTAGCTACTGAATTACCACTATGCTTTGATGATCAACTACATCAAGGCCATATTGAGGCTTTCATACAGCGAGTTTGCTCAAAAATGGTTCCATCTCACTATCCGCCGGCAGCCACTTCAGCCGTTGAACTACCGATTGAAGCTGGCTGTGGACCAAGAAGCCCAGCCCTCCTCAAGCTTTCATCGTCTTCTCCAGCTTCGACCCTCCGAAGAAGATCCTCAGGATCGAATCTCACTGCTCTAATGTTCGTCGGGTCTATCGCCTTCATATGCCTCTGAACATCGTCGGGGTCACTGTACGCCTCGATGTGTGCTTCAATTTTGTTTCCGTCGGGGTCCGTGTAATACAAAATTGTTGTTACGCCGTGGTTGAGACAGACCTTTGGCGTGATATCTGCCTCTTTTGCATGACGGTACACTTGCGCAAGGTCTTTGGCCGAAGCAAACTTGAGGGCGATGTGATCCACTCCGCTCGTGTTGGTATGCTTTGGGACGGCCGTCTCATCGTGGATTATGGCAAGACGGTGATGCTCTTCGTCCCAGGTGAGAACGGAGATGAAGTCATTGGCGAGAACCACTCTTGCACCGAGAAGGACTTGATAAAAAGAGACCAATTTTCCCGGGTTTGTCGTTCGCAGGCCAATGTGGGCAATTGCCGTTGGCGCAGGAACGCGACCTTGAGGCATATTTCCGGTGCGACGTAAATTAATAATGGAAGAAATCTTATAGGTATGAGTCAAGCCGTTCTCATCGTGTGGGAATAGACACTGACCACGACCAAGAGCACGGCGGCGAGGGCTAATACAGTCGAAGCACCTCCCTCTTGTATCATGGGCCCAAGCAACATCGTAGCATACAAGTGACGTAGAGCGATAACTCCGCAGCCATTGTGCTCACTGACAAATCTGAGTCCGCATGTGTAACTACTGGTGTAAGAGGGGGGTGAAAAGGGTAAAAGAGCTAGCAACGTAATCTGAACTTGTGCCACCAAACACGGTAAACTTCACGATCTCCGCAAACCTCCGCACATCTCCGCTGACCCCTCCGATACACAAACGTCTTTTCTACTGCAATTAAACCCTTACTGACAGAACCAGTTTGACGCGGATCGTTTCTGTCGGTGAATCTAGTTTCTCACCATCCATTTGTTCACGATGACTATGGATGAAATCTGCGCTACTTGTACACTACCTGACCGTGACTCTCATGATCAGAGCTTTGCCTGCTTTACCATATCCCGAATCGCATTGCCCGGATTTTTCAGGCGAGCTGTAGTGACTTGGAAGGGCCAAGGTACACCTGTTTCCTCGAAGGTGCAGTCCTCGAGAACCATCTTAGCAATGCCTTTGGCTGTGAGCAGAATAGCCGGCATACCGTGCCCGTTGAATCCAGCACAGACGAATTGACCATCTTTTGAAGGAACAGCACCCACATACGGCATGAGATCGTTTGTGTAGCCCAAGATTCCTGTCCAGACTTTATCGACAGACGCGTCACTATGCTCCCAGCCGCGGTAGGTTCTTTGCATGAGACCATCGAAATACGTTACGGCGGGCTGGATCATCTTGGAGTCATCGAAGTTGTTGTACCACTCATTCTCCTTGTGCCAGTACGCAGGCCGGCCCCCACCTACGATAATACTCCCGTCTGGTCTAGTGATCTGGTAGTCTGCCCCTTTGGCATTGTGGCGTACCTAGGAGATAATGAGTTAGCGGACAGAGGGGCAAGCTTGGGAGTGTCTTGGTTGGATCTCTTACGCTGTAAGAGGACGGCAGAGAAGGAGCTTCTTTCCCCTCGGGCACAGCAATCCTGCTACACATACCACGAACAGGAATGATCTTCTCCCGAAACTCTGGTAGAATCCCTGCGGTGTAGCCGTTCGTGGCAAAGATGACTTTCTTCGCCTTAACGACCCCTCTAGGAGTCGACACAAGCCAATAGCCATCTGCATCCTGGGTATCGGAGACAGAGGTCACGGGGGTGTGTGTCTGCAGGTTCACTCCTCGCTTCACAGCCAGCGACAATAGGTGAGTTACGAGCTTGTACGGCCACAAGCTGCCCACGGTGAAAGAAAAGGCACACTGAGCGTCCTTGACACCCGTGAGGGTTCTGGCAGCCGCGGCCGGGGCGTACCAAACGTCCTTGACCGTGGGAAACGTCTCTTCAACCAATTGGTCAAACTCCCTCTTGGTCTTCTCAGCTAACTCAGGATCAAGAATGACATCATAGGCGCGAGTCAAGACGAAGTCGCAATCGATCTTCTCCTTTTCCACCAGGTCTTTGATTGCCTGTACGTGGCTCATCTCGAAGACCGCCATTTCGGCAGCTGCCTGCTTGCCATACATGCGGGCATATTGAGGAACACGATAGTATAGATCTGGCTTGACATGGCCACCTGAGAATCACAAGTCAGATCAACGGTATCTGATGTTATGAAGGATGGAAGATATTCTCTCCATTGAAAGGAGATTAAATGGAGTTCTCGGACAGCATAAAATCACCTACCATTACGACCTGTGGCTCCTGAGCATGCCTGGCGTGCTTCCAGTATAACTATGGACGGCGGCGAAGAGTTGTTGTCAAGAACGTGATAGGCAATTGAGGCTCCCGACAGACCAGACCCAACGATCAAGACGTCGCAACTCTGTGGCAAGTCCGATGTGCTCTGGTGACTATCGAGTTCATGGAGGTCTGTCCTCCAGAATGGAAGAGTTGCATGAGGGACGGGGAACGGCTCTGGGGGTGAGCGGGACATGGTTCGATAGGAGAGAAAACACAATGTGTCGATGCGTTGTGGACGTCTGGACTCCATGGTGCACCCTGGTATTAATTGGTGACAGCTTGTTACCGGGTAGGTCATATATGATGGTATCTATCTCACAGATCAGTCTCTCGCGAATACAACTACCATGGCTTTGTACAAGGATCTGGAACAGACGGCTCGAAGAAATCCATCCGCTTATGCGGACATCTTCTAGCAGAGGTGCTTATCGCAGAATCTGGCCAGTGGGCTTGCACAGCTGCATACACAAGGAAAGCTTCGGTTACCGAACCGAAGGAGTAATCTGTTGTTAGATCAAGCGAGTTGGAGGAGATAACAGAAGCTGACTTACACGACGATGGTATAGCAGATCACGGGAAGTGGGAGTGCTCCCGGTCATGTACTGCGTGCGTGTGCACCAATTTGCCGCGCTAGATATCTCCAATGAGACTCGTTCTTGCCGCGCTCAGGTTTTTGATAAAGCCTGATCGGCGACATCTTATCTTGCATTAGCGCTCCTGAAGCTGAGATGAACTCCGGATATAAGCAGGAGACATCTTCCACCACACCTTTGCGCCCGCACATGTACTTTTCACAGCGTTCACGCGGGAAGAACATTGCGACGTGCCTTGTCTGCGGGGTTGATCCTTATCAGCAGGAGTTGAACCCCCCTTATCTTACCTTCCGTGAAGGCCTACCAAGGTAGAGATAAGATGTATTAGATTTGACTAGGAGAGGCTATCACAGTGGTTTAGCATGTCTCTTGGCACGCCAGCTTCAACTCGAGTAAATGATATCTTTGAGGAAAGCTCCCGTTAGCCATGTAAATGGAAAAGAATGTTACTTCTTCCATCGGCTTTCAATCAGCGTCATAATCACTGGACCGATTTCCTATTCAGCAACAAGAATCCCATAAGCAATAGGAGATGGCATCCAACATCAAGAGTAATGACGCACTGAACACGGTGGACCAAAGCAATGCCACTTTGGACCCCGTTGAGACTGTTTCTGAGGACGATGCGTACGCGGTTCGCATTATTCAAATCCCGGACAGCAAATGGAAGAGGCACTACAGAAGCGTGGCCTTCCAAATGGTGTTGCTGTCACTGCTTTCCTTTTCTGGACCTTCCATGAGCAATGGTCAGTGACATGCTAGTCCTCTGACCTTGATAAGTCTCCAGACTGACAGGATGATATGGCAATAGCTATTGGCGCTCTTGGCGGAGGTGGTCTTGCGACACCCTATACAGCCAATACTGCTTCGGCTGTGCAGTATTCTACATCGATCCTTGTTGCGTACGCGATTAATTCTATTGCTCCGTGTTTCTTTCATTTTTCCTTTGAGCTGGAGTGACGCTGACGCCGTTAGTATGTTTGGAGGTCCTCTCGTTAGCACTCTTGGTATTCCAATTGCATGCATCATCGGTGCTGTTGGATTTCCCCTTTCTGGATCTGGCTTTTATGTGAACAGCAAGTACGGAATTCAGTGGTATCTCATCTTCGCGAAGGCTATCTACGGAATAAGTGAGTAAAACGTCTCCAAGAGACATGTAAACAAACACTGGGCGATGGGTGGACTCGTTGTTGACATTCTTACTTAGCGTCTGCATTTCTTTACGTCGCGGAGGCTTCATCCATGATATCCTACCCTGAGCAGCACCGACGCGGTTTCTACATAAGTATTTGGGTCATCATGAGAAATTTGGGCTCTATCATTGCTGGAGCCATTAGCTTCTGTCTCAATATCGCCCGCGACGGCCAGGGAGGAGTCAGCGCCAACACCTACTTGGCTTTCCTGGGCATGGAATGCATCGGTGCGTATATCTGATGCCAGAACAAGCTCCCAACGGTTGCTAATTAGAAATAGGTCTACCGGCCGCATTCCTGTTGACAAAAACCCGAAATGTTATACGATCTGATGGTTGGGGTGTTCCTCTACTTCCGAAGAAGACCTGGAAGCAAGAATGCAAGTTGCTGCTTGCCCACCACTTCCACAAGCGGGTATGTTCAGTTTTCAGCGAAAGTTCGGCGGTGAAGATAGGAGTGCTGACCACGGAGTCATAGACACTCCTTCTTATTCCAGTGTATATCCTCACATACTTTGGAGACGGCGTATGGGGCACCTACCTCTCACTTCACTTTTCGGTCCGAGCCCGCGCGCTCTCGGCGATGCTTGGTCCGCTGGTTGCGGTCGTCATGAATCCTTTGTTTGGTATGATCCTCGATATGAAGAGTGTCGGTCCTCGAAGAAAGGGAATCATTGCATATTGGGTGTGGACAATTCCCACATTGTAAGCTTCTTGGCGTGATCGTGAGTTCATGTCGCATATACGTATTAATGATTCTGCAGGGGAATGCTCGTCTGGGTCATGGTAAACTTGAAGTGGTTCGACAGTCAGCCGAAGGATCTTCGTTTGGACTAGTAAGTCATTTGGGAACGTTCTCTTTGGCTTCAGCTAACGACTTGAAGCGCAACGCAGACTCGTGAGTGGCTAGCCAGGTGGCTTCCTTACCTTATCTATGTTACCAATGCGTGAGTATATGATTGTAGTCCCTTCATATTGATTATCTTTGACTGACAAACGTTCAAAGTTGGATGTCCCAGACCCTGGTGTACTGGGTTCTTGGCCAATTTGCATCTGATGTCTCCACGAACGCTCGCACTGGCGGTGTTTTCCGGTCTTGGGAAACGATTGGCCAAGCTATTTCGTACGGAATCAACTCACATGTTGCCAGTCAGTTCATCCCATTCGGCATCTATTTCGGCATATTTGTGGTTGCAATGCCACTCTTCTACATGGTTCTACTGGAAGTTCCCGTCGAGGACCGAGTCCTAAATATCACTACAGATGATGGTTTAATCGTGACAAATGCGGTCAAACTTCAAGATGCCGCAATTGAGGAGGCTGGCCCTCCCAAGCAAGATGCTAAATAATCAAACGGGGGTGTAACGCGAAACACCTGGACGAAGGCTTGATCACATCATTCATTTGTCTGATTGTTGGCTTCGTTGGGGGTTGGTCTTCCTGTTGTAATACACCCCAGATACGCGTCTCGAGTCATTCAATGGCGTTAACATAACTTCCGCAGACTTTCTGTGCGCGCGAGAATCCTGTATTTTTAGGTCCATGACACCACGAGAGGGTTAAGTAATTGATTTGGGTCCGATAGAACTCTTTGTTCCAATCAGTCCTGGGCCTCCAAGGCGTATCGTGTCAAAACTCTATACTGCTGGTTGTCTCTCAACCAGTCTACACAAGAAATAGTCAATACGTTGATCAATGCTACCTCAAACTCTTTCTCATTTCTATAGCTTAGCTGACGGATGAACAAAGTCACACTCAGGGTCGGTGGTGTTGATCTGCGTGAAGATTGCGCGGAGCCCTTTGACGCGGAGATACCTTACACGAGATCCCTTCGTGAACCAAATGACCGATCCAGCCGTGGCAGTGTATATATTCCCAGTGGTGAGATCCTCAATCGTGATGAGTCCAGCGATAACTGTTTTCGATTCAGTACACTTGATGTTCCTGACTCCTGAAGGCACTTCAGAATCATCAAGGCTCCAGATACCCATCACAAGCTTTCCCTGCTCTGGCTGTCTGTGTATAAATGTGTCAACCATGGCATTGGATGAGACCCGGCATGGAGCTTACTCTATAGTGATGATGTTGGTAAAATGAGATATTCCTACGTCGATCTTTGTTTGGTAGGACAGCATCTCCCCCGCGGAGAACACTCGACAAGGCATGGGGAGACAGATCTGTTTGTTTATTGGATGCTTTTGAATTTGTAACGCAATAGTGCAGGATTTCAGGCGAGGATCTGACCCTGTTGAACCAAATTATCGACAATATTCGCGACTGCACCTGGTACAAAACAAAGGTTAATAGAGGAACGTACTCCGTCAATGAATCTGCACAATGTACTGGTCTCGCATAGACCCTTTTCCGAGTCTTCAGCGCTGATAAGGCCACTGAGGCCGATTGGCTATCGATCCACAGCCAATGGTCAACGGTTCCGCGCTCGCCAGGGATCTACTGCATGTTATCTCTTGCATGGAATCGGCCACTGGGTTTGATCTCCGGCTATGATGTCCGACTTCGCTGGTATAAAGGCTCTCAATGTTGCGTTAGGTCTCGCAGGGCTCCTAAGCCGCAGTGGCAAGCGTGCAGATGCTGTGCGCCAATTGCGGCTTTGTCATGCAACCACTGGGGTTGTTCTCTCAATGCACCATTATTCGGCTGTCTCGGTCTCAAACAAATCCCATACTGAGTATCATGGAGCCAGACGGAACGCAGTCTTTTTGTACAGCAGTTCCATAAGCATTAATTTAGAATTCCCAACATGTGAGAGATATTACAGGCTCCGTCCATGTGCTGAGATCATTCGCCGATACATCTTATATAACAAAGTGTAAAATGACACCGAAAGGTTACATAAACGCTGGCGAGCGCGAACATGCTCAGACTGGCGGGTGTGCTGTTGGCGGCCAGCCTACGCACGAGATACCTGCCCTCTTCAGATTCAACGCTCTGCAAGCTACTAAGTACCCGTTGAGCTCTCACATCAGCATACAAAAAACCCCAATATCACTTTCGATCGATTATCACGTCGGCTTAGACAGATCATTGTGACACTATGATCATTGTGTGCTTTGCTATCGTTAGTACCCACTACCTCGGTGTTGGTGGGTAGCCCAGAAATGGCTGGATCTTAATATTATCCAACGGTATTCATGATCAACAATTCCAATGGTACATACACATTATCAATGGCTCTTGCCCCTCTCTTCAGGGTCCAAATGAGTCAGCTGTTTGGGAGAAGATGGGTATGTCAAGCAGTGGTCTGCCTGAAGCAAAGTCTGCCCTGTTGTATCAGCTCAAGATACTCTAGGTGACTACTTACTGTTACGACATTCATATTCCCTGGCTTCTCAATTAGAATAGCTGTTGGCCCAAAATTTCACATCCCTTCTCATTTTTTGAATACTCAGCGGCTTTCAAGACACTTTATTCATCTTGGTAGGCTCTACGGTAATAGGATATGTGTTATCCGTCTTTACATGACGGTTTACTTGACTAAGACTATCTGCAGAGAGATCTGTCGTCCCACGGAGCGCGCTCCATCGTTAGACTAGTTCCTGTCAAGCATTCAAATTGGCCCAGGTTTAGGCTCTTGCAGGGGCGGGTTCATCGTCCCTGACCTCCTTACACATGACTGAAGATCTTGATGCGTCGTCATCCCGTCAGTTGGTCCCCCATCGGGTGCTAGTGGACCACAATACAAAGGGCCCCCAGTTTTCTCCACTTTCTCTCAACTACGAAGTTTTTGTCCAATGGAGCCCGATGGGAAGGAGAACCTCCGCGACCTAGATGCACACGCGGTCGCTTGACTGGCAAAGGGCGCGCCTGACTGCAAAGTGGTATGGCCGACCCCTTACGTAAAGACGGGATTCGGGCCCGGGGCCAAGTTCCGTCCTGCAACTGCATAACGTCTACTGGTCCAAACTTTCGGTATTTGATTTTGACCACTAGCGGTAGTATGCCGGGGCCCCAGCTTTCTCCGCTTAAAGATGTACCCACGCCACGCAGCAGTTGATGGAATACGTCGTATTCCAGCGGCGATCGCAGCTCTTGCCAGTCACCTTCATCCAGCATAACGCTGAAATGTCATTGAAGCACAAGGAGCACAGCCTCAGCTTTGGGATTTTCTTAATTTAATCCTACGGACTCTTGCCAATACGGCTTCAATATTAGGAAAAGGCTGAACAGTTGTCTCCAAGGCCCGAAAGGCCCACAGCTGAGAATCCCGGACAGAAGGGAGCAGACAAAAAAGGAACCGGTATGGGGTACTAATAAGAATGCGAACGAAAGCGATGGCGATACGAAGGGAAAATACGAGAGAGTCAGGAAAGATCGCGACGGAGCTTTGGAGGAGGAAACACACGGGTGACCTCATTCTTCGGGCATAGATGTTAGGTATTTGACCATATATATACCGGACGAAGGTCTGGTTGTAAGAGACTTCTCTCTACACTTTCACTAGACTTCTCTCCACACTTTCACAGACGTCTTTGATAATCTTGTAAACATGGCTCACTCCAACATTTCATTCATTCGTTTCTTTACAGTCATTCTCGGACTTCAAGCCTGCTCGGCAGCTGTGGCGCCAACGGGTTGCTCCAAGCTCCATACCGATGACGACTGGCCCTCGGTTGAAGAGTGGCAAGCAAAGCTGCCGGGGATCATCAAGCAGACTCTCAGCGACGCCAACCGACTGATTCCCGACTACCGTATCCGCGCTAAGAGCTACTCTGAGGTTCAAGACGCCGTCAGGTTTGCTGCCTCAAACAACATTCGCCTTACTGTCATTACGACCGGACACGACGAACTCGGCCGCAGTGACGCCGGTTCCGGGCTCATCATTGACCTGTCACTTCTTCGAGGCGCTAGAGTGTCGAAGTCTTTCACTGCTACCAAGGAAGGCGTTCCCAGTCCTGCTTCCGATGAGGAATTGAAGACTATCCAACCCGAGAGCGGTTCTCAGGCGGCGGTCACGTTCAATCCGGCTGTGGGAAGTCTGGCCTTGAACTACGATCTTGACGCATCTGGCTTGTTCATTGTGGGCGGCACAGCTGTACGAACCCCCGATCTTCCCACAACCTAGAATTTAACAGGACTAATTTCAAATAGCAAGGAGTAGCCATCGGAGGTGGCTGGGGCCAAAATGGGGGATACGGGCCGCTCACTGCACAGTACGGCATCGGTGTAGACCAATGGCTCGAAGCTAAGGTAATCACACCGGACGGCGAACTTCGAGTGGCCAATGAGGTGTCCAACCCCGATCTCTTCTGGGCCATCAGAGGCGGCGGGGGTGGCACGTTCGGCGTCGTCGTTGAAGCAACGTGGAAAGTGTATCCCACTGTCCCCATTCTCGGCTTTCACTGGTACATCAACTCCACCCTGGTGGTCAACGAAACCGACGCAGAGAACGGCAAGACTCCTACGAGCGAAGCTCTCGCATACCTGTTCTCAGAGCTGCCGGAACTCCAGAAGAAGGGTATCTCTGCGTATTTCTACGTTTTGAACGATAACATCAGGTGCCACGCCATCCACCCGGGCTCATTGGCACACGCTGAGGCTGCGAACAAAGTCTGGGGTCCGATCCTCGAGAAGATGCAGTCTTTCGAGGGGATGACTCCTTTTCAGAGCAAGCATTTCCATTTCAACAGCTACAAGGAATTCTTCCGGGAGACTTACGGGGCTCTTGAGCCATTCAACCCTACCGACCCACCTCGCAACCACGGCATCGTCCCCTTTGACAGCCGTCTCTTGGGCGAGGCGCACCTTAAGAGCCCTAATCTTACATATGCCCTCCGAAAGACTGGGGGAAACTTCGGCATCCTGATGACCACGCCAGGCATGGCCGTTGGTGACGGATCAGACACCGCCGTTAACCCCGGTTGGAGGAATGCTACTGTCTTTCTAAACGGATTCAAGTCCAATACTACCAACGTCGATGGACTCCGCGAGCTGGCGCCCAACATGGGCACTTACATATGCGAGGTCTGTCAATCTCATCCCCTTTAATTCAACTACGCTCACGATGACTTAGGCCAGTGCCGACGAGCCCAACTGGTCGGCTTCCTTCTGGGGCTCAAACTACCCCCGCCTCTCTGCACTGAAGTCCGAACTGGACCCAAACATGGTCTTCTGGACGACCCCTGGCATCAACGCTGACCACGTCAAAGCCGTCGATGGCCGAGCCTGCCTGGTCGACGCTAAGCCAGAGACGCCTTCGAAGTACCCGCCGCAGAATGAGAGACGTGTTGTTGCTGACATCGAAAATGACCGCGAATTCCTGTTCAGCGAGCAGGAGATCAACGGAAACCAGTTCCCAGCTCCGGGAAATTTTGTTGGCTTGCAACCCGCTTGAACGATGATCCCTGAATGGTGTTTTGCTTCCTTTAATCGACTGGATGGTTCATCCCAATTCAATTAGATAGAAAGGGGCTACTAGACTTGAAGGATTGTTCATTAAAGCGTTATCTCACGCAGCTTTGTTAACAATACATGGAGAAACAATCAATGTCCACTTAATATCCTTGGTATCACTGATCGCTGTTATATATCCCAAGAAGGGGGAGCAGAAAATTTGATGCGGGATATCTACAGCCTTTCGAACTTGAATCGATGAAGAAGCCCCGGAAGAACAAGTACCTAGACCAGCTTAACCAAGATGATTCGGAAGCAATACGACAACAGTTTCCAAGATGGATTTGCGTCAGGGCGTTATTCCTAATTGTGGAATCCTCTCGATTTGAACCTGGGTGAGCCCGCTGTGTTTGGAGAGTCTCAGGGGTCAAAGAGTTGGACATCGTCACCCACCTTCAACCAGGAACAAGAGCAAAAAACAAAAAAACATACAACACCGGGCATTCGCCGGTCGTCACCGACCCGACTACTACTCCAGCCCTCACTGGTTTATCGATGGGAGAGCGGACGGGATCCCGAGTTTTCCAATGGGTATGGTCGTATGTGACGGAACCTCCCTCTCGTTGAGATTAAGATGGACCGGCACCATACCTAACATCACACAAAGACCAACAGTTACGAAATTCGAAGCGGCCTCGATTAAGCCTACCATTTGACAACATGCCTCTTACCTTTTGTTTTGACATACATACTACCTACATAGGCAGTGTACATAGGCCTAATGCTTAGGCGTCATGCTCCGCAGCCTTGTCGACGACACACGTTGAGACGATCAACGTCCACTCAACGTCCCAGCCATCGCCATTGTACTTTTCCTCCAAATGCTTCTCCACCAACCCCCGTACTTCACTCACAGGGTGCGCTGTTCGCGTCTCCTCATCCCACCATGACGCCATGAACCAACCAAGCATCACCCCAAAAGTGGCAACGAAATCCTGGGCGTTGTTCACGTGGTGCTTCCTGGCGACGACCTTCACCACGACATCCTGAAAGCCTTGACTTCTGAGATGCTCCTCGATCCACACGGGATCTGTCCAAACCCCCTGCGCATGCAGCTGCATGGGCACTTCGTCTGGGAAGGGAGCTGTGAAGGGAAATGAGGCGAAGGCGGAGCGCATGTCTGGGGCCCAAAAGATGTTGTTGCGGTGGAATGTTGTGGCGCCGAGTATGCCTCCTGGCTTGAGAAGGCGCTTGCAGTCTGTGGTAACTTGTGTTAGACTGAAGTCGAGACTAGGTAGTGGCGTGTGGACTAACCATTCAAAACAGCGTCTGGATCTGGTATCATGTGAAGACTCATGCCGAGTCCGATATGCGTGAAAGTGTCATCGGGGAGAGAAGTGTTCTGCGCAATCATCAGCATGCGTCATCGAGGCCTTTACAGGTGAGAGATAACACCATTGCATCCAAGGTCATAACTTTTGTGTTGGTCCAACCTTCGTCAGTGACCCTTTTCTTCACCATGTCGACTATGTTCTGAGCCTTGTCCGCGCACAGAAAAGAGCTCTTCTGAATGATCTCATTGGCCAGAATTGACTGCAGCTCTTGAGTTAAAACCCCGGTGCCGCATGCGTTGTCGAAGAAATCAATCCCTTGAGATGTGATGTTCGTGATACCCATCTGAGTCAGCAATGACGATGCCATCTTGGCTAGCATCCCACGAGAGGTGGCAATCATGTCCCGGTCTGAATTAGACATTTCGCTAGTGTGATGAGTGTTAGGATAAACAAATCCGCGAGTTAGTGAAGACTTGATCATTACATTTACCCTCTGTTTGGGTTGCTGGAAGTCATTAATATGTAGGTGTGAAAAGTGTCCGAGAAGTGCCCGATTGTCGCCGAGATGTCCCAATCGGCTATGCAGAGCAGTTATGATGAGCAAGTTTACGCACCTCTGACCTCAGGGTGAGTGAGTTTGCGCCCTTTGACGAGAAAAACTTTTTAAACATGTGAATTTGTATTATTTCTTGGTACAAACGTTGAAAGAACTGCGTCATCCAGTCATTAGAATAATCGTCCAACCATCTACACCCTATCATACCCGCCGTGACTACCCCCGACAGCGATCATGAACATTACAACTTTAGTCTAATTAACAGGCCGGAGAGGTAGGTGCAGTAGTGAAGTATGTCTTGTAGTAGACGTTGTCGCCAACATTCTTCGCAACACTTGGCGGTGTGTTGAGCGGGCCGCCCTGGTTCTTGGCATTAGGGTACAGGAATGAGGGGTTGTTGGGAGACAAGACACTGAGAGGGCATCCGAGAACAGTGTTGCTGAAGTAGGGGTCCAGCTTAGCGATGGCCCAGGTGGTGGCAGCGGCGACCTGCTCCTCGCTACCGGCGACGAAGAGAGGCACGACGGAGTTCATGCCCTGGTACAGGTCGCAAAGAACAGTCGTGGCGTTGAGGTTGGCAGTACCGAGCTGAGCAACGCCGGGAACAACGGGGTTGCGGATGTAGATATCAAGAAGGCCCTCGAGGACAGTCTGGACTGCGCCATAGGGAGTGGCACGGCGATACCAGTTCTTGGGCCAAGTCTCGGGGACGTACTGGAACTCGCCGGTCTTGTCGTCGTACTTGGCGCCGATGATGGAAGAGATGGACTCATAGTTGGCGACGCCGCCGGCTCCATATGTTCCGTTGCTCATGAACTGGGACAAGTCAGATCCAGGGTTACGGCAGGGTTTGTTAGCGGGGGGCGAGGGTTACCTGAGGGTAGAATGCGAAAGCACCGAGCGAGACGATCAAGGGGAAGGGGAAGTAGTAGAGGTATGGGTTGTACTTTTGAGAGAACATGGAGTTCTTCTGGTACTGTGTGCCCATGTTGGTGAGGTCGAACTGCTTGCTGGCGCTGCTGGCAACAATGTCGACGTTCTGCTTGAACATGCGGGATGAGAGGTGGTGGTTATCACCACATCCGTTGTAGAAGTCCTCGCGGTTGACTGAAATGTCGACCTGCATTATATAGTTAGATTATGCTGGCCGGAGATGGGGTATCAGTTAGACTTACCTCAACAGTAGAATGGCGGTTGAGACCACCAACACCACCTGGTCCAGCACCCAGGTAAAAAGACTCGGTGGCGATATCGCCGTCCGCCAGGACAGCGAAAACACCAAGGATAGTTGACAGATCGGCGCCCATGTTAAAGCCACGAGCAGTCGCCTCAATGACTTGGCCAAGAGTAACGTGACCATTGCGGGGGAGGTAGCCGTGGTTGGCGAGCAGGTTGAGGCCTGGGCAAGGTCCTCTGCTGTCTCCAGGGCCAGGAGCTTGAAACTCGAAGCCCTTTTCTGGACGCGCATTTGCAGGGTTGATGTTCTGGGCAACTGCACCGAGAAGTCCGGTGATGGTTCCAGTGAGACCTCCGATCACGCCTCCAAGAAGTTGAGGCTCTGGGTTGGCGACGGGCTCAGGATTGCGCTTGAGGAGCTCCTCAAGCTGTTGTCTGGATCCCATCATAGAGGGGAAAGCTGTCGCTGATGTGGCCAATGTGGCCAGGATGGTGGTTTGGTACTTCATCTTGACGGTTGAGGGTGAGCTGTTTGACTGGTGTCGAGGGTTGAGGCAAGATCTTGACGCTGTCGTATCTCTTTTCGAGTAAGTTGTGCAGGAGAAGACTTGGAATCTTATATACCATTCTTCAGCCATCAAACTAAGCATTGCTTTTGTTTTGGTGATAACATCTTACACGACCTAAACATACCGGACCCCAAGCATGAGGTCAGTGGCCAATTCCCCGAGTCGCTACTATTCCCGCCAACACCACTATTTCCTCCCCTCAAGAGCTTGAACCGCTTGGCACGATGATGCGCAAAGGTCAACGTGCCCCTTCCAAGCCGAGACGGTTTCACCACAGAAGTCCAACTATCAATTGCACCAGCCGAATCTATCGTGATCTCTGCAGATCCCCATCTCGGGAGGGTAAAGCGTGATGTAAATGAGCCGGGCCAATAAGCACACCCGTAAAAGTAAGTAGCGCACCACTCAAGACTGGACAACTCAACGATAAATGAGTCGCGGGCACAGATAAAAGTGCGACAACAGACGGGAAGCAAACGTGCCGAAGTGCTAGCGCCTCGCTATGTGGACCGCGGACCTGGCGTCGTTCATGGCGGGCTGACTAGCGGCGGCGCCTGGCAACAAAACCCCGGAATGTTTCTCCACCGGTGCAACGTCGGGCAGACTAGTGAGTCCCTTAGGGACACCAGAATCGGAAACGGCCTAAGAGAATGACATAGGGTCAGCGTCACCGGGGGCTGGTTGGTTGCGCCGAGACTCGACGGAGCAGAGTCCGGGGGAGGGAGGAGGCAGTGCGACAAAGTGGGTAAACATTGAGCGTCTGTTCTGGAAAGCGCGGGCCGGCGCGTGTTTACCATGTCTAAGACTCGAGGATGACGTTCTATATTTGAAATCGGATTCTAGGGAGCTCTGATTGGAAGCTATGCGGTGTTGCTCGTTCCACGTCTAAGACACGGAGAAGAGCCGAATATGGCCGTCTACGCTTGGCCGCTTCGGGACGGCTACAACACATATGGCATCCTCGATTTATCTAGAAGCCTGAGCAAATGCTTAATTGACACGTCAAGACCGTGCTGAATTAAGAGTAAAGCCGGTTGCTATGTGGTGATACATTGGATGATGAGGACGACAGCAAGGACTCGTGCGTTCACGAGAGAAGGGTAGACACTTCAATTCCACCACCAATATGCTCGTGAGAACATAGAACAACGATTGCTTGGCGGTCTTTGTTCGCCGCGGAAAGTTTGACACGAAGTCTGTTGAAGCATCTTGACCGTAAAGCATAGGTGGCGTTTTGCCTGGCTGGCAACAAAGCCATCTAACTGCCCATGAAGCTTACTTGCCTTAGCTTAACGGCGATGACAATAGTGTTTCTGGCGTGCGATTATTTCCTATTCCCCGACCCGACCTGTCGACGTTCAGTTGGTTATGTTGTTTTGCCGAGGTTATCGATGCATGGATAGGATGTCAATGTCGAGGAACGCGCTGGATTGCGGGGGCAGCAAATCAGGAGCGTGTCGTGCAACCCAATACGGACCCCAGCATGCACTGCGTCAAATTACCCAGATTGGAACCTGTGTGATGAGGGCGATGTGAATAACCTTTGTCGGACACTCTTAAAGGAGCTTAGGAGTGCGACGGAAAGAATGCAGGACAATGTCTAGGATTCCGACTCACTGGCAATGAGACATGAGATTCCAAATGCTTGGCGAACGATCCGACTTGCCGGTTCCCGGATGCAGAGACCATGGGAATTTCTTCGGCCGAGATCTGAGTATGGTGGAGACCCCGGACAGACGTTCACGGCAGCGACATGTGTTGTCACCTAGCCGCTGCTGGTCTTGATGCCCGACTCTTCTCCCTTCGTGCTTCTCGTTCCCTCCGTCAATGGGAACATCGTGTTGTGTCAGATCTCTTGACCTATAGCTGTCTAAAGCTACCTCCCGCCGGAGAAAGCTCGTGTCCAGTCCACCAACGAGCATCCATATACTAATTACCGTGCGGAGGGATCCTCCAACAGACCCAATTGCTTCTCCCGTGACCGGCTCTCCTCACGATTCCGCGCCTCCGACGGCTCTGACCCCAACATCTTTGCCGGAAAGTGGCCAGTCTCCTGTAGTTACAAAGCTGACAGTGCTATCATGGTGGCTGAAAGCGGCTATAGTTGAATCTCACAGCAGTATCCAGGCGAAGGATGATGTTATCTATGTAGGATCCGCGCAGCGGCGACAGACCACGGTCCAGAGCCCAATCCCGCATGCGCAGGAGTGCTGGTGTTCCAATCAAGAAGAAGCAACCAGATCAAATCTGACCCCGCCTTTCTCCACCTCGCAGTTCAACCCATACAAGTCAGAAGCACCCTGGCATTGGGCATGAATGGTGCGACTTCTGAGTCAAAGCCTCAGTGGAAGCCAGAGTTATCAGACACCTTGGTCTCCATCCAGTTACTTTGAGCCCATGATCCAACACCCATCGGTTTTTGTAGATTTTCTAAGCCCAAATTAGGCCATTTGCAGATTGGTTTCAACACCATTGACACTACCTACCTTAGGCTTTCTCAATCTCTACATCTACCTTCTTCCCAGTTGAGTAATACTAGTAGTCCAGGATGCTATGAAGAGCCGTAGGCCCTCGGCTCGATGTTTATTCTTCATACAGCTTCGCCCCACCCACACGCTGACGTGAGAATGCTACCAATGCAGGGGAGATAACATCCTGACTGCAGGCGGAAGCAGGCTGAGACGAGTTGCCCCGACTAATCCCGAGCGTTGCGAATGACCACAGGCGGGCCAACATTGGGCCTGCATCGGCTGCTCTGGACCACCAAGCCCGGTGCCAGATGCTACAACAGCAGTTTTATCATAGTACAGCTTTTGATTTTTTTCGAGATATTTGTTGGTACTTGGCCAATACTGTAACATCTTTACTGAGATGGTCATCCTGGGTAGTTTGCTGAAATCCTGCTCTTTCCTTCCGCTGCCCGAGCTGGTCAGGTAGTAGAATAGCTGAGACCCCTCGTAACAGATGCATATGCGGGAACCCTCCATTTGGCCAACCCCACGCTCATCCCAGCCTGCAGCATCAGACCATACGCCAACAGTGTTGACTGTGGCACCACAGGCGGCGCGGGGGTAATCGACCAAACCTCATCCAACACGTAGCCCTTGTTTTGCTTGACTTAGCTTCCTCGTGGTTATGTATTGCAAGCTCCTATCTCTCAGTAAGATGCTGAAACTGTCCGCGAGATAAGAGCAATCTAGCGTGACTACCTCATCTGTCCAACACGAAGAATGGGCTCCGAATCATCTAGTGACGGAATCAATAACATGCTTCGGAAACGGAGACGATTCCCCCGAAGCAAAGATCATGGTGGAGGGAAGAGGTCAGGACCAGGATGCGCCAGGCTCCTCAATGGAACCTGAATTGCGATACGTGGTGCCTCGGTGGTTCCTCGACAATCTCAAAACCGCCGACGAGCTCAAGAACGCCCAAGCCAAAATCTGGCTAGTCGACGAGACCACAGATGCCGTTAAGGATTCAAGCATGGCCGACGAAACAACTGACGAGAACCTGCTGCCCGGGTCTGCCGGCAATAAACCGGACGGCTATTTCAGTGTAGCTCACGAAGCCATGGAGGACCTCTTGGACGCCACAGCGTCCTTACAGATGGTGGATCTCGCGGGCCGCTTGTCGGTCTCCCAATCCAGCATCACACTATCGTGCGAGATGAGATTCGGCTTGCAGTTCTTAGATGAACTTGTCGTCCTCGTGGCCCAAGAATTAGACTCTTCACTTATATCAATCAACTTGCAAGATCTGGAGGACATCGGGCTGGACTTCTATTACCAGAAGAAAGCCTATGACCGAAGGTATCAAGGGGAGGACCAGACCGATCATGGAAGTGCCAGTTACAACCATAATGACGATGACTTTGACGCCAGCGATAACGAATCTGACGCCAGCGAGGGCAGCTACGACACCTCGAACATTGCCCAAAAGGCTGCGCAACGCTATTTCGGGTTTTGGGCAAACTCCCTTTCCGAGGCTGAGACGAAATGTAGCAACGATGCGCTGTCTGCCTTTCTAGATGCCGTGAAAGAAAAGGGAAAGGCTATCAATCGATGCAGGGAGTATGGGGAAGGATTTGATCCTAACCAAACGCTCCAGACTTCACCGAATGGTTTGGTACCAAAGACGGCCTCGACGATTCTCTATCTCCGTGATAGCCCAGAATCACCCGGTTCGTCTAATTACAGACATCACTTTCGCAAGATAGGCTGGAGGTTGCAGGACGCAGTCAATCAGCGCAGGAAAGCCGGGGAAAAAGGTATCATGATGATGGCCGCAACGCATACAGATGCTGACGAACACCACATAACTCCACATCCGAAAATACCCTGGAAAGTATCTAGCTGCCGGTGCCATCGACGTCGTAAAGGTGGACATAGCGTCCGAGTTGGCCAGCCACCTGGGTACTTCCGACCTGGCATAATAATTCCCCTTATGCCACTGGACGTTCCAGCAGGGTGGTCAAATGAGAAAAAGTCTGAATGGGAGGGATCTATAGCTGCAACCCGGATTCAATCCTTCAAACGCAGATTGGAAGCGCGACTATCACAATACCCTTCGGCGCCCCCGGATCTCCTCGAACCACAGCACGACTGGTTTTCGCTGTTGCCTGAACGAGTTACAAGCGAGTTCGCTTCGGTACAATTCAAGGAGAGTATTAACGTTGCGTTCAACCGCCTACTCTCCAGATGCTCTAGAAAGCAAAAGGTTGATTCCAGCGATGTTCGAGCCATTCTTCTTCGGATCAATGGCAGTGACACACCGACTACGGTGGGAGATGGCGCCTCAGAGGTAAGTAGAAGCAGTGAGGAGGTCACCTCGCAGTCTGTTGATCAGCCATAGGGAGATTCTGACAAAAGCGATGATGAATCCAGCAAAGACAGCAATAAACGTGAGCTTGTCCTACGATGCGATGCGTCACAAGCCAAGTATGTCATGTTAACAGTCAAGAAGCTTCGGAAAGCCCGTGGGAAAAAAGGCTGCGTATGCTTAGGGTTAAGTGCAACCACCTCGAAAAAGAGCTACTGTCCAGCATCATTGACCCAAGTAAGAGTCCCAAAGAGACTCATTAGTGGTCTACACACTAACTTCTACACTGCTAATTCTTTGCTAGACGACCTTGATGTGCAACTCGACAATGTGGTTCTCGACCAGGGTGTGATGACGACCATTACGACCATCATTCAGCAGCAGCAGCATCAATCTGATATTGGAGTAGCCTCGTCCGGGATCATAGCTTTGGTAAAAGTTAAAGGCATCTTGCTCTACGGACCACCTGGCACCGGAAAGACGCTTCTGGCACGTGTAATTGCTAAGAGCACAGGACATAATATGATTGCTATCGACCCCGCCCTTATCAAAGACCGTTGGGTAGGGAAGACTGAGCAACGCATTCGCGCTGTCTTTAGCTTGGCGCAAAGGCTCTCCCCATGCATCATATTCATTGACGAGGTCGATTGTCAATTCTTCCGCCGCAAGAGTGATGACCGGACATGGGAGCGTGCTGCTATCACACAGTTCCTCCAGTCCATGGACGGTTTGGTGCAAGACAAGCGCGCTCCACTCGTCATCGGAGCTACCAACAAGCCAATGGACCTTGACAGTGCCTTCTTACGCCGACTACCACACAAGGTTTCTCTAGGGCTCCCGGACACCAAAGCGAGAACGCAAATACTCCTTCTGCTTCTTGGGACGGTCAACTTGGACCATGTGGATGTCGACCATCTTGCCGCTGTAACCGACGGATTCTCTGGAGCAGACCTGAAAGCCCTCTGTAGCCAAGCGGCCCTTGATTGGGCTGTTCAGCAAAATTTGGAGTTCGGTCAACTGAGATCCGAGCATGAGGCGCCCTTGACGGACGAGCACTTTTCCAAGGCATTTGATGAGATTAAGCCAGGCACCTCACAGAAGGATCTGGCATTACTGGAGGGGTTCACTAAACGTTTGGGCCCAACCACGCGGGCGGGTGCCAGCCAAGCGCATTCTGATTCTCCGGTAGAGAAGAGCTATTACAAAGTGGCCGGTAAGTTGGTCTCAACCATTTAGCAACTGGAAGCGTGCCACATCATGTATGGGGGTGAATAATGCATATCCTGACACATATTCAGATGCGTGGACGAACTTCCCTCAAAAAGCACAGAAAGTCATTCGTTGGATCGATTCTCAAGAGCCCGAAAACGGGAATAGCCCATACTTCTGGGAAAAGAAGTTGCTGTCACTTCTGGTCGACCCCCAGACAATCGGAGCATGCTGGTCCGACCTCGCGGTTCACCCCAAGACTGAGCGGGAAATTAAGGAAGTCCTCAACCACCATAATAACAGCTGCGAGTCCACACAATCCTACGGTCTCCTGGGAGGTGCCCATACAGGAGGAGCCCTTGTATATGGCCCGCCTGGGACAGGGAAGACCCAGTTGGCTCGTGTCCTAGCCCATGAGTCTGGAACAGTCGTCATATGCGCTACCCCGGCCGACGTCATGAGTAGGTATTGGGGGGAAGGACCTAAAGCGATCCAGGGTCTCTTCAACTTGGGCAGACTACTAGCCCCGAGCATCATCTTTCTTGATGAAGCAGAATCAATGTTCCCGGCCAGAGAACTGAGGCAGCACCAGCACGAGCTGTCCGATATAAATCAACTGCTACACGAAATGGATGGTTTGACAAAATCGAAGGAGACACCTTTCGTCCTGATTGCTACCAATCTTCCTGGACGCCTGGACACAGCTGTCTTGCGTCGTGTCCCAAGCAAATTTTACCTCGGACTTCCCACTACGGAAATAAGAGCACAAGTCTTCACAGCTGTTCTAAAAGATGAGATTCTTCACTCAGCGGTCAACACTTCTCAACTCGCACTCATGACGCCTGGCTTCACCAGATCGGATATTCGGACATTATGTATACAAACGGCTATTATCTGCGACGAGTTCGTGGAAAATGGTGACAACAAGGGCAAAAGACTCCTGACTCTGGACATGTTTGTGGAAGCTCTCGGTAGGATCACCCCGACAACGACTGAAAAGACAATCTCATACATCAGAGATTTCGCAAAAGAGAATCATCCCGTGGGACTGGAGCAGATGCAAGAATGCGAGGCAGAAACCTCGCGTCTCAAAGAAATCTGGGCCTCAGGGATGGCATACTCCGGCATAACTGGACAAACCCATTCCGACTCAAGCGGAGGACCTCTCTCGATCATAAACCCACCGGTTGGCTGTCTTGAGAAACACGTCGGTGTCCAAGCTACATCCCCCTACCTACTCCGACATCCATTCGTCTTGTGAAGCTCTACAACTTCACTGGACCTAAGCCATGGTCCATGCATGAACCTATTCGCTGTTCGATGGTTGTGGTGGACCTGGCAGATATGCCCGACTATTTCGCTCTCTCATACACGTGGGGCGATCCCCGTACCATCTACACAGACAAGAATGACATTTTCTCCGCCGAGGCTTGGGCATCCCCCGCCTTTGAGATTGACTGTGATGGCCATGCTGTCTCTGTCGCCACAAATCTTTATACAGCACTCCTTTCTATTCGTGGGGGATTCAGCGGAGGGAAATTCGTCGAGATCCTTGGGGAAGATCGGTTTCATTCGAGCGACGCCGAATATTCCTACGTATGGATTGACGCTCTGTGTATAAACCAGGATGATTTACAAGAAAAAAGCAACCAGATCCCTATCATGGATCGTATTTACAGTCAGGCACGTGCTACCATCATGTGGCTTGGCGGCGGGGAGCTGCTAGTGAAGCAGGGTCTCTCTAAAACAGTGGAAAAGCTCAAACTTGTGGTCAGTCGGCTCCGGGAGATCATAGGTCCCGGAAATGAGGACTTAGTTATTGATTGGTGTCGAGTATTTGACATCTGCGACCCTAAGGCCTTTGAGGATCTTGGTCTGGAGCCTGTCGACCTAGTTGACCTTGTTGGCTGGTACCTCCTCTTCAGTCGATCCTGGTTCAAGAGAGCATGGATAGTCCAGGAATGGGTCCTTTCGCCAAAATGCTTATTCCTCTGTGGTACTCTCATGTTTTCTCCGGAAACATTTAGTAGGAATTTCATGGACTTCACGCGCCGGTACTGGACATGGCAGATTCAAAAGCTGGTCATGGCCAATATCCTGGATCCCAAAACGTTGGCCATGCCCGCCGGGGAACATGATTTCGACAGCAACCATCGGGACTTTCCTTTCAAGTCCAAATATCGTACCCTGCCGCTGTTTCGGGCGAAAGTGGATTACGGCATCCTCGCCGAGCTTGATCAGTCGCTTATCGCCATTCAGATTCTTAGAGATCTCTTCACGCAAGAGCGCTCAAAAGCTGTAAGTTCCCGAGACAACGGACATTCCAAGTAACAGCTGATACTAGCTTTGTACGCAGCCTCCACGAGATCCAAGCTCCCACGAGATATGGAAAGAAAATTTGTCGATCCAGCAGTTCCGAAGCAGACGCTGCTTTGATCCGCGGGACAAGATTTATGCATTTCATGGAATCTTCAAGACTTCCGATGGAAGATCTATATTTCCCTCCCCGGATTACCAGAAACCAGTGTCCGAAGTATATGTTGAGGCCACCCGTGTCATCGCTACTGACATAGGACTTTCATTCCTCCACTTCCGAGAATATCGATCAAGCGACCCCCACGGTCTGCCCTCTTGGGTGCCTGACTTTCAACTCGAAGATGGCCTCCTGCAGTTGGACAACCCCTTCATGGCCAAGCATCGGCCCAGCTGCTTCATGGCAGCGGCGGGTCTGGGACGATCAACACTGGCGTTCAAGGAAAATCATAAACTTGGGCTAGCTGGCTGCCATGTTGATACAGTGATCCGGCCAGAGCCCTTTAGGTTTGGGCTGGGAACTGTAGGATCAGCCTGTAGACACTTATTGGAAACCCTGGGTCGAATTCCGGAAGAGTCCCTGATTTGTATGCCGCCTTCAAATCACCGAGAAAGCCCAATGCGTCGTTCAGGGAGCCCGGTGACGTCTGGGGTTACGAAACAAAGCCGTTATGAAGTTATTTGGCGAACTCTCGTCCACGATCAGAGAAGGGACCATGCTGCATGTCATCCAGCACCTAGCGGGATTAGAGACGTGCTCATGGTGCGCCTGAAAGGGATCCTCAGAGCACAATGTGGTTATATTGTGGCAAAGGATATGATGCAACTGTTGGATCAAATGACTCAAAAGTCCAGGCAATCCGATGACAGTCGAGAGTTCTTTGCCAAGTGCTCTCCGATGCTGGAACTCGCCCAAAATTTCTTTAATGCTACAGCCCTCCCAGAGATGGAATCCAATGCCCAGTACGATCGACAGACTCAAGTGGATGGCTTGTTTGAAATGAATGCAGTTGTTGAAGTACTGCAGGGAAGCCTACCGATTGAGAGTGAAGAGCGGCTAAGTCCAAAGTTGTGGTCACAACACCGTCGCCTGTGGGAACGTGTGCGGGCTTCAATGGAAGCTCGTGATTATGCCGCTTTCGGAAAGGCATTCAAGGAGATTACGCATGCTCTCTCTTCTTCTGAGAGTTCCGCAGAGGCTGAAGAGATTGACATAGACAGGTTCAAACAAACGCGTGTTTTGTTTACAACGTCTGGAGGACGCCTGGGGCTTATTGCTGGTGGGATCGAGCGGAGCGACGAGATTTGGGTTATACAAGGTTTGAACGTACCGGTTGCATTAAGGTGTGTAGGAGATGGGTTGTATAGTTTGGTGGGAATCGTGTATGTTCATGGCATCATGCATGGTGAGGCGGTGCGTGATTCGACGGATGTTGTTGAGTTGGATTTGGTATGAACAAGGCTACTGTTCTTTTAATTACAGTACTTTTTGAGCTTTTTCTGCAACCATGAAACTTGTATGAAGACAGACGGACAAAGTAAAAAAAACAAAAAAAAACAAAGAGAGTAAGTCGGATTCCTGGAGGTGTTAGGAATCCGTGGGCATGGGTTCAAGCGGATTTTGTCCCTAATGACTGATGAAGAACGACGAGTCCGTTTGGGTCCTCCAATCATGAGTCCCAAAAGCAGAACACTTTGGAAGCAACATGAAACCAACTCGGAGAAGGTTTCAGTGCGAGCCGTGGCTATGCTTTAGTGTCATCCGCAGCTTATCAGCTCATCTGACGGGTGTCCAAGCCCTTGAGGCTCCGGGCCCGGCCGGCGTGGATTTCGGACTTTCCTCGGCCGAGACCCGAGAGTGGGGCTACGGGCCGGGCGTCTGCCGCACAGTGGCAAACTGTGAGGAAAATGGAAAGCGCACAAAAAAGGTACCCCCGAACGGTGAACGCCCCACCCACGGGTCGCACCGCAGACTGGAGCTGGACCCTTCAATCAACCACGCCACCCCGCTGACACCCCACGAACTCATCATCGACAAGTCCAATTGACGCAGCCATGGCGAAGACGAAGTCGAAGAAGAGAAAGCAGAACGCGCAGCCCGATGCGCCGAATAAATTGGCCAAGACGAGCGCGACGACAACCACCCCGCCCCCGACCGACAGCGATGGCGACGCCACCTCCCTCGAGCCTAAGAGCTTGCAGACGGTCATCTCGGACGAGGAGCTCGAGATCGCGGTCGACACTCTCAAGACACTGGCGCAATACCCGAACCTGATCAAGTCGCGAGCATGCAAGGACCTTCGTGTCGCCGTCTACGACTTCCGTCAGGCCTCCGCAAGCGATGCTCGTACGTTTTCGCCGCCTGCCATCCCACATCAATTAGAACAAGGACTGACATCTCGAACCTGCAGCTGGATCGAACCTCGGCCTCGTCGCACGCATCACATCCGCCCTCACCGATGAACGATATACAGAAGCCAGGATTCTTCTCGCTGAGATGAAGATCCGCGAGCAAGAGCCGAAGCTCGGCGCCCTGTGTCGCTGGGTGCGAGACCTGGACGTCATCAGCGGCTTGTCGACAATACCCGGCGGAGACGGCTCCGACATCAAGCGCAGCGAACAGGACGAACAGCGCCTCCGAGTTATAGATGCCATCCTTCGCGTGACTGGTCCCGTCGACACCAACCCGAATGCCCTGCCCATTCCATCAACACCGGGCATCGCCCTTCAGGAGATCTGGGACTTGCGTCCCTCTACGCCCTCAGAAGAAGTGTACGCATCTGTACTGGACAAGACAATATTCAATTCGGCGCCGGCGTCACTCGCTACCGGTCTCCGCATGATCGAGAGAACACCTGGACCCGACAGAAAGCCCCCCAACCATCACGACGCACTCCTCTACACCAATACACCCAACACGATTCCCCTCGCCGCAGACCGCACCGATATATCATATGAGCCACATCCCATCGTCCCGAATCTGGGCGTGATCAAGAACGTTCTCTCGTCAGAAGAGTGCAAAGCCATCATCGCCGCCGGTGAGACGGTCAATTTCCTCCCTGACGCGCCTCTCCGCGAAGACGGCGACATCAGCATCCTGGCCCACAACTTCTACTGGGTTGTCGACCCCCTCTTCCATGACACCTTGTGGTCCCGCGTCTCAGCACACGTCCCGGCGTCGGTCAAAGGTCGTCTAGCACGCGGTCTGAACCGCCGGTTCCGCGTGTACCGCTACGTCCCCGGCGCAGAGTATCGCGCTCATATCGATGGTGCCTGGCCTCCATCTGATGTCCTGCCGGACGACACGTATGTGTACGACGCCTCGCCCGAAGGAAAGAAGCAGAGTTCGCTGTTCACATTCTTGATCTACTTGAACGATGAGTTCGAGGGCGGAGAGACTACATACTTCTTGCCGGCGGCGAGAGAAGGGACGCTGAATGCGTACCCAATTAAGCCAGTGATGGGCAATGTTGCGTTGTTTCCTCATGGAGACACTAGTGCGTTGCTTCATGAAGGCACGGGCGTGAGGAAGGGGGCAAAATATGTCATCAGGACCGAAGTGGAGTACGATGTTGAGCCATCGGAAAAGTAAAAGTTTATGATTTATTAATGACAAGCCGAATATCCATATTCCACGAGCTGTTTTTAGTTTGGCAACGCTGAAACAATATAATTAAGGCTTCCACTCTGATTTCAGGTCGTTCTCCGCTGACGTCAAACTTTGGTCGTAGAAGCCTCCGCCTCCCCTTGTCCCAAGTGTGCCGCGCCGACAACCGTCTCATCGTCATCTACAAAAGCCTTGTCGCCGAAAGCCATTGCTATCTCTTCAAGCGTGTGATTCGCCGTCTCGACGTAGTAGAACTTGGCCAATGCGACTGATATCAGGCAGAACCCCGCGATGATCACATAGTAGTAGCCTCCAATGCCCGCGAATGCGTCGGGGGCCGACATGCCGATAGCGAAGTTGAACACCCAGTTGGAGCAGGTGGCGAGCGCCATGCCCTTACTTCGAGCGCGCAGGGGGAAGATCTCGGCTGGGAGCAACCAGGGCATGGGACCCCAGGTGAAGCCGTAGATGGCATTGTACTGAGAGAGACGTAAGCATACATCATCGTGTCATGCCAGGGGGTAAACTTACGATAACGACAAAGGCATAGATGCCATTCGCACGAACGTTGATGTCAGGTATGTGTGCCTCAGTGAAGGCACAGACAATGCTGAGAGCGATGGCCATGATGATCCCTACATAGTTAGCTTGCCATGAGTGTAAGAGAATGCCGAGAACTGTGCTTACCACCAAGGATCAGCAGCGGGCGGCGTCCCCATCTATCAGCTAGCCACCAAGACAAAGTAGTCGCAGCTACATAGGGGATCGAGTTCGCAGCAGTGTAGAGCAGGGACTTGGACTGGCTCATGTCAGCCTTGGCCAGGGTCGTGGGCAGGTAGAACGAGATGACGTTGATTCCGTTCAGCTGAGCAAACATCTGCGCCGTGATGCCAACAATCGTCCGCTTTCGATAACGCGTAACCATCTCCCTCCACGATGATTGTCCGAGAGTCGCCTCATAGCGCACTGCTTCCCTGATCTCGAGCATGACTTGCTGAACGTGTTCAGCCTGCGTGTTACCATCCGGCGTATGCAAATCGGCAACAGTCTGTATGCACTCCTGCGTGAAGCCATTTCTCGCCAGCCAGCGAGGTGTTTCTGGGAGAAGGAAGGATATAGCGAAGAGGATGAAGGCGAGGCCCATCTGGATGAAGTAAGGCCCCTGCCACGACTCGCTCTTGGGCACGAGGTGGTAGAAGCCGTAGTCAACCCACGTCGAGAGCGCGTACCCTCCGATGAGGAATGTGTACTCGACACCCACCATAAGCCCACGTCGGTGTGGTGCGGCGATTTCGGTTTGGATGACGGGCACGGTCATTGATAAGAAACCAACGCCGAAGCCTTGGATGGTTCGTCCGGCGATGAAGGTAGCAAAGTCAGGGGCGAATGCTTGGATGAAGGCGGACGCGAAGTAGATGAAGCCTCCCAGTCGAACACATCGCTTTCTACCAATCATGTCACCAATGTTGCCGGCCATGAGAGAACCGATGGCGGCGGAGACTTGCAGACATGCGACGAGGATGCCCGTGATGGAGGGGTTGATGTCATCGCTTGAGCCATGGGCGCCTCCGTAGTCTACGAAGAACCTCTTAAGGAACACGGGGTTGACCAAGAGGCCGGCCACGATACCTGAGCTTTTCGTCAGTCAAAAATAATCAGGAATTAATTTGAACCGATGGACGGACCTTGGTCATAGCCAAACAGGGCGTCTCCAAGTGAACCGAATGCGCAAGTCATCCATACCAGAGGCTTACCCCTGAAGGGATAGCGAGCATGGACAGTCTTCGGCTTGATCTTTGACTCGAGCCATGAGACATGCGGCGGCGGTAGATCTACAACGTTGGAAAGAACGGGAGCGGACTCCAGAAGAGTTGGTGCAGGTGGCTTTTCCATTGCTTCGGTGGTGTGACAAGACAACTTCAATTCGCTGGATTAGGACGAACTCCAGAATACCTACCCCGTGGGGAGAATCTGGGGTTATTTAAAGCATCGACTTTAGACCTCATTCATGAGCCTTTTACCTGGAGCCGTCGGAACCGGTAGATGTCTGCAAATCGCGGGGTATGGTCGCAGCAGCTTCGTCAACTTGGCACAATTTTCAACCATCCCCACGATTGCGCCAACATAGGAAACGGGCAACCACAGCCTAATCCCTGGTTTTCCCCAGACCTGAAGTCGTGCTGAAGAATCAGATGACAACATGCCCCTGCGGAGTGAACCGGTTCACAGGCTGGACATGGGGTGGGCGAAGACTCGACATCCGTCGGAACCGTAGATATGCGTCAGTGGAGTGATTGGCCCGGATCCGTACGCCCAAAACATGGATACCAACACTTCAAAGCTTGCGAAGAATTTTCTTTTTCTTCAGTCGTATCTGGTATACAGAGAACCCAGTTGCCGTAGCTCCAGGGAGTAAAGCTCCGGTGCCGGTGTGGAGTACTGAGATTAGATGGCGCCATCGGCATACGTCGGAGGCCGAGATCAGCCAAAATCTCAACTATGTTTTATGCAGCTAGGTAAATGGTACTGCGATAATGGCGAATTGAGAAAAGATCCGAGGTCTTTAGATGGGGTTCGGCTTCAGCTAGAGCGCGTATCATTCATTTCTGGATTGGAGGATGATCATCAGGAGAAGACTCTGGCCACGGATCGCTACTCTAAATCCAGTCGAGTCACTGGTTAAAGCCCATTGAATTGGGGTCTGCAGAGGATTACGGAACTTGGCCGCTCCATGTAGAGTCCCAAAGCCAAAAGAGACCGTTCGCCCCATAATCTACTGCATGCTGCCCTTGTGACTCTGTAGGATCCTGGTAAGAAGACCCAGCTGCATAACCAATTTGTTGCGATGGACCTCCCAGCAATGCACCATCACCCCTTGACTCTGACACAAGACCGGACTCCAAGTACTCGTTTTGGAACGGTGGGATAACTGGCGAAAGTCAGCGTCTGAAAAGGAGCTTGCTATGGGGAGTGAAGACGTACTCTGCTGGACAGAAGCCAGACTCTCATTCAGGCGCTGTGCAAAGCTTGGATTAGACCCATGCCCTTGATCTGGCCCGTGTACTAAGACATCAATCACGGACTCAGGCTGGATGTGAGACGCCCGCTCCGACATTGCAGGCCTGGAGTTAATGTCAGGGAGAGGTCGCGGTGCCGTCGCTGTGTCCACCATAGCTGAGTTAGAAGCAGCCGCTCCGATCATGGCTTCGCCTTCGCGTCGTAGAAGCAGACGTATGAGATTCTTCAGCACGGCACTACTTTGGCTTGACAACGACGATCTCTGGCCTAGTAGCGCTTCTAATCTGAAGACCTTCGTGATCGGTCTTTTTATTCCCTGGGCTTAGTCGGAAAGCGGGTCCGAGAGAGCAACCAGAATCAGCACAATCGCTGCGTTGAACATATTCATGGCCACAAATGCCACGAGGTGGCTTTCAGTGGCAAGCTGAGTGAGCTGTGGTAGCTCCGTGACGCTGGCAGTTCTGACTGCTGCGTCCCACCATTGTTCTGAGATTGCAGTTGGCTCGATGCCTAGTTCCTGATTCTCGTGAGGGGAGTGAACACTGCCTTGTGAGGCTAGGCTCTGCGGGCCCCCGTGGCTTGCTGATGGGGAAATCATTTCTGCGACGCTGCTACCATTCGGTCCTGGACTGCTCAAAGAAAGGTTCTCCAATTGCCGAGCCAAGAATGGTCGATGTAGCACGATCAGCAGGTTATCGAACGTTAGCTGTAATGACAAAAACTGCAGGAGGTGCGCGCGTACACTCCATCCCGTGGTAGACGGGTCGTAGTCCCGCTTCAAGTCAAGGCATAACTCCGTCGGCAAACGGCGGCGCCAGGAGGGGAGTCGCTGAATGACGTTAGTGATGAGGGAGCGGTGCTCCGAGTCGAAGTACTGGCATGTTGCGCGTGCCGATAGAGAGCCAAATATTTTCTTCAGCGCTGGTGACGCGATGAGGTATAGCTGTGTTAGCTCTGTCTGATATGGCGAGTAACAAACGCTAGTGACTTGTGCTTGTGTGGCCTCAGAGCCAAAGAATGGCGACTCGCTGAACTTGGCTGGCAGATCGACGTTGTAGTCTTCGTCATTTATACTGAGAGGTCGCCCGTATGAGATCGAAGCGAATCTGAGCTGTCAGAATCCACCACGGAAGGGGAGAGAAGGATGTTTAAATGCATACCTATCCCATGTGTAGATAGTCCACCACACCCTCTTACGCTCTTCGATGTCATCAAAAGATCCGTCTTTTTGTCCCCGATGTAAACCCAAGGCGTGTGACATCTTGATGGTTGCACCCAGCAGGGCAAAAGACAGGTTTGGTCGACCGTGGTACACGTGATGTGACCCCAAAAGGATAAGGGTCTGCACCGCTGCCAGGGAACGCTGATCCATGACCTGAACAAGCCGCATTTCTACTGTCTTGAGTAAATCATCGCTCCACAGCCTCCAATTTTGGCTAATATCATGTGGACGCTTTTTGGATTGATACCATGCTGCCATACCCAGCACTGTCGACAGCAGAGTCAAGAAAGGTGCTTCAGAGGGATGTGCATAGCCATCTTCAATCGACTGAAGCTGGCGACGGAACTTTGGCTCGTACACAACAAGAGAGAACCAATGGACAGCTTCGAAGTACTCCTCTAATAGCAAATAAATCGTGCCGAGGTCGGGGAAGCGGCCATCGAGAATGGTGGATATCGGGAGACGCTGACAGCCATTCCTTGGGAGAGGAGTCCGGGTACCCGCCCCACCGTCCGGAATGGCTGATGTTTGGTTCTCGTCGATTGTTTGACTACCCAGTCGATAAATCTAGTGGGAATTTTTGAGTCAGAAAATTGGAAGAATGGTAACAACATGAACACTCCGTTACCTTGCGAGCGATGCCCATTGCAGACTCAGACTCCCCATAATCTAGCGACGGCCAAGAAACGTTTTGGGTGATCGTTTCTGCAACGTGACCATTCTCGACATTTCTTGCCAGAAAGTCCTCCCCCGGAGACCGAGGTTGCTCCGTTGGGAGGCTGGTTGCAGATCGGACATTGTGGCTAATTGTAGCTTGTGGCCGTCTTTCGCATGTTAGTCATTCGTGGCCCTCAGAGATTTCGATACATCGCATCCAGTGGTTGATTGTTTTCTTACTTTCGTAACTTAGATGCGCGACGCTCACTGCGACTTTGAGGTCTGCCTTTTGGGTGCTCGTCCAAAGACACCTGCTCGCAATCGACGTTGGCTCGTACGCATAGCGAGCACGGCCTGAAGGCATCACACTAACACCTATCAGCGACCAAGCACGCTTGTTTGCAAAAGATATCGATAAAACCTACTCTGCTCTTGTTCCGACGGCATCTGTTGCATGCGTTAGACACCCGTGTTGGCAGCCGGCGGCTCGCAATGATAGCCGGAGAGCCGTCATCCGAAGCCTGTTGTCTAGATTCCGACATTGCGAATTGATGAGAGTTGCAGCATGAAGAAGACGGAACCGAATGACCGGCTGGTATTACAAGACATGCTTTGTGGAATTGGCATGCATAATCGGTACTGGGCTACTACACAAGGGCTAGGAGCGCAATTGAGCGAGCATTAGCCCAGTACAAACGGAACCGAGACCGAGACTGCTGAGCGATCGACATAAGACGCGGTTCCGGCGGCACCCCTCACATCCTTACACTTGCCGCATCAGACTCCTCTTCTCCAACTTCCTCGGAACCGGCCCACGACAGATACTGGGTCAAGGGGGAGATTGAGTTGACCAATCATATCACACTCCAAGAGAGGAATCAGTCTTTGGGCATTCACAGCCAACTTGCTATGATAAATGTTCAGGTCTCTGCGCAAAAGCTCAAATTCTAATTCGCAAATGGTCATTCGTCAAGCTCCTCTCAAATTCCGTTCAATTATCCATGAAGACGAAAGAACATCTTCCTACAAACGCACCCTTTCCAACCGCTCTCGGCGCCAAGCAGACAATGCCTTCAGAGTGCCCACCTCCCAGCTACAGCCCACGAACGTCGAACCTTTCTTTCGTTCTCAAGAATCCACACGATGTCGAATTCGTCGAGCGACCGATTCCCCAACTCTCGTCACCGAAGGACGTGATAGTTGCTGTCAACTACACTGGAATATGCGGCTCCGATGTGCATTACTGGGATCATGGGAGTATCGGCCACTTCGTGGTACAAGAGCCTATGGTCCTAGGCCACGAGTCATCTGGAACTGTGGTCGAAGTCGGTAGCGCAGTGACAGGTCTTCAGCCCGGCGACAAGGTTGCTATCGAGCCTGGCTATCCGTGTCGATGGTGCGCCGAATGTCTAGCAGGTCGTTATAACCTCTGCCCTGAAATGGTGTTTGCGGCCACACCTCCACACCACGGCACGCTCACCGGCTTCTGGGCCGCTCCATTCGACTTCTGTTACAGACTGCCCCAGAACGTTACCCTCGAGGAGGGCGCGCTTATTGAGCCTCTGGCAGTAGTGGTTCATATCGTAAAGCAAGCTCTGCCAACGACGTTTCCTGGGGCAAGTATTGTCGTGATGGGAGCAGGCCCGGTGGGTATCCTGTGCGGCGCAGTTGCCAAAGCCTTTGGTGCGACCAAAGTTATTGCCGTCGATGTGATACAGGAAAAGCTAGAATTCGCGAGGGACTTTGGTTTCACACACGTGTACTTGTCCCAACGGATCTCGGCAGAGGATAATGCCAAAGCCCTTCTTGACCAATGCGGCCTTGAGGGAGGCGCGGACATTGTCATTGATTCAAGCGGAGCGGAAAGCTCAATTCAGACTAGCCTTCACGCCGTGAAAGCTGGAGGCACTTACGTTCAGGGAGGCATGGGCAAATCTGATATCAACTTTCCCATCATGTCCCTATGCCAAAAGGAGGTAGCTGCGAAGGGTAGTTTTCGGTACGGGCCTGGTGACTACAAACTTGCTGTTGAGCTGGTGGGCAATGGCGCAGTACACGTCAAGAAGCTCATTACTAGTGTGGTGGATTTCAGGGATGCCGAAAAGGCATTTCGCAGAGTAAAAGAAGGCAGCATAGGGAAGACTCTTATTGCAGGTCCCAATAAAGTTTCCTTGGCAGTACAGAACAAGGAGCCCACGAGTGTTCTGAAGTAGGACTACTGATAATTAGCCTCGACTTCATACACATAGATGCAATCGAATAGAAGAATCAATTGAATACATAGTCTAAGAGGAGATTACTCGCCGATGTTTGAAGCAGTATGTGGTGTGAGGCTTCACTTGGTTCCGTGGATCTGGAGCAGAAGGCTTTAATAAAACGGGCAAATTGAGCATTCGGCTAAGACAGCTTCAGGCACTGCGAAAGGCAGATGAGATGCATTCCAATCTAGATCTCTGATCTTCTTAGGTCTCTTATAAAGGAAATTCAAAGTACTAGGTATCTTCGAAAAACTCAAATGGTCCAGGAATTCGTACTTACTGGGTAACAGTGGAGGCAGCTGCGCTGTGCCGTAGACTTTTATGCATCATGGCGCGCCAACGAGCAAAAGGGGTCTGCATCGGCCATTTGCCTAGATGTAGATCTTCCCCTCAGTGGGTAATACAAAGTCACCCCATGCCAGTATGATGCCAACTCTGTGTTATGCAGTACTTGAACCAATCACTCATCGTGACGGTGACCTTGCAGCGACGGCGCCCACCACAGTATGGAGCATCTGCTTTGCCCGGCTGGAGTGCAGAAGCTGCATTACTTACAAAGAAAGCTGCCGCAACCGTCTACATAAGTACAGATTATGTCCAAAGTCTTGCTGGGGTAAACACCCTCCTTCATACTCTTGTTTTGACGGTTTCGACGCAACATCATCCATATGCCGAGAGTCGAAGAATTTCAGCTCCATCCCACTGGGTGGGAAAATGATCCGAATGAGGAGCGGTTCAAGTTGTCTACGCTGGACTATTTGTCGGCGAGGACTTACAACAACTACGCATTGTTTTTCAAAGTCAATGATGGTCACAAGAGGTTGGTAGTCATTGGTGTTCGGGGTAACGAGGGATATTATCGATTCTAATAATCCAACAGTCAAGTTGCGGATATACTAAAGAAGGGCTTAGAGAGGACACTCAGCCAGACCCGGCACCTCGTCGGTACCATTGAGAAAGATGAAGATGGCCACCACTCTATCGTCAAGACAAAATCCAGCATGGTCAAATTGGTCGTCCAATATCTCGACTCTCCTCAGGATGGTTTCGCTTCGTTCGACGACATTGAGAAAGCGCACTTTCTGTCGACTAAACTCGGAGACATTAACATCCTGAGCAACGCTCCTATGACTTACGGCGAAAAACCAGAAGCTCATCCAGACAACAGCCCCGTTGTTGCTTCTTACAAGGCTACTTTCATACCGGGTGGACTCATTTTCAACATGCACTCCCACCATTACAGTAATGACGTAGTAGGGTGGGCCCATTTCGTGAGACAGTTGGCAGATAACTGTTACGCCATATTCAACAATAGCGAGCTTCCCTCCTTCGACCCCAGCTGTTTGAACCGCAGCCGCTTCATGTCGCCACTGGTGGCAGAAGACTCGCGCATAGGTGCACCTCCTCAGGCCGATCGTCACCCAGAGCACAGGCTCTCTCAATGCCTGATCTTCCATATACCCAAGAGCAAGGCATCAGAGCTCAAGAAGGCCGCCTGTCCCAGGGACGGCTCTTGGATATCCACATACGACGCTATCAGCGCTCTTACTTGGCGCGTCTTCTCAAGAATCCGCCAGCCCTTGTACAACCCGGATCCAGCTTCCTATCCAATTTGGGGTGAGGGTGTTACCATGAGCAAGCGTCTGACGAACCCTGCGATGCCGACGCGTATGCAGGGAAACCAATTCTTCGCAACATTGTCAACTCTTTCCCCGATCCCACAGTTGACCACTGCTGAGATAATTTCGGACGCTCCTCTATCCAAGTTGGCGAGCTACACGCGCCAAATGACCAATGGGGTCACTGAGGACTTGCTGAAAGGAGCCTTGCAGATGCTGGCACCTATTCGGAATAAGGCGGACCTGTCGGTTCGCGTCAACTCTTTCCCACCAATGACTGTAGCCATGACCGATTGGCGAGACGCGGATGTGTGTTCAGCCGACTTTGGCTTTGGGAAGCCCAGTGCCTTTCGACACTTGTTAGACACCATGGCTGAGGGATTGGTTGTTGTGTATCCTCCCCATCGTGGACCGGCCGGCGAAGACGAGGGTATTGAGCTACAGTTTGCTTTCGAAAAGGAACTGGTTCAGCAATTATTGAACGATCCGGAATGGAAGAAGTACTTCGAGTTCAGAGGTGTTGATGCCGAGGAGACAACCCCACCACATGGTGTCCCGGAGTCTGCTTCACAAATCTAATGCCGACGAGGTGGTTCGCAATCGTCCACTTGTGGGCAAGTAGACTTCAATATGAACAGTTGGAAGCCAGGCGGTAGGTGATTCGTCTACTCATTGAAATCTGGAAGCTTGTTATTAAGAGTTGTTGGACGGTCTGGGAACTCATCATCAACTGGCGCAAGAGTAGGTTTCATAACGAAAGAGTGTGTATTTATAAATATGATTCAGCGAAAGGTATTGGTCCCATCCATAAACGCCAACGGCCCTATCCAGTGCGAATCCCGCACGTATGCCACCGGTTCCCAATCCAAATTCTAGCCAATGCCCCGTCATGCTAATGCCCGCTAAAAATAAGAAAAGCTACAGCCCCAAAAGCACAACCAAACTCCACATTGATGGACATCCCCCCTAAGCGGATTTACTGAGCAGCGCCGAAGATCTCGTTGAGATCACGCTTGGCATTGCGCTTGATGCCGCACTTGTTCAAGCAGGCGTCAATGCCGAGAGCAATGTTGGCGGGGATGTGCTCACGGAAGCTCTCGAGGTCAGCGCCGTCAATGGTCTGGACACCGCCAAGAGTAGCGGAGACGACATCCGGGCGAAGGTTGAAGAAGGTCTGGGCAACCTGTTCAACACCGGGGTCGACATTGTTGAAGCCGGCAACGAAAACAGCGTCCTCGCAGTCGGGGTTGAACTCCTGATGGATGGCGCCCTGGGGGAAGACCGACATCTGGAAGGTGTTCATGGTGTTGGCGATGGGCTCAACGCCGTTCTCAACCTGAAAGTTGGTGACGAGACGGCCCTTGACGATGACATTGAGCTCGGTGGCCCGGTTGTGGACGTGGGCGGTGTTCATGCCGCAGGGGCCGAGAAAGCCGAGAGTCATGGCGGCGCCGTTGCCGATGAGGGCGGGGAAGGTCTTGGCCGTGGCGGAGGTGGAGAAGCCGCCCTTGCCGCGGGACTCGGAGCCCTCTGGGGCGCCGGAGTCGTTGAAGTCGAAGACGAAGTCACCAGGTTGGTTGAGGAGCTTGACGCGGTCCTGCTGGGTGGGGGCGGTCATGAGCTTAGTGATAAGGTCCTGGTTGCCGGAGCGAGTGTTGACGGGGACGATGGGCGGGAGGACATCGTCGATGGAGCCGCCGTTGTGGCCGTCATGAGAGTAGCTGGTGTTGGCGGCGGGAGCCGAAGACATGGTCTTGGAGGGGGCAGGGGCGGCGAGAGCGGCCGCAGCGAAGAGGGCGGAAGACAGGATGATGGAAGAGTGCATCTTGATTACTGTTATTGTTGATTTGGTAGTGATGGTTGATGTAGTGTTTGACAGATAGGAAATCCTGACTGACAAAGGAAACAAGGAAATGAAAAAGGAAAAGTAGAAAACTGGGAACTGGTCTGTAAGTTGTTTGATTGCGTTGGTCGTGATGATGAAGAGAGAAGAGACAGGAACAGAGTTTAAACATCGTCGTTATATACCTCATGAAGAGGCTAGGTCCGGCGTCAGACTGTTTTCGATAATCGTAACCGTCTATTTTCGTGGTTGCCGTTGTTGGTGCTGTGCCTCCTGCGATACCCGGCACCGACAATCATCCACGATGTGTTGTGGTGTGGAGTGTGATGTGCGCCAGGCATCCTTCATCTGCAGTGCACCCGGGAATGGCATCAAGCTTACGCTGGGCCGGTAATAGCAACACCCACCAAAACTAGGCCAGCACAGCCTGGCAAACTGCAGAATGGAGACACACATTGGGACTGCTGATGCTGAATGAGTTGGAACTGGCGAATCACCGGAGATTCGCGTTTCCTAGCGTATCTTGGCGCTGATGAGCGACAGGGATTGACGTTCGTTGGGGGCTGTCCCGGGCAGTGTGGTGCCAACTTGCTGGGTTCACCGCCGAAAACGACTTGGAGGGCTGAAGGCTAGGTTGGTTGGCCGCAGCAAATTGGCTGATACGTCAGCAGGCAGCTCTGGTTGTAAGGCGAGTCAATCTGGGGAAAGATGTTTCCTCAGTTGGTGTTGTTGATTCCAAACTTCCTCCACGTGGCATGAGGTAGGCTTTGAGATGATGCTAGCTGCGTCCGAATTGTCCGAAGGCTGACAAGGGATTCATCGTGTAGGCCCATTAGATCATGTTTCTACCGGCCTAGTTACCAGGTGTTAGTGGCTTTCGGGAGTCTGAGCGGCCTGGCTGCATGGATCAACTTCAGACGGCCAGAGCTTGTTTCTAAAAAATGGGATGACATTTGAAACGAAACTTTTACTGAAGCATCAGGCTTAACGTTGAACAGCATAGTGATTCTGTGCATTTCAAGCGGCAGTAAGGAAGAACTTTTGGCCAGGCATCCGCAGAATAAGTGAGGAGAAAACTGATGAAATATTTCCATCGTCTAAGCCACACAGCTGCAGGTTGAATCCTGCCACCGTCAACTGTGGGAGGTGTGACCTGCTGTCTTGTAGAACCACATGTCAGCACGTGCAGTGAACCCAGCCTTCAGTCCGTACTATTGTGCTTACTTCAGGCTGGAGACAAGAATCTCGAGCGTACATGAAGCTGACAATCCCTCCGCCCATAGTGCTTACAGCGCCTTGCACAGCTATACAGCCTGGGGAGGTCCGGCTATGCTCATATCTTGCCTTATTAATCATTCCAAGGCCAAAGACAAGCCGGCTGCGGCAGGAGACGTAAGCTTAAAATTAAATCGTTAGCTTGGCAACTTAATGGAAGCCTTTTCTCCAGAGGTTGAACAAATACGACGGGAAAAGATTCATCCTCGGACTCTACCCAGTGACCAAAGATTGATGTTTTAGAACGCTCACGTCCAGATATATCGGCTATGTAATCTCACAACCGGCACATTCAGTTCCAGCGTCGCAAATTGTGTTTTGAATCAGGATTCACCCCTTGTTCTATGGAATCAATTCCGTTGTATTACTCCTTCTGTACATGGGCTGCCTACAGCGTAAACCATTACATGATGACTCTTTTTAACTTATACTGCCACCCACAGAATGCTAGGCCATCTCCTGTTCATTGAGTCTCTTCTCAGTAGACATAGAAGTTGGTCGCATTGGGGTCCTCCCGTCTCTTCTTGTTGTTCGTGCGGATCAGAGCCCACCTCATAAACCACGCGCAGATGACAACACCGATGGAAAAGCCAATGCTAGCGCACATGGCTGTAAGGAATCGAGGGGAGTCAGAATCGGGCCAAAGGTACGGCGTGTAGATGCTAGCCGCATTGCCCAACGTGTTCGCCATGGCAATCGCGACGGCCTTCTTCTCATCAGTCTGGCCGAGAACGGAGGAGGTCCAGCCCAGAATCAAGTTATTAACACCATAGGTTGCGCCAACGAAGAGCATAATACCAGTGTATCGCACAGCCATATTGAGAGATGCGACAGACATGACGAAACCGATGCAGACGATGAGCTTGCTGATCGTGATATGCCAGGTGCGCTCATTGTACTTGCCAGATGACCAGGGAACCAGGACAGAAAAGAAGGCTGAGAAGACATAGGGAGGGCAGGTGAGGACGAGGGTGACAGTAGTGTTGAACTTAAGGGTCTTAACGACGGTGGGGAGGAAGTTCTTGAAGCCGTTCGCGGATAAGTGGAGGTTGTCCATAAGGCAGAAGACCCAGGTGCGCCAGTCCATGCAAGCCTCGCTGAGACCCTTCCAGACGGAGGTGCCTTCACGACGGTCGGTCGTGTCGTTGTAGATTCTGGTATGGGCAAGTTGGCGTTCCTCCTCGGTCAGCCAACGGGTCTTGAGGGGGCTGTCGGGCAACAAGAAGAAAGCGAAGAAGGCGACGAGAATCGAAATAGCGCCTTGGATGATGAAGAGCCTGCGAGAAGATCTGTTAGCCCGAGGATTCTCATCACGAATACCACGAGACATATTCTCAGACTCACCATTGCCAGCCGTGAAGGCCCCTCATGCCTTCCATCTCAGAGAAGATAGGGGCAGCAATCAGACCCGAAAATGCGGATGCAGCCATGTTTCCGGTGTAAAAGATGGCCATGCGACTTGAAACCTCCTTGCGCGTGTAGAACATGGAGAGCATGTACAAGGCCCCCGGGTAGAACTATCTCACATCGTTAGTCTATCGAGTCGTTGTGATTACAGCACGGATTCATCACCTACAGGTGCCTCGGTAATTCCGAGGAGGAAGCGGCAAACAAGCATGGTGGCGAAGTTGTGGCATTTGTATGTCAGCAGACTGACGATAGACCATGCCATCATGAAACCAGCCATATACCACGAGGGTCGGACTCTGTTAAGAATCATGTTCGACGGGACCTGACCGCAAAGGTAGCTGCTGAGAGTTAGACAGTCCGACACGTAATTTCAATGTAGATAAAGCACCTACCCGACAAACAAAATTGATACGCAAGTGTTGTACTGCTGACCAACCAGACCCAGGTGGTCGGCGAGTCCGTTGAGCTTGCCGTTGATCATGGCGTTTCGGTCCAAGAAGTTGAGAAAGTACATCACCCATAGGATGGGCTGTGCGAGGTCAAGTCAGTTGCTACTCAGAGATAAAAACCCGTGGCCGTCAGAGCAACATACGAGGATGTACCAGTCAATCTTCTTCACCAGCGCAATCTCTCTGGGGTCGGTCTTAGTGTGGGCGCCAAATTCATCCACCTTCTCAATGGCGGGCTGCTTCATGAGCGCTGGATCATCGGTTGTAAGGACATGTTCCATCTGGTTGACTCCGACCTTGTCCTGAGGCGAATCGGGCCTGCCGGTGTGGACGTTGGTCGCCATCTCGACGCTTGGTGTTGTCGAAAAGTCCGATCAAAGAGAGCAAGACACGCGGTGCCTGTAGAAAAAACCAACAAGCCTGGACAAACTTCCAGTCTCGAGCTAACGGTGCCGGTGAAACTGCTGTCGACAACGGATGCCTAAGAGATTCGCAGGTTGAAGGACGAGGTAGGATCAGAAACCAGCTGGAGGCAGCTTGGATATATATCCTCATGTTTACGAACCCCATTTCGACCAGACCCATGTATATCCACCGTTCGCAGCCATCGCGTCGGGTCCAGATGGACGGCGTTAGGCCAGCTTGATTGGTGGAGTCGAGGAGCATCCCCATGGGGTAGATGGGGTACGGCAGCTTTTCCGCGAGTGCGGAGTGCGGGGAAGAGGAGCCAGCCAAGACCTCTTTTAAAAGGGCGCTCACATCCCGAACTAGAGCAAAAGCCTGAGGTGCAGGTATTAGACTCCCTTTCACGGCTCGGCGGTCGGGGTCTAGTACCGTGGCGTCTGCAGATGGTCCAGGGCTTCTGCGAAGTCATCTCGTGAAGGCTGCCATTGCTATCGCAACAGTTTTGTTGAGAGGCAGCTGGTTACCCCATCAACGATTTACGTTCCAGATCATGCAATACATTGTTCGACTACAGCTGGGAACCCTGACACGGGTTTCGCCCTCGACAATGAGACACCCAGATGTCTCTTAGTGCCACTACTTCTTCTCCTAGGTGACAAGTTGCTACTATCATGACAGCTTGGCTCCAGACCCAAAGCGGCGCAGCACCACGATGTCCCCGGTCGGTACCTGCCACCCCAACTCTGAGAAAGCTTGGCGGTGATGGCGTTTCTACGCCTTTTTCCCGTCACACCACCTTGGCCTTGGGCCGGTATGCCAAGGCAATAGCGGAAAACAGCACGGAAAACCTCGTTTTCTGAACGGAAAATGCTCGTTATCTTGGTTGTTTCCAAGCTCTTCCAAGCACTTGGCCGCGTAGATCATCAGCCACGTCTGGGCAACATCTCCCTGGACAGGAGCTTATTTACACGATACTTAATCTCGGAAAAGCTCACGTTTTCTAGAACTAACTCACGAACGGAGACGCGGATGTTGAATGAGCTGGCTGTTGGTCAGTGTTGCTAGTCATCTGCCATGTAGTCCCAGGAGGCCGCTTGAACCATTTCGATGTTTGTGTAAATGCATGCAGGTTGCTGACCCACGGTGGATGCTATGCTCCCAATCGTCTGCATGCACATAACCCCACCAAGCGGCACTAGACGGAGTAGTATTCGGCTGGTGACCCGTACGATACCCATTGTAAATGGACATATCCGCATTCCTGGAGATAAGCGTGAGTCAACTCCAGATCTCGCACAACGGACGCCATCTCATAGGTCTGGGGCATTCTACTCGTACCCAATTGCAACATCAAACCTACCAACACGTTTGTTTAGTGGGGTTGGTTGGGGTGCAGGTGACTCCCCCCTTCTCCAGTCTCCTCTTTGACAGGGTCGCAATGCGGAGTGACAGTGCAGGGTTCGAACACATGGGCTTTTGGCCGTTAGATGTCGGCTCCGTTCCCCGTGACTAGCCCCGAGTGCTGCTGCTTCGCAGACAGCTAACTATCTGAAAAGAGATGGGTGCCCATGGCATGCCATTCGGACTAAGAGACCGCGGATCTACGCTTAATGGCACTCAAAGGAGGCATCCATTCATTTATCAGACAGCATGCCAGCACACTGCATCTTCATGGTTCGACTTTCGCTTGGTGTACATGGTGCCCTACTTTTCCAAGGAGCATACCCCGTCGCCAAGGGCCGCATCTGCGTTGGCGTTCATCTCTTGTTACTCCTTGGCATCCTTGGGCTTCTTCCGAAAGTCATAAAGCCTTACACAGCCGCCTGCTAGATATCTTTCCGTAGGTCTTTGAATAACCTCGCCAGGGGGGGTCCAACAGTCCCGTGGACACGGGTCGCACACGCTTGAACACAGCCACCAGACAATATGGAGGCGTGGAAACGGATAAGCACCAACAACATCGGGTGTGGCTTGCTTTGAGTTCCCCTCGTGCTACCGGAGCTACATCTAGATCACTTCTTACAACTGGAAGATGGCATATCTTGAGAACAAGACATCGGAAACCTATTCCTCTAGTGGCAAAATCTTCAGTACAACAGGTTTGCTCAAGATTGTCACAAGAACAAAACCCCTGGCGAGTTCAACGTGAGGATACGGCCAATTCACATTTTTGATAAAAGTCATCCGGAAAACACCACGCTAATCCCAAAGCAAAACAAGGACAACAAAGTTACAGACATCCTACACGAGGCAGATCTCACCTCGTGTCGACTTTGAGAAATTTACATCCCACGAGTAAGCACCGGCCACAGACTTCATCCGTAAATTTGGCATCTCTTTTCGCTGAGACTCAAGCTCGACAAGAAACTGATCTGCTTCTATCAAACGTGGGTCGATCAGCGCAGGCTCAATCCATCTGGGCTCCTGTGGAGCCGGGTTCGAATGATCATTCCTTGGATCGTTAGCCGTTTATTTGAATGCCCCGGTAATTGAATACTCACTTGATTAGAGCTCTCCTCTTCACCGGAACCACTTCCTCGGGCGGAGAATTTCGTATGACGACAAATTCGGTGAAGAGGTCCACGCCGCCTTCTGGATTCCGTTGGTGAAACCCAACCACCTTCCCTGTCACCCTCTCTCCTCGGACCCATCTTTGCTCATTTTGCGCATCCATAGACACGTCGATGACTCTAGTATTCCTAGGAGGCCAAGGTGTTGGCGGGAGAGTCGTCGGTCTCAGGTAAGCATCCAGCACAATCGCATGTTCAATTTCGACCATCCTCCGGGCGACCGCGACCAAGCTGTCCATCTCCCACAAACTTTCACGCGGAAGGCTCAGCAAGGGCATCAACTGCAAAATCTGCAACCTCGTATCGAAATGGCGACATGTGCAGACGATCGAAAACAGCATGGGCAAGAACCCAGTCTCGAATGAAAACTTTGGTGACAAGCTGGACAGGTGTCGTAGCCGCGTGTCAGGCGAGATCTCATCGGCCGTGTCCTTCAAAGCCTTTGCAACCCTTTTGAAGTTGTCCACGTATTGGTCGAAGCCGCATTCGTCACCGCAAAGAGCGAGGTTCAACCATATCCTGCAGCATTCGTACCGCGTGATTAGGAACCCTCGCAGTAGCTTTTGCCGGTCGTCCTCAGCGTCTTTCGCGACTGGGTCATAGAGTACTCGGCTGTTGAGACTGGAAAATAGGTCATGCCATACATCCAGCAGATGGTTAATATGGCTTTGTGAGTCGAGGACATGTCCGGGCACAGGGCTGTCCCTCGCAAGCCCAGATCGATAAGGATCTAGACGTTTCACAAATTGGAAATTGCGGTTGTAGATGTCATCGACCATCAGCTGGGCGTCATGGTATGTCGGGAAATACTCCGGGATCGGGCGCTCCAGCCCCTCGAGGTCCGAGCAATCTGACTTCTCCCCAAAGAAAAATGACAACTCGACGAGTCTTCGAAATAAGGGGAGAAGATGCTCCTCCATCCACGAAAAGTCTCGGCACACGCTTCGTAGAATCGCAACACCATGTTTGCAGTGTCTCACGGCGGCTTCGCGGTTTGACTGCAGGAACTCAATGCAAATAAACAACACGCACACAATTAGCACGATAGGCTGCTTGTCGCGTGTCTGGATGGCCTTGAGCTCGTTGATGGCGGCGTTGTAGTGTTGCAGGGCAAAGCTCTGGTCTTGCAAGTGTAGGCGACGCTGCGGCTGCGGGGAGCCTTCGATTTGTTCGTAAAGATTGCTGATGGCGACGAGAGAATGCCTAACGGACGGCTCGAACGTGCTGAACTGCATGACGATGTGCGTCCAGAAGTAAGGGTCCACGGTGCCGGAAAGAAAGGGGCCAACAGTCTCGCAAAAATACTGCAGCGCTCGGCCCTCAGTCTGGCTAGTGACACCATAGAACACACGGTGTGGTTGGCTCGTTGGGACCTCTAAGACTGCCTTGGCTGTTGGTGGCGGCTGTTGATAACCATCGCATTTGCGCCCGGTAGAGAGACAGCGGGTGCATGATGGTTTTGTCTCGTCACACTTGACTTTGCGGATCCTAGCGAGCGTCGGTCTCATGCACATCAAGAAACTCCCAACTGACTAAGAGTAGACAACTCTGACTTACTTGCAGGTTATGCATCCCGTTCGGACTTTGCGGCTGCCTTTGCGAGCCATGTGGGCAAGATGCGGGGTTAGAGTCTTTTTCAAAGATGAACCAGACCCGATGTGAAGCCTCGTAAAACACCGTCGACTAGCCAGTGATTATGTCTGTTTGGCGTTTCAATTCAGTATCAAGAAGTACTCCTTTGTTGCAGACTTGGTTGGCTGAGGTGTGGTGGGAAGATCCATGAGTCTGAGCGCCTCTCCCGAGTTGAAAAGGGTGACGGGGCGAGATCTTATCTGATCCACTCATTTGAGATGAAGTGGGGTTTGCAAGGGTTGAATCCGATCAGGCCAATGCCAGCCCGCGGTTAAAATGTTGCCTATTCCTAATCCCCTTGCTGCCTCTTGGCACCCGGCCTGATCCTCTCTGGGTGCAACGGGGAACGGCGTCGTGGTACCACAGAAAATCTTCAACAGCATGGAGTCTGCTAATGGTGTTGTATCGGCCTGCTGCCCGGTTCTTTTGCTGCTTCTTTTTGGTATAACAAGCACACCAACTCGGCCGAGTGTAGGATCACGGACCCCGAGAATGGCAAGAATGAAGACGCAGCGAATCGTTCGGCACAGCTATTTAGGGCCCACATGCTGCGATGCGACTCGAAAACAGGATTGGCGGAGGTACGCTTATGCTTATTATTAGAGGAGCCCTATGGAATCAATGGTCCCGATCGGGGCCGTGCCGCAGCTCCATCAGGCAGCCGTTTCGTGTTCTATCTCGGACTGGGGACTCAGCCCTACGAATGTTCATCTGATTTCGCTTCATTTGCAGTGAACTCTGTTGTCTGAACTCACAGTATGTCGATGTTCCTGCTCCCCAGCTGTGGCAAATGTTCAAGATCCGCAACGTCTTCTACGGTGATCATTCTCTCAATGGATCATCGCGCCATCATCACAATCTCATTTGCCCCGTGAGAGAAGATCAGAGGGTCCTTGAGGTAGACTAGCAAGGGGGGTTCGAGGGCTAGGCTTTTTCAACACTCCTCGTTCGGCCCTCCACCCGGAAGCATCGGATGGCGGGCCTTTGCAGGCAAAATATCGGCTAACCTGTGCGATATTCTTGACGCATCGCGCCTGTGCCTTCTGATTATTGCCTAAACTCCTATTAATACGCAGCAACTCTAAAGCCTCATGTCCTATCAAGAGCTCGCTAGATCAGATATCAATCAAGCTATCGATCCAATTGGAATCTGAATCTTTTGAGGTTTGAAAGTACCATGGGGTTGGCGTCATCCACTGCCCTGTTCCGCTGCCAACTCAACCCATCTGCAGATGTCATGCAGCCTCAACTGCAGAATAAGTATTCCAACTCCAACGCATAAAATATTCAAACTCTCCTGTGTTGGGAATACTTCTCTTGTATGAAATCGGCTAGGTGACTCAGCAGCCTCCGAAATAGGTCTCAGGTCTGAGGGCCGTAATACTTGACGTCTACTACGTCACCGTGACCAGCACATTCTTGGATCCACAATTGCATTCCGGCGCCCAAGCTACAATAAAACAAAAACATGAATGCTTGAACCCAATGTCAAGTTCACATCAGAATTTCATCTACATTTCCACGCTCTCTAAAGACTTAATCTTGACAAAATCACCACGATGGCATCCTCTCTCCGCTCTGTCAGACTGGCCCAGCGAGTGCCCCAAGCGCTCACCCGCGCTGCCCCGCGGCCACTTTCACCCAGCATCACCATCGCCCAACAAACACGCCGCCTCCTCAACACCGACACGGCGCCCGTCCTCTACAGCGCGCGCGCCAAGGTCGTCGGCGCGCGGACGGGCCACGTCGAGGGCGACGACCTCGTCGTGGACCTGACGATGGCGAAGGCGCTCGGCGGCGCGGGCGACAAGGGCAAGACGAACCCGGAGGAGCTCTTCGCGGCGGGCTACGGCGCGTGCTTCCAGAGCGCGATGAACGCGTCCGCGGCGAGCATGAAGATCACGATGCCCAAGAAGCCCGAGGACTCCATCGTCGACACGACGGTGCACCTCGTGGGCGACATGAAGAAGCTCGACATGGGCATCCGCGTGGAGATGAAGGTGCGCGTCAAGGGGTTGAGTGATGAGGAGGTGCAGAAGGTTGTGGACAAGGCGAAGGAGGTGTGTCCGTACAGCAGGGCCACGAAGGGGAATGTGACGACGACGATTGAGGTGGTCAAGTTTGGTGAGGGTGGGGGGTCCAAGGGATCTGAGGGCTCCAAGGGCGCAGACAGCTCCAAGGGCTCAGAGGGAGAAGTGGATGGGGTGAGGCCCAAGGGTCACAGTGACTATCAATGAGGTCACTAGGAAGATACTTTGAGTGGGCATGAGACTTACACTCGGTCTCTCATATGAGGACCTCACTGTTCCACCATAAATAAAAACATTTGCACTAATAACACAACCCGGCATGAATTTCAACCTCGTCATTCCATGACCATCAGCAGTGTCGATGGATTCGCATTCAATAACCCCATCAACGTAAAGATAGGCGTTTCCAAAGTTTCTAGAGTCTTTACACCTCAAACCCCCGAGAATATCCATTCAAATGACTTCACCAGTCATCCCCCCCGAGATTCGCGTTCGTCTTGCCAATTTGTTTTGTACATATGAGGTGGCGAAGGCGTACATGGTTGCAGAAGAATCTTCATAGGCGTTCCTTCAGCAACCAACTCCTCATCTCATTGGTGCCATCGTTGCACGTCCGAGCTCGGCTGCCGTGGCTGCACGTGTTGCAAAGGCACATCGGCTGCCGAATAAGACCCCTAGTCTCGATTGACGCCCTGTGCAGATGCCACAGGATTCTGACCACTGCTACCCTCGCCATAGTTAGGCACTTGGTGACCACGGTCGTGGTTGGGGTATACAGTGCCGTAGGGTGGTTGATAATCCGCGCGGTCCTGATACACTTGACCATTGATACCTCCATGGCGGGATACTTCGTACCTCGGGCTGAAGTCGGTATACACAACGGAAGCGGGTACTTGATAATAGCTCGGGTCTTGAAGAACGGGAGCAGGCGGTCGCTGGCGTTGGCTGTTGTTGTCCCTGAAGTCCCTCACATCCGGAAGAGGAGGAGGTAGCGCCCCTGCGCGACCGAGAAGGTTTTGCCTCTGAACTGGATCTTCTACTATTGACCACGCATACCCATATTTTTGCATCCCATGCCAGACGTTGTCAAGCTCCGGAAGGATTCTGTCCCTCTCTGCCACAGTGCCTTCCGTGCGGTAGTTGCTGGGTTCAGCAGTGAGCCGCGGGTGGAAGGGGTACCACGGAGCCTCCACAGCCTGCAGTCTGGGCGGCATGTCCACTTGATAGACATTGGCGTACATCGACGGGAGTAGATTCCGGTCGTCTCCCAGGACGTGATACACGCTGATGTCATTGGCGGGCGGGGCAGGCTAAATGTTGACGAAGACCCGGGCAGGGCGGATGTTGTTGGCGGCCGGGGAAGCAGGGAATGGGACCTGGTCCGGCGAGGAAGAGGGACGAACTGTCGACGATCTCCTAGCCTCGGAAGCAGGTGTGTCCTCTCTGAGTTCGGGGTCAATGTCCATGGGTTGAATGGACGCCGCTGCTTTAGGCCTTTTCTTAATCCCAGGCATTTTGGAGACTGCGATTTGTGAGTTGTGTAGTTTAGAATTATTAAGTTGACGAGGTTCTAATGCGTTGAAGTAGACACTGAAGGAATGCTCGCATATTTCCCGGAGACAAGAGTGTCAAACAAGTGCAGTATGTTCTTTGGTCGAAGAAAACCGCGGTCCCTGGAGGAAGCCTTTGCAAAGCTTGCAAAAGAATCTTTTGTCTCCTGCCAGGAAAACGCCAAAGTTTATTTGCCCTATCCACACATGTCTTCTTGTTGCTTTCCAAACATGTTCTCCAAGCTGTGATATCGTGAGGCTCGTAGCACACACATGACCTCAACTCGAATGACAAATGTCGGTATTGATGTGCTCCAATCACTTGCCATCCCCAAAGAAATCAGCGCTTCCAAGATGTCTTAACTTGTTCATTCTGATCGAAATTTGCTGTTCTAGGGATCTCTGCTGCAGAACTCACGAACGGTACTTGTCCAGTAATGAACATCACCTATCTGACCCGACACCATGGATACTTTTGTCAACTTGCAGCCCACCCTAGCCGCCAAGCGAAACCTTTCCATTGGCTTACATACATTCGGTACCCTGGAGGGTTGTCAGCTGCGACCGACACACCAACAGGTTGTCTCTGACAAGCAGCAAACAAGCGGGTCAGTCGGGTTGGGTTCCAACACGACCAAGAAAATCCACCGTCAGAAATTTGGTAGCGGTCAAAAAGGTGGTCTGTCCCGCCGGGCGTAGGCTGTTGGTTCATTCTGGTTTGTGTTCTCTTTCCTTTTCTCATTTTGGCTGGGGTGTCGTACAACAGGAAAATGCTGTTGGAACGACCAAAGGCTCTAGGGGTATTTTTAACGGCGTGATCAGGAGAAGACACCCATCCAGCTTTTCCGCCCCCAAAGCTGCGCAAAGTTTCTGCCAGGATGGACGATTCGACCCGACAGTCTGGTAACGCCGTCGGCATTACGGTCGCACCTGTAGATCCAACTCCGGCAGTTGACCAGGATGCAGAGATTGAGCCTGAGGACGAGGGATTTGGTGTTCGTCATTCTTCTGAGCGTCACATTCATCTCACCCCGAACGTCAAGTCGTTCTAATGTGTGTATGCAGGACTTGGACTCTATCCCAGATGATCGGATGTTGGTCTTCCAGAAGCATTATCTATTATCACCTGATGCCCGAGGCAGGCCGACAGCGACATTGATACTGATGGAGACAGGTCATCCTACACCCGATCAATAACGTCGAGTGTCTTTGATTACCCGGTAGAATACGGGCGACGATACCATGCCTACCGCCAAGGCAGTATGTCCTACCGCTCCTTCATCTTCCGCCACTCTTTCTAATAAGCTTCAAAAGCCTACGCATTTCCAAACGACGAGGTTTGTGTCCTGACGGCCCCCAAAAGGCAGCTCTAATCCCTGCAGCCCGAACTGAACCGTCTTGATCTGGCTCATATCCTCATGTTCAAATCCATCGGCTACCGACTGTACCTCGCTCCCATCAAACCAGAAACGACGCAGAGGATATTGGACATCGGGACCGGAACAGGGATCTGTATTCCTCTTCCTCCCACAGTATCGTGTGTGGTCTAATGATGCTTCCCAGGGGCAATCCAAATGGCTGATTTATTTCCACAAGTCCAGCCGGAATGGTAACACCCCTTCCGCACCCATCCCACCCAGTTTCTGACCACAAAAGACAGGCTCCCCTCCAACGTCAAATTCATCGTCGACGACGTCGAAAGCGCCTGGATCGACCCTAAAAAATACGATTACATCTTCGTCCGCTACATGCTCGTCTCCATCGCAGACTGGCCGCGCCTGATCTCCAACATCTATGAGTTAAATCTTCCCTCATCCTACCCACTCCCTACTCCATCCTGGATCAAAACCTCAAATATCCTGACAACAGAACAAATAGCCACCTCACCCCCGGCGGCTACGCCGAGTTCCAAGACATGGACGGCCTCTACTTCGCCGACGACGCCACCTACCCGCCATCCTCCTCTCTTTGTCTTTGGAACTCGCGCTTCGTCGACGCCTGCGAGGCCATGGGCCGCACCGCGCGGCCCGGCCCGGCGCTCGAGGGCTGGATACGCGCGCACGGCGGGTTCCGCGGGGTGACGCACAAGCGGTTCAAGGCGCCGATCGGGCCGTGGGCGCGAGATCCGCACTTCAAGGATGTTGGAGCGCTGAATTTGCGCCAGCTGCTGGAGGGGCTGGAGGGGTTTAGCTTGAAGGTGTTTTGCGGGGTGCTGGGCTGGGAGGAGGGGGATGTGAGGGAGTTGCTGGAGCGGGTGAGGGCGGAGCTGGGGGGAGGGGGGGATGCATGTTATGTTTGATCAGTGAGTCTTTTTCAAATGATTGTGTAGTTGGGGTAGGATGGAGGTGCTGACGATGGTGACAGTCATGTTGTGTATGCGCAGAAGCCGGGTTTAGAGTGAATCCCATCATCTTGTGAATGTCCCATCATGTCAAATTACGCCTAACTCAAGCTTTCACCTCCGCCTTCCCCCTTCCAGGCGCGCTCTCAAATTTCGCCTGCCACCTCTCCTCCTGCTTAAACATCGCGACACAGGCCAGCGCGCTGGGGTTGCCATAGTCCGGGTCCGCGCCTCCCTCAAGCAGAGCCTTGTTGGTCTTCGCGTCAGCTCTCGCATCATACCAGTAAAGCTGATGCCAGCAACAATTAGTAGTTGACAAAAAACTCACCTCAATCACCTCGTCCTCCTTCTTGAACACCGCGCCGGCAAGCGGGCTCTGGCCCCGGTCGTTGAGCCGGTTGGGGTCCGCGCCGTGCTGGATGAGGAGCTTCACGAGGGCGGCGTGGCCGTGGTATGCGGCGAGCATGAGCTGTTTCTCGTCAGCTATCATCCGCACTCATGAAAGCTCAGGCGGAATGGTCGGAAATTGTAAGAGAGGGATCCGTACCAGTGTGTCGCCCTTCTCGTTGGTCATGTTCGCAGGCAGCCCCGCGGGTAAAGCCTGCTGGAAGAGCGCCATGTCGCCGGCGCGCGCGCCGTCGTACAGGCGGCCCGCGAGGGCGATGGCTTCCGGGGGGAGGGTCTGGGAGGCGGGATCCATTGTGCGTTACTGTTTATCGTGATCAGTCTTGCGGACGTTTGTGGTTGATGCGTGAGTGAGTTGGATGGAGATGGTGATTGTGAGCCGAGGTTGTGGTCTGGAGACCCACCGTGGTTCGAATTCGCTGGGTGGTGTTCTTACCGAGATCTGTAACGATTCCTCTGTCCAATTGAAGTATGTACGACTTAAGAGGCCAGTCAGAATATCTTTTTGGATGAGAGTATGATATTGGGCACGTGAGTATGGAGCTGGATAAGTCGGCCGGCGTTCGGGATGGCGGGGTCGAAGCTCGAAGCTCGGGGTTGACGAGTGAGAGAGCGGATGACGTGAAGGAAGGTCATCCCGGGGCCCACAGCTTCAGCGGAGAACAACTGCTGGAGTGCACCTAAGAATTGGGGGCTGCTGGGGCTGATTGCGACCAATCATGGGCTTCTTATTTGGGCCGAGGGTGAATACCTCGTCTTACTTGATTAGATGAGCCTTGAAATGTTCACCGGCAAAAGGCTTTGAGCTTTTCTAACCTCAAATTCACTCTGAATGATTAGGGCCGATGAGATTGGTGAGTGAGAATCTGCAGTGTACTTGCGGCGCTGACTCGTCTGAAGGAGGGCTTACACCCGCTAACAAAGTACTCAACCTCACTATTAATCTCATCATATTGTTCATGATAAATTTTATTTTGGCCTGACATTGCCCCAAATCTTCATGTCCACGACTACTTCGGAGCCTATTTCTTCCGAAATCACCTCACACCTGACAATGAGAATGGGATTATTCGAGATGGTCAGTATAGTCCATCCTCATCCTGCCGCGACAGCTTCGCTTGCCTTCAAAGCTCCAACGACGGCAAAACAGATTAACGGAGAGACAATGTACGACATCTACGAGACTGTTAGCATTCAAGTCAATCACACAAATCTTATGCCAAACTTACCGTCAAAAACTTGGCAATTAACATCTTCTGCGCCTCATCCGACCCCTCGCAGTCCGCCAGCGCCGACAACTTCATCGCCGACGGGCCCGTCGGCATGAGCATCAAGCAGAACCACAGCAGCGCATCCTTTGTCAGAAGGTCCGTCTTGCTCGCGAGCGCGTAAATTACCCCAATCGAGATGATGGGCCACACCACAAAGCGCACCACCGTGACCGCCAGGAACGGCACCATGGGCACGTGGCTCTCCTTCGACTCGGACCCATTCCTGAACTGCAGCAGCGCCTTGGAGAGCTTCACGCCCACGACGATGACCTGCAGCGTCGCGAAGAGGTCGCCGACGTTTTTCAGTGCTGATGTCAGCCACGCGTTGAGGTAGCCGCCGGCCTCGGGCTCAGAGAAGAAGAGGCGGTGCAGCGCGGGGACGAGGCCGACGAGCGCGCCGAGGAGGGCGCCGATGACAGGCGCGTTGACGAAGCTGGAGAGGAAGCTGAGGCTGCGTTGGACGGGGGCAGGGACGGCGGACCAGAGGCGGTTCGTGTTGCGGGCGAGGTGGTGCTGGGCGCGGGTGCGTTTGGCGACGACGCGGTGCGGGAGCAGGGATGTTCGCTCGTCGCGCTCGAGGTCTTGGGATTCGACGTCGTCGTCTTGTTCGTCTTCGCTCGATTCGTGGTCTCCGTCCTTGTCTGGGGCTTCTTCCTCGTGGCCGTTGAGGAGCTTGGGCCCGAGGGCGAAGGTGAGGGAGTTGCCGATCATGGCGTTGACGAGGAAGTAGCTCTTGGCTTTGGCCACCACATCGGAGCTGTCGTCGATGGAACTGAGGATGCCCGTCGCATCGAGTGATTGCACCAACAGCAGAGGCAGGCTGGTGGTGTTGTTGAAGGCAATGGCTGGTGTCACCCAATCGGGCATGCCCAGGACCTTGTTCAGGAACATGCCAATGCCGATTGACGCCGTCGTGTAAAAGATGGCCCATAATATGATGGGTACATAGCGTAGCCCCTTGTGATCGGTTAGGAGATGCCGGCCAAAGTCTTCACGACGGAACACCTACAGTTTCGAGGTCGAGTTGCGACCCGACATTCGTGATCAAAAGTGCCGGCAGCGCCATGCGGACGCAGAAGGTCGATATCTTCTTGCTGCTCTGTCCATCGAGAAGACCATACTGCGCGGCAATCACGCCGAAGGCGATGGTCAGCAGCACCGACAAGGAGGCCTGGAAGGCCCCGAGAAAGGGGACGAGGACGCTTTCTGCCGTGTTATCCGACATGGTGTGTTGTCGAAAAGATTAGACGAACAGGTTCTCATTCATCCTGGAGAGGCGGCACGGCGAGACTTCTTAAGGGCGAGAGATAAGGCACGCGACATGCCGTCAAACCGAAGCAGAGAGCTGAGCTTGCGCAGGGACAGAAGATGGCTTGGCGCTTGCAGGTTTCTGCGCTTGGCACCTGGAATGAGAACGTGGACGTCACTGCGCACGTGCCAAGACGCCCCCTTGGTCCCATCGAGATGAGATGCTTCGGCTTGACTGCTTTCAAGCGGTCTGTCTGTGGTGTTTTGAAGTGTTTTATTCCATCGAGATGGTTTTGCAGGAATTTTGTAAAACGGACTGATGAGCCGTACAAGCACCGATGCAACAGTCCCGGGAGTCTGGTGTTGAAGGTGAAAGGTGACCGAAGCTTGGGCCGCGTCTGCTGGCAGCTCGGTGAAGCGTTCGGCTGCTCTTCGCCGAGCTCCCCGGGCAGTGACCACTCACAGGACAGTGTTCATCTGAGGTCTCCACAAATAACCGAGCAAAGCCGACCCGCCAGAACGTCATCGCATTTTCACCAATCGAGCTCTTTCCTCGGTCCGCCCAAATTGAGCTCTCGCAGCAACCAACACAGCCGCCCCTCCAACGGCTCTATCGAACTCAATTGGAACCAAAGGACGCATTCCTTCTTCTTCTCACATCTTTTCTTACCTACTCCCACGGCTTGATACCCCAGAGACAACAAAGATGCCTCCCCGCCTCGCCCCGCTCCGTCTCGCTGTCCGCATCCCGCGGTGCTCCTCCTTCTCCAGACCGGCCGCCGCCCTCTACTCAACCGCAACCGCCGCCGACTCCAACCAGCCGCTGATAACCGTCACCCAGCTTCCTGCCCCCGGCTCCGGCCACATCCGTATCCTCGAGCTCAACCGCCCGAAGGCCCGCAATGCCATCTCCAAGGCCTTGCTGTCCCAGCTGCGCGCCGAGATCGAAGATGTCCACGCCCAGTATACCGAGACTGGCGATGAGGCACCCGCGAAGCAGATCTTTGGTGGCGCCGCGGGGAAGGACGTTAAGGGCCCGACGCGCGCCTTGATCCTCGCCAGCGCCGTTGAGACGAGCTTCTGCGCCGGCGCTGATCTGAAGGAGCGCCGTGGCTTCTCCCAGGCAGAGTACGTTTCCCTCCAAAACACTACCTCAAAGCCTATTAAGCACCACTAACACAAACACTCAACAGGACTGACGAGTTCCTCGCCAACCTCCGCAGCACCTTTACCTCCCTCCAAAACCTCCCGATCCCCACAATCTCCGCCATCTCCTCCCTCGCCCTCGGCGGCGGCCTCGAGCTCGCCCTGTCCACACACTTCCGCGTGCTCTCCTCCAACGCGCTCGTCGGCCTGCCCGAGACGCGCCTCGGCATCATCCCCGGCGCCGGCGGCACCCACCGCCTGCCCGCGCTCATCGGCCTCTCGCGCGCGCGCGACCTCATCCTCACCGGCCGCCGCGTGTCCGCGCCCGAGGCGTACTTCCTCGGCATCGCGGACCGGCTGGTCGAGATCACGCACGACGAGGCCGAGAAGGCGGGCGAGGGCGACAAGGACAAGGGCGCGCTGCTGGTCGCGCGCCGGGCGGTGCTGAGCGAGGCCGTGAGGCTGGCCGGCGAGATCTGCGAGGGCGGGCCGATTGCGATTCGCGCGGGCTTGCAGGCTGTCAACTGGGCGAGGGAGGAGGTGGAGAACAAGATGTACGAGAGAGTTGTGGCGACGGAGGATCGGAATGAGGCGCTGAAGGCGTTCCAGGAGAAGAGGAAGCCTGCGTTCAAGGGACAGTAAAGAATAAGGCATCTCGGTGTAAAAGGAAAATAGGTGGGAATGTATGAAGATGATTTAATCATTATCAATAGATGCTCCAAATGTGAAGGCCACCTGGTTGACAAAACGAAACGGCACATATTACACCACATACTAACAATTGTTTCAAAAAGAAGTGACTTGCACTGGACAGAACGCGAGATATTACCTATCATACTATGCGAAAATTAACCACAAGACTATTAGGAGCCTGGTGAAATTTAGTGGTATTTCAATACAATTATATCCTTATGTTGGGGAGTGATGCAGGAGGGACAAACTCAAATTTCACTTTCGTAGGTTATGATCGGTCGGATCGCTGACATTAAAAGGCCATTGGGGCACTGACTATCTTCAAAGCTCAAGCGGCTGTACGATGTAGCCTCCTAAATTGCCACCACGCCGTACCATCCGCCGGCCCCGTCCCGAAGTGGACCTACCTTGGTATCCGTCTCCCCCGATCCCGTTCGGCAGACGCCCGGACCTCCGGCCCGATAGATCGAGATCGCAATCCGTAACCAAGTTAGTGAGTCTCCCGTTCCAAGATCTATCGGCCAGTGCCTTGATCCGCTGCCGTACTCACCGGATTTGTTCTCTACTAGACCCAATCTGCCACAACAAGCTCAGCTAGACCTTCAGCTCTTTCTCCCGCCTTCCCGTCCAAAGGGTCCAGACCACGGAAAGACCGAGGTAATGCAAACAGCCTTCCCTCAACGAGCAACAGACAAACAGTGGTGTGATGCAGAGGTAGACATGTCGTCATTACCTGCACCGATCCCCACGGCGAAATCTGCGGGGAACACCACCAGACGACGACCAAGCGACGATACCTTGGGAGTACCTCCTGCGATCGATGATGTAGGTGTGATACAATTGTCTCGCCGTGGCCCAGAACGTCATGGCGCACTCGCCTCGCCCCTGCACCCCGCCCTTTTCGTGGTGAGGTGCACTGTTACAGTGGGGTTGGGGGCCCTGAAGCCGCTGTGGTTGTGGTTTAGCATGTGCGGCTAAAGGAGCAAGAGCCCCGCGAACTCAGGGCGTGGTGCCTGCCACCTGCCTCCCACCTGCCTCCGCAGGGCGAAAGGCGCGATGACATCACCCGCAGCTCATAGGTAGCTTCCTCGAGCTCTCTCCTTCCGGTGTGAGTGTCATTCCTTCCCGCCTTTCATATTTGAGGCTACCTCTCCCTCACCATACATCTCTTGTTCTTCAATTTTCCTCAACACAAACACCAAAAAAGTCATTCAACCGCACCTTTTGATACCCCAAAAAAACCACCAACAAACCCCTAATAAATCCAACCAAAATGTCGTTCCTCATCGAGACTGTCGGCCGCCGCATGGCTACCCTCCCCCGCGTCGTTCCCAGAGCCGTCGCCGTCGCCCCCAGACAATTCACCACCACCACGCCCGTACACAAGTCAGCCACCGAGACGGTCAAGGACGGCCTGAAGACGGTCGACCGCAAGGTCAGCGACAAGCTCGTCGACGGCATCAACCTCGGCTGTAAGTCCTGCGTCTCCCCCTTGCTCCAGGATGTATGTAACGACAAAAGACACTAACATATGACTCCCACAGCCTCCGTCGCGGAAAAGGTCAAGGAAGTCACCCCCAACTCGCAGGCCGAGGCCGCGGGCAAGGCACAGGAGCTCAAGGGCGAGGCGGCCGGCAAGGCGCAGGAGCTGAAGGGAGAGGCCAAGGGCAAGGTCAACGAGGCCGCGGGCAAGGCGAAGGGTACCGCCGACCAGGTCAAGAAGAACCTGTAAGCGATTGGAATGAAAAGAAAAGCATGGCTCATGACATGGGGCAATCATGAACTGCCCCCGACTGTAACACTACTATCATAAATCCTTCATAGCATGGGAAGGGGACCTGGGTCTACAAGGGGCGTTTTAAGCTAGCTCAATCAACGTTGCGATTGACGATCATTTCTATACTTCCACAGTGGTGTATCGTAACGTGATAGTCTTGTCATGTGTGGTAGATTTGATCAACACATCAGGATCGTCTTTGATTACCGCATATTCTTTTGCAAGGCACATTTCGGGCAACGTCTCTGCGACACCGGTCAGTCATGTCACGACACTGACGTCCTCCGGGGTTTCAACGTTGCTACTTGCTGTAACATCTCAGAGTCTATCCCAAAGAGTAGATACGCCTTTTTAATTCGGCATCGTCAGATCGAGGGGAGGCATTAGAAATCTGCCAACGGCCATCTTTATACCACGCCATTGAAGCAACCGATCACTCCAATGCACCCCTGCTTCACGGCAACACAGGAGTCCCTGACAGGGGCAGGCCTACGAGGCCATCTCCAACTCGACTGCCGGTGCATGCATGGATGACGATGTCCACTTTCCCGAGGACGCGGTTCCTTAACCAACGACCTTCACGATTTCCAGCCGGCCAGTCTTAGCTTCGCTTCTTCATCTGCACCGAAGAATCATCCCGTATTTTAGCAGCGTCTGGCAGCTCGCTGCGGACCCGAGTCGGGGGAGACGACCACGCTACCTGCATCACCGGCGCCACGGCCGTCTATCACTAGCTCGCTATCCGCGCTGCAGCTATCGAATTGTGGCGTTTGACAGCTTCCCTCCGCCGCACACTTTGCAGGTTTACAGCTGTTCTTCAAGAAGTGGCTTGGATTGTTTCCGCTGATAATACGATGTCTATCTCTGCCGCCCTGAGCCAAGTCCGCCATCACCTGCGCGTGGTGAGTGCCGGATATTAGAGACGGCATCGTTAGGCAAGGGGCAATACGGGATTAGCCAGGGGAAAACTGTTGATGCACCTACCGGGCTTTGCATGCCAGCGCCAAGGGGCAAGGCACGGAAGGGAGAGGCTCAGGAACTTGCCCCTGAATCGTGGTTTCGAGTGTGAAGAATGGGACTAGGTGGTCTTTCTGAGGTTTAGGTTGCGCTGAAAGAAAGACAAGCTTCTTTTGCACATTCTTCAGATGCTATTGCTCCAGCGGCATAATTACTAGGAAACTTAGGGACTGCCCAGAAGGTCTTTCCGTGGCCACGGTGACTCCCACCTGGATTAGCAGCTAGCCCCCTCCTAGAAACCAAGTGAGACATCGTGCTCCAGAACAATGGGCCCCAACCACACAGCATGTCCAAAAGATGTGCGATGTTGTTCCTTTTTCTAGGCAAAACATAAGCTGGTCCCCTTGCCCAGCCCTACTTCCCCGATTGATTGGGCTCTTTGCCTCTGCTGATCCCGCGCCCAGACATATCGTATCTCCGCCGATCCACGGTGTGCCATGTTGATGTGCATTCCATTCCTACGAGGCATGATTGAGCCCATCGTGTTGGCCTTAGTCTTGGAAGGAGCTACATTTACATCCACAATATCTGCCGTCCTCTCTTCCCAGTGCATATTCAGGGGTTCAAATCGCCTTTGCCGACTCCAGCAGCTGTCAAGCCAGCTTAGCGTCCTAGATAGTGCTCCCAGCCGAATCGTACCGTCTGCTCGGCGCGTCTAGCTGGATTATCCCCGTTAGCATCAGTGTCTCCCCACCGCGAATAACGTGGCTTCTTGGCCAACTAAGGCTGGACCAAACTGATGCCCGGAGACGAGTTGCTCTGAAAGGGCAAGTATCTGCGAACGGCCAAAACGGGCTTGCTGTAGGCTCTTCTCGCCCCCCTATTGCGACTTACACCAGAAACGGCAATTGTGGCGCACACCTCTGGATTGCCTCAGCCGCAGCAAAGGGATGGATTCTGTGCGGGTATGGAACGAACACACGCACAAATGTTCTGCCCACTCTCCCTTTGCCATCGGCATCTCCCCTCCAGGGGGGAATCTAGAACTAGACTAGAGATGATGGCCCTATCCAGCATTCTTCTATAATATTACCAATGTCCCGTTCCCCCCATCTGATCTGAGGATGGCTTCTCAGGTTTTCCCTGCCAGGTCTTCCTCGTCTTACACCAGAACCCCAAGCGGCTTCAACTCCAGCTAGGAGCCCTTCCTCCCTCCCGGCCTCTGGTGATACTCCCCCATCAACCATCCGCAACGATGTATCTCTCCCACCACCAAAAGCCGCCAATGTCGCCCACCTGGACGCAGCCCCTCCAACACACGGCAAGGTTCCGGTACAGGACGCTCTACATCGCCTCCGCCCTCACCCTGCTCTCCCTGTTCTGGATCTGGGGCAGCCACCGGGGCTCGTTCTACTTCGGCAGCGGCCATGGCCGCACGCTGATGCCATCGGCCGTATGGAGGACGCACACCTCGCAGCTCATTCCGCCCAAGATCTGGCAGATCGTGTTGCCCAAGAAGACGCCGCAGTCGGACAAGGATCTAGTCATTGACGCCGAGAAGCTGGGTAGCTCGGCGACGTGGACCGCCATGAACCCGGGATACGAATAGTAAGCTTCACCTATCCCCTCAAAACCAACGTTCCATAAACAACCGACTAACACACGACCCCAGCACCCTCATGGGCGAGACCTCCGCCCTCGAATACGTAACCCGCCACTTCGCAAAGGAGCCCCGCATCATCGAAGCCTACAAGAACATGCCCAACGTCGGCATGAAGTCCGACTTCCTGCGCTACCTCATCCTCGGCCTCGAGGGCGGCGTCTACACTGACACCGACACCGTCGCCCTGCAGCCCATCGACGAATGGGTCCCCGCGCACCTGCGCGACCGCGTGCGCCTCGTCGTCGGCATCGAGTTCGACCGCCGCGACGGCAACGGGTGGTACGACATCCTGCACTGGGTGCAGTTCTGCCAGTGGACGATCGCGGCGGCGCCGGGGCACCCGGTCTTCCGCAAGATGGCGCAGCGCATCCTCGGCGCGCTCGACGGGCTGGCGGCGACGCACGAGGTGCCCGTCAACGAGGTGAAGCCGACGAGCACCGAGGTGATGAACTCGACGGGGCCGGCGGCGTGGACGGAGACGGTGTTTAAGCAGCTGCAGGAGTATGATAGTGAGCTGACGGATATCAAGAACCTGTCGTATATTACGGAGCCGAAGTTGGTGGGTGACGTGCTGATCCTGCCGATTGATGGGTTTGGGATGGGGCAGCCGCATTCGAATAGTACGGTTGGGGAGCCGCCGAAGGAGGCGTTGATGAAGCATCTGTTCCACGGCTCTTGGAGGGGGGAGTGAGAGAGACATCAAGTTGAAGATGGGATAATCACTGGCGTTGGCGTAATGGGGATCTGGGTTAACGTGGGATGATATCACTACTTCTTTTGTCATACACTTAGAGACGATCAACCAATTTCAAAGCCTTGGTCTGATGATTCCAAAACATGAACACTTTGAAACATAAGTCTTTACTCTTGATGTATCTGCCTATCCCTCTTCATTGATCGTGTCGTCTCACTGATGACTTCCATATCATGGTATCATGCTGATTCACGGTAGAAACATCAATCTAGAATTTGGCCCCGAAAGTCACTTTTAGTGGTTTAAAGAATGCCAAGGGACTTTCGTTTCACGACAAAAGGTTCACTTACTTGGTACATTTTTATTTGTCTTGGAATCAGTTTAACGTTCTTGTGTAATCAACCTGGAAGATGATGTTAATTGCCATCCTCAGGTTGAAGTTACCGCTAATTTCCTCTTTGGGTCACCCGCAACCCCTTCGGCAGCTATCCGAATTATCCCGGCGGCACAGCAGTTCCAACATACCGCCATTCCGGAACATCTCGCTGCCGATTGAATAAGAAAATTCTAATCAGGACCCACGATGATAGAAAGGATAGTCGCATCTGCGCTTCAGAATCAAGGCTTCTATCAGTGCAGTTGAGATCGCCGAGAACACGCGCCTGGTAAAGAGGTAGATGAAACGCCATTGCTCTGACGGCGTTCAGCTATCATCGATATGTCTTCTCGAGTGCTAGCGACATGTAAGGCCCACCGTGGCATTAAGCTAAGGGGATGTCATGCGCTTTCGACTTCCACATCTCCAACTTTGCAACTACGAGCATCATCTCCCGCTACCAAGCACCCTAATGGAGCGCGTCTACTGGCTTTGGACGGGGGTGGCGTCCGCGGAATCATGTCTCTTGTCGTTTTGCAGAACATCATGAAACGCATTCAAGTCAGAAGGGGCCTGAAGGAAGAGCCTCGACCCGTCGACTATTTCGAGCTGGCTGCTGGAACAAGCACTGGAGGAATCATTGGCCTCTTGCTGTTCCGATTTCGGATGACCGCTACCGAAGCCATCAAAACCTATGACGAGATAGCCAAAGACATCTTCAAGCCCAAGGTCTACGGTTATTCCATCGACTTTCTAGGGGAGAAGATTTCGTCCTGGGTCAACAACAGCAAGAGTGTGGTCCAGAATAGTCGGTTTGATGGCGAATCTCTCAAAAGGGCCGTCCAACGGGTGGTCGCAGACCATGGGCTGGATAAGGACGACAAGGCGTTGAAGGGAGATGCGCTACTTCAGCACCCAGCGGCTGGCAGGATGTAAGAATACCAAAAAGACGCCCATATTGGTAGCCCCAGGATGCATCGTTGACCATGGAGATGCATAGGATCATCTGCACAACAGCTCAAGATAGGGCCGAAACAGCTCTCATGAAGACATACAAGGACAACAACAACTACGTCTCTTCGGTGGCGAACGACATCATGAAAGAGCACCGCGATAAAATTACAATCTGCCTCGCAACAAGGGCGACGTCCGCCGCGCCGACGTACTTCCCCGAGGTCAAGTGGCCCGAGGGAGCGAAAAGGCAATTGACCTTCTGGGACGGCGGACTTCTCAACAATAACCCTATTGACCAGCTGTGGAACTCGAGATATGACCTAGTGAAGCCAGGCGAGCCGGAGCCCAAGATCTCCTGTGTGATCAGTCTCGGCACGGGGTGGGAGAGGGCGGATTCGCCAAAGGACTCGTTGCTCAAGATCACAGGGGTTCTGTCGACCGTGATGGCCTTCTCGACCAACACGAACGCCAAGGCCAAGGACTTTTCGCGACACATATCGATGCTAAATCAGCGTGCTGAGCATGCTGATACCAAGTACATCAGGTTCAACCCGTCCCTGGGGAGGAACAAGATTGGCCTTGCGGATTACAACAAGATGGAGTTGCTGAAAAAACTTGCGAGGAACTCTGTTACGCATCCGAAGGCGCATGAGTGGATTGAGAAGGCGGTCGATGCCATCTGTCCGAAGGATGCATGACTAGGTACTTATTATCTACCTTGTGTGATCTAGTGTAAGATATGTACCTGTATGAAGAATCAGCAATGCGTTGTGATTCGTGCCGAAAAGTCCACACCTTGATAAGCAGTATTTCGCAAAGTTTGATTGATAACAACCATAAAATGGCTGAATTGTCCACGATCAGACTTCGAGCTCAGACAAATCGTCTTCAAAGATTTCATCCTTCAAAAATTGTCCTTCTATATTCGGAGCATGAACAGGCAGAGACAGCTCTCTACGACTAAGAATCCTAGATTAAAGGGACGGCGAATCGAGAAGCTACCGGCCTAGAACTAAAGTGTCGAAAATGGCTGGAAGGAATCCTCAAAAGAGACAAACGAGTTCCCAGGAGGAACGGGAAAAGCCGTTACAATCAACCAACCAACCTCCTCTCCCGTTTGAGATCAGACTCATGAGTGCAGAACTGGTGATACAGGAAGAGGAAAGGACACGAGAAAATGCACGAGAAATGGCACGACGTTTGGGAAGGTACCAGCAGGAGCTAAAAGCACAGCAAGAACAAAGGACGAGGCTGCTGCAATTGGTAGCGGCTGGTGCAGAATGGCAGACCATCATCGAGAAGAAAACGTTTACATCCTTGAAGCTACGATCAGTGGCTGACATATTGCGGTTGGGCCGAATCGTCGACCGCAGACGAGAACGCTACATCAAGAGGATTCGCTTACATATTGAATTGGCGGAATACGACCACAACGTATGCCAGCTTGACGAGGATGGAAATACCAGGAGACGGAACAATAGGATATTCAGTCGACATCTTATACATCTCCTCAACATCCTCTCCCAATGGAAGGACAGCAGCGGCGTGACGTTGGACCTTAGCGCCGCTTCACGCAGCGACGCTCTGCACAGCTTCAACAAGCTGGAAACCGATCTGGACGACTGGGTGTGGGCGAATGTTTCATCGATTCATGATTGGGGTCTCGGGGCGAGAAAACGTACCCTGGGGAGCCTGTTAGACTTGGTTTCCCATAACAATGTCCAGGTCGTCCTGCCACCGGTCCCAGCCGTGGCCAGATTCATTCTTACCCGACGTCACTTCCGAAGCTTTTCCCCTGAAACCGTGAGGCTAGTCCTTGGATGCTTCCCAAATCTGGAACAGGTTGCATATGAGCCTTACGCAGGCATTGACGCCGAGAGTCAGAGTGAGCGTGACGCCGCAAATACGGCCTTGCTGAGGAACCTTCCCAAATCCACTCGGACCGTATCGCTTTGGGAATACGATAGGGTATGGCTGAACGAAGATCCCCCCAAGAACATCGACCATGACTTGGTGCTAGCTGCGGTGGAAGCAAGCCACCGTCTGGAATCACTCTGCGTTACTTTCGCCTTAGAAGCGTACGACTTCTTCAGCGCGAAGCTTCCGTCTAATTTTGCTCCGTAGCGCAGCCTTCACACTCTATCTCTGACGTCAAGCTGCCTAACGGCAGACTCTGCGTTGGCGAACGAGGTTCTGCTCGCGGCGGGACAGAAGGCACAACTCATGCCCCAGTTACGGATCGTGGAATTGTGGCATCATGCTCGGGGGAAATCTAGTGGAAGATTAGGGTGCTTTTTGTTTCAGTATGAAGCTGGCGACGGACTGGCGAGGGCCACCGTTCACCGCGACAAGTTCTCGACGTTTAGCGTCGCGAAGGAGGTCAAAGAGGCTTGGAAAGCTGTGGTCGGAGGCAGGCTTGAGTTTCGAGTGATAGGTTTGGAGCAGTCACATGCTGCTTACATCCAGTATCCTACGGTTGGCAGGCTTCACGGAGTGTTGAAGCAAGATTTGGGAGGTGGCCCTGCAGGGATGGGAACGTGGAGTGTGGACATGTAGGACGACGCACTCCATCAGTTACACCTGCATAGGAATGTGGAACCATGGCTCAGATCTGCTTGCAATGATAGTGAAAGGACCGAGTCTTTTTAGCATTTCACAGGCGAAGGGAAGGATCCATAAGGCAAATAGGGGTAACATATGGCCAGACTTTGATTTAGGCTCGAAGAGTTACAGGTATGAAGCCGTTCAAAAACACATTCTCGCAAGATAATTAAGAAATAAAGCAACATTAGCCGAGGAATCTTGCCATTATCGGCCTTGAAAATATTACTCTGTGTTGCGCCTCTTGAGTTGCTTAATGGATCTTTTGAGACGCCTCGTCATTTTTTGAATATGTAAACATCCCAGATATCGCCTCTTTGCCGGACTTTAGACTACGGGAGCTGTCGTTGACTCTTGCTACGGCTTACGAGCATAGACCAGGTGGCTAGCATGTGTTAGTGACTTGAGCCAGAAAATGTTATAGAAGACTCACAGGTCAATGGTTGGCTGTAAGTTCGCATCCTTCAGCGCCTTACGCTTCTCGGCAATGAAGACGATGGCTTCCGCATGTTCCCAGCCCATGATCTCCTTCAGGAGGAAGGTGCCGAACCCTTCAAGGGACTGATCAAGATACTCCAAGAAGCCGGTACCTACTTCCTTGAGGAGCGGATCGTTCGGCCAAGACCCGATAGGAATCGGCCACTTCTTCTCGACAATGTCGACGAAGCCAGCTTCCCGCAGGTTGTGCGCAATGCCAGGATCAACGCATTGCTTACCAGTCTTTCCAAGCTTGTCGCAAGCGGCGCAGATATTCTTGGCCCAGGCCTTATAGGGGTGACTCTCGTCCATTTCCTGGACCTGCGACCGCACTTCGATGTCGAACTCTTTGACTTCAATGTAGCCGCCGGGCTTCATAGAATGAAGGGCTTCTCTGTAGAGTCTTGGCCAGTCGGACACACTGCCTTCAAGGTTGCGGATATGGACGAAGTCGAAGAAGTCAGCAGGGAAGGTCCATTCCTGTTCAATGTCGTCGATCTGGAATTTGCAGTTGGGCGGGACCCATGAGGGCTGAATGGGCGAGATGTCGACGCCAATGACCTCCGCTGACGGGAACTCATCTGCAAAGTCGCTACGTATGATGAGCTTCATGTTTGACTCAGAGACGTTATACAAACTCACATTGCCCAGATTCCGGTTCCAGTGCCAACGTCAAGCACGTGCTGCGAATGATCTAAGTCCTCGTTTCAACTCAATTGGATCAATATTAGTAGTTTACCTGTGGACTATCGCCAATAGGCGCGAGGAAGAGCCTGTCATTAAGAAACAGCGTCATCCAGTAGTGACTGTCAAAATATCAGCGAGTTTCTATGAGTCTTCAATGTTATTGACTTACTTGATTTCAAGGCCTTCGTTCTGCTTCTCATCGTTTGGCCCCCAGTACTCTGTCTTTTGAGTGTACGTGCGACCGTGGAGGCGGCGATATTCTGAGATGCTTTCACTCAAAGACGCAGTAGACGAGCGGAGGCTGCGACTGATGAGCATTTGGTGTACTGCGGAAACACGCCGAGTTATCCTAATTACCTGTTCGTTTCGGCCTGGGACTCGTTGTCTGTCTCTTCAACACCAGGATCCTGTCGAGTATTAGAGTTGGCACAAATGATTCCCAAAGGCCGCGAAACAGAGTCACTCACAGCCGCAATAGGCCCTTCGTCGGGGCCTGTACCCGCATTTGCTGCAGGTGGCGAGCTGGTCGCCGCAGGAGCTGTCGCGGGAGCTTGGGTAGGAGACGAAGACATTTCAAACGAATTTTGAAATTGAGCCAGGCGAAACGATGAGACAACAGAGGCAGAAACCGAGGATCTGGGTCAAGGACAGAAAATCGACAGAAAAGCAAACCAAATACCCCGCAGCACCGAGGGCCCCTCCTTTCAGAGTGGTTCATTGTTTGTCTGTTGGTTCTAGACGCACCACTTGCATTTTGGATGGGCTCGCCAAGAGCACCACCTAAGCCGTGTTCCCCGACGAATGAAAGCGCCTTGTCAATTGCATGTTCTAAGCTATTTTTGGCATCTCGGAGGACAGCCGACATTTATTGGCCGGGCTCAGCACGGAGATAGCGCTGTGAGTGGGTAAATCAGACAGCCAAATCGTCTCTGCTGGGGTCTGGCAGTCGTGGCGTGGCAGGGGGGATTGAGTGTGCCACGCGTTGTCCTTTGACCACGTGGGGGCTCTTAGGTGAAGAAACATCCCTTTGCAACCCTCATGACTTCTTTAAATTGCGACCCGTCATTAAATTCCTTGGGTATACGAGCTCAGTATGTTTTCCCAATCCGTGTCGCACCAGATCTGTTGCTCGCTGCCCATGTCCGCGAACATGAAGTCGGAAAAGCTCAAATTCTCATTGGGCGTTTCGATCTCCGTGCTCGTCTGCTCGGCCAACCGCTGCTCTTCTTGAACCCTCATAACCATCGCCTCGACATCGGATAGCAATGCGTCGTGGTCTTTCGCAGCGGGGTTACCGACGCGGGCCATCTCTCGAAGAAGCTCTCTCGTCCGAGAGTAGAGGGCCGCATCATGATCTTCTGAAGAAGGGCTTGATACTCGGTCGCAATTGATTGATACGCGCGCGAGAGCTAGGATAGATAGTCCAGAGAAAAGATGGAGGGATTCCCAGTATCCGAATTTTGCTTTTGGAGAGGCACCCTATGAGTATTCACGTGAATCGCGGAAAGTGGTCAGCACTTACCGATCTTGTCGTAATTCCAAAGACCTAGGAGAATCTTGCAATTGTTGCGAGCTGCCTGAAGACATTGCATCTTGACAGCTTTCATTGCGTCTCCTCCACCGATTGATGGAACGCCTGAGCGACCAGAGCTTGTTTGCTGACTATTAAGTCGACGCGTCTGGACTATGGATGAAAGTCGTTGGAGATAGAGAGGTCTCAAGAGTAAGATGGAACACTATGAATGGTTAGTAACAGTGTCTAATAGGTCACTAGCCAAGATCGGGACCTGCCTGGTGGTATCTCATATAGATCGAGGCTAGGATCCGCCCGTATTGCGCTTCCATTAGTCTGGTGGGAAGGCTATTCTCAAAGGTGAAGGTCATGTTGCTCGGTAAGTTAGCTCTCCAATCCTGGAGCATGTCGATGCAAGGTTTGATAATGTTCAGTCGCCTCTCGTCATCCACGTCTGAATGTTGCGCGGCAGTGATTACAACATGACGCTTTATCTCGCACAGCTGAGTTGACGCAGTCAGAAGACTTGGATCCGAGAACTGTTCCAATTCTTCAGGAGTGAGCCCAGCTGAGCACGGTAGTTGCATTCCCTCGGGGACAGATGCAAGAGCGGGCGACACTCCCAACTCGGTACTGATCATTCGGTCCATACAATATGACGTCCACCAAAGTCTCTTTCTGTGCTCATTCATGACTCGAACATTTTGCTCTGCGTCAATTGGCGTTTGAGCGGTCACTGGCTTGTGAAGCTGCAGGAGCTTGGCAAGGGCACAGCTTTGACTAGCGTACGAGTACGCCGTTTTCCTCCGATTCAGTGAATAGCAATAGAAAGCCTTGAAACCGGTCAGCTCTGGCTCTTGGTGACTTGGAGTAGTGAAGGATTTGACCTACAATGAGATTGAGAGCTTCAACATCTTCTGAGACCGGCTCCTCAGACGACATTTTCAGCAACATCAAACCCTGCTCAAAATAGTCTGACCCTGGCGGCGGTGGTGGTGCTTGTGGCGTTTCGGAAGACTCCGAGTTAGACGTTGGTGAAGAAGATACCGGAGGCAGGATGCCGTAGGGACTAGGAGGCTGTTCGCCCGTGAGCTGCATATGTGTGGATGCAGTCATACGCGAGCGATTGAAGCTTTCTGCCAGAGCCAGAACAACAGATACCCTGCAGAGCCAATTGCGGTCTTTGGATTGGGAACTGGGGTCAGAATATGTCAACATCAGTCTGTCACGGAAATCCTTGCGGAGAAACCAATGGTATTCGCTGAAGCCCTCCTCGAAAGCTTGGAGGAGGTGAAATGCGTATGGTCTTGGGGGAAGTCTGAGATGCACCTCAGGATCTACGGAACTCGGCATTAGTCTTTTTCTCTCGTCTTTGATTGATCAACTCACGCAAAAAGTCGAACTTGAGACGAGAGTATGTGTACTTCTCCTTCCGAGAAAGCAGTGTGTGGAAGAACTTTTCCGTGCTGCAGTCTTCCGGCATCTCTTCTTTGATGATTCTACTGGTCTTTGGAGGAGACATGGGGGCAGCAAAGTCGGGACTCCGAACATCTTTTTGAATAGGCTCTGGTGCATGTGACGAGTTCGAAGGCGATTGATTCGATCCTCTCCGAACGGAAGCCAGCTCCTTTTCGAGCATTCGCAAATAGCTCTCCGACACAGTTGTGAACTTTTCCTTGATGGGGTAGACACACTCTCGACGGCGCACTTGGCAGCGCTGACATGGAGTTCCTGAAATCCTTCATCAACGCCATGTACCTTACTCGTTGTGCGACGGTGGAAGACATACCTCCATTGCATTTGAGCTTCTGTCCATGACACGCCTTGCAGGCCACAGGACTGCGGCCCTTCTGAGCTGGACTTGTCACCATGACGACGTTACCGGACCGATTGACTTGCCCAGTTGAGTATGCTAACGGCCCGATATGTGCGATGAAGCGGTTCAAAACGGCAAACGCCAAGACGAAATTGAGACGAGCGATACCGGAGGCGATATCCAAGCTGTTGGGATTGTGGCAGGGAACAGCATCGACGCGTGCACATCAATTGCGATAACACCGCATGAGATGGGTGCGGAGGCCGTCTTGATAACGGCCGGGGCGTCCAGCTTCCCATTTAAGGAGCTCGCAGAGGGGTTGTACATGCTGTTAGCGATGCCAGGCGGGGCGGCATGCATCGGCCCCAGACGCTAAGTGGTGGATATTCAGCGTAATGGTGTCGCACCGCGGTCTGTCGCTCTGCAAATCGTTGATGATGCAGGGATTGGGGTTTCTGGGAAGTTGGGGTATCTTGGTAGTCTTTGACTTGGGACTCGGTGTTGGAGATGATTGTTTGTGGAACGGGTGGCTACCTCGCATTCCCCCAAATGGTCAAGTCAAGGGCACGTCAGTGGCATTTGGTGTGCATTCGGCCCCCTGACGGTTATGAGAAAGTGATGAGTCGGATTCCAGGGTGTTGTGGCTGCATGTTTGCTCTGCCCGGAAGCATTGCCGCTGCTGAACTGCGGCAGCATTTCCGGCACTCATCGATCGGCTCATTAATGCACCATCTCGGCCCCCGAATTCTCTTCCGCTCTTACATTACAGGCAAAGAAGAAGAAGCCTTGTCATTTCCAAGGCCATGGTGTATTGTTTTCCAAATCTTTGGGGGCTTCAACGAGGCATAAGAGGCAGTGGGAGCGCCCGGGACACTGCCAAGGTGGGAGCTAGTGCAGAACGAGTGTAGTGTACGAGGAACGAGACGGCTTACCGCGCAGATCCCGTTTGAATCGTAGGAAATCCTTCATGGCTCTATTTGTCCACAAGCCTCAACTCTCGTGATTGCGGAATTTCTTAGTCTACGATAAACGAAGTACGGCATACGGCTCAATCGAGAGGCCTTACACGGATCTTGATGTGCTGTTCAAAGCAGGAGGAGTAGACAATTTTTCAAGATGTTCAACAAATATAAAATCATGTCTTCCACAATCCTTTAGAATCTGAAACCCTATCATGCTACATTTCATCAATATTTAATTTTCCACGGCAAAGCCTATTCTTCAGAATGAGTAAATGCACCGAAGTTACCCTTAATTGCCCAGTTGAGGCTACGGTTTATGGCTACTACCCAAACGTCGGCGGCAACGCCTTTCTGTTAGCCATCTTCATTCTCTGCACTGTATCACAGCTTTTCCTCGGCGTCAAGTATCGGCTTCGTGCGTTTATGACCGTCATGGTCATTGGTTGTCTGCTCGAAGCACTGGGTTACATCGGCCGACTGATGATGAGCAAGAACCCCTGGAGCGGCGTCGGCTTCCGCTTGCAAGTCATCTGCCTCATCCTCGCCCCGTCGTTCCTAGCCGCGGGAATCTACCTCACGCTTAAGCACCTCGTCCTCTACATCGGCCCGGAGAATTCCCGTCTTGCCCCGAAATGGTATACTTGGATTTTCATCAGCTCATCAGCTGCGACGCAATCAGCTTTCTCATGCAGGCGGCCGACGGTGCGGCTGCGTCCTCTAGCGACGGAGGAAGCGCGGCCGAGACGGGAAACAACATCATGATTGCTGGAATCGCGGTTCAGGTTGTCACGATGGGTATCTGCGGCTTACTTGCTGTGGAATTCGCCTGGCGGACGTTTAGGAACAGGAGCCGTGGGTCAAGTGATTCAAATGCGTGGAACCAGCCAGCGCAGCCTACTTGGATGTTCCGCTTCTATCTGTCTGCTTCCGCGGCAGCGTTTATCGCCATTTTTATCAGATGCATCTACCGGTAAGACGCGTTTGAGAATATACAGCGACAGGACTGTTACTAACTGTCTGGTATGTAGTCTCCCGGAAATGGCTGGCGGTTGGGGCAACCCACTTATGCGCAAAGAAGAGGAGTTCATTGTCCTCGATGGCATGTAAGTGTAGTACAACTCAATGCATTTGGGGCGGTTTCGATGTTAACCTTGACCTTTAGGATGATTGCGATTGCATGTCTTCTAATGTCAATTGCGCATCCCGGAATCTTCTTCCCTGCTATCAGCTCTCGTGGAGGAGAGGCCTCGAAGACCCAGGCCAAAAGCACTCAGCCGGTTGACTCCGAATATCCCATGGGAGGTATACCCGCAGTCTGATTATCAACCCCGTGTATACGTACCACTGCATCAGCATTCTCTGTTAACACGGGCTCCAATACCGGTAATGGGAGTTGTGGTTGGCTGCGCCGAGGCTTTGGTCAATGCGTCCGGCAGGTGCTTCATGTTGGTTTTTGATAGATTACACTATGGATTGCTCCGACGAAATATGGGATATTGGATGAGAGTTTCGGCTTACAATGCTGTTAGTTATGATTGGTTTAGAGACTATAGAAGCCAAATAGATTGAGGGCAGACACTACTTACACTTATTCACCCAGCAATCGGGCTTTCAATCTGTCCGAGTAAGTCAACCAAGCGAATTTCCGCCCGTGCGTGGAGAGATTGACGAACCATAGCCCGAAAGCCAAGACTCCCGACCGTAAAATCACGAACGCTACCCAAGCAATCTTCCGGACCAGCCGGATGGGAGATTGCAGTATTCTATGATAGTAGAGACAAGTCAGCAACATTCAAAATCTTGGGTGACTGGATGCCCGGTCTTAAGATCTCGGCGCAGAAGAGGTTGCGAATGCTGCAAGTCACCAAACCGCTAGGTAAGATATCAGCCCGTCAGTGCTACACACCAGTGGCTTAGCTGCTTACGCCGCGCCGCCAACATCAAGCACCGCACATAAATCTAGGCGTCGTCGTACCTTTTCGTACACCTTTCCTCATTTCAAATTGCAAACCCTCTATTTGTCGACGATTCGAAGTCCTGCAGTTATGCCGAGTCGCCGTCCACACGCAAAGTCGCGTTTAGGTTGTGCTCAGTGCAAGGCTCGTCGCGTCAAGGCAAGGACATTGGATTCACTGTTTGACTCTGGGCTAACATGAAGCTCGTCAGTGCGATGAGACGTACCCAAAATGCAGGAATTGCCAGCGATTCGGAAAGAGCTGCTCATATGCATGGGCAGACCCATACTCCAAAGCGGCGAATATTGCAGACGTGTCCTCGCCAATTAGCAGTCCCGAAAATTGTGCCACGGGAAAAAACATTCCTTCGATGGTCCAACTCACGTTCGACGCGCTAGACATGAAGTTGATGCACCAGTTCTCCACATCGACAGCGAGATCTTTGTCCTTGATCCCGGACGCACAGCATATTTGGCAACACTCGATACCGAATCTAGCCTATGATCAACCTCTGTTGATGCATGGCATTCTTGCCCTGGCCGGAACACATCTTGCAAGCTCCACATGTAGCGTCGAGGAATTGCCACGGAGCCAAGTCTACGTACGAGCTCTCCATCATCAGCAACTTGGACTCCAACTGTTTCGCCACCAGTTGCAACATCTTGAAGGCACCACTGCCGAGCATGAACCTTTGGTCATATTTTCTGCCATAATATGCATCTTAACTTTCGCCCAGTTGCAAACTACTCGAGAGAATTTCAAGCTCACCAACATTCTTGAAATATTCGCTGCGTTACGAGGAAAGCGGGCTCTGTGGGCGTTCGTAGGGAAAGCGCCCCATAGCCAAGAGTTGGCAAAGCTTTTGTACGAGCCGCGAGATTCCGAGACGCCAGGGTTTGAATCCGAATTGTCAGCACTGGCCGGTCTTCAAACTGCAGCCAAGAATCCAGTGCTGAAGGACGCTATCATTCAATTACGACCGTCCTTAGTTAGACAGGCCCCTGAGTTTCGGCTCGTTGGAGGCTGGCCCACAAGTATCTCTGACGACTTTATTATCCTCATACAGATGAGGGATTCGATGGCACTACAAATCTTGCAGAGCTATTGTGCTATTTTGTCATCTCTTCGGGATCTATGGTGGGTCGGGGATTGCGGAGAGAAATTTCGTGGAGCGACTGGACTATTAAACTGAAATGAGCTAATTGGCTTTCAAAGTACTCATTCTCAACCCCCCGAGGTCATGTACTTGCATTACTATAATGTTTCTCATCTGGTATCTACGTATGCTTTCAAAGTCGACTCCAAGTCCATGGCAGCTTACCACCTCCTGCAGCATTACGGCTTCGCCAACCCGACAAGTCAGAAAGATCTCGAAGAGGCCAAGGGTGGGGATCTTGTGTACCCTCAGGAACTCGGCCATTCTTCCAAGACCATAACTCCTTGTAATCCTCACTCAGTTTGCCCTCCAACATATCAATAACATACTTGCCAATGATTGGCAAGAACTTGAAACCGTGGTTAGAGCCGACTGTTGCGACGAAGAGGTTTTTTGTGTTGGGGTACGGGCAAACTCTGAAGTTCAAGTCCGACGCAATTCCATCCCTGTTCTCAGTGTCAGCCATTGAACCTGTCATCTCCTTGCATGCATCAAAACGATCTTTCGACTTACCAGCAAAGTTTGGTGGAAACGAATGGCCGATCCGCTAGCTCTGGAATCATCTCACGAACGAAGGTCCGCATCTCGTCTTCAATCTCCTTGGGACACCCGTCATCTGGGTAGTCACCAAGAGAATGCGTCACTGAAGCTCCCGCGACATATCGGTTACGATAGTTTGTGAGTAAGCGAACACTGCAGAGCTTGATCAACCCGTTTTCATCCGGTGGGAAGATGATGCCTAGCGTATGTCAGGATTGGATCTCAAGTCGCCTCCGATGGAGGGAATGTTAACTGACCTTGTTCAAAGTCGTCGATGATGGGGATGTCCTTGTACTTCTCAACCTCGTGTGGCTCCAGCTTCATCACACAGATGACAGACGTTTGTGCCACAACCTCCTTCTTCGCATCTACTAGCGTCGCCGTGTTGGCACCAGTCGCGAGTACGACAATGTCAGCCGTGTAAATACTTCCATCTGCAGCGATAGCGCCTTTGCAGGTTCCTTCGCTGTCATACAGCAGCTTCTTGACGTATCCGGCTTCTCCGCTAATGTACTTGACACCCTGCGCTTTCGCGGCGTTGGCCATTCTCAAGAGCGCCTGACCGGATGGCACCTAGAGCAAGTCCCACGTCAGTTCACAACACAACATTCAGTGATATCAATCATCATTGATAAGCAACTCACCCAACCAGCCACAGGACTCCAAAGATTCGTCCAGTCCGGGAAGTCGCCCGTCAGGACGGGCCACGTCTGCTTCATCTCTTCCGTCGACATGAACTTGACACCTTCACGGCCGGCCTTCTTCGCGGTATCAACGGCGCTGTGGAGCCATCCCCGGGTCATGCTGTGCCCGCTCATGATCCACCCCGTCTCGCGGTACATGCCTGCGAAGATGGAGCTGGGATTGGTCCATTCCCGCATGGTCTCGTCGCCGAGCTTGGCATACAGCGGGTTGGGGTAGTCGGCGCGGACGACCTTGTTCAAGTCGGTCGCTGCTGAATCTTTGGAGGGCGCATCGAAGCGATCGAGGACTGTGACTGAGCTGTATCCACGTAGGGACATGTGGTATGCCGTGGAGGTCCCGAAGACGCCGCCTCCCACTATGAGAACGGATGGTTTGGACATTGTCATTGAATTGGATTGTGATGTTTGTCGCTGCAAAGCTGCTGGTGTAAAGTCGGTTCTTGGGGTTTGGTTGATTCAACTCTATTCTGGCGGCACTTCCACGCGGTCAACTATAAATGGCTACAACACACCGAATTGCATTCGGCTCGCAAAGCAAACTCGACCGACCATGAAGCCGACGCAATCTTCGGCGAGCGCATCGGCTCAAGCACACCGCAAAGTGCATTGTGTAGTACCCAACTTTCCCCGCGTTTGCGGACGTCAATCGATCCACAATGAAGAGCAATTCAAAGTGAGACGGCCAACAATACTACGCATGTTTGTACCCTCCAAGTCCGACGTCGATTAGCGGCAGACTAGACAAATGCGTCACCTTGCCGCGGAAGACCCCTGGTCCAAGAGATACTGCACAATGCCCATCAACCAACAAGGATGCCACGAGCGGTCATCACGGAGGCGGGCACCAACTCCGTAAATGCCCAGGCTCCAAGAAATTTCAATCGGCATCAGACCGCCGATGTCGAAAGCGAGCCTAGCTGCACAAAAAGATAAAAGGAGCCATCGTCAGACCCGCCCTCCAGTTCGGTTCCTCGTGCTCTAGCGGCCGACTGATAAGTGACCGCATCCTTACGGGCTTCAATTTCCATTACCACCACCACCCCGCAATCCCGTGAACCCACCAGACCCGCCGGCAATCCGTGCATTAACAGCCGATACCTACGAACACTGAGAGCGTGTTGACGTTCGGGCGGAGAACCTTGCATTTGGGGCATTTCATCCGCTGGCCTCTTCCTTGTCGGCACCTATCTCGTGAGAGATAGCGTTATCGCCGATTGGAGGGAGCTTTCCGGCTTGGACCTGCCCATTGCTGAGGTATCTCGCACAGGGAGATACCTCTGGGCTGGGCAACATTGAGGGATTGGGGGTTTCGAGGAATTGAACTGCTGATCAAAATCGGCCAGTATGTGCTTATTGCCGTCTACACCTTCGTGCTTGTTGAGGCCAATTATTTAACAGCGTCTTGGCACCAGACTTGAGGTTCCTTGACCGGGAACGTTTTGGCACGACGACGTTATTGCCGTCCAACGCAAACTTCAACATGGCGACCGATATGAAAACCGATAACGAAGATCCAGTCAAGGTTGACTCCCAGAAAAAGAAGTACGATACGACCGACGAGAGCAGAGCCAGTTTTGAAGGGCAGACCACGGAATGGCCAGCGAGACCGTTGCCGGAGCTTCTAAGGGACTTGTCGGAGGATGAATTGAAGGACCTTGAGAGAAAGTTGATTCGAAAAGTCGATATGCGAATGTTGCCAACGATGATCTTGATTTACATCATGAACTATCTGGACAGGTTGGTCTCATCGTTTTAAAACCTAGATTGCAGACTAAGCGATGAGCTAGGAACGCCATTGGATCAGCGAGACTAGGCGGTTTAGAAAAGGATCTGGGGTTAACGGGCAGCGAGTTCCAAGTAAGCAAACCTCGAGATATGCGCCGTTTCGATGCGACAAATAGCTGACGATTTGGGACCCAGACCTGCGTATCGATCCTCTTTGTCGGATACATCTTGATGCAAGTACCATCCAACATGTTTTTGAACAAGGTAAGACTGAAAGCCCAGCGCAGGACGATTGGTTAAAAAACTGACGAAGATTTGAAACAGATCGGTCGTCCTGCTATCTACTTGACAGGATGCATGGCAGTCTGGGTAAGCATGACGTTCCCTGATTCTATTCCCAGTCAATTAAGCGATCTACCACTTCCCGCTGCCCATCATCGCACGGCTGCATTGCATGAGTGTAACGTGACTGGGTATGCCACAGCCGGATCTCGGACTGTGTAACCACACATCACGGAACAGTGTTTTGGCTGACAGGATTTACCAGGGAGTACTGTGTGCCTGCAGCGGCGCAGCGCATAGCTTCGGCGGTCTCTTGGCAACTCGCTTTCTGCTTGGTTTCGTGGAAGCAGCATTCTACCCAGGTTTGCAGCATCCAATAGTTCGCACATTGAAGAATTGCATCACTAATAAAACGCTCGAACAGGATGTCTTGCGACCCTGAGTGCATGGTACGTCCGCAAGGAACTTGGCGTTCGAACCGGTCTCTTCTACAGCGGTTCAATGCTTTCCGGAGCCTTCTCAGGCCTCATCGCCGCAGGAATAACAAACGGCATGGACGGTCTCGGCGGGCTACTCGCGTGGCGATGGCTCTTCATCATCGAGGGCTGTCTTACGGTCCTCATCGCCTGCGGGGCTTTCTTCATCCTCCCCGACTTCCCGGCGAACACGAAATGGCTCACGGAGCAAGAACGTCAGATGGCCATGTGGCGCATGGAGGTCGACGCCGCTGGCGAGGAGGACTGGACCTCGTCGTCCGAGCAGCCCATCTTTGCCGGGTTCAAGATGATTATGGTCGACCCCATCAACTGGATCCTCGTCGTACTGGTGTACGGCGCGGCTAGCTCCATCTCGATCAACAGCTTCTTCCCCACGGTCGTGGGAAGCCTCGGCAAGGACCGCATCACGACGCTGCTTCTTACGTCACCGCCGTACTTGCTCGCATGCATCGCCTGTGCAGCGGTGTCATGGAACGCGGACCGCACGAATGAGCGGTTCTGGCACACCGTTGCACCGTTGGCCTGCTCGCTTCTCGGGTTCATCATCTCCAGCGCTGCGACAGGGATCGGTCCGCGATACTTTGGTGCCATGATCATGCTGCCCGGCATCTACACGGGCTTCAACATGTCGATGGTCTGGACCGCGAACACGATGTATCGGCCCGCTGCCAAGCGTGCGGCTGCTGTTGCGTTCAACAATGCGTTCTCCACGTTGGCGGGTATTTACGGCTCGTACTTGTATCCGAACAATGCCGCCCCGCGGTTCGTGCTGGCTTTCAGTGTAAACGCTGCCATGGCTTTCATGGCTATCATCGCCGCCATTGTACTGCACTTCGTGTTGAAGAGAGAGAACAGGAAGCTGGAGTTGAAGGAGCAAGAAGCTGAGGCTGCCGGGCAAGTGATTGCGGTCGGCAAGGGATTTAGATATCTGATCTGAAAAGTCTGCTGGCGGTGCTAGTTGTGGTGAAAATTGTATTGTCCCCAATATTGTAATGTTTTGTCTCTGGTGTTTTCATATCTCAAATGATAATTCATACCGAATAGCAAGAGGTGAATCAAGACTCCGAAGTTCAAGCGAAAGATGGCACGGCGCTGCTGGAGCTGATCGCAGTGGTCATGATACCGAGATAGTCCATCAGGATCTCGCCATCTTTGTGCAGGTCTTGTTGCGCCCAGATGGATCTCACTGTGTTCCTAACCCCCTCGATACTACGTATACGCGTATCCCTCTGTGTCCTTTCGATAAGATTGATAATGGCTAACCTTTGGTCGTCCCTGTGTGCTTCGCAAGCTAGGATGAGCAAGGGAAAGAAGTGCTCACAGGAGCATGACTGGATCGGGCCCGCGAATGCGGCATCGACCAAGGCGTCGAGGTCTTCCGCTGGCTCCCAAGCGCTTTGCGAGAGTCGTGCAAGATATATCTGTGTTGCTATTTGATAGAGGTGGACGGCGAACATGGAATCGGACGTGGGCTCGGCAGAGGCTGATTCGATGGAGACATTTCCTACCCTGCCCTTCAGATCTTGCAGATGGTCTTGGTAATTCGTATTGCTGGTCCTGGGATCTCTTGAATCGAGAACTGTATCCCACACTTCAGAAAGCAGATTCAATATTGCGAATGTAGGATTGACAGCAGGGTGGGTCTAGGAAAGAGCACGTCAGTGGAAGCAATTGACGCTGGTGGTGGAGAGATTCCTTACAGGCCTATGTCTCGTCAAAGAAAACTTCCGAGCAGCTTGGGACCTACGGGCATTTCTTGATGGCCCCTCTGGAGCCAACGATTGATGTCGCCAATGGTGCATAGCGAAGCGTGAGAGTGTTTCGTGATAGTGCACCCATAGAAGGAGGCGGCCTGTGTCGTTGTTTGATGGTTGGTCCTTGAGCGGAGTTGCTTGAATCATGTCTGTAGCCCCCCATACATGCAAAAGCCACTCACTCGTGCCCTCTAGTGGCTGCAACGTCTAGAGTTTAACGTTAAGCACTCCGTTCTGCCAGTCAATTTTAACGGACACTCACTTCAAAAGCCCCTAGAAGCATAGATGCGGCCACATGTTGCGCGGCTTTCCCGGGGGTCAGGATTTCGTAGTTGACCGAGGCCGACAGCGACTGGAGAGCGCGACCTTTAAGCTGGATAGTCTGCTCATTGAGACCATGGCGGTGAAGGGAGGAGAAGGCGAGCAGCGCGTGGAAGAGCGCGATGCCGGAGACTTCATCGTGCACTAAAGCCATGCTGAGGAGAACGTCCCGTATCTCGGAAGGGCGTTGGCCAAATGTGACCAGCGAGACATGGGCAAAGTTATGGACTTGGGAATGTTAGAACACGCACATTGAAATTTCAGTAAGAAGGCTTACAGTGATAGACAAGGTCCATGTGATTGATATGCCGTTGAGGCTGTATATTCAGCTTTGGGGAAGATTCCAGGGTATGGGACCGTGGTGATTCTCCAAACCTGTAGCCGTATTCTTCCAGATCCTTCCAGAAGGTATTGAGGAATACAGCTTTACCAGGCTTACGGCTGCTTGCAAAATTGATAACATTGTGGGCATTTTTCACCGTTATTGCACGCTTTTTGTCGTGATCTCTAGGCCAGGAAAGTCGCATCTCATATCCCTGACATTCTTTCCTCGACCGCGCGCACTTTTGACACTTTGGCCGGGCTCCGTCACATTGGATCTTGCGGTCTACACGCAACAATTAGTCGTCCTCCCTCACCTGCATTCGAAGTATGTATTTGGCATTACCACTGACCTGCACAAGTCCAGCAGCCTTTCCGGACCTTCATTTAATCGACGGATGGACCGGGCGTAATGGGTCCGGACACGGCGAGTTCTGAAAGCCGACTTCTGGCAGCAATGACTGGGGATCGGACCACCGTAAGTCGAAGGACTCGGAGAAAGTTGCTTTCGATGGGGTTGCTGACGCTTTTATTGACTTCGCAATGCAGCCACAAGTCTAGCCATTTGTAAGCTCCTCTAAGCCATTTCGAGATGTCTTACTCTGGCGTCCGGATCAAAGCCACACGCGCAATGGTGGCTAAACCTCACAGTGATTGGCCGTTGGAGCCAAAGTGCGACGAAGGATTCCCGTGCCCCACACGAAGCAACTTTTATCGACGCTAAGAGCTGCATGATTGTCTCTGACTTTGGGTAGTCTAATATGCCCGCGCTATTCGGGCTTCAACATGCTCCGCAAGCTTCTGTTGTCAGACATGGAGGCTAGGATACGACGGATCATAGGTGTAAGACGACAATTCAGTGATTATCAATCCGAAGATGGCCTTCTTTTCAGAAAAGCCTTTCGGGGAGATTTTGATATAAAGTGGCGTCTGTCCGACGAAAGATGGATCATTGATCAAAGAAGTAGCACACAGCCTTCACAATCATCGTATTCAATTCAACAAACTTATCACTACCATCATCCTCGCATATATCCAACATGTCCACTTACCTCATCACCCAAGCAACCGGCCAGCAAAGCCGCTGGGTCATAACCCACCTCCTCACCGCAGGCGCCAAGATCCACGCCGTCGTCCGTGACCTCCAAAAGGTCCCATCCGCCCTCCAGAACCCAAACATCACCGTCTTCCAAGGAGAGAGCAAGAACTTTGACGACATTTACCGCGCCGCCCAGGGCTGCAAGGGCGTCTTCCTGAACACCGTCCCGTTCCCTGGCCTAGAAGCTCTCCAGGCCAAGACCGTCGTCGACGCGTGCCGCAAAACTGGCGTCGAGAGCATCGTCGTCGCCACGACGCACGGTACCGCGAAAAGGGCCATGTGGGACGACGAAGCGACCGAGAAGATCCAGCTGCATGACTACTTCTCGTCCAAGGCCGCTGTCGAGGAGATTGTGCGCGGCGGCGGGTTTGAAGCGTACACTATCCTCCGGCCGGCGGTCATCCACCACGATTTCTTCGTGCCGGGGGCGTATGGGAACTTCCCTCGGCTGCCGACTCACGGGGTCCTGGACCATTTGCTTGATGATGGGGCGAGGGTGCCGTATACAGATGCCAACGACGTTGGAAGGTTTGCGGCGGCGGCTTTGTGGGATCCAGTCAAGTTTGGTGGCCAGGAGATTGATCTTGGAAACGAGGTGCTCACCATGGAGGAGGTGCGGGACATCTTGGTCAGGGTCAGTGGACGAGAGGTGGGCGTGGCAAAGCGGACGGCTGAGGAGGTCGAGGCGATGGGCATCAGCGTCTTTGGCCAAAGGTTCCACCTCATGGCGAATATCAAGGATCTCAGCTGGACTGTCGCAAGTGCGAGGGAGGTTGAAGAGAGGTTTGGGATTTCCATGACTTCTGTTGAGGAGGCGTTGCGAAGGGACAGGGCACTTCTCTTGGAATGCCTGCCGGTCAACTAGTTTCCTCATTACTCTGCGTTTTCACGCGATTGGGCTCTTATCTGTATTGGAATGTTGTCTTCGATCTAGAAGATTCTGTTTGTAGAAAAGGCACGGGGCTCTCTTAGAAATGAGTCCTACGCCCTTTTCCTTTTCCATCTTTGTTGAATGTATGTCTACTGCGATTCACACAATACTCAAAGTCCATATTCTCTAGCGGTCTTCTCAGCAGCAATTTGTCCAATAACATAAGCGACGACTTGAGGATCTGTAAGAAAGCGTTAGCAGATTAGGAAGCAGTGCACACGTCGACTCATAACAGCGAACTCCGAACCCAAGGCTCAACTTACGGCCACTATGAGTGATTCAGTCAGCCACTTTTCACGATAGATATTAACAGCCGATAGTCACACGTACCTTGGAAGCACGGATGTAACACTTAAGTCAGCAACCCTCAATCCGCTCAGCCCATGAACCTTCAGATCTGCACCAACGCAGCTGCCATCCTGCTCAGTCTTGCCCATCCTCACACTGCATGAAGGATGCCACAAGCCGGCGACGTTTTGCTCGATGAATTCCTGGAGTCTATCAGCTACCTTACCGAGCAGAGTCTCTTCAAAGTACAACTTACTACAATATCTTCGTCGCTGTCGGATTTGGGCGCAAATATGGGGCTCACAAAGTACTCCTTCATCGTCGGTGTTTGCATCAGCTTCAGCCCTTCCCGGAGCGCCTCTCGCAGGTTGACGACGTCGTATGGGTGGCTCAGGTACTTTGGGTCGACCAAAGGCGGGTCCTTCGGGTCGGCGGATTTGAGCTTGATCTGGCCGCGAGATTGGGAGTTCATGTTCGCCACGAAGACTGTGAAGAAGCCATCGTCTGCGCTCTCGAAGGCATGGTTTGGAGGGATCAGCGGGCCGATCTGGGAGGGGGTAGTTGTGTCAGTCCGTCTTGTTAATCTTTGGTTTTGTTGTGGTGCAGACTTACCACCATCTCGTAGCTCGGAACACCTGTCTTCAACAACAGATCTTTAGCATCTCTGGGGAGGGCTTCAAATTCCGCGGTCGCGTAGGCCCTATCGTTCTTCAGGAACGCGTGCGGAACGGACGAGAAGTGTCCCAATAGGGGCCCGTTTCCGGTCTCGGTGAGCTGCTTGATGGCTTCTTGGTACTTGGCCGGATCAGCCAGGCCCATTCTGTGCGTGAACCCAGGCTTCATCTGGAAGCAGGTGACAATCATGGGGTGATCCGTGAACGACTTGCCAACCCCGTCCAGGTCTTTAACAACGCTGATTCCGAGTTCTTCCAGGTCTGCCTTGGGGCCGATACCCGAAAGGAGTAGCAGCCGGGGAGTGTCCAATGCGCCGGCTGAGAGGATGACTTCCTTCTTGGCCCGTACTAATTCACAATGTCGTCAGTCTGACATTTTCATAAGTTGTCAAGGCTGCTTACTCTGCGACCCATCTTCCTTCACAACTCCAAGGGCCCGATCGTTTTCGAATAGGATCTTGACGATGCGGCTCTCCGTCAGGATTGTCAAGTTGGGCGGGATGCCCTTTTCTAGGAATGCCGAGGCGCTGGTTGTGCGCACGCCGTTCAAGCTGGTTGATGAGTTCAACGAGAACCCAATTGGATCTCCATCATTTGGATCCAAATTGCGTTTATGCTTTAATCCTGTCAGAAACAATAAGCGATCACTTTCAGTGAGCGACTTACCCCGAGATCAACCCCAGCGTCAATGAAGGACTTGGTCTCCCGCTCGATATGTCCAATGGAAACATCCACAGGTCTGAACCGAGGTTAGTAGAAAATCCTTCACGATTGGGATGCTGGCGACAGACCCTTCGTAGCCATGATACTTCGGATTCGGCTTGACATATCCATCCCACTCTTTCCCCAGCCCATCCGTGTGCAGGTTTTCCAACTAAATCCAAGTCAGCTCTCCCCCAACAACACCGCGTCGACAAGGTGTCCACAAACCTGCTTCACCCTCTCAACAACACTCTCAAACCCCCAAACCTCGTCCCCAGCCGCCTCCGCCCACGCGTCGAACTCCGCCCGCGCGCCGAGCGACCACACCTGAAAGTTGACCGCACTCGAGCCGCCCAGCCCCTTCCCGCGCGCCTGCGGCACCTCGCGGCCCCGCGCGTGCTCCTGTGGCGTCGAGACGTACCCGTAGTCCAGCCCCGGCTGCGCGACCGTGAAGTAGCGCTCGGCGGTGCGCCGGTACTCGGGCTTGTTGATGTCACTGCCGCCCTCAAGCAGCGCGACGCTGGGGCGGGAGGGCGTCGCGGCGATGCGGGCGGCAAGGAGGCAGCCGGCTGTGCCGCCTGTTGGGTCGGCAGAGGTTAGCCGCAGACCTGGATGGTATGGGAGGGGATGTTGGGAGAACCCCCTCATCCCATGTTGGCGAGGAGGGGTGAACAGACTTACCACCGACGATGACAAAGTCGAATTCCTGCGTCATGATGAGAGCCTCACGATAGGTGCTTTGGGTTTGAGCGGGAGGTAGTGGGATCAGATGAACAAAGATTGCCTTAAATACCATCCTCGGCGCTTCTCCTCATTCTAAGGCTGAGAATTGCTTTTCTCCCCGCAGAATGAACTATCGACATGTGTCTCTCGTATTGGGTGAACCAAATTCACATGGTCCGCTGCGGCTAAGGTTTTAGTATCACGGATCGGCGGTCAATTATTCGGCATTTCCAAAGTTCCAGCAGACTTGGAGGTTAATGGCGGGCAGACTTAACATCCCCGGAAAAGCATGTTACCCCTCCGTAAAGTTCCCTGGCTTCTCCAACATTTTGGCAACTGTCGCTACTGGACTATTGCCAAATGTGTTGGGTTTCCCGATGTCGTGCGACGCTGACAATTGGGGTTTGACGATCCCGATGCAACCTGAAAGCTGGAGCTGGGGTTGTTGAATTGGCGTGCAGAGGCGGATGCAGAAGCGGGTTGAGCTGAGGTGACGGACCCTGTGAAGGATGAGTCTTGTGGCATATAATTGATAATGAGCTTGCTTTTATTGATTTGGGAGTCAAGACGGCGAGATGTCCGCGCCCTTGGTGGGTGATCTTCTTCAAGGCAGTGGTTCAGCCTCTCACGATGCTGTTATCAATCCCACCCACAACCCCACAAACTATTGCTTCTTCCCTTCAATGGAACGAACAGCTGAAATGCTCCATCAGATCTAGAGAAGTACTATGCTTGGCTGTATGTTGGGCATTAAACATAGCCGTCTATCCGGGGCTCGGCCGAGTGACCCAAAGACCTCGTCTCATCTCATCAACATCCAAATCGCATCTCGTCGAACGCCGAAAGTCACAGAACAAGGTGTTCAACCATCTACACCACGGGCCGAGGAAAGCCATACCTCTCACCTACTAATCAACTCCTTCACCTTCTTCAACGCATCCTCCTTCACCACCTCCATGGGCGGTTGCACATCAACCCCGACAACATCCTCCTCGTCCTCCTGGGGCGGGTCCAGGCTCTGGAACTGGCTATGCACGAGGTTCGCGCCGGCAAAGTGTCCATGCCTGTTCTTGACCCTCTCGAACAGCACATCCTCGGGCGCGTGCAGCGTCACGAAGTTGACAAAGATGTCCTTCTCCGGGTGCGACGCGCCGCGCAGCTCGTCGCGGTAACCCCGCTTCAGCGCGGAGCAGGTCACCACGACGCCGCGCAGCCCGTCGGTCTCCAGCTCCTTGAGGGCCTCGTCGCGCAGCGTGTCGAGCCAGCCCCAGCGGTCCGAGTCGGTGAGCGGCTCGCCCCTGTGCATCTTTTCCACGTTTTCTTTCGGGTGGTACTGTAAATGTTTTCCGCGGGTGTCAGTGTGTTACCTAGTATGTGTCCAGGAAGAAGGGGGGCACGGACATCGTCGCCTTCAATGAAGGTCATGTCCAGGGTGTCGGTGATGTGCTTTGCTATCGTCGTCTTGCCGGTCCCCGTCGGTCCCGTCAGGAAGATGATGTGTTCTTTCGGGCGCGACATTCTTGCGTGGGCTTGATTCATTCAATATTCGCTCCAAATGGAAAGGCTTGGCGGATGTTCGTCAACGGGATAGCCGATTCAAAGCGGTCTCATCGGTGTTCTCGGACCGGAGATGTTCAGGCGAGATGGGGGAGGTTGCTTTAACGTTGTCTGCCAATGCGTTTGAACGAGGTGACGCTCTCTCAATAAGGCAATAGTTGAGAAGCGAGGTGGTGGACAACGGAAACAAGGGCACAGGCTGATGGTTCGCAGTGGCCAGAGACAGGAACAGGAACAGGAGGCTCCTCCAGACTTTCCATTCCTTCCGGTTGGTCTGATGTTTGGCCGCCTATCGTGGTGTTCGTTCGTTCCCACCTGGGTTTTGCTTGCCGATGGCGTTCGGATGATGTCATGCGGCCCCGACCGTGGAAGGTGTGTCTGTTGAGGCGAACGCTGGTTCGTGTGGCTTGCGTGTGTGTGCGAGAGAGACAGAGAGCATGTTGCCCCTTTCGTACCCGCATGTCTCGTTCTGGATGGATGAGAGTGATCGGACAACTTCCGGAACATCAGGAACTCTCAAACGAGGTTGTTTGCGATGCATGCACTGGAAAGCTTGCCAATGTTCAATGTTGCGAGAGTCAGGGATTTGGTCCAATCGATGGATACGAATATGCATGTCCGTTTTCCTCCCATTTCCCGCCCGTGGGTAACGGCACGGGTAGCGGCATCAAAGGGAATTATCAGCACGAAATTGTCGTCATTTGGCTGAATTTCGGCAGCAGAGAAGGACACATCTGATGTCATCCGATGCGGTCATTTGAACAGCGGCATTTTGGCATCCGTCAGGCACAGCAAGTGATTGATCAAAAGTTGCCTGCCTTCGATGAAGTGCCTCTCGAGGGCTGGGCAAGGTGGGCTGCGATCTTAAGACACTTCCCCGCACAAATTTTCAACAACCAATAGGCATCGGTCTATTAGTCTAGTTGGTTAGGACGTCGGATTCTGATTCAAATCCAGATTTTCCGTAAGCCCAGGTTCGAATCCTGGATGGACCTTTCTTTTGTCTTTTTGACTAGCCAGGAGAACTCGCTAATTTTTAGTTGTAATTATCAGGCGGATGCCTCCTGCTTTTTGAAGTTTCGAATCTGCACCCAAGTCCGAAGTCCTGGGCCGTTTTGACGTTGTTCTTTTGGCATCTGCGGCCCGAGATACAGCAGGAAGGACCGCCCACGATGCACGCTGTACGGCAGAAGCATGTCAGCCACAGCGCTCCTTCTTAGTTGGCTGGTTGGGTACATGCAGCAAGCACGCACTGAGGAGGTCTTTCCCCCTGGTCGAAACAGCGCTGCTGCCCATTCTTCATCCCCGAACATCAAACCACACACATCAATCATCTCGTCCAACCTGTCGTCGTTCTGTCACTTTTTTTCTCTGCTGCCTCGCAGACGGTCCCCTCGTATTGGTCGGATATCTTGCTATTTTCTCACTTCAACACAATGGCCATGCTTTCTATCCATACCGCACATCGCCAGCACCCTCTCGGAACCAGTCATCCGTCGCCAACGCCTCTTCGGAGCTCGCAAAGCTGATGATGGTGCTCTTAGTCGTCGTGTACGCCTGGTACGCATCGATGCCGTTCTCGCTGCCAACGCCGCTCGCGCTCTTCGCGCCACCCCACGGACTGCTAGGATCGTTTCGATGGTGCGTGTTCACCCACACGATGCCTGCCTCAATCTGCTCCGACACTCGAAACGCCTGCGCCACGTCCCGCGTCCAGATGCCCGCTCCCAGTCCGAATTCGCTGTCGTTTGCCAGTGCGATGGCCTCCTCCTCCGTCTTGAATGCCGCCACCACAATCACCGGCCCAAACGCCTCCTCCCGCCAGATGCGCGTCTTGAGGATGTCGCCTCCGGACTTGGACACCAGCACCGTCGGCTCGTAAAAGTACCCCTTTGAGAAATCAGTCCCGTCGAGTCCGCTCGTGCCAGACATGCGACGACCCCCAACCAGCGCCTCGCCCTCCGTCGCAAGCGCATCGTCCACAAGCGCCTCCACGTTCTTCAGCTGCTTCGCCGAGATGAGCGGTCCCATCATGGATTCTGGGTTGCTCGGGGACCCCATGCGTCGCGTGATGGATTCCGTCTTCGTTTTCAGCTTCGAGAGCAACGTCTGCAGGGTCTTCTCCTCTGCCAGAATCCTCGTGCTCGCGACGCACGTCTGTCCGCTGGCGATGAAAGATCCAAAGGCGATGCCGTTTACTGCGACGTCAATGTCGGCTTGATCAAACACGACCAGCGGCGCCTTTCCTCCCAACTCTGCCGTGTACCGCGCCAGATTGCCGCCCACGATTGACCCGATGGCTCTGCCTGCCACCGTCCCGCCTGTGACGTCCACCTTGCGGACGAGGGGGTGCTCAACGAGCGCTTTACCCGTCGTCGCGCCGTAGCCGGGCAGCACGCTGAACGCACCGTCAGGCACGCCCGCCTGCTTCAGGATTTTGCCGAGCAGCAGCGTGGTGAGGGGCGTCAATTCGCTGGGCTTCACAATGACACTGTTGCCCGCGGCAAGTGCCGGCGCGATTTTCTTGACAGCGATGAGCAGCGGGTGGTTGAAGGGGGTGATCTGCACAACGACGCCAAGGGGCACGCGATCAATCCAATTGTGCAGCTTTCCTACGGTCGGGAGCACCGCACGCTCTTCGGTGCGCAGCAGCGCAGCATAATACTTGAACCACTTGACGAGCGTGGGCACCTGCGCGCGCATCTCGCGTATCGCGCGTCCGGTCTGTTGCACCTCGAGGGGGATCAGCGAAGGGAGTTCCGCCGTGAGGAGCTCCGCCGTCTTATCGAGGACCTCGGCCCGGACGTGGCGGGGGGCCTTGGACCAGGTCCCGGCCTTGAACGTATTGTGCGCGATGCGGATGGCTTCGTCGACATCTTCAGCGGATGCGGCGTGACAGCTGCAAGTCGTCGGATGGTTAGAAACAAGGACAAGAAATGCTCAGTAAGCTTGACAGTTGTGACGGGCATGACAGCACGGAGAAGGATTGGGGCAGAGGGGACTGAGTACACTCCAGTGACCCAACAGATGCAAGCCTTACCTTGCAAAAATTTCGCCCGTCGCAGGGTCTTCGACCGGAATCCTGTTGGCACCGTGTCAGCCGCGAGCCATTGAGCTTGAGCCACGAGCATGAAGCACGAGCACAGATGGCCATGCAGATATTATGCGCGCGCGGGGTCAACACGCAGAAGAGAAGAAGGGGACGTCACGAACTGCTCTGCATGGCCCGGCTTCTCCTGGCCTCCCGCCCAGAGGTTGAACGCCTGGGCTGTCATCCTGTCTTCTCAGCTGTCCTGTCAGTCTCGAAGGTTTTTTTCGTCCGTGGAGTCCTGTCCAACGAAAGAAGAGAATGTTTCTGCGAGACCGCTTTGCTTTAATCGGGGAGGTGAGAGTTCAAAAGGGCCCATTATCTCTTCATGCGGGGCACAATGCGGGATACATGCGATTAGCTCCCCCTCCCCCTCTCGGCCGGCTCCGTGTTGGTGGCTTCAGTCTTCTTCCCCGCCAATTTCCTGTCTAGATAGGTGTCGGTCCCCTCCCGCAGCGTCGCCGATAACAGCTCGCCATTCCATCCCGGTCATTGGGCTTGTTTGTCAACCAATCTCGTAACACGACCACAGACAGGGGATGATGCTGGGCCCCCTTCAATCGCTGGCTCGCTGCAAGACCACAGCCAGCTTCGCCGTCAAAAAGGACCAAGGCTAGAAGCAAAAGAGAGACACTGCCAGCTCGAGAACGGATGGGGAATACATCACAGCTCGCATCAGTTGGCGCGGCTAGCTGCAGGCCAATACAACTTATACTTCAAGGGGGCACGCCCTCCTCGCTCGGCTGTTCTTGGTGGTTTATGGTTGGTCTTGGTACCCAAACGCACATGCTTTGCTCGACAAAGGTTGTTTCTCGGTGCTGCAGCCAGCAGGCGCAATGAACCATTTTCGAACGGGAGGCATGCGGTATGAAGTATCAGACCGTGCTTCGTGCTTCAAACCTACAGGAAACCTCCGTGACAGCAGTAGTTGCTGCTGGCCCTGCATACTGTCAATGTCGACCGCTCTGCCTAGCTGCCATGGACCTGGGCCGGATTTCTCCCATGCCATCACCGGATGCCATCTCGAGCATGAATGAGCTGGGAGGAATATAAGCTGGCCATCCGAACGACGGTCCGGAGACGACACAATGGACGGGCTTTTAGGGAAAGGAGCCAGCCAAATTTGACATTTGCCCTCTCTCTCTTTCTTTTCCTGTTTGTGTGGTTTGCTTTACAACGATACCTGACGGCTGGATTGATTCCCGCCTCTTTGCTCTCTCTAATCCTCCTTTCGCGGTCAACGGCCTGCGGCCGGAAAACTTCTCGCTTTTCAGAGCTAGAGCACCTGGGTAGCCAATCCAGCGAGATCTACCGCGGATCCTTCGTTTCATTTCTCTCTTTTCTCGACGACTTCCACAAGAAAAAGGCAAACATGGAGGTCCTACGCACCATCTTCAAGCGCAGCAAGCCAAAGGTGGTTCAACCGCCAAAGGTCCCCACCGACGATGTCTACCCCGTCCATTTCTTTGACGACACCAAGCCATTCCGTGGCATGCTCCTGAACTGGACCCTTCGTTTCGACGATGTCCTCGACGCCGACAAGCTCCAGAGCTCGTTGTCGCGGTTACTTGAAATCGGAGACTGGAAGAAGTTGGGCGGTCGCATGAGGCTCAGCGTAAGCTCCCCTCTACCCCTTGCTCCCCCGCACACCCACTTACACGATAGCCTCGCCTCAACTTAACCCAAAACACACACAAAAGCTAACATACCTCTTCTAGCCCGACGACAAGCTCGAACTTCACGTACCTGAATGCTTCACCCCGGAACGACCTGCCATCCGCTTCTCCCACGATGTTCACGACTTTCCCATCGCAGACCACCCTAACGCAAAGCACCTCCCCAAGTCAACCTCAGTCCCCTCAATACAGCCCGGTGTGGTAAACTTCTACACTCTCGGTGCCCGCCCCGGCGCGCCCATGACCCTCGAAGATCTCCTCACTTCCGATGAACCCCAGATCCACCTGCACGTCATCTCCTTCACAGACGCAACCGTCGTCGGCCTTCTCTTTTCACACGTTCTCTTCGGCGCCGCCGGCATGCAATCTCTTGTCACAAACTGGTCCCTCGTCATGGCCGGCCGCGAAGCCGAGGTCCCTGCCCTCTGCGGTGCCCGAGAAGACATTCTTGAGGACGTCGGCGTCCAATCTGACCCAGACAAGGAGCCCTTCCTCCTCGACCCCCGCCAGCTGAAAGGTCTCCGCCACCTGCGCTTCAACATCCGCTTCCTCTGGGATATGTGGCGCCGTCCAGAAATCGAGTCAAAGGTCCTCTGTCTCCCCCCAAAATTCGTCTCAGACCTTCGTGCCCGCGCCATGGCCGACCTGCACGCGATGGACGAAAAGGGCGCTCTCGGCGCAGAAGAAGAAGCCCCCTTCGTCTCCGAGGGTGACGTGCTCACCGCGTGGTGGACCCGTATGGTCTGCACCGCCCGCGGCGGCAAGCGCTCTGTTACCGTCCTCAACGCCGTCGACATCACCGGTCGCCTCAAGTCTGTCTTCGCCCCAGGAAAGCACTACGTCCAAAACTTCGCACTCGGCACCTGGACCATCCTGTCGTCGGCGGAAGTTGTCAAGGCTCCGCTCGGCTACGTCGCAAAATGCTTCCGCTACGACATCCAGACCCAAACCACTCCGTCCCAGATCATGGCATTCATGCGTCGCCTTCGCGAGGCAGGCCGTTGCGGCGACCAGCCCGTTTACGGCAAGCCGGACTCTATGCTCATCATCTTCACCAACTGGAGCCGGTGCAAGTTCTTCGAGTGCATCGACTTTGCGCCCGCCGTCGTTCCCCGCGTTGACCCTGCCGCCGCTGCTGCTGCCAACAGACACTCTGCCACCTCCGCGGACGGCGAGATCACCGCCACCGCACCGCAAGACTCGGAAAAGGCCGCTGCGGAAGCGACCGCCACTGAGGTCTCATCCGAGCTCGCCGCGAAGAAGCCACCTCCGGGGAAGCTGTCGTACCACCACTCCCTCGCGCGCACCCGCAGCGTGCTCAGCAGGAACGTGTTCACCATCCTCGGCAAGGACTTGTCCGGTAACGTGTGGGTCAGCGCGCTGGGCCACCCCGAGTGCTGGGAGCATCTCGAGAAGTACATCGCGACCTCGTCCAAGTAGAGCAATGTCAACTACCGGCGTTTGTAGAAAACGGTCCGTCTTTTGCATGGAGGCTTCAAGCGCAGACACGGCTTGATGTATTGGTCACCTTCCCTTATTACTATTATCCCCAAATCCCTCTCTCAATATATGTCACTCCATTCATATGCACTGCTAGGAGTTTTGTTCTGCTTCACAGTTAGGTTGTCACCGATGGTACCTTTGGGTGGTTGATGAGTACGGGATATCTCAGTGGCTTTTGTTTGAATCGGTTAGACTCATAATGATTGATGATGACTGGTGGATGCGAGGTAGTGAGACTGGTAGTTATGCAAAAGAATCGTAACTATTCTATCGACTGATACATGGACTGTACTATTCTAAACCAGTGGAAACCTTTAGTCTTCTCTAATTGTACTTGGATAACATTATTTCGTTTTCGGAGTATGGTCCGGTCGGCTGTAACCCCAATAAGCTGTACCACTCACTGACAGTCAATCGTATAGTACACTCTCTGCACAGTTTTAGTTGCGAGGGAGTCGGAGAATACTAACGTATATGCATAGCGAGTCGCCCATCATAGCGAGCCGCCCACTTTTCCTTAATTCTACACTCTTCACCTTCACAACAACCTTCCTCTACGTACGACCATGAGTTCTTCTTCAAATGAAAGTCGCATTATCCTTGCAATTGAA